CTGTGTTGTCCCTGGGTCCGAGCAGAGTTAGATCGACTTCTTCAGCAGGTGTGTCCTTTAAATTTACGTGAATGCAGCCTGCTTTGCGTAGACATTAACCAATGACCTATCCCGAGTTTGATTAGTCGTTATTTTCAGAATACCACCCCAGAGAATTTTAAGAATACCACCCCAGAGAATTTTGTTTGAATGATTGTTTTTATTCTCTTTCATAAAAAAAAAAAAAAATGGCTTGAGCTGAGTGAGGTACCTTTTTGGACTCGATCTGGTTTTACTTGAATGTCCTTTGCCTGCTACGAATGGTATGGTAGGGACAGCATCTGGTCTCAACCTCTTCCTGGGTTCGTAGCCCATGATTTTCGCTCTAATGTCCTCTTCAAAACACTCCGGTTCAAAGTGATCCTCGCATAGACCTACAACTCTCGATTTGTTGTGTATGTATTCATATTCATAAGTTTCTATCTTGAACTTTTCTGATCCCAAAATACAGAGCCATTTTTCACATCTGTTCCTCTCCTTTCGAGGATCAGGTATTGAGAACACACTCTTCTTGAGCACACGACTACTCCGAGTTGGGCATCCTTTCACTTGACACGCAACCATGTTGCCTTCATTCACTTCAGTCTTCAGTTTAGTTCACTCTTCTTGATCCCAAACTTGCAAAGGCGCCGGTAGAGGCAAGGAAGATGGCACGAAAAATAGCGGTAAGCTTGCCCCTAGCCTCGGGCTTAGCTGACGCGGCTTCCTGCTGTGACGGTCGGCCAGCGCCAGCGCCAATCCGATCCCAGAAGAATTACGCCGGTAATTATTCAATTTATTACTATTTATTCCATATGCCAGTCCAGGTACTGGTACAGGTGTTCTTATTTCATAAAATAACCGATACAACTTTGGCAACAACCAGGATTATGAGGGCCGAGGCGCAGCCGAGGGCAAAGGCAAGGTCATATTAATGCAGTTTATTTCAGAATCCGTATATGGCGTCACAATACAGCTAGCTAAAGTTACCGACTAGCTAAATACCTGACGATGCAGTGATAGTGATCTCCATTACGACTGAACTCGGGAAAATGTATTACATATCACAGAAAATTGATTAACTCTGGTAGAAGTAGGAAAAATAAAGGAACGGTCTTAGAGACATTCCATGAAATAAAAATTTGATAAACAATGAAAAAAATCATTAATTTGCATCGCCAATATTAGTAATAATTATGACAAGCTCTACTCGGCAATGCGGTCATGCATAATGTCTTTTCTTCGCCCACGAAACTCTACACCGTAGTGTATAGTGCACGAGTAGTAGTTTTTCCCGAACTTAATTTCAACCAGGACGAGGGTTCTGTTCTATCATTAGAACTGAATTTTTAGAAGAAAAAAAATATTAATGATGGCCATGCAGGGGGATTCTGGGATTTCAGAAATCTTTCTCTACCCCCCTCCCCTTCAAATATTTGTTTTCTCTTATCCTCAAGCGAGGTTTTTATTTCCACAATGTACATAAATAACTCAATGATTGAGTGAAACATAACAGGCTAAAGATTAAAGTATATTCAACAATTCTTCCAGCTTAGTATTATTTTCTTTGCTAACACATTTATATCTTAAAAATAATCTTAGCAACGACTTGAATTTAAAAAACAAAGTATGGGGGTAGTAAACAGGACCATTAACAATCTTTATATTTATAAATTGCATATTGCGCATAATTTAAAATAATGTTCAGAAGTGAATATTTCTTGTTTCCAATATCCTTACCTACAACTATTATCTTCTGGTCTATTTGTATTTCTATTTGGAATAGATTAAATATCAAATTACATATTATTTTCCAAACAAAGTCACATCCTTGCACTATAACATAAAATGAAAAGTTGAGTCAACTTGTCCACAAGAGTTGCATAAATTATTATTAACAATTTGCCATTTATATAAGTTTTCTTTCGAGACAATAAACTATGAATCATCTTGAAATTAAATTGTTTAACTTTATTATTACGAATTTGCTTTAATTTAAATAAAATATATCCTTCCAAACAAAGTCATTATCCAAATCTAAAAAGAAATTCCGAAAGTAAATGATATTGGGTTCTCCCCACCCCTAATTTATATCAACTGTGTGACAATCATACCATTAATGCAGTCATGCAATGTGACTTTTTAAATTTATGAACAAACACTTTAAGTCTCTGATCTGATATCATTGTGAGATTCAAGATTATTAACTTTGGAGTAATCCATGTGTTATTTTAAAAACTATATTTGTATCCATGCATTGCATTTAACATTACCTTCTTCCATCAAAAGACAAGGTGGAGATCTGGTAAAGGTGAAGAAAAAAAAAGTTATGACCCTCTTCAATTATCTCTTTCTGATAGTGTGGAATATATCATGATAGAAATGCCCCATAGCTGAAATGGAATACTCTTTGAATGCCCTCAAAATCAAAATGTGACAAGAAATAGCTGAAATGTTTGGACCAAGTCTTATACCATATGGCCCGAATTCACAAAGCAAGGTTTGAGCTCAGACCAAGGTTTGAGCTCAAACCTTCTTTTGTTTCGCCAAACCTCCTTTTGTTCTTTACAAACCAGGTTTGTAAAAAATGCGTAAAACGCGTCATATGACGTACGAAAACCTTGGTCTGAGCTCAAACCTCCTTTGTGAATTCGGGCCTATGTGTATAATGTGTGTAGTCAGTAGTGCTTTCAATGTTTAGCAAGACCGAGTCAATTACTTATAATTTTTATGATTCAAAACTTCACAGTATACAAATCAGCCTTTTCCAATTCCTTCAAGTCCAGACAACTTCTAACTTTCTAATACGATGTAATTGAACAGGATGTCCAGAACCCAACTTCATTTTTAAGGAAAGAATGTGTACATAATCCAATCAAGAATCACATTCTAAACTAAGAAAAAGTGACTAGCACGTACTTGCTAGTGGATACACTTATGAAGGTAGGCATATACAGAAGCTAACTCTGACTAGTTAGAGCGGTTTTAAGTTAACTATTTAAAAAAATCTTTCCTTTTATGTTTTTTAATGGTGTACCATTGGAAATTTGGAATATATAAAGCTTTATGGGTATGATTCAATTTCTAAAAATACATAATTTTCTGTATTGATTCCCTTTAAACACACCCAAACTGATCAAAATTACAGTTATGTTTACTTTGGTCAAAAATCAAAATGTATATGCATGTACTCGCAAGATTTTTAAACTGTTGGGTCTTTCCATATTTCATCGTTAACTCTTTACAGGTCATTTGTATGTTAAAATGGTCATATCTAAAATATGTTTAATTTCTATGAAACACATTTGTATCACAATCAACTTTAATACATATTTACCTCTTCAATACTGATTGTGCTGCATCTACATCTTTGATTTTAAACTTTAAGTTGGTCCTGTAGATTTGATTGATCAATTAGTAAGGGTGTCTTTTCTTCACATTTTCAACATGATCTAGGGAAATCTTTTACATTCCTGGGCACTGTATACACCCCCTTCCCCCTCCCATATTTCATGTCTTCTCTAATGGCTGGTTTCCAGGTCTATCTTGTACTTGTTGCTATCTCAATTGCTATACTAGTTGGTAGTTTTCAAACATTATGCTTTGTGCCAGTATGATGTGCCAGTATGATGTGCCAAAGGGATAGAAAATAGAAATGTTACTATTCCCATGGATGAGCTTTACTGTAACTTTACTTTACTGTAACTTCAACTTGAAATGATATTGAAGCACCGTACAAGAAAAGATTATTTTACAAAATAATCCTTTCTTGTTTAATATCATTTATTGTCTTTTGTGTATTTTTTAACTCTAATTATGATTGCATTTTGAGACCAGAAGCTGTTACCCACTTCAAAAGTAAAACAATATAAAACATAAGAATGATCAGCAATGCTGTAAATGAAAAAGTACCGGTAAGTGTGTTGATGTAGTTTAATTTTTCAGAAAAATGGATACTCAACTTGTTGAATAACCAGAAAAATTCAAATTAAAGGTGACTGACAAGTATGATCCTGTGTGCTTTTATCGGCTCGCAAACATTTGAACATACTCAAATATTAGACCAACCCTCCCACGGCAGCCATTTATTTCCATACATAGGTTATCCTCAATACTGAATTTTGATTCATTTGCAAACAATCATTACAGCTCAAAATTGTGATAAAAATTCTTGTAAAACTGGTTCACATGCTTGCAACATTGAACTACAAAATAATTTGAAAAAGGTCATTTTGGGGAAAACATCAAACAATTCAAATTGAAAATTAATGGCAGCTATATCCATTTGAATGTTCATGTACACTACTTTCTCCCATTTCTTTACATCATTTTGCTCATTTTTTCGTTTGTTGCATAACTTCACCTGGGTTACACTATGACAGTGGTTGACCCCTCATTTTAAATTATTTTAAAAGCACTTCCAGATAAAACAAAAATTGATATCATTAACAATTAACATACATGTAACTCTACAACTTCATGAAACTGTTTAGTATCAATAATTTTTATTTTGAAAATAAAAAACACTCAAATATATGGAGCCGTATTCTAAAAACGAAAAGATATTTTGTAAGGAAAATTATATTAATTGTCATAACAAACACAAATTGCGCGAAACTAACAGGGTACTGCACTGCAGTGTTACAATTGATGCTTCCGCAAGGATCCGGGTTTACTCGGACCCGGGAACAACTCAGCCCGCTACAAAAACGGTCATTTTTTAATCATTTTACCCTGACCGTTTGTGCAGCGGGGCCGGGTTGTCCCTGGGTCCGGGCCGAGTTAGCCAGAATTCTTCAGCAGATGTGTCCATCAAATTTACATGAACGCATCCTGCTTTGCACGGACATCAACCAATGTACTGTCCTGCATGAGCTTGATTACTTTTCGTTCTCAGAATACCACCCCAGAGGATTTTGTTTGAATGTTTGTTTTTATTGTCTTTTATAAAAAATACCCATGGATCGAGCTGGGTGAGGTACCTTTTTGGACTTGATTTGGTTTTACTTGAATGTCTTTTGCCTGCTACGAATGGTATGGTGGGGACAGCATCTGGTCTCAACCTCTTCCTGGGTTCGTAGCCCATGATTTTTGCTCTTATGTCCTCTTCAAAACACTCCGGTTCAAAGTGATCCTCGCATACAACTGATCTGGATTTGTTGTGTATGCATTCATAAGTTTCTATCTTGAACTTTTGTGATCCCAAAATACAGAGCCATTTTTCACATCTGTTCCTCTCCTTTCGAGGATCAGGTATTGAGAACATACTCTTCTTGAGCACACGACTAGAGCTACTTCGAGTTGGGCATCCTTTCACTTGACACGCAACCATGTTGCCTTCAGTCTTCAGTTTAGTTCGCTCTTCTCGATCCCAACTTGCAAAGGGGCCGTACGGATAAGGTAGAGAGAGGCAAGGGAGATTGCACGGAAAATAGCGCCAAGCTTGCCCACAACCTCAGGCTTAGCTGACGCGGCTTCCTGCTCCTGGTGACGGTCGGCCACCTACTATAGCGCCAGTAAATCCGATCCCAGAAGAATTACGCTGGTAATTATTCACACCTACTATTTATTCCATATGCCAGTCTGGTACAGGTGTTATTATTTCATAAAAACAGTCGATACAACTCTGGCAATAACCAGGATGAGGGCAAAATTCAAGGTCAGCTCAGTTTGTTCTAAAATCCGTATATGACGTCACAGTACAGCTAGCTAAAGTGACCGACTAGCTATATACAGCTGGCAGTGCTGTAGTAGTGAATACAGTAATCTCCATAATCATATCACGACGAAACTTGGGAAAATGTATTACAGAAAATTGATTAACTCTGATATGGAAAAAAGTAGGAAAATAATTAAAGAAACAGTCTGAGAGAAATTCCATGAAATAAGAATTTTATAAACAATAAGAAAGTTATTAATTGCATTGCCAATATTAGTTATAACATTAAAACTCTAATCGGCAATGCGGTCATGATGTTAAGATTTTCTTCCAGGACGAGGGGTCTGTTCTATCATAGAACGGAATTTTAATAAAAAAGATTTATGATGGCCATGCATGCAGGGGGATTCTGGGATTTCATAAATCTTTCTCTACCCCCCCCCTTCCAACATGCATCCTGGAATCCAACCCATGCTTCAAGCATCACAGACTCTGCCCCGACCCCCCCCCCCCCCCCCCCCCCCCCGCACCCTTTTAACTTTATTTCTCTGCATTATACCTCTTTCTTAAAATCTCCTCTTCTTCCCTCCGGTCCTTAAATTTTTTCATCGTTTACCAGCTTGCCAACTTGATGTATACTACCAGCATCAAAGTCAGGGAGGGGGTTGCCCTATTCATCTCCCTCTCTCTCTCACCATTCCAATTAATGAAGCTGAATGTTAATCATATGCTACCATCATATTGGTTTTCATTGGGAAATTTAGGACACAATCATATCGCAATCTTCTCTCCTACAGTCACTATACTACTTGCCCATTTTTCATACAATTTCTTTTCTATTCTAATTCCTTCCTTCTCTTCACATCTCTCTCTCTCTCTCTCTCTCCCTAGCTCTCGATCTTTTCAGACCTCTTAATTCTCTCTCTCTCTCTCTCTCTCTCACCCTAGCTCTCGATCTCTTCAGACCTCTTAATTCTCTCTCTCTCTCTTCCTCTCCAACCTTAATTTATTTTTCAACTGTGTGACAATCATACCATTAATGCAGAACAAACATCATAATTATCTAATATCATTGTGAATTCAAGATATTTAGTCTTGGTATAATCCATATGTTAAAAACTATATTTTGTATCCATGCATTGCATTTAACATTGCCCTCTTCCATCCAAATACAAGGTGGAGTTCTGGTAAAGGTGAAGAAAAAAAGGTTATGAGCCTCTTCAATATCTTTCTGATAGTGAAGAATATCATGATAGAAATGCACCATAGCTGAAATCGAATACTCTTTGAATGCTGTCATATTCGAAATGTGACAAAAAATAGCTGAAATGTTTGGACCAAAGTCTTACGGTATGCCATATGTGTATAATGTGTGGAGTGCTCTCAAGTCTTAGCAAGACTGAGTCAATTTCTTATAATTTTTATGATTCAAAACTTCACAGTATAAAAATCAGCCTTTTCCAATTCCTTCAAGTCCAGACAGCTTCTAACTTTCTATCACAATGTATTTGGACAGGATGCTCAGAAGTCAAAACTTAACTTTATTTTTAATTTAAGAAATGTGAACATAGTCAAACCAAGAATTGCATTCTAAAATAAGGTAAAATTATAAGTGACAAGCAAGTAGACTAGTGGATACACTCACATGAAGGTAGGCATGTACAGAACCTAACTCTGACTTCGTTCTGTCAGAGCTTTGAATTAAAATCACTTTTTTCCTTCTTTGTCTTTTATGGTTTTTGATGGTGTACTAGTACCATTGGAAATATATAATACAGGGTTTCATAAAGTTTTACGGGTATGATTCAATGTCTTCTAACAATATGAAAATGTCTTTGTTGATTCCGTTTAAACACGACCAAAACTGATCATAATTACAGTTATGTTTACATTGGTCAACATATACTCAGATTTTAAGCAGTTGGGTCTTTCCATATTATATTATTTACAGCTCATTTTCATGTGTGTTAAAAAGTTCATGATTAAAATATTTTTAATTTCTATGAAAACATCTGTATCACAATTGACTTTTATAAATATTCATCTTGTCAATACTGATTGTGCTGCATCTATATCTTTGCTTTTAAACTTTAAGTTGCTCATGTTTTCTCAAGATCTTGGGAAATCTACTCCAATATTCGGTACAGTTTACGTTTTTCTCTCCATATTTTGTGTTTTCTCCAATGGCTGACACTGTTCTTCCAAATGAGAAACCATTGCTCTTAGGTGTCTATTCTCTGTGATGAGTTCTTTAACTTTCTCTGAAAGAGCAGCATTCTCTTGTCTTGAATGTTGCATATGTATTTCCAATCTATCAAGGTATTTCCATGATTTTGCTCTCTGCTTCTTTGCCAGTGCCATATCCTTTCGTAACAATCGCAAACTTCTGTCCACTCCTCTCTCCCTACTGTCCCTACGTGTTTCATGTTGCTTTACATATGTCCTCTTTCTAGTAAGTTGGAATTTTTCCTCTTGCAAAAATCTTAGGTCCTTTTCTTCCTCTTTGTTTCTTGGTTGCATATTGTCTCTTCTTTCCACTAGCCTCTCTATGAATGCACCAATACTCCAATCACTAGCTTGTGGGCAGTCTGCAAGTCTTTTCAAAGTTTCAACCAAACGTTTGGGATTACACATCTGCATTGTATTGAAATAATCATAGATTTCAAGCACAAGTCCATTCTTGACCGTTGGCAGTGATGATACGTTCTGGAGATTTGACATAATATCTGCTTCAGATATTCCTGCTTCTCGGCAGTATGGTCCAATTTCTGATAAAAGACATGAAAGAAAGTTTTTTTAAAATGTAAAAAGCAACACAAAAACAAAAATCTAATCTAAAAACAAACAACATAACTATTGCTAATTGATAGCTGAAAAAAATGAAAATACAATAAATTTGAAAGTGAGACTTGGGTCTTTACAAGAAGGTATGGAAAGTGACCCACGATATACTACATCACCTTAGTGCCAAGAAACATTGCACTATAATGTGATTTATCATTTTGCCTATACTATATAATTGTTGTACTTCTGACAAAGAATGAGTACCGTAAGCAAGGTTAGGAAAATAAGTCTTCAATCACTATTTACAAACAAATATACATTAGGAGACCTCCTTATGATTAAGCACAATTCTAATTATAAGATATAAAGTCATTTTCTACATAAAAGTTATGCTTGCCATAATCCATCTCCTGTAATCTTCTGCATTGTGAGGTAATGTCCGTTAACAGACTGACACCCGTAGGACGTGTAAGCGAATCTTCATCACTCTTCAGTTCCAAGTCAGGATTTGGTTCATCTTCATCCTCTTCTTCCTCGTCATTCAATGGAAGACGTGATGGAAAGAGAGGAGGAATAGAGAACTCCTCAAATGATGTCTCTTCTATATCAAAATGACAGGGTGAGGCAAAGATTAAGTTGATAATTTATATATAGAGGACCTTAGTAAGTCCACATCTGAATTCTCACATTCTGAGGCTTAATACAGCTATTTCTTCTAAGAAAAATGGATAAAGTCCTATACAAAATTAATAGTACAGCTTGTATAGGTAATATTAGGTATGTACACTAAAATGGCTTTACCAAGCATTCTATGGGTTCAGAGTAAATAAATATGCAGAAGATAAAGGATGACTTTTAAAAATCCTGTTAAAAACAAAGGTGCACATGGAGCTTAAGTCATACTTAAGAATTTTTGAGTTTATTCTATAATGATTAAATGTTCGAAACAACACTAATAGATATATAGCTGTATGCTATTTAAGAAATGTCATTAGCACAAGATAGAAGTCTAGCCATACTATAAAACATACACCTGCCAGCATGTACTCACAGACCAACTCCAAACACTTACATGTACATTAACTTCTTTCATATAAAGTATGAATGTTTAATAAGATAAAATAATAAACTAGCTCAAAGATGTTGTTACCTTTCATATCTTCAGCGTAATCTTCATCTTTTGCATACTCTGGTGTCACTAATTTCTGCTTCTTTCTGTAACTATGCAGAAGGGATAAAGTAATGTACAAATGTCAATACCATTATCAAAAATATATAATTAAAAACAAAAACTTTGCTTACCCAAGATGGAGAGAAAAAATAGGGGAGTGTTCTGAAAGCTCACTATTTTTTAGTTTTTAACTTTTAAGCAATATTAAGTTCTTCTGTCACGTGACAAGAACTAAATCTAAACAAAATCAAAATAAATCTGCAGTTGTTGCACACTGATTACTCAAGACAAGACAAATAGATAAATCTCAATCAGCCATACAATGTTTGGAGTAACCATGACCAGCTCCCTGCAGTCTGTTGTAACTTCTTGTAGGTCAAGATGCTGCATCCCCTGAATGCCCAGTACCCTGTCTCTACCTGGCTCTGCCTATCATTGATTACTGGTATAAAGTGATCTATGGTGGCTCAGCCCCGTACGATTTCAAGGTAAAATCACAGTGGTATATAACAAATTAGATAATATTAATAATCATAATCAGATCAGACTATTATTACTACTCATATCATTATAATTAATTTGACCATGCTTAAATTTTCTTTGTCAGCATAAATGATGACAAAGTGCTATCTGACAACAGCCCTATATAATTGTTTTGAAAACACTGAGTTAATCTTATTCTCTCACCTCCTCTCTGATCCAGCTAATCCCACTCCAATCTGTTGTATTTTCAGGGAACATTCCTTGTGATGTTCATACCTGAATTAATTAAAGTTGGAAAAATGAAAACTAACAATAATACAAGTATCAAAAACTAAAACAACAAAATTGTATGTGACTTCTACAAATCGTAGACTTCAAGGCAAAAAAAAGGTGATCACCCTATTACGCCAGGAGCTTTTCCCAAAATAGTCACCCTATTTAACCCATATGATGTCATCCTGACCGTAGCCATCAGGTTTGGCTCTCATTTAAGGCCCCAGAGCCCCCAAAACAACCCCCAAAGTCAGGCCGATTCCACCCCCATCTACCCCATACACCAAACGTTGTCAGTAGGAATTAATATGACTACCAGTACATTTTAGCGCACACAAAACTGACAACATTTTCATCAGGATAGGTTGTTTTAGAAATTAAATTTCTCATATACATAAAAAGCTGTCTGTTTGGAGGATCTTTTAAACATCTTTTGATGGATTCAGTGGAAGAAGGAAACAGTACAGCTGTACATGCAATTTGTAAAATGACAAAATTGTCTCACAAAGCAGATGTAACACTCCCCTGCAATGTGCCCTTAGACAAAGCTTTGCTGCCCCAAAATACTCTGGATGTAAAAAGGAAAAGCATTTTCTACAGACCAAGATAAATAAAAAAAAAAGTGTTCAATCTAATTCACTTCATTCTTACATTCGGTTGGCAATCTTGAATATTATAATTTACTTGGGGTGGGATTTGGTGTCAAATAACTATTCAATAAGTATTATTAAATTGGCAACATTTTATTACTTTCAGTTTCTCAAGACAAAAGTAGTCTACTCTAAAGTCCATTGTCATTTTGGGGTCAGGATTTTGTAAACAATATGAAACACATTAGTGCTAAAACACTGCTAATCGATGCATAGTTGCATACTTTTCTATAATTATAAATACCAAGGCAAAAGTTACAGCTTTATTAATAATAAGCCTCCAGGCTCCATACACACTAAAAACCCAATCATATTATTATTAATCATACCGTCTTGTAAAACAGTAGTGAAAGCCACTCCAGCAAATCATATATGATCAATGCTAATTTTCAGTCCCGATATCAACAGTGTTCTGCTGCACTACATCATGCTCCACCGACTAGATGATATTATCATAATAATGGAGTCTAAAGCACTATCACCCATCCCGTATCAGATAACTTTTCGCATCGGGTCTAAACTAAGGTAGACCGAAAATTTCCGTCTCTTTCGTTCGTTAGCCTCTGAATAGGGTAGGGTTGGCTTTTTCGGTCTAAAACTAAGGATACTCAACTGCACTATGAGTATGACCACCTCTATGGTAAATATAAAGTTTATTAATGACCCCCCCCCCCCCCCCCCCCCCCCGTAGCAGTTGGTTCTGTCTATTCATTAAACAGGTGAAGATGGTGCAATGTAATGATGGGTGTGTTAATGATTGTCTCCTCAGAGTTAGACCTTACGTTGTCAGCAGTAGAACAGCTACCTCGTCATTAGTAGTAAGGGAAAGCGCTTCCCGAAGACTGCCCCATTGGTCAAAAGTTTCTTTCTGTACATCCAGTCGACGTCTGTCTCTCAACTTAATAGCATTTTCCTGTCTGTACCTTTTTTGATATTCTAATCTGCCGGACTTCGTTTGTTTTTCCCTCTTCGACTTCCGCGTCCGCTTCAGCTTCAGCTTCACAGGGCTCTCAGTCTCATCGTCCATCGTAAAATGAAAAGTTAGTGTGCTTACGAGTTTTCTTTTTGTAGGACGACTAGTGTGCGCGATCACGCGTAGTCTTTTTATGCAGTTTTCTTTACGTTAGAAAAACAACATTTAGTAACTAGATGTCGTTCTGGCCAATAACCCACTGGGTACCCCCGCCCAAACCAGCGGGACAATTACCCTCAAGGACAATTACCCCAAGGACAACTCCCCCCCCCACCAGAAAATACAATATAGCCCCCCCCCTCCATAATTGGACAATTACCCCCGTAAAATTACCTCATAGCCATAGGTCAATTACCCCAATGTGTGTGTGTGTGTGGTGTAATTGGTAATTGTTGTATAGGGGGTAATTGTCCATAGGGAGCAATAGGAAGCAATTGTCCTATAATTATGGGCCGGTAATTATCCTCGATGTGGTTGTCCTTAGCCACGGTACTTGTGCATGGGTTATTAGAGGTAAAATGGATGAGTCAATTTCGAGGTCAAAGAAAAACATATTTTTTTATAATTTTATCATTTATTTTATTTATTCAGTGAATTTTGGCCAGCTAGGGTCCATGTTAAAACTGATATGGAAACAAGATAGCTAAAGCTTCGACTTTTTCCCTGTAACTTAATTCTTTCGATATCATTCAAACAAGTTATCTTCTTACATGACATACTAGATCATGTACCCAGTGGCAGATCCAGGGGGGGGCGGGGCCCTCCAAAAAAACTGATTTCAAATTTTGGCCCCCTGCTAAGAAATCCTGGATCTGTGCCTGCATGTACCCCTATAACTATAACCTTTGAACTTCAAACTCATTTGACTTCAAAACATGATTAAGATTATTGTTGCATACAATCACAACAAATAAGTTTTAACTACTATATTATGAAATTTATGATGATCTATGGCCATAACGTTATGCACGGTTCTACTGAGAAGTTGTGAGTGGAACTCACTGCTCAAGCCCCCCCCCCCCATAAAAAAACAATAACAAACAAACAAACAAAAATAATGAAAAATAAAATATGTGGATCGAGCATAGCTCTGATACAAGGTTATGATAGTCAAAGACGCTTTAGCTATGATTAGATTAAAAAATCATGAGATAGATACAGGCGCGTACGCAGGGGGGAGGGTGTTTAGGGGGTTAACCCCCCCCCCCCTTTGGTATTTTTATGTATGTAAACCCCCTAAAAAATCCCTAAAAACCCCCCTTTGTTTTTTTTTTTTTTTTTTTTTTTTTTTAATTATTAAAAAAAAAAATCAAAAAAAAAATCAAAAAAAATCACCCCCATGGCTGACCTAAGAAAAGTGACCTTACCCCCCCCCAACGGAGCAAAATGTCAATTTTTCAAATTTTGAGACAAAAAAAAAGTGTCCCCTTACCCCCCCCTTCACTGAGCGACTTTTCGGCTGGCTGAGTCGTTGCGATTTTTTTTGGACTCCCAAAAAAAAAAAAAAAAGGGTGCGCTTACCCCCCCCCCCCCCCCCCCCCCCCCCCCCCCCCCCCCCCCACTGAGCGACTTTTTGGCCGGCGCGATTTTCAAATTTTCCTGAGTCGTTTTTTGGACCCGATTTTAAACCCCCCCCCCCACCCCCCTTGAAAAAATCCTGCGTACGCCACTGGATAGATACAATGACCAAAACTAATTTGCGATTGTCCAAAGTGAAAGCATGCATCGGATATTATTATGGCGTTTTCCTAATTCTTTCCCCAAGTTATTTAGGCCCTATAGCTATACCGTAGGTACCACTGATGCGGTGGGCCCTACATACATGAAACATTATACATGTTGTATATCGCTCTCTTTTCCCTACTTTTCATCAAAATGTTTATTTTCAAGCAATTAAAATTGCGTTGTTCTTTTAAATTTATTTAAAAACATAGATCTAGCTCGTTTCAAGCAGCAAATTAACAAAACTATAAAAAGACTACCGTAAAATTGACATGCATGGTGAGGCATCATACTCGCCTCTTGTCGTCCTACGAAACACAAACCATTCTCTGTGCGAGATTTTTTCTTGTACCATTGAGCTCCCCTCAAACTCGAAGGTCGCTCAATTTTCAAGATCCAGCTAGGCCTCGCCCTAGCTTGTTTGTTGAGGTCAATATGGCCAATATCTTACACAGATCATTTGTTTGCTGTAATAGCTTGGTAAGTTTTTTTTATTTTGTGAGGAGGAATATCTTAAATTTGCCGTGATAATGTCAGCAGTCGAGAGTCTAAAATCAACCCAACGTTACAACTTACACGAAAGACAATGTATGGGACAACAACTCGTATCATGCGGCATTTCTCGGTCGTTCAGGGCCAGGCAGAGCTCCGCCTGTGGCAGCGGCGGCGGAGCTCGCTGGAATAGGGTCGTTTCCGTCGTTACCTTACGTGCCTGCCTGCCTGGCAGCGCTCGCCTAGCTAACTCAGACTCGCCCACCGTTGCTAAAATTTGTTTGACTTATGTTTTTCTTATTTGAAATTTAATTTTCAGGTTAACCACACGAGGCAAACCCGACTTTAGTGCCCAGCTGAAAATCTCAGTTTATTATGGATTTAATATCAATAATATTAATTATGCTAATATATGCAAATATAAACATAGGGTCTACCAAAACTTGATGATTTTTAATCATTTGACGTCATAAAAAGCAATTTTAAGCCAAAAATAGCAGCGAAGTAGGGGATCTCCTCTTTGCTTGATGCGAGATACTAGCGAACTGAAATAACCGAATAAAAACTATGGTGAACTAAAAAAAGAAAAGAAAAATTAAAATAACCCTTAAATTTGGCGCCCCCATCAGGAAGGGGGGGGGGGTGTCATCTCTTCAAACCCCCAATGTTTCGTGCATATCTGGTGAGAAAGAAAGAAGAAGCAGAATAAAGAAAAGAGCCACCCCGGAAAAAAATTAGAAAAATGATTACAAAGAAAAATAAGTAAATAATAAATTTAGCCCCCCCCCCCAAGGCCAGTTGCCCTTTTACCCCAAATTTGGCGACCATTGAGCACCCCCCCCCCCCCCCATCCCACCCCAACCTGCCCCTATCATGTGCGCATATCGGAAGAAAAAATTAATAAACATTTCAAAGGTAATTTCAGAGGTGGTTTGATTTTTTTCTTTTCTTTTTTTAGTTCACCATAGTTTTTATTCGGTTATTTCAGTTCGCTAGTATCTCGCATCAAGCAAAGAGGAGATCCCCTACTTCGCTGCTATTTTTGGCTTAAAATTGCTTTTTATGACGTCAAATGATTAAAAATCATCAAGTTTTGGTATGTTTATATTTGCATATATTAGCATAATTAATATTATTGATATTAAATCCATAATAAACTGAGATTTTCAGCTGGGCACTAAAGTCCGGGTTTGCCCCACACGACACATATGATAACCAAGATTGGCAAGAAGTTTGCTTAAACTAGTTAAAGACCAGTGATAGTACGAGTGAGTTATGGTAGGGAGGCGTAGGTCTAACAAAGTTAGAGTCTACACCTCAATTAGGAAAAATGAGCCAGGAATAACCAAATTCAACTTTAAACAAATGGCAGAGCTTTGTTTACTGTGAATCTTGTTTACATTTCATTTCATTTCAAGAACATTGACCTCTGATAGGGGTCTGTGATGTTGATCCTGCCTGGAATCTACATAGATCTAGAGTCTAGATCTAGGTCTAATCTACATTTTTGTAGATTGTATGTTGTTTTTTTAGCCAAAGGAGTGTCCCTGAATTCAGTAACGTTCACAACATAAGTTGATGTACAATACGTAAAGTTTTCCTCAATGACTTGGGGTGGAAAAGCCTTTGGTTAGTATGTAATTTCACACTATTGCTATACAAAGCTCTCTTTCCACGTATTGATTTTTCCATTTTCTGTAGGTCGGGCAGTTAAGATCTCAGATAACCCATCAGACTCTGCTGAGCACATCCATAGTTGCCACCAACCAACCATGTAGGAACAAAACCACACAAACAATCCACAAGGCTCGGAAGAAGGCCAGGCTGACTCTCAAAGACCAGGAGCGAATGAGAAAATCAGAGGAGTACAAGAACGATCGACGCAAGTACATCCTCGATACCCTAAGAAACGCAGGTATCAGGCCTGGACAACAGTATCAAGAGAGGGCAATCACCATCACCTGCACTGGTGAGTTTGGGTTATTCTAAAGTTAACTTGAAGTGGGACTAGTGCACTACTTGTAGCTACTTGCGCCCTCTACACAGCCAACAATGCCTAAGCGAAACGTGTTGATCCCCCATGGTTCCCTTTTTTTAATGTTAATTGAGAGTTGATTTGATGAGATTAATCACCTGCCAGGCTGCCAGTGATCATGCAGGGATGTTTAATCCCTCCTGGCCAATCTAGTGCAGATAGCCTTTAATTGACAAACCGAAATTTGACACTGGTTTAAATCATTACTCGGTCAGTTCACATCTGACAAAAAAGGAGTTGTTTGTGTTGAATTTAGAAATCATGAAGATTGTCATGGTTTTAAGCATGATCCAGAAGTGTAAAATTGAAATTTCTGTATCATAATATGATAATTTCAGTTGTATTTTCATCATTGCAATGACTTTATTGTAAAAGATGCTATCACGACTGAAGGCAGAAATAATATTTCCTCCTGTAATTTCTTTGAACCTTTGAGCTGTGAGTCTCTTGTTATTTCTGGATCATATTAATCTTTTTTGGCATGTATCTTTTTCAAAGGCCCACTGCACTACTTGTAGCTACTTGCGCCCTCTATATAACAAACAATGCTTAATCGGTGACCATTGGTCCCCCATGATCCTCTTTTTCTTATGTTAACTAAGAGCTGAGTTGATGAAATAATCACCTGTCCAGTGACCTTGTAGGATGGTCTAATCCCTCCTGTAAACTATGGCAGATAAGCTTTAACAATATGTTTCTGTTATTCTATTCTTCAGGTGATTTCTTTGAACCCTATATCCCACCAGAAGGAGATGGAAAAGCATCGTCTCTAACCACAGAGGTAATATCACAATTTTTCATCAAAGCACAGGCCTTTCTAAGAAGAGTTTCACCTTCTTGGGTTGTGTGTCTGTTCATGAGTTTGCCACAAATAAAATTGAGTAAAGCAACAGTAATGATGTTATTAACATTGATAATAGTAACAATACATTTTATAGCAATTACCGCTATATGAAACCAGGTATGAGGTTGATACCAATTTCAGTTATCTTATCTTTTCCAATAGAGTAATCCTGTAAATTGTGAACAAAGTGACTTCTCTTAATAATATCATTGGAATGTGTGAATTTTAAGATTAATTGTATAGTGATAATTTGTAATACATGAAGTACATACTTTGCACCCTCTAGAAGTTTTCTGTGACCAAGCTATTTTTCATACCTTTGTATTTGAACTGATCTTACACTCCCAGGGTGCTAAGCAACGTCTTGAGAGAGTCAAGAATGTAGGTGTCACGCAAATGGCCCAGAGGAAAATTAGGCAATTTGAACCAGAGTTTACGACGACAGACTTTGCCTGGAAAGCCCAGCAGATCTATGTTGATGCTCACAATGCTCTCCAGGAGTAAGTATTCTTTGAGGATATTTTGTTTTGCTTTGCCTGAGGTTAATACAACAGTTTTTGAACGAGACTATACTAGGTGACAACAATAGTGTATGTAAAATTATGATTTCTAATTACACACTGCCAATATTTGTAATTAGATACTGTTGCATATGTAGCTGCCATTTAGTACATCTACACACTGCTAAAATTAAAACAATGTCTTTTGGATTTTGGACACAGAAGTCTGGGAACGGTGTTGACTTGCTATGAAGCATTGATAAACCTTCTAGTATGAATACAAAAATACTTCTAAATGGAATTAATAAGGTTGCATATAAGATTGTGTTATGGGATCCACTAAAAATTAGCATTGTTTGTAAAAAAAAATAATATCGATAAGGCAGAAGAAAAAGGATAATGCTCGCAGAAGTCATCAATAACAAGAGTATTAACACTTTGTTCATTTTTTAAAGTTCTCTTTAAAAAAAAAATCTAATTCATAGTTTTGTATAAAAATATCTCCTTTGCCTCCATTATTTTTCAGTTTTGACAGACATCTACTGCATTCACTAGTCACAGAAAAGTGTTATCCCGTAAGTACATATTTTGATTTCTATTAATATGCTAAGTCTCTAAATATTGATTATCTTTGTCCTTAGTGCTTGTCAGAAAAAGAGGAAAAAATAGTACCCAAATTATATACTGATTGTAGTAAAAAATAAATTGCCCATCTTACCTCCTGTATCTTGTGTAAGGAATACAGTCATTCATCATAATTGAATACAGAGAGTGCAAAAGCAGTGTGTTTACCATTATGAAGACTGGATGAGAATTCTTATCTTGGATTAGGATACTGATGTTATTGCATCATTCAAATATGATTTGTTTTTGGTCTCATTTTCACAAACATATTCTCCCTCATTTCTAATAGTTCCAATATCATGGGGTAATGTCATTTATTTTTTATTTTTGAGATAACAACAATATGCCATTCTTGTACAGGACATATCACATTATAAAACAATGTCTCTGTTTGTCTCCACGCACTTCCAAACGACTTTACAAGTGATTACCTCAGCTTAGCTCTGGCAACCATAGTGCTGAGTGCATTTATGGAAAAAAGTCTACAAGGTACCCACTTACTACCCCTGGGTCGAGTGTGGCAAGTGTAGACTAATGTCTTACCAAGTCCTGCCGTAGGGATTTGAAGCCTGTACTTTGTGGTTCACATTCCATAGACTTGTTTACTAAACCATTATTAAGGATGTAGCTCATTAAAGAATTTTTCTTAAATTACAGGAGATGATAGCTGGTTTCCGTTACAAGACAATAAGATGGAAGATGCTGGAATCCATTGAGAAACCTCGTATTGTACACATGAGATGTACAGACATGATTAACAAAGGCAACATTTATGGGCAGGTCACTGTGCGCTTTCATACAAGACAGGTAAGGGGAAAAAGGGATTCAGCAAGGATATTGTTATTTCTTTTTTTATGTAATTGTTTAGAGCTTCGGTGAACAAATGGACAACAAAGAAAATTTCCTCTGCAGATTGTATTGTCTTGATCAAAAGACAATTATGAACTGATCTGAGTCTTAATTAAAAGAGTGTATGTTAATTAATTTTCATTGAGCAATTATGTCACATTTTAATGATAGCTCTTCATTATTCTGCCCTTTTCAAGATTTATGCACAGATGAAGAATTGAACAGAGTTTTGATCATTTATGCAATTTAAGTCAATTTTCATTTCAAAAGGTTGCCTATTTATTCATTTTGTATAAAATCATCATTGCTAATCCAATCACCACTGAGTCTTACAAGTCTCCTGACTTCTCAACTACACTGCATTTTCCCCTTCACAGACACTGGCAATCTACGACCGATTTGGTCGCATCATGGTCGGTAGCGAAGATGTACTCAAGGATGTCCTGGAGTACGTAGTCTTTGAGAAACATCTACCTCATCGGTATGGAACCTGGAGGATGCATGGTAAGATAGTCCCAGAATGGGCAGACCACAGGGAACCGGTAGTCAGGACTATGGTCTTGCCTGAGGAGATGGAGGAGGAGGAGGAGATAGAGGAGGAGGAAGGAGAGGTGATGGAGCAAGGAAGTAGTGAGAAAGGACATGTGGAACACCAAACGAACTGATTAACAAATGAATAACTTTCTATCTAGTAGTTTTGATGGACAGTGTGTGGAGGATAAGGACAAGCAAGTAATAAAGATCCTCAAGCCAGCTGCTTTTGTGGTGATTGATAAGGACGTTGCATCATGGTATCATTCTTTCATGATGCTGCAGAAATGGCTTTATTTGAAGATAAGATAGCATTCTGTTTGAAATGTAGGTCAGGAATGATGAAGCTCAAAGACACTATCCTAACAAGGTGATCAGTAATTTGGATTGCTTATGTATTTATTTTATTACTGCATCACAAAATCATGCAGTATTCTAACGAAAGGTAAAGGGGTACATGATGGGTTTTTCAATAAATACATACATATTTGCAAGAGCAGAGTAGAGAAACAGCTGGAAGAAAACTGTAAAAACTGTGCTTCAAGTTTGGTACAGTTTGTTATCATGTTTTGAATAAACAGCAAATTGGAATAAATTAGTAGCAAAAATGTAGTAAAAAGAATGAGAAATCATTAACAGAAATTGCTACTCATTTTGATATAGATTAATAAAATGAAATCAATACCTAAATCCAAATTAACATATGTTTCTGTGAAGGAGAAGTAACATCATAGAACATCTGAGATGAAGGAATGATGAGATGAAAGGGAATGGAGAAAGAGAGATTACTGGAGTAATAAGTAGGTATTAAGTAAAAAGGACAAAGAAAAGTTCAAGCAAGATAAATTGGAAGTGCAGAACCAAGATTGTAGCATGCAGAGGGGATATAATTTAAAGAAGATAGTTATATATATCAGCTATAAAGCTATGGGCTATAGAGCTGTACAAAATAGCATGATGATAGAAAGTATTTAAAGAATGGGAAGCAAGGAATCAAAAGGAAAGGAAGGAGAAATAACATACCACTGATGTATGATAAGCATTAAAACATGCTCCCTCTCCTTTCTACCCTATTCCCACAGCACGTATCCAATAATACCTTTATTTTGTGCCCATCCCCTCTAATTTGAAGACGCTCCCATTTGTGTACATTTCAAGACTTTTTCTTCGATATCCTGGATCAACTGTTAAAATATTGTGATATATGTACCCTTAGCCTTATTTCCAGTATTTTGGTACTTGGTTCTAGGACTTGGTTCATTAAAACAGTTGTATCAATCAATTATTTAAATTGTTCTAAACACTTATAATGAATGTCTATTTCTTATCTGTGAGACCGTGACATGTTTTTGCATGATATTTGGACATAATTATTAAATGATATGAAAGATAGCAAATCTTGTTCATGTTTTGTATTATTCATAGGAATCTATTTTATTTTGTTTTGACTTTTAACCTTAAAACTTATCTCTTGTAATTTACTTGTAGCATTCGTTTCCCCAAGCACAACATGAAACTGAAACATCATTTTTTTAAAGAGTGTCATATTTTTATTACAAATTATATAAAATCTGTTGACAATATATAAAGTATGAATAGAAAAATATCTCTGTCATTCATTCATATCTACATTATATTTGGGAACAAGATTATGTCAATGTCCTTATCCCGCTCTACATTTGTGCACAGACTGAAATTGGGATGTTTTGAAAATATACATTTATTTATCACATTCTGGGACTCCAATATTTTGTGTATGAACCACAAAACTATAAAGTTCACACATCAACACTAGTTAAAATTGTCATCTGTATGTCAAAGGACACAGGAAATGATACCATTTACATATTTATATGATCTATCTTGTATTATTTATGGTTGTAATTATCACATTTTAAAAGTTAACAATGTTTACAGTTTTTACAACGCATTAGTATCAATTCTTCGTCACCAGTATAGATCCCTAAACGATACAATTTTTATACACTAATTGTCATTGATATTCAACAGAAATACTTTGTGCTATTCTCTACTAACAGTTATTAACCTTCTGCCAACTGGATCTGGAGGGCTCACACATCGAGTGGTTAATGTCAATCTTCCGATAGCATATTTATGGGCAGGTTGTTTGTTCTTGATAGTCTTTGAAAGCAAGCCGCCATTCATCCATTTCTTGTTGCCAATCTGCAAAGTCCTCTTTCCATTCCTCTTCACCATCAGACAGGCTCTCTGTATATTACAAAATGAAAGCATTTTTTTGTAAAGGACAATTCGTGTAGAGAATAGCCAGGGCTCCACTTTGTTCTCATTAATACTACCTGTGACCTCCTCTAAATTTCCCCTGTTTTTTTATACCTTTTTATATCTTGACCTTACTGTCCATTTAGTACTACTTCTACTTCTACTCCTTCAAATTCTAGTCCCTCTATTGATGTGTTTAGTTCTTCTTCTGATAATATTCTAACAAAGTATTTGCCGTTTGATGTTCCCTTTACTCTTTCAAACTCTACTCCTCTTTTGATGTGTTTAGTTCTTCTTCTGATAATATTCTAACAAAATATTTGCTATTTGATGTTCCCTGTACAGTAAGTACGGTAAAGTCTAAAAGATAACAACTTATTATCTTCAATACCTAGGAACATTCTCAGCTCAGGAATATAGCGATTCCAGAAAGCCATGCCACAGGCTTGAACAGCTCTCTCGGTAATTGAATTATTCAGCCTGATCTCCAAGTAATTGAGTTCTGGGATAGTATAAGGTGACCAAACTGGTAGGTCCGGGTCAGGAGAGGAGTCGGGCGACTCACGGGTTGGGTTGCTGTAAGAAAATGAAATGAAAACCTGATTCATTTTGCAGGGGGGATACAGGATTGTCAGAGAGGGGGGAGGGAAAATTTTCACTGGAATATGATTTATTTTCAAAAGGGTTTTTTTTTACCCCAGAAAGGCTAGTTATTCAGAGGAATTTTTGCTCTCTAAAGAAGGGAAGGTCGGCCATTTTGACTCCTATAAGTTCTTGTACTTGAGACACAAACTTTTCTTGCTCTGGTTCCTCGTAAGCTAGAGAAATTTACAGTGTCAGTCGGGGGAAGAGAGAATTGTTATAAATATGTATATAAATGGGATTTTGCCGAGAAACGATCAGCCATTGAATCGGGGTGAATTGGCAATCAAACCTTACCACTTTCTTCATTTTAATGCGATGGTACAAGTATTGAACTAAAAAAAGCAGAACATATCCCATTTCCCAGGTCTCACCCAGATTTAGCGAAGTTGGTCCACATCTTCATCATCTGGGCTGAGAGCATCTTCTCATCGTCGGTCAACTCGTGTTTGTATTGTAAGATGTTTTCATCAAACGACCATCCAAAGACGAATTGGAACTCTTCTGTATGACCAGCTCCCAACCATGTGGGATTGACTGGACCAGCACGGGAGAAAGAACTGTGAGAAGAATTAGAAAATGGTGTAGTAATACATTCAAAGATCATCTAGTGTATTTTTATGCTTACCCCACAATATGTGGGGTTTTATTCAGTGTGGATGTTAACCTTTCATGCGTGTATCATTCTAGAATAAAAATGGTGATCAAATCTTTGTTAGGATATTATGCGAACAATAGATTATACATTATTGTTTTAATATTGACAAATATTAGTGCTGCCATTTAAAGTCGGGTCATCAGTGACATAATTTGTTTTCTTTAAATACAATCGTAAGAGGATGTAGTATAAAAGCCAACTGAAGTTTATTCAAATAAGCTGATAGGCCTATTTACCTGCTTGGAGTATGCGTAAAATAATACTGGTAGATGTTAGCGACGCCCAACTCGTAATAACGTCTCACAGAGGCATCACTGCCGCTTCGCCATATATAGTCACTGTAGAAGGGTACATAGGCATCAAAATAGTCCAAGTCATCATAGTCCACTCTGCTCCAGTCTACATACTCCTGATAGACAGATTCCCTGATGAGGGAATGCTTGTCAGAACCCAAGAGGGAACTATGGACCATGGTCTTGAACATGGAGCGATTGATGAAGGGACCTGTTTCTCTTGTGCTGTATTCAGGAAAGAAGGAGCGTATACTCGCAGTGCCTTCTTGGCTGTTGAATCCGGCCATGATGGCAGTAGGAAGGGGGATGCTGTCTTCTCCATAGAGGAGGTTATCTGGTGTGTCTTCAAGGAAGGTTCCATCCAAGCGAATGAAGTAACCTGATTGGTAGACCTAAATGAAAAGATGATATTAATTGTTTGATCGAATGATCATTGTGGGCTTTGTGGCATATTTATTGAAGCGTGGCATATCACGTTTATTCATAATTATTATGAGAGGCTTGTTTTTTCTCAGATCAACAATGACGTACCGGTATTGTAGATCTGTAATATGTGTGTGTAACGATTGAAGTTGGAACTTTATTTTTGTTTTCTACAGAGCTTAGTTTGAGCCTTTCACCACAAATATATTGATATCACCAAATAAGGTGAATAAGATATATCTTTCATTTCATCTCATACTTTGAAAAAGCAGTATTTCGTATTATTCCGAGTATGGTTTTATAGTCAACTACAATAGTGCCATACTCATCTTGAATCTTGTAAAGAGTTATATTTACCGAATCTTGCACTTGTAATAGGGTCATTTCATCCACTGTTCTTAGGCATGTAACCAGGGCAGTGGAGTCCGTGGAAGGGCATCCCACGGCTGAAGCAAGTTCCATCGCATCACGACGATCTTCTTCAGGGTTATTGCGGAAGTAACGAGGAGACAAGGCACTGCCGCTCTGAAATTGAAGCAGTCAATATGAAGTGAAGATTATAAAGCTCATGAGCATCATTGAAACAAAAATACTCTGGAGTTTCTCTAGGTATGAAGTAAGAACAGAATATTGGTTAATAGTACTCACTGATCGGATATGCGTATACAATATGATTTAATAGAGTGAACTCTACTTGGATTCTTTATACGCATTAAGTAAATCAATTACCCCCTCTCCTTGACTAAATGTTTTGGTAAATTGCACTAAGATCATTTCTTGACTTAATTTCATAAAAGTAGAATTTTGTTAACAAAAGTTAATAGTATACTGATGTCAGTGATGTATATCAAATATTCATTAAGCAACCCCTTATTTGTTATCTAAGATACATTAGCAGATCCATGGAAGGATTGGGGGGGGGGGTGTAATAACTCCTTTATAATTTATGCTTGTCAAAGATTAACGAACTTGCGCCCCACCCCCACCAGCTTAGATAATCCTTTACCCGAAAACTTAGGCAACTCAAGTAGCATGATAATTTCAGTTTGACTGGTGAAAACAATAGATTACACAAGTAATTATATGGAGTATACTGACGTTATTGTGTTCAGATTCCAATTCAAATCACCTGCAAGATAGCTTGTGAAAAGAAGCCCGCACTGAGTTTTGAGAGAAGATGGAATCCAACACTGCCGGCGCCTGAACTTTGCCCAAATATTGTCACTTTCTCCTTGTTCCCACCAAAAGCTGACAAGAAAGAAAAACAGTTTTGCTTTTCATAACAAATGATCACTATTCCATTGGTTTTAATCGATAACAAAGTGGGTCGAGCAGTGAACGAATCCAAAAAAATGGATAGAATTATTACTTAGATAAGATGGGATTAAATTAAAATAACTGTATCTGAAACTCACTTTTTTTTATATTAAGTACGCCTACAAATAACATTGTCACATAACGCATACACTTTATTCAAGGTTAACATTTAAAGGGAATAGTTTTCATGTCATCAATATTCTATCGGTTTTAATCATAAAAATTGTAAAGTGTGTCGGATGGTGAACTTATACAGACGAATGAATTAAACAATCACTATTTAGATACGATAAGATGAGAAATTTTGTTGACTCTATAAACCTCACACTTGAGTAGGGAAAATAAACAACATCATAACACGAGTGAAAAATATATATACCTGTAAAACTTATACAATTTCATACACTCATTTATAAGATTTTTTCTGTCAATATTATTGTTTCACCTTCTATGTTGTAATGGACCCACTGTAATGCAGCAACCTGATCCAACATGGCGTAGTTCCCAGGGGCCACTTCATCACCTGGGCAATGTAAAACAACGTTCAACACGATAGATAGCAACTTTTTTCGAAAAATCAACTCAAGGGTAATTTAAATACTCTACTTTATGTCTCATAAATATCATGTTTGGATTAGGTAACACGTCATTGTAATGAAAAATATTTTCCCACTCTAAAGGGGTAAGAGGTAGATCCCCTCCTGCCCCCTTAAATGTTAACCATCTAGTACAGCGTCAATTCAGCTGTCGCGGTACCGTAAGAGAATTTTAGTTATTTCAAAAAAATATTTTGGAATAACGCCCACTTTATGAAAACAAGGAACCCCAAGTTGCTATTATATAATGCCCTATACTATTGCCCATTTTGTCTACAATCCATAAGTTCTAAGGTCTAACAATCATTTGATGATAATTATTATTTAAGATTAAATGATTATTAGACTATATAGATAACAGACAAAAAATGGGCATTAGAAAAACTAGGAATTAGACCGACTGGAAATTAGACTAATTGAGCAATAGACCAAATGGGTAGAAGACTTTTTGGAGATTAGACCGAATGAATATTTACCTAATTGGTCATTAGACCAACTGATAAATATACGAAATTATTACTAGACAATGTGGATAGTAGACGGGCTTGGTGTGGACCATATGGGATTAGGCTAAAAAACTGATCAAACGGCAATAAACCATCTTATAAACTAAAGGCTAGTCTCCCCCCCCCCCCATGACTGAACCCACGCTACGCCACTGACTCGATATCCAGCTATTTACTCATATGACATCAATGTTTCATTTAATGAGTATGATAAGACCAAAGCAAAATTATCATACCTAAACAAAGTAAGAACATTACATTCGATTTTTCATAGGCTATAAATTTTAGCACATCATTGGACATGACCTCCCTTGAATGTCCACATGACTTTGTGTTGATTTCAATTGTTCCGGAGTTGTTAAAGAAATAGGGGTGCATACTCTCCGCCCGCAAACCCACCCTATCGGATACACTAATGAATATACATGCTAGTTACCTTTTACATTATTTCTCACCTGTAGAAAATATCCCAAACACGCTCACCCTATACCCGACGGTGACGATGATAACGTCAGAACTTGCAGCCAATGAGACGCCTGCATAGTTAGGATTCGAGGCGCCACCAAACTTGAATGCTCCTCCTGGAAAATACACCATCACGGCGGCATTGGCCGGCTGTACATCCGGGAGAGGGAGAGAGAGAGAGAGACGTAAATCAAATGGAAAATCGTAAAGAGGTGGATGACAGGCATAAGAGGTGGCGAAAAGAACTTTGAGTAAAATAAACACAAATTGAATTGAAGCATATTATAAACTCAAATAAAAGTGATGGACATGACGAAGCATTCCACAGTCATGAAGGTTCGGGAGTCATATCTTTATAAAATATTACATTATTTTGATATCTGCTTAGATCCCTGCTTAGGATTTGTGTTATCAGGTTAATGTATAGGACCTCAATATAAGGTTCTGTCGATATTTATTGCACATGCCTATTTTGCTGTCCATATATTAATTGAATTGGTCCGTGTACAGTTTTTTTTTAATCTATTCCTAATGGAAAGCATGTAAACATGTTACAACGGTATACAAATTATATCGAATATTATAATAACACACTCTTAAAATAGTATAGTAATTTTTAAGAAGAAATAAGCTTAGGCTGCAAAATTGCTCTCCGTAACAGGGTACAATTTGATTCACCCCTAACTGGTGGTTTATATAGGGTGCAAAACACACCCATATGTGAACATCGCCAAGTAAGTTTCTTTGCTACTTCTACATTCTGAAAAAATCAGCAGTTTATGCAAATTTATCATTACCATCGGGTTAGGAGCGAAGACGTTAAGGTACAGACAATCTTCACTAGCTGGCATCTGTAGGGGATCAGTCACAACCTGTGAGCAAGTGTCGCGGAAGTATGTAGCATTCCAGTCCCCCTCCCATGGTTCCTTGGAAACAGGGGCAGCAAAGCGGACTGGTGGCTCAGCAAACGGAACGCCCTGCATGTAAACAAATGAATGTCAAATAAAGAAAATGTACACTGTCTTATAATCGCCTTTTACTCGAGAGGCAATGTTCTCCGTTCGTTTTTTCCTGAATGTTATTTATAGATATCTAATGGACAACGTTTGCATGAGCTTGCAGAATGACTTACTTCAAGCGGAATACTTTTGAAAGTATATTTGATAAAAGTTGATAATTAACATGGCGGTCATTTTCTAACATTATCAACTAAATGGTCTGAACTAATATAGTTTTTCAATTCAATCCCATCCAAAAAGGAATATTATATGTAGCGCCTTTTCCCTTGTAGTTACAAAGAGCTGTAGACATGCAACGCATTTCAACTAACTGGTTTTGATAAAAATGATTTAATTGGTCAAAACCCTTGAAAGCTATCACATATAATTATTGTTGACATAACTAGTACATTATTGCAGGAAGTTCATATGATAACAGTTTCTACTCTTATAACTGTGTTTATTAATCTCTAGAAACATTATATTCCACCACATTAAAAAAAAAAAAAGATTACCCGGAGAAATGGGGAATTGTAAACATCAAGATAGCAACGAAAGAATTTGTTGACGACAAAAAGTGCATGTTACGCAAGTATCCTTTGCAAATGTAGATCATGAATAAACTTACCAAGTAGACATCCACATTGGTTGTGATACCGAGGAACTCCTGATCGAAAGGGATGGTCTGACCCACAAGCCTTCCACCTGTCACATCGACAGTCACCGACTCACAACGACTCACAACGATTAGGAGTAGGACGAGCAACGACCACGAGCCGGGCCACGAGTGCGTATCCATTCTCAAGCAGACCTACCGGCATGAATAAACGGACAATAATACTCCTCATAATTGATAAACCTCTCAAAATGATATTGAGTTTTGCTATAGATGAAGATAATATACAGAACAATGATTATGACCCGAACACCGTGTCAAAATACTTTTGAAAATCATTCCGAGACGATATTCCAGTAGCCTTGTCCATCACATATGAAATGTGCAAACAATGACGTATTACATATTCCAAGCATGCTATGTATAAGTTTTTTATTACGAATTTGCTTTAATTTAAATGAAAATACAGCCATCCGAGCAAAGTAATTATCTAAAGAATAAGAGCAATAACAATCTAAATCTAAAAAGGAAATTCTAAAAATAAATGACAATTGGTTCTCTTGACTTCTTCCGTATTAACGCACGATAGTAATCTTTTACTTTCACAACAAAAAAATTTACTTTATCCCCTGTTTCTATTTCTATAACATTCGAAATATCACATTTATTTTCAAAATCGCTGACATCACTTGATCTATCTACCAACTTAGCGGAAATGCTTTTTTAAATTTTGTATAATTAAAATCAAATAATTAAGAGCTGTTGTTCGTTAATTTTTTTAGTTATTACAATGTAGAGTCATTCTAGATACCATTTGTAATCAAATTATGATTTTTCAATGAACTTGCATCTTGCCATTCTCGATAAAACAATAAATAATAGTAAAGTTTAACAATTTAATTTCAAGATGATTCACAAGATTATTGCCTCAAACTAAAATGTATATAAATGGCAAATTGTTAATGATAATTTATGCAACACTTGTGGACCAGTTGATTCAACGTTTCACTTTTTGTTATATTGCAAAGATGTGATTAAGTTTTGGAAAATAATATGTAATTTGATATTTCAACTAATGAAGTAGAACTATAAATAATCCAAAATATATTAATTAATTAATATTAATAACTATAGGTAAGGACATATAGAAAACAAGAAATATACTCTCCTAAATATAGGATTTCCCGGCCAAATTCGCGAGTTTGTCATTCAAATTAATTTGTCTTGCGTTCAAATTCGACGGTTTTAGTGCAGTCAGGTATATATCGGGTTTATATTCCCTTTTCTAGTTTTCAAATCTATGGAATTTTCGTTAGAATCTACGTATATGTTTCATTCAAATTAATAAACAATGTGCTTCTTTCGCTATTTGATCATTCGATTTGGCGCAACACGATTTTCTGACAACGCGACGGTGTACTTCTAGCATTCTAATTCATTTGTAGCATTCAAATTAGCACTTTGTGCACTTAAATTGATGGTCAATATACATTTATCGTTTATTACACACTTTTTATAGCTCATTCTTTTTCTTTCAAGTGAATATTAATTTGAATGCTAGTTGAGCAGTTTCTAAATTGAATGACAGATCTTTGAAACCCTTCGACCAAAATCCTAAATTAAATACAAAAATTGGAAAATTGAATGATAATTGGCATGGCAAAGCCGATCTGCGCTAAATTAAATGCAAAGTAAATGAATTCGAATGACAAACACGCGAATTTGGCCGGGAAATCCTATATTATTTTAAATTATGCGCAATATGCAATTCATAAATGTTACGTTAAAACGGTTGTCAATGGTTCTGTTATTTACCCCGCATGCTTTTTTTTGTGGTTTTAATTCAAGTCATTGCTAAGATTGCTTTTAAGGTATTATGCATGTGTTAGCAAAGAAAATAATACTAAGCTGGAAGAATTGTCGAATATACTTTAATTTTCAGCCGATGTTATTTTGCATTCAATCATTGAGTAACTGATGTAAATATGTATTGAAATTATGGAAATAAAAACCTCGCTTGAGGAAAAGAGAAAGAAATATATAAATGTATAAGCAATCTTATAAGATCTTGTTAACCAAATTGATTCATCATCAATTCTGTGTCATTTTCAGTTGCGGATCAATCGGGTTGCATATTTTGTCGAATTATCAATCCGCCACTGACTTAGGTATCTTGTGTGGCCTTTATCTTCTTTCTTTGTTATCAAAACCACAATAGCTATACGGTTGCAAATGATTCAGCAAAAATAGATATACTGTTGCCCGTAAAGTTGGAACAATTTTTTAACCTCTTTTTAGTAAAATGACTTTTACGATGTGATTTATTCTTCATAAAGTTTTGAAGAAATTTAAATGTTATCTATCAAGATTTAAAAATGTATTATTTCATGAAAATAGGTAAGAAATATATATTCCAACTTTAGGGCCTATCGACAACAGTATATAATACTGTTCTCATAGTTCATGATTTGTGCAAAGCAAGAAAAAAAATGATGTTGAACAAATTCGATCATGAATCTTTCTTACATTTTTTGTTATAGAAAATTTTCCTCTTATTCCAAACACCGAAATATCTGTCAATGAATTGGCTTGCTTTTTATCTTTGTACGTCTATAGCCCGAATTGATTACCTCCCGAACATTCAATATTGACATTGCCTGCCACCAGCCCACCAAACAAATGACGTTATGTAGTACAAAAAACCAAAAGGCAAAATGGGCCTCATCGCATTGTAGAAAACAACATGTAGTCTACATTCTCGTTCGCTCTATAATACTAGCCAGGAAAAAAATAAATTCGATTGATTTCCACCAGAGAAATCGATGCTTTGCTTTAAGCAGAGAAATATGTTCTTTTGTGACCTCCCAACAAAATAAAACGTTTCATAATATACTAGTGTCGGATCTAGCAATATTAATAGTGATATACATCGGGTACAACATTTTGGCAACGCTCTTAAATTGTATCAATGATTTAACACTTGTATTTTTGAGAACGGGGGTTTTCTTGATGAATTTGATTTGTTTGTGGTAATGGTTCGATCATTTTAATCATAGAGTTACTAATAAATCCATATAAAATCAAGATTTGCACACAATCACACTGGGGAACATGATAACAAATTAAATGACCCCGTCGATGTTTAATTTCGATTCAATTTCACGTTTATTGCCCGATGGAAATTTGTTTTGCTCATATTTTAATAGCAACTTAAAAAAACATTATATAATATATAGATATCGTAGCAAAAATAGGTATCCTATGGCATAGCTTAATATTATAATATGATAAAGCTAGACAAAAACGTTATTCAATATTTGTTTGGACTTATATAATTATCATGTGACATGAACAAAACACCTTGATATTACGTAACGGACTGATTGTCAGTTTGCACGAATAGAGAAGGGAACAATAACAGCAAAAGGAATTTTAAATGGGAATGGATCATTGATCAGGGTCGTTTACAATGCAGAGCGCATGCAAACATTATGGAGACAGTATAGTTCAGTAGAAAATAAACCATTATTTGACCGTATAAATGCAGTGTAGACTAAGTTTGGTATACCATAATTTGGCTATAGATGATACATGTATCGCATTTTGAGCTACGGGAAAATTAAAGCATATAACGATATACCAGCATTAAGAAAAATTTAAAATAATTAACAATACCTGTGTTTTTACCGTGGTGAAAGACTGTATCCAATGCTTCTATATATTTCCCCCAAACTGAGAACCAAACAAGTTCAACCGGGGCCGCAGCTTCCTATTACTTGTACTGTACACACTGCAGCTAGGTCACATACTAGGAGGTGATCGAGACAAAATTACCTCCCTGGTCACACCAACGAGACCTACACCAGACCGACGACAGAAAAAACATGCATTTACATTACCTCCAAATATCGGTCGGCGGTTCGGAGTAGGTATATGGAGTCGTTCTGGCGGTGTTTTTCGTAAGGGTATATACTCAGGCGCGTAGCCACGGGGGGCACGGGGGGGCACGTGCCCCCCCTAAAATTTCCAGGATCGGTTGAAATTTTGTAGACCCCTTTTTTGACCTCGATCGATTACATGTATGTGCCCCCCCAAACATCAAACTCTGGCTACGCGCCTGTATATACTTCGTACTTTGTTCTTTAACGAAGCTGCAAAATGTACTCCCATGCCGGTTTATTGTTTACCATGCACCATTGCGCTCGGCTGCATATAGGGGCTGACCTCGGGCTGACCACGTCCCCAGTTTTAACAGGCCTTCAGCACGATCCGATATAGTCCTTGTTGTTTGTTATAATATCTAGTTGTCTAATATTAGTATACTGTTTTGGTTAGTTGAGCAGAGATTGTGATACATGTACTTATTTTAATCTTACAGTTAAAGGTACAGCTTAAGATTGTTACTGTTTCCAATCTTACAGATGCATGTTACACCAGGGAGGTGAGACTTTAACTCACATGCCCTGGTTACACGTACTTATAGTTTAGATTGTATATACGTAGTATAGTTTAGTTTGTTATACTCATTGTAAGATTTTTTCATGAAAGGGAGAGAGAGAGAGAGAGAGAGAGAGAAGTGGGTCGGGGGGGGGTGGCAAATTGTTAGAAAGATTTTAGAGAGTGGAGAGTAATTTAGACACGGAAAGAGAACTCGGAGAAGTGGGAGAAAATTAAGGGGCCGTGAGGGAAGGAACAGACGAAAGAGAGCTGTATAAATATATATATATTTTTTTACAGGGACTTGGTAACATCGCTCAGATGAGAGAAAATGGTGCTAAGGTAGTAACTTCAATGCTAGATGTACAATTGAAGATAATCTGAAAGTTTGAGTTAAAACGGACCATCATTAATGATTAAATTGGAAAAAAACTAATCTGATCGATTCCTAAATTCTCCCAATTACAGTACGTATTACAATTTAATTACATTTTAGGTGAATGTAAATCGTCACAAGGCAATGCATTGGCTCTATATTAAATTCCAGACATAGTTTATCTGTTGAAAGATTTTCAAAAACCTGTTTTATGTCTTTTTTTTCATTGACAAAATGGTTGGGAAAATTCAAAAAATGGTTGGAAGAATTTACTGTTAATCACTGTTAGAGCAGGGCATGTCTCACCTCCCTGGTTAGAGGGTGTTGCACATGCAGCGACACCTTCAAAGAAAGCCATATCTATCTTTGTGGTTTGAGTATTTTTTTCAGGATTTTTTGCATGTTAGAGGGTTAGTACAGTAGAAGGAATATAATAAGTAACATTTCATACAAAAATTATGCAATTTTTTCATAAACTTTCAACAATGTTACCGAGTCACTTTAAAGATACTATGCCCCTTTGTCCCTTTTGCAGCATTAAAGCCCCCCCCCCCTTTTTTTAGGGAAGTTCAAATTAGTATTGTCTTTCAAATGCCGTTGGAATTTATTAACCTTTTCATTTTTTTGGCCTGCAAATGGGACATAGTACCTTTAATGTGTTTGTTTTGTTTCATTTTTGATGTGGTATAATTTTATTTCGATATACAAATACAATGAATAAATTTATATTCGGGCGCCATTCGATATCGTCATAATATTTTTTTTTTTTCTTCCATTTTTTGGACCCTCCAACAGGCCATTTATTGAAAATCAATCTCAAGATAACATATTTGAACACATGTTCCAATGAATATCATACAATATTTCATAATAAGATATACATAACGAATATCAACCATAATACTGTATATACAGAACATACATGTAGATAAGGGAAAGAAAAACAAATATTAAATAATAATGCAACATCATGACTGAAAATGATATGGGAAATTCAATATACTCCTATTAAAGGATCAAAATCCTCTCAAAATTTATCCATTTTTTATTGAATTTGTCAGTTTTGTTAGCAAATATACTAACTTGCCTCTCATTTGTGTAACTATTCTTGATATATTGTTTTATTGTCCGAAAGGACGGTACAGACTTTTGTATTCGAGAAAAATATAATTGTTGTTTAGTCCAAATTATTATACAGTTTAAAGCATCATTTCTTTTTTCAATGAAACCTAACAAAACATGTATTAAGGACAGTTTTATTCTACAGCGTGTTACAATAGTTAACCAGTCAGTCAAACGACTCCAAATCAATTTGGTCACGTTACAGGAGTAAAAAAAGTGTACCATATCTTCGTCTTCTCTTCCACAAAGGGAACAGTTCTTATTTAAAATTATGTTAATTTTCACAAGATCTTTATTCAAATATAGTATCTTATTCAAAAGTCTGTACTGAAAGTACCGAACTGTTGTATGCGTTGTACAGCGAAACATAACCCTGAAATAATATTGCATATATTTATCATCAAATAATACACCATCTGCATGCCATTTATTACATAATTTATTCAAATGTTCATCCTTTTCTTTTAACATAATTTGATAAATATGTCTACATCCTTTTTCATCTTTCAATAAGCATGAAATATATGCAGGGCACAATGGTCCATTTAGTTTCATATTACAACTTTCCAATTGGGACTTGTATTTGCATTTAATTATTTGACAGAGTGCATAATAATGAAGAAACTGTATTTTGATTGAAAACTTTTTTTCACACTCTTCTCTTGCTAAGATGTGTCCTTGATCATCTAGTAAATCGTTTAAAAATCGAATACCTTTATCACACCATTCTTTTAAAAATATACCCTTTCCTCCAATTTTAATCTCAGAATTATACCAAATAGAAATAGCTTTCCAAAAAGGAGTAGTAGTACATTGAACCTGGCGGACAAAATAAGCTAGTATTTGGAAAAGTTCTTTCCAAAAACAGTTTCTTAGCATAAATGATAATTTAGTGAAATATATATCACCTTTACCCCATTCCAATGATGATAGTGGACGTAAGAAAGCGTACATTAAATGGGTAACGTCTTCACATGAGTTCAACAATATTCTTCTAATCCAGGTCAGTTTCAAAGCTCTAGAAAATTGTACAACATCAACCATTTTCAATCCACCATTTTCGTAAGAACAAACCATCTGTTTTCTGCTAATCTTATCAGGTTTCCCTTTCCAAATAAATTTAAAAAAAGAGACATTTATTGCTTTTAAAAGATGTTCAGAAGGGTTAGGAATGGACATAAATAAATGGTTAAATTGCGAGACTAGCAGTGATTTCACCAAGACCACGCGACCAAAAACAGAAATGTTACGTTTCGACCAAGATATCATTTGCCTTTTTAGTTTATCAAATATTCTGTCGTAGTTGAAATCCGGAAGCTTTTCTAAATCAATACCAAAGTCTATTCCCAAATACCTTATGAATCCCCCGTTAACCAACGATATGTCAGTCCCATGAACCTGATGTAAATCAATATTTACAGTTTTTTTCAAGGAACCGATACACAATATCTGTGTCTTATTTATATTAAGATTTAAACCTGAATACTGAGAAAAGAACTCCAATAGCTCCAGAGCATAATGTAAACTTTCTGTACTATCGAGACACAACACTGTATCATCAGCGTATTGTAATATTCTATATTCCTTGTTTTCTATAACTAAACCTTTTATCTTGTGGGATTTTCTGACCAACATGCCTAAAATTTCTGCACATAATAGAAACAAATATGGAGAAAGCGGATCTCCTTGTCGGCAACCCCTTTTAATATTAAAACGCGAGGTTAAACAACCGTTAATTAACACATTTGAAGCAGAATTTGAATATAGTAATTTGATCCATTGGATAATTTTATCCCCGTAATTAATACATTCCATAGAAAATCATGTGAAACACAATCGAACGCCTTTTCAAAGTCAATAAAAAGTAATATCCCAGGAATATTTTTATGATCTGCATAAGAAATTATGTCATAAATTATTCTGATATTTTCTCCGATGTATCTACCGGACAGAAAGCCTTTCTGATCTTTATGTATGTTTTCGTCTAACAATGGTTTTATTCTGTTTACAATGCAACTAGAAAGAATCTTATATTGGACATTGAGCAAAGATATAGGACGCCAGTTTTTAAGTAGATTGCGAGGTTTGTTACCTTTAGGTAGTAGGGTTATAATTCCTAAATTTTGGAAATGTGAAAATCTTCCACAAACATATGCTGCGTTCAAACTCCTCATTAAATAAATCCCTATATCTTTAAGAAAAAACTTGAAAAACTCTGCAGTAAACCCATCCTGTCCGGGTGATTTACCAAGTTTTAAGTTACCAACAACTTTGCTAATTTCTTTAAGGCAAATTTCTTTACCCAACTCCTCTACTTTTTCATCTGAAATCTTGTTATGATCTGTTTCTTCCAGATCATGTAATATATCTTGAAAATCTGATACCTCTCGAAATCCATAAAGGTCTTCGTAAAATATTTCCACCTCGTTCTTAATTTCCTCTTCCGTATTCGATATCGTCATAATATGGGAAAATTCTAGGAGCTCGCAGCCTGAAACTACCGTTTCTAAATTTTGCGAGAGAGCAAAGTGAGCAAGGAAAAATATACTTACTATCTCTGAAATGTTATTTCCTCATCAAAATACCCAGAGTGATACAACATCTTGCGGTTTTTGATACTTTGTTTCATGTATTTTTAATATAACTAAAATACTAAAATAACTAAAATACTCTCACGGCACCCCGGGTTGAAAACGCTGTATTAGATGATCAAAATTTGAGGGGTAGATTTACTAGACCGGGGGATATACCACTTGCCCCTTTAGAGTAGGACAATTTTGCATTTTAAATTGAATATGACACTAATACATACTCTCTCTCTCTCTCTCTCTCTCTCTCTCTCTCTCTCTCTCTCTCTCTCTCTCGTCTCTTGTCCAGTCTGTCTTTCACTCCTAGCTCATCTCTCTGCTTCACACTACCATCAAGGATGCAGATCAGATAATCCCAAGCATTTTTTGATAATCGTTCTTGCAACAGATTTCATTTAAGACTTATCATGTCCACACGTTAGATCGGTACTCTATATTGACCACTTATCTTTGTTAGTTATTATGAATCTATTTATTATGAATCATTGATTGTTATTTAATCACAAACAAAAAACTTGTACTTTATTTTGAAATGTATATGTAACATGAGAGATATGAAAATAAATGAAATGAAAAAACGTTAATGATTCACATAGTATTGTAATCTTTGAAGAGCATTTTCAAGCAATCGATCTCCTTATATTATCTCACATTCTTTTACTTTATCTGTTCCCTAGCTCTCACGTTTTAAAAAAATACAGGTGTATTGTATTTTTCCGTTCCATTGGGGAGTAGCTACGCCACTGTGGAGAGTTGACAAACATAGAGTACATATAACAAAGATAAAGGAGACACACATAGAAAGGACAAGTAAAAACTATTTCAGCTCTTGTATATAATCCAGACATTTTATTCACATAATCAGAAAGAGGTAAAATCTCATTGATAAGATATATTTACAGCATTATTTATTAATTTACAAACACAGCATTAAGTCTTCATAAAAATCTATAAAATATGTTAAAATGCATTTAGGACATGTTGGAATATTTCAGAAGCTAGGCAACAGTCAGTGTATGTCTTGAGACCATTTCAGTACATTCCAATGTTTAATGTGTTAAAATTCTCAAAGGCACAAAATGGAAAATCCAATCAGCCCATACAAATTTGTGGATTTACATGGATCTACATCTAATAGGATGGATATCTTTGGTATTAGAAAAACTTTGTGCAGTTGCATGGAACTGATGTGAAGACACAAACTGATCATACCACTTTACAGTCCAAATCACAAGCTACTAGAGACAATGTTTAGAAACATGAGAGATGGTCCACATTTTCACTTTTCAGAGGAAAAAGCCAGAGTAGCATAATTCTTCAGGGAACAATCGATATTCAATCGTAAATGATAAATATCCCAAGTTGCCAACTCTCTATCTCTTATCTGTTTTACAGTTCAGGACACAAAGAGAGACAGACAATTATAAAAACAAAAACACAAGAATAATAAATGTATACTTTTGCAACCAGCCCTGTATTCCAATAATAATACCAACCAGATACAGTAAATACTTTCAACCATGAAGAAATTTCAAGATGTGTGCACTGCTACAGGACATTGATATATTTGCCTAACATAATTGTTTCATTTAGATTTACAATGTGCAATATTCCGTGTTCATGCAGCTGTGCAATATCCTGTGTTCATGCAGCTGTGCAATATCCTGTGTTCATGCAGCTGAACAATGAGCGTAAACAAAGCAAGCTCTTTTCATTTTTCTTTTCAATTATAACTACAGTGCCACAGGCTTTGTAGAGAGTAATCTAAAAACAAGCAAATTTAACATTAACATACCTAAAGTATTCAGTATTAAAACAGTTTAATATTCAAATATACTTTGTCTTTTCAAACTCAACAACCATGTCACACTCAAGAGAGATTTGGAAAACTTAAGCTGACATTTTATCTCATGCAGTTATTTATTAAATCGTGATGAAAATTGAATGATCTGTAAGTTGGGCTTTGACTTTACACCAAATCAGCTAACTTTAATTCAGAGTTCATTTCCCACTGTTTTGTCACAATTGATGTTGAATTGAATTTGGTCTAAATCATTGCTTTTACTGTGTAAAAATGTACATCCAATTTCTATTTGGGGCAAGTAGTAGGCAAGATAATGATCCTTTAAATATCACTTGCTTGAAAGGCACATACAAACATACAAACATCCAAACATATGATAAACAGTCTACTACATTTTTTGTTAAAATGCATGTTACAGTGTTCAGTATACAGTGCATGGCTACAAGAAATACTTCCTATCCTCCCTTTCGTTTAGTTCATACATTCACAATTATTACTGGCTTCATTTTTAATGCCCTAACATACATACATACACATAGTTACAAGGTTACAACATGTGCAGTACATGTACATAATGGGTTACATATGAACACTGACATATAGAAGGCACACAGTCTGACATATGCTCGATCAATACAGTATTTGACATACGGCTTGCCAGAAAACTGGAAAACTGTCTTGTTCTGATATAAAACCAGAATTCTTTCAGTAGTTCTGAAATTGGTAAATCACTCTCCTACAAAAACCAATATTTTAGCACGTGGTCAAAGAAAGATTCAACAGTGATGTCATTAAGGATCAAAATGATATCACCTTTTTTCTAAATGCAGGTGCTTGAATTTGCCTCATAGAATGCTAAAAATTTGAGAATGACATTCATGCACAAAGAAAATCTACACTGTAAAGTCTGCATGTTTGAAGAACACTTCAACTATCGATATCTTCCTAGCAATGTTTAGTTCCTTTGCTCTTTGGATTGATGGAAAATTTTGGTCCCCTGTGTTTACATGATATCATAGCTTGATCAACGATAATCCCAAAGAAGCATTTTATCCTTTGATGTCTCTCTGACTCTAGCGATGTCTAGTTCTCTTATTCCTAGGTGTTGTAGCAAGTTCAGATCCTCTGCGTTTAGTTGCTGATCCGGCTTGGTCTACAAGTCTATACAAAGAGCAATGAATGGAGAGAGAAACACATGAAAACAAGGTATTCAAATCACAACAATTTATTAACAGGAGCAGAGCAACAAAGACAATATTTGACAAAATGATTATTTCATATTTATTTGCAAGGCAGAAAAGGAAGTTGCTTGTGCTCTCATTACTTGAATATAAACTTAAATGCCTCTGAAACTATTGAAATAAACACAAAGTACTTTTTGGACTTAACAAAGAAAATGCACATAAAAAAATCCTTTCTTAAAATCAGTTTACACTCTGAGGAAAACCATTTGCTCTAAATCAGAGAAATATCAAAGATATTACAATTCCACAGAACCATGGTACTAAGTAACCTCAACAGTAAAAAACAATCCATAACTTTAAACAAGATTAGTCAATCACGTTCAGATAGTACTCTTTCTTCTTTTGAATGTAATATAAACTTTTGGAGAAAAAAAATACACCTGAATTTCAAAAGTCTCTACTCCTTATTTCACGACTATTTATCAAAATCTGTGTGGAATAGATTGAGGACTTACTTCTGTAGGATGGGCTTAGCCTCATTGATGATGTAGTTTTCTGGATCTGGGCATGGATCTTGGACCAGATAGTCTGCAATGTATTCTGGCTTCAAACACATGATACCAGACTGTACTAACTCCTCAATGGCAACCTGTAACGATAAAAGATGGATGAATTATAAAACATTTTGAAGTGAAATTTATCTACAAATCTGCTGAGAACCAGGAGAGACGGTATACTAAGCCAAATGGACTATAAGGTCTTATGTACATATGTTATTAACCTGAAATAATTTGTCTACTTTTTATTTTTATTTGAAACATCATTATCTGAATTTAAGCAATGGGGGTAAGTGGCTGGAAGTTTCAAGTACAACACTGCTAATTCTTGAAACTCTTATAAAATTCTTTCTAGTTTTCAGCACATGCAATGATTTTCACATGCAATGAATAGACCATGCACAAACCATGTGACATAAGCACTTATCATTTTCAAAGCTTACTACAATGTATATGCATGCTTTTTACAAGTACATTTCTAATGATGTTGCATCATCTATGGTGGTGAACTACATCATGCTAGAATTCTGATGCATGTTGCACCACTTTAATTGTACATTCCATAATAGGTTAGAGTGTTAAGACCAAAGTAACAACCGCATAGCAGCATGTTTGTGACACCACATTATAAGAGTACCTGGTAGTATTTATTGGATTCTCATTCATAAATAAATACTGGTAGATCATGTAGCAATAAATTATTGAATTTTAATATTGTAATTTTAAGCAGGGGATGATTCCTGCTAAACCTGTCGTTTTTTATCATCCCCCAGGTTCTATTTTGGTTTAATGCTTTTATGTTTGATGGTAATTCATATTGTCTTTTAATGAATCTGTGGAAATAAATGAAATTGAAAATTGAAATTCAATTTCTCCTTACCGCGTCAGCCGTGACCTTGACCTTGTGAAGGTCAAAGAAAGCATGGCTGGCATCGAGATGGCTGGTGAAGGGTGGTCTAACAGCCAGGACTTTAGCGCCGCCTGCCTCTAGGAGACGCTTGAAGCACATCTCTTTACTCTTCTCAACAAGCAGCAGGACCTTCCATCCATCAAACGCTCCAATGATTGAACCCATCTATCAAACAATTAGAAGAAAATTAATGAGATGAAATTAGACATAGTCAGATGGCAACTTTTAGAGATACTACTAATTTAGTATCAGAAATGTTCTCTTCTTTTATAATATAAACATCTATTTTACTAGATAGATAATTATATAAATCCAATAAACATCAATTACACAAATGATATACAGAATATATTACCACTGGAAACAGCAGGATGTGGAATTATCATCAAATTCAAGTTATTCTATCTTCTGATATGGTTTAAAATGAAAAACTTTAACAAGCAAGAAACTTAAGAAATATTTTGCTTTAAACCTATGAAAGTTGCATGCCGCTACATGACTGAATCACAACCAACACAGACCAAGTTCTTGCAATTTGCGACAGTTTCAGAAAATTTCTTGTTTTTAAGCAAAGAATACTCAGGGCTTTATTTTGTTGAATGAATAGAGTTGGAAATGGGTACAGAATTAGGTTTTAGGTTGAGATTAGGTTTAAGAGTTAAAGTTATTTGAAGAATTCAGTTAGTGAAGGAACTTGACGCAGAATCAAGTGTTGTACAACCACTTAACCTATTACCTACTGGAAGCAAGTGTCCTATGTATTGAGCCCATGGCAATGAATGAATTCATCTGTCAACGGGTTAGTATATTTAATTGTTTTAAAAACATCTCAATTCTGACCTTTTCTTGGTCCTGGATTCTCATCCTCCATCTTGTGGCAGCTACAGCCATCTTCTTACCGGTCTCATTCAGCTTGCTAAGATCAGTTCTATTACCCCACTCATGAGGCTCCTCCTACACAGAAAAACAACAGGTAATACAACACAAAATATAATAATTGACAGTTTCATTGGGCGAGAAGAATAAAAAGAAGTTACTACAGATTGAATATATCATGGGTCAGCTTAGCAACTGAATAACTGCTATGAGTTAAAACACTTGAGAAAAAACTAAAGAGAGAGAGAGAGAGAGAGATAGGGGAAAGAAAGAGATGAAGGGGGGGGGGGGGGGGAAGGGGGGGGGGGTGGATGGTGACAAGCAGCATTCAAAAGGAAAATACATAATGTGGAAGAACAATCTGTATTGAAATTACCAGATTAAACAGAAAAATTGGGATGTCATCCTAAAAATGTAGTTAACTTTGACATAGCCAGATAATGAAATGGTTAAACTAACAAATCATTTTTTGACATCCAGTTTTCATAATACCACATAAGGAATTGCAGTTACCTCAAACCAATGTCAACTACAATTTAAAAATCTCACACTTTTGGGATATACCTATAAGATTGCAAACCTACAAATAGTTGAATGCACACTTAGAGATTACAGGATTACTCACCTCGACAAAGGCCCTTTCTACTCTGCAAGCCTCCAGATAGGATTTATGTAGAACCCATTTGCCCGTAGCCAATGCAGCTAGATACTTCTCATTCCTAGTTGGGATTCCTGGAAATAGAGCCAACATACGACAAAACATGATTACTTTTAACAAAACACAACTCCATACTTACATTACATTCACTTTACTGTGTTCCTTAAAGTAAATTCAAATGATTCAACAGGAAGTATTTTCATTCATATTTAATCCATAAGTTCAAAGTCAAATTGATCTTCATTATTGAAGGCCCTTTTTTCTTCCTAGAGGTGGAAAGTTCACTTTCACCGAATGTAACGTTGCACTTCTCTCACATTCTGTAAAAATTATTCTGTCATAAAGGTACATTCAGCAGAAAAAACCTCTACAATCATATACAGTCAAACCAGCTTTAGTGACCACCTGTCTACAACAAGCACATTTTTGTTTCCCATTAAAATGGTTTCTCAATGAAACATGTACTAAAAGAACCTGTCTACAAAGACCACCTGTCTACAACAAGCCCTTTTTGGTTTCCTTTTGGCGGTCGCTGTAGACAGGTTTGACTGTACATCAATTCCACTCAGCTAAAAGGGTTCAACTTCATGCAAGTTGATTCCACCAGCTAAAAGGTAAATTTGATACCCAGTCATGTGATCACATACCTACAATGATATGAGAGCAAGAAGCATCAAAGTACTGAGCATCTTTGACTTCTCCCCCAAGCTCCTCAATGAGGGCGCTATAATCAATCTTCTCGTGAGCACCCATTCCAGTGAACAAAAACTTGGGAGGCAAGGCTGTCTGCTTTGTCAAAACCTGCATGGTAAGAGATGATTATGTTAATATATAAGCCACAAGCTGTCTCGTTACATCACAGGTTGTATGAGGGAATCGGTGCAAATATACATATATGACAAATCAGATGCAGTGTGGAAGAAGTGATGAGTGCAAACCAAAATAGAAAGTGTGTCACGACACAATATCACCATTAGTTATGAAAATAGATAGCGGCCATATTAGGAAATGTTCGAATGAAAATTTGATGTAAAGATGTTGTTCAAGTTGTGAAGAAAAAGGAGAGAGAGAGAGAGAGAGAGAGAGAATTCTGAAACATAATGCTGAAGACCTGCTTTGCGGAAGTTAAAAAAAAAGGTTGAATTTGAATCATTATTGCCCATTTTAGCCCCAAGTAGCAAGTATCTAAAAAACTTCAATAATAGAGGAATATAAACAGAAAATGAAAGGACCAAAAGGAGAGATAAAATGGCTGACCTCTTGCTGTGGATCATCCTGTGTCTCATCCATTGGCTGAGGAGCTACAGCAGGCTTGGCAGGGGGCAGTCTGATGGGCGGAGCTTTGGGAGTAGGGGTGGGTGGGCTGTCTTCTGCTTTGTGGGAACTTGTACTTGGTCTAGCGAAGTCAGTCTTAGTTGCTCCTTGGTCCTGATATAAAGAACAAGTTTATAATTTTAGAATAATGAATTATTGGACAACCGGACAACATGTAGTTCTTGAACCACTAAACACTATTAAAGCTCAAGTTTAGTAAGGCTGGAGTCTATGCAAATGTGTTATACCACAATCAATCATATACAGTGGATTAAAGTCTTTCTCACTGGATCAGTCCATAACCACACACTGTGAAGTGGCGAACATGGCTTCAAAGAAATAACACAACTGGAGTGTAGTACAAATGTATCTGAATCAACTGAAGAGAAGTATGAAATGGCCATCACAAGTTTGTTTTCCAAAACAGACATACTGCATCATGTATTCTCACATCATGAATACTATTACCTGCTATGTAACACATCATTTACATTATCATCATGAATGCATCCCTGTACAAAAGTGATCTTGATATATATCTTTGGAACTACCTGCATAACATGCTCTTCCTCCTGCTGAACATCCTCCCCATGCTGTTCAGGCTCAGCGTGACCGTTGTCTGTACGTTTGATCTGTGCCATGACCTTCTCTTTCTCCCTGCGACTAGTAGGGTCATCCCATGTGATCTGGACACTCTGAGAAGCCTCCACATGTTGACCTACGAAGAAAAAAAAAGAAATACAGGTTAGTTAAAGACTCTGATGGCAAAGATAATAATCCCTCTAATTAAATTTGCCAATTTCAGCTTAAATTTCTCTAGCTCTGCTTTTGCATGATTATGACCTATTATGCAATACGCTGTAAAATACTTTTTTTTTTAAATGCATACATCAAATCATATCTGAGAATCTACAACAAAATAACCAATATGATAATGTCATCAATGACAATATCAAATTTTCCTGAGGTGAACCTTTATCCAATTGTAAACGATTGCCATTTGGATCTCAAGAAACTTGAAAAACTTCAGACATATTTTTCAATTACTGAGCTCTGAAAAATCTGGGCTTTTCTCAAATTTGTGAAAGCTTTTTAATTTATACTATTCTGTTCACAGTATAGATCAGGAAAACCTGGACAACCTCATCATCATCATCTAGTGCCGTCCCTTCGGCAGGGGTTGGCGGCTATACAAACATGTTTATCCTTTGCATTCAACCATGTGAGCAAGACAAATCTCAAGTAATAGGTCCCATCTCTTACCCAAGTCTTTGCCAGCATCACTCTCTTTCTTCTCTGGGCCACGTTTGGCTCTGGACCTTGTGCTTCTCCTTCCACCAGTACTATCATCCGCAGAGTCTCCAGCCATTGAGATGGATGCGCTGCTACCCGGCCGTCTACCCCGCCTACGACTACCTCTTAGGTTCCTTATCAAGAAAAGCAAAGATATTATGGTCATCTTGCCCAATTTTTTACTAATACAGATAACTGCATTTGAAAGATAATACTTATTTAGAACTTCCCTAAAAAAGGTGGGGCTTGAAAATGTCTTCAAGTGGGAAAATAATGACTATTAGTTGTCAAATCGACTTTAGGGCTATAGAGCCCAAAAGTAATAGTCTTGATTTTCAGACAATTGTACAGAATGGTCATACGTTTAATGCTGCGCAAAGATTCAATCAGTTTAATCTTGGCCATCACAAGAAGTTAGTTATTGATGTAGACAAATGCTCATGTACTATTTACAACTCTTTTCATGTATGTTATTACCAAAGAAGAAAAAAAGCCAGTCAGTCACTCAATAGTGTCTGACAGTGAAGCCTAGCAAGTAAATGGGTTTCCTTGCATAATTTGAATATGAGGACACTGCTAACATTTAAATTTCACAGATAGGACATACATGACATATTCATAATTCCTGCAAAGTTCTACAGAATTTGAGGTCGGCTGCAAAAGGGACATAGTACCTTTAACAGCTAGATGCATCCGCCATAGAGCGATTTTAAAAACCATAACCGATCATGAGAACGGGACGTACGGACGGACAACCCCAAAATATAATGCCTCCAGCTACTTTGTTGAGGAGGCATAAAAATATGACATCTGAGCGATACATACATACAAACAGAATTAATACTCAAGCTTCATCATGTCATCTGTACTCCATACTTCAGAACAGAAGAACACGTACAGGTGAAACAAAGAGCAAAAGATAATGATTTAATAATATCTATCTTGGTAGGTATTGTGTTTGTCTTAAATATGAATATCTGTGAGAGACTTACAGACTAGACGGCATGATGTCTTCTAGCTGTTTCTGCAGATCTTGTTTGATAGATGTCCCATGATCCCCCGGTGTCTTGCTCTGTTCTTCAATCTCTACTGCCCTCAGGAGTTCATCGTCGGACATTGTATCTGCCTCCAACTCCTCTTCTTTCTTCTCCATGGGTGGAGGTGGTTTGGGGGCGAGTGGTGTAGCCGGTGGAGGTGGTTTGGGGGCTAGAGGTGTAGCCGATGCAGGGGGTGCGACCTTCGACCTCTTGGAACGAGCTGGTGTACGACTTTGGGAAGCCACAACAGACTACAAAGACAAAGGAAAGAAATTAATTCAGACACAGGAATATTGTAATGGAAAATCATATCATCGCTTCTCTATTAAAATATCATGTTGATTACTTCCAGAGGTAAAGTAAATCATATACACCTATTTGAAAATGTCAATGAAATCCTGTGCTTTCTCTACTCCTAAGTATTATTATTATCCAACAACAAAATTGAATACTAACCAGACTAAGTTTAGGGTTGAAGGTGTGTGGATAGCAGGTTTCATCTAGTCTTTTATTTTCCTCCTGACAAGCAAGCAGCCAGTGGGAAGAAACAATGATCTTCCCTTGACTCTTCGCTAGACGGAACTCTTTGGCTGTGTCATTGGCTTTACCCTGTAAAAGAAATACAGATAAATAAATGACCTTGAAATTTAATGTACTGTGATGACATATGTAATAGCTATAAAAAATATATGCTACAAACAGTATACATTTGTGAATGACTACGGTGTGAAAATTTCATTATAGGGGCAAATATGTGAAGTTCTTTAGCCGTTGATGCTGCCTTCTTTGTAGTATATATATCATGAAATGTACATATATCTTATCAAGTTAAAAGAAATGTCTGCATGTTTTGTCCATACCTATGAAATTTAGGATATGATAAACAGTTTTTAATTTGAATTCTTAGTGTGCAAATTTTCCATAAAATGTTTTAAAGACTGCAGTTTCTTTTATGGCTTATTGGCACATCCACCCCGAATGTAACATTTAGTTTCTGTAAGCTGATATTTTTAAGGAAAATAGAAGTTTAATAATTCTTTATAAAGCAGGTAAGCATAACACTACATAGATGTTAAAATTATGTCCAACACTGGTTACTGGAATATAAAACAAGCACATTTAAAAAATTGTAAGTCGAGATCATTAAGCAGGACAGAACTCTCCATTATTCTTTACAAAGAAAAAAAAAAAGGTAAAAGAAAGAAAGGAAAAAACATCCACTCTTTATGGAGAAATGAAACATCATGTCACATACCTGAAAGATGAAATGGGTGCAATGTTCATCATACGTCCAGTGGTACTCTGCTCCCAACGCCACGGCAATGTCATTGTAATCTCCTTGCTTCCTGCTCAGTTTCTTACTCACACAGATGACTACTCCATGGAGAATACCTGGTGCAGGCTCCTAGAGGAAGAAAAAACATTCATGGGTTACATTCCATCATACACCTAGATGTATCATTGGTTTATCAGTGAGTTGTTAATGTATCATTAGAGAAGTCTTTACTTATCTGGCAGACATATAAAAATGATATGTCTTTGGTTGGTCATTCAGTGTAAGCTTCTGCAATTTTTTTTAAACATTTCAATTTTTTAAAATCACAAACTGAAACATAGAGTAAAGGAGCCGGTTTTCGGCCACTTAAGCATTTTTTTTACTTTTTACTTCAGTAAATAGAAACAATTACATTTTTATGACATAAAGTGTTGATATATATCCTTCCTTAATAAATAGTATATTCAACTTACTACGACACGACACATTTCCATGGCAACAACGATAATTGCAAAAGCTTTCCGGGTGCTAGTTTTCGGCCACCGGTGTTAGTTTTCGGCCGCGATATTTATGCGACCCGGAAGTGAAATTGCTTATGCTGTTGTATAACAAACAAATTAAAAAGGTAATCTGAAAATGATATCTATTATTGATATGAATATTTGTATGATATATAATATAGACGCTATACACATTCCAAAAGTATAAGTCATTTCCATGGCAACAGGAACATTTGGAAAAAAAAGCTTGTCAGGAGGTACTTTTTTTTTCTCATTTCATTTTTCGGCAAAGTGAATGTGATATATTGTTGTTTTATAAAGATCTCGACTCTATATTGCCTTAACATATATTCTGTTTTTATTTATTACAGCCCTGTTTGTTTCCATGGCAACAGGAAAAGGTTGGCGGAAGAGTGTCATTGTCAAGTGCACTTTCTAGCTCCATGTATTTTGTTAGCATCATTATGTTTCTGTTTTCATTTAATAGCTAACATTTCTAGACAAGATGTAGTCTATATTGTTACTGCCCTATTTTATAAATATTTTCTGTTTTGTTTCATCACTCCGATCACTTTTTCTTATTTGTAATATTATAAATTCAAATAGTTTGATTATACTGCATGGAACTATTAAACTCATTAAAACTAACAAACAATAAACACCGATGTGCAAGGTAAGAAAATATGTTTCACGTCTTTCTTTTATTACGATCTTCCTGTTTGATATTTTCTTTCATAAAAATTGGCAAGGCAGTTGGCTGTTTGTAACAACAATGAATTGATACATTTAAAGCATATCATTATTTGGCACTTTCGCATCCAGATATATAAATGAAAACATGATGAAATGAAATGTAATTCAAAAGATGAGCAATACATGAACATTACAGGAGTTCATACTTTCCATCTATACCAGATCCAGATACATTTGGAGTAAATACATCAAAAAATATCAAACTGTTTTAACTTTGTGATCCTGATATATAGTATAATCCCCCCCCCCCACTCAAATTTATTTGAAAGTGACATTACCGAAAATTAGATTGTATCAGGTTTATACGAAATAAAATTCAGTATTGAAAAAGGCTGAAATAAAATTTACATATTGGCAACAAAATACTCCTTACACAGTAAAGGCTTTTTAGATGATTTGGCTGCGGAATGTGGAGCAACGGGATATAAATGCTGAAACGGATGGCTAAAGACCGAAGTACTTGGAGAGACACTTGAAGTAGAACTCTGATTGGGTCACTGAACCTGTCATAAACTGACAGATTTCTATTGATGAATAAGTATTATATAAACATAAATACAAAATATATACATTGCAAAAGGCTAGACCAACTAGAGAAAGGAGGGTATATAACTTATAGTATTGCAACAAAACCCAACTCATAGAAATAAAAATTGCATTAACAGTTGTAACATTTAAAGTCTATTTTTGCGATCTCGCCATTAGAAAGATTCGCAAGATCAGTGCAAACAACATGGAACCAACGGTTACAGGCGTCACATTCGACCCAGTCGTTGCATCCTGTGGGACCTCTCGGTCGCCGCCCACTTCGCCTTCAAGCTCTTAAATAGGCTAAGGTCGCACGGTTGCAGCACGTGGGAAGCATGTGCTGGAAAACAGTATAGAATAATACTATTTTCCAGGCACAACTCCGCCACCTCTAGAGAAAGATGGCTCCTGTGGCCGTCTACCAGGAGTAGGATAGGGAGAGTAATCCCCTTCTGTTTGATGAAGGGAATAAAACAGTTCGCTATATAACAAAAAAAAACCTCACTGTTCATCCACCCGGAGGGGGAGCGTCCTATATAGGCTCCTTCAGGAGCTCCTTCAGCGACCTCCAGGCTGAGCCTCACACCGGGAAAGACCATCATCGGGGAAGGTAGGTGCCATCTGATGACATGTTGGCAAGGACCGTTATTTCCCTCTTGTCGCTGTTGCCAACTGAGGTGACAACCCGCTCTCCTTTCCTCTCGAGGACTCTCTCCATCCTCCCCCCACCTAAAACAAAGCTGGATTCATCACAAGTTGATTATACCATCTTGAGATTAACTCGATCGACAGCACAGCCCTCTCTTTCCCCAGGAGTTGGGGGGTTCTCATTACCAGCTCTGGATGGCGATTCTGGAATTTTCTCATCCAGGTCTTCCCTGGAAGGTTTTCCTTGAAGGGCGTGTCTCTCCCGTCATCATCTAGGATCTTTTTCACAGTCTGAAAGGAGGGGAAAATAGGGAATGAAGGATAACGAGGTAAAACACTTTTTCTTACATATTTGTTATTCTATCAGGGTATTATTAAGAATTGCTGAGTCACTTAACGTTTCTGGTAATATATAACAGTCTCACCCTCTTTTAATCAAGAGTAAGATATGAAGTGAACAATGAGATTACTTGCTTTTTAGAATGAAGAAGGAGTAATCAGATTGGACTAGTCTATTCACTCTTTGGATGCCACATTCATTCATGGTACAGGAAGCTATTTTTCTACTTTTTAAATTATTTTACAATGATGTAAAAAGCATTATGTGACGTGAATGTTAGAAATTACTCCACAGATCCGATTCAAGAAGTATATATAAACTTTGAAAACAAAATGGGACCTTCTGCCTTTTAGCCAGGCATTCAGCATATTAGAATGAAACATAAAGAGCCGGCTGGGAGAGCTGTTTAACAACTGAGATAACTTGCTCGTATAAATTAACAATTATTTAATTAAAAGAAATGTTGTTATACCTGTCTGAGATCTCTCTGGGTTTGTCCGTACCCGATTTTCGCCATCCTAACAACCCATTCAGCGATGCATACTTCCTCAGCGTTGGTGAGGTATGGGCTCGGCCCACTACGGCAATTTAACGGAACCCTATCGGCCACCTAAAAAGAAATATTAAACAAAAAGACATTAATTTTGGTGGTAGAAATACATATAATCAGTATAACATAGCTACAAAGCTCTGAAACAAAGGCCCCCCCCCCCCCCGTCTCCATATCGTCACCATTAGAAGATCAATTCAAAGTACGGAGAAGAACTTTAGTGAAACCATTAATATAATCATCTATCAAGCACTGCCACGTTGATATTCGTAGTTTAACACCAATAGTAACCTAGGGATAAACATATATATTATTGTTATTAAATTAATTGATAATGATAATGTTTATTAATTATATATTATTACAATTCATAATTAGATTCTAGACCTCTATTGCAAATCTTACGAAAGACATAGTCTATAGAACAATTTCTTTTTTGATAATCACCTTAATTGTTATCTGATAGTATTTTTGCATAACTTTATTTTAAACATATTTTTTTATATAATGATAAGATCAACTGCATGGCTTTATTATATTTAATGTACCTTATCCTGAAGGGTGGATCTTGGAACATTATAAACTCGAGCAGAAAAATTGTGAGCGTCAGTTGCAAAATGGTTGCGATAGAGAAAGGACCGGAGTCCCAGAGCTCCAGTTTACGAGAGATTTTACCTTAACTACAACGAATTAAAAAATGATCGAGGTCTAGGTAAGTCCCTATCGCCTTAGCTGCACGCGTTAGAAAGCGCTAAATTGGACTCGACGTCTAACATGTCAAATTTTAAAGGGAAATTAGGAGCAGCAGTACTTACGTGTGATCACCGAATCTTTGCAGCTTCGTCCACGGTACCTGGGGATATCGTTATGCAGTACCTGTGAATTTCTCTTCCGAGCTCGAGCGAAGATAGAAAACAAGAAGTGCCGAAGTGGCCGAAAACTGAAGCTGGCCGAATACCGGCTCCTTCACTCTATATGCATTTTGTGACTTGATCAGGTTGCTATATAGGGCAAAGCGATGCTGTAAATCATTTATGAATCAAATGTATGTTGTACATACATTAGTGCAGATTTAATTTTGAATAGCAGCAACACAGACTATACCCTTTAGAGCATACACTAATACTTGATATTTACAGGAATGATTGTGTAACACAAACTACTTTTAAAACCAATTTTATCACCTGTCATCGCATTATTATCAAGACCTGAATTTCAATGAAATCTATGACAAGACCTACCTCTTCTTTGAAAACAATATCATCATCTTCATCCTCTGCCCCTCCTTTGGTGTTGCTCCCCATCTGTAGGGCATTGGCAATGTTCTGATGGAAGAATTCCTCCAATGGCTAAAGGGAAAAGGAGAGGTAGAAGTACATGTATAATGAATGGCTTCATTAGACAATACTCTGAAGTAAACCTTACATTGTCGTTTTTTGTTGTTGGGTAATTTCAATGGTGATTAAACATTTAATCTCAACTTTTAAAAAAGTAGAATGTGTTTAAGTAAACATATCGGTAGGTAATGCAAGCTATATTTAACAATTGTAAGTATAAAAAGAAAGAAACCAGGACATTATTTCACACAACCATCATAAGTACAAACTCGCTGACAACCCATTGAAAAGAGTACTTTACAACTAACACAAGTTTCAATGGACTTGTACTTAGGACGGCTTCTTTAGAAGATAGCCTGGTACCTATGCAAGTATAGTCTCTTGAGAAAATACATTTAATTGACATGCACTGTGTACAAATCAGGTAACAGATCAATAGTATTTTTGTTAAACTCTACTTCAGAAAGGCAAAACCTTTAATTTCATCATCCAATTAAACTTTAAACCTCTGATAAATTTGGCTGGGGCCATATACTGACTTTGAGCTTTCAAATAATTGATGTCATTGTTTCAACATTTGTTAAAGTTTCATCAGCTAAAGATCACTTCAAATGATGAATAGCTAAACTTACCAAGCTAGACTTCCTTCGATAACCCTTCCCTGCTGGCATCCCAGGGGAATCTAAGGCTGCTACGGCATCATCCAAGTCAAACGAGGGTTTGAAACCTGGACGCAAGATCCTGCTAGGGGTACTCTCTCTGCCGCCGGGAGTCTGACCTTTGACCTGGTCTACAGTCTTGTTCGTGATTGGCTGCTTCACCATCTCGAGGGATTTGTTCCTGATGGGCCGACCTGCAGGAGTGGATGCTTTGGACATCTCCTGCACAAGAGACTTCTCATTGATTGTCACACTCTTGGGTGTCTTCGGAGGATGATCCTCAGAAGGCTTTTCTGGTTGCTTCTGCAATGATGGGGGTTTCGTTTGTGCTGGAGGGGCTTCTTCAGCTTTCGGTGATTCCTTTCGTGGTGATGGGTCCTCTTTGGTTGAAGTAGAAAGGTCAGTTGATGCTTTCTGTGGAAGGTCAACAAGATAGTTCTTCTCTGGCCGTTTCTTCCCCGTCCTAGCGCAGTCCAGCAGCCAACTATTCAAAGCAAAGATGAATATTTTAGGGTCAAGTAACCAATGCATCCAAAACCATTACAAACACAAAAGTGAGTGGCCTTTTAGGGAATAAGGAGAGCTTAAATAGTAAAGCCTTAGGAATAATAACATAAAAACATACAATGTCTGCAAACTTCTAAAAGCATCATCAATTGTCCATCTCAATTGAGTACATATCTTTCCACACATGAAAATCTTTTAACAAATGCAAATAAAAACAGACTACCTACAAGGAGATGAGAGTAAAAGGAGGACAAAATCATTTGAACATTTAAATAATTACAAGCCAAGACCACAAAGGGAAGAACTTAATAACAGCCTCACTGAAAATCAAACATGAATATTCCTCCTTTTCTGAAATGAGAGCACATGAGAGACAAAGAATAACCAATATTAAGCTTCTCCTTACTGTCTAGTAACAGCGGGCACCTTCCACTTCTTAGCAGCCACATACTTGGTACCCTCAGGGTCTCTTAGCAGCAGGTGAGTGTTTGCTTCAAGGTTGTTGACAGCTTTCCTAACAAAGTACTCCTGACACCGTGCTCCAAGCAGCTCAGCAATGTGCAGGAGACAGTCACGCTCCACATAGCAGTACTGACTACAGCAGTAGAAGGAAAGGTGGGAAGTTGTTCCACATTACAAACTTATCAAGCTAAACTTTCAATTTTCTTCTTTTTCGCTGAGAGAAGACATAAATAAATAATATATTGCCTCATTTTTGGAGCAGTTGTATTGCAACACAGAAACAGAAAAGGCTATTGGTATTCTAACCCATTGTTACAAAATTATTTCAATCCCATGGGCTTTCATACAGGAGCCACCCTGTTTCCTCCACAGGAACTGGAACATCTATTACCAGATTAGCTCTTTTTACAATGAAAGTTATGCTTTCTGTAACTTTCTTTTATGTAGAATGTACAGCCGGTCTCAATACTGTGAGATACCGCATATATTCTATTCTAGGAAATCTCTTCAGTGAAACTTATTTGTTCTCATGTTTTCAAACTATATGCATATCAAAAATCAGACCTGCAAATTATATTGATAAACTGTTCTAATATATTAGTCTTTTCTTCTACCAGTTTTATCCATGCTCCGATGCCACATACAGCTATTAATTATAACTTTTTTTGTCAAACCTCCATACAGAAGAGACCGCTCTACAAGAAGTACAAACCTTATAGATATGACACAATCCCGTAACGGCATGGCTTCCTTCATGATGGGGATAGGAGTGAAGAGATCATTGCTGGACGGTTCCAACAGCGCCTCTCCTTCCAAAGACATCTGTAGCCAGCAGTTAGTCACTATCTCACCTACAGTGATCTTGACAGGTGAACCAATGATAGGAACCACTGCGTAGTCAGGGATGGTTCGTGTGTTGAGGGGTAATACCACACCTGAAAGAGAGAATATATAATGAAGATTGCATGGTGAGGAATCTTACTTGATCACAGTGGAATATAACTTGACTACAAATTGGCACTAATGGTACATGCACCAATACCAAATTCAGGGAATTCTACATAAAGTAAAAATTCAGGGAATTCATCATAATTTTTTGAAACAAAATATACCACTCCTGTCCGTAATTGACTGAAGAATTTCTTACGCCCACATAAATAGGAATCAGCCAGTTCCCATCATGAAATTGGATAATGAGTGACTTCATCACAACATGCTAGCCTACAGTCACATCAACATAGATGAGATTATCATGTGGGAAGCAAACAGTAATGGTAATTTGTTTGAAAATGAACACTGCCAGAGGAACTTCTGTGCTCAACTACATAAACCCTATACCTCTCACATTTTTGGGGGGTGGGGGGGGGGGGGGGGGCAAGGGTGCAAAAAGATTACTGACAACAGACTTACCTCCTTGACTAGGGATCATTTCACACACTTCATGATATTGCTCAGGAGGGAAACCAGTAACAACAAACTTCTTCCCTGCAAAGATTCCACTCCTTTCTCCATCTCCCTCATCCTCTCCTCCTTCGTTCTCATCTATCTGTGTCTCATCATCATCATCATCATCATCATCATCTCCTCTGCTCTTATTTTCATCACCCAGAGTTCTGTCTGTGTTTTCTTCTTGAATCATCGTGGAGTCGTTGCCTCCTGCACCTGAACGTAATCCAATCAATGAAACATTCAATGGTTAATACAGTGAAACCTGTTTATTAAGATCACACAAAAAAGACACGAAAAGTGGTCTTTATAGGCAGGTGGTATTTGTGTACAGGTTTCTTTAGTACATGTTTCAATGAGAAACCATTTTCAAGGGAAACAAAAAATGTGGCCTTTGTAGACAGGTGGTCACTAAAGCAAGTTTGACTGTATTTATAATGATATAACTCACTCCTAGATTCTAATCAAATGATTGACCATATGCAGTCATGTGTGATTCATTTACTGAGACTATTACGAGTTTCCAGCACTTTTACTTTCACTTTTCACATTGACGGGTGTAGAGGTGAAAATGCTAATCTCTGTGTGCGTGCTAAAGTAAGCCTATTCAACTCGGAGTAAATAGATTTTTCAGCGAATCAAATAACAAAGATCTCTGAGTTTTGATGTATAAAACAAATGATGTGCGATTTCGTTTGGTCATAACAAGATCTATCAGCGCTTGTTCAGGCCTTGGATTTACCTTTCTTACTCGGCCCAATGGCTTTGTCAATTGATGCAAACAGCCTCAACTTGAGTGCGGATAGATCGTACAATGAACTCGATCGTATGCAGAAGCGAAGCAGAGTTCTAGAGATGAGCCTGACCATTCAGAAGCAAAGCAGAATTCTAGAGATGAGACTGACCATTCAGAAGCAAAGCAGAGTTCTAGAGATGAGACTGACCATTCAGAAGCAAAGCGAGTTCTAGAGATGGGACTGACCATTCAGAAGCAAAGCAGAGTTCTAGAGATTGGCCTGACCATGCAGAAGCAAAGCAGAGTACTAGAGATTGGCCTGACCATGCAGAAGCAAAGCAGAGTACTAGAGATTGGCCTGACCATTCAGAAGCAAAGCAGAGTTCTAGAGATGGGCCTGACCATGCAGAAGCAAAGCAGAGTTCTAGAGATGAGACTGACCATTCAGAAGCAAAGCAGAGTTCTAGAGATGGGCCTGACCATGCAGAAGCAAAGCAGAGTTCTAGAGATTGGCCTGACCATGCAGAAGCAAAGCAGAGTACTAGAGATGGGCCTGACCATGCAGAAGCAAAGCAGAGTTCTAGAGATGAGACTGACCATTCAGAAGCAAAGCAGAGTTCTAGAGATGGGACTGACCATTCAGAAGCAAAGCAGAGTTCTAGAGATTGGCCTGACCATGCAGAAGCAAAGCAGAGTACTAGAGATGGGCCTGACCATGCAGAAGCAAAGCAGAGTTCTAGAGATGAGACTGACCATTCAGAAGCAAAGCAGAGTTCTAGAGATGGGCCTGACCATGCAGAAGCAAAGCAGAGTTCTAGAGATGAGACTGACCATTTAGAAGCAAAGCAGAGTTCTAGAGATGAGACTGACCATTCAGAAGCAAAGCAGAGTTCTAGAGATGGGCCTGACCATTCAGAAGCAAAGCAGAGTTCTAGAGATTGGCCTGACCATGCAGAAGCAAAGCAGAGTTCTAGAGATTGGCCTGACCATGCAGAAGCAAAGCAGAGTTCTAGAGATGGGCCTGACCATTCAGAAGCAAAGCAGAGTTCTAGAGATGGGCCTGACCATTCAGAAGCAAAGCAGAGTTCTAGAGATTGGCCTGACCATGCAGAAGCAAAGCAGAGTACTAGAGATGGGCCTGACCATGCAGAAGCAAAGCAGAGTTCTAGAGATGAGACTGACCATTCAGAAGCAAAGCAGAGTTCTAGAGATGGGCCTGACCATGCAGAAGCAAAGCAGAGTTCTAGAGATGAGACTGACCATGCAGAAGCAAAGCAGAGTTCTAGAGATGGGCCTGACCATTCAGAAGCAAAGCAGAGTTCTAGAGATTGGCCTGACCATGCAGAAGCAAAGCAGGTGAATCATCCTAAGGATGAAGCAGAGAGCATTTTTCATTACACTCACCTAGATGAGTTGCCACTGACATCACAAGAGATTGCTACTGCTACAGCTAAGGACCCAGTTCTATCACAAGGGTTGCAGTATACACAGAGAGGTTGGCCCAACTCAGTGGATGATGATGGTCTTAAACCATATTTTCATCGACGACATGAGCTTTCAGTGGAGCAAGATGTCTTAATATGGGGACTAAGAGTCATCATACCAGATTGTCTGAAGACCAAGATGCTGACAGAACTACATGATGGTCACACCGGTATGAGTCGTATGAAGAGCTTGGCTAGAATTTTTTCTTCTGGTGGCCTAATTTGGACAAGAACATTGAATCACTCTGAAGGAATTGTCACACTTGTATCAATATGTGGAGTCAACCCACGTAAGCGCCGCTTCATTCATGGAAATGGCCTTTAAGAGTTTGGGAGCGAGTTCATGCAGATTTTGCAGAGCTAGATGGCCAACATTTCTTCTTACTAGTTGATGTTTACTCCAAATGGATGGAAGTCTATCCAATGAGAACTACAACAACTAGTGCTATGATTGATGTACTACGGCACATATTTGCTACCCATGGACTTCCTGAACACTTTGTATCAGATAATGGACAACAATTCATTTCTGCACAGCTCGCTGAGTTCTTCGAGAAAAATGGGGTGAATCACATTTGAGTTCCACCTTATCATCCTTCTTCTAACGGAGCTGCTGAACGTTGCGTTCAAACCTTGAAGCAGAATCTGAAGGCATACAAGGAGAGTGGTTTGACTACTCAACATCAGATTGCCAACTTTCTCTTCACTTATCGCAACACTCCACATTCCCTAACAGGATGCACACCAGCTGAATTACTGTTGAAGAGACAACCACGTACCCATATGAGTCTCATTACACATTCCTTGGCTGAAACAGTAGAAAAGAAGCAGGCTGCTGCCAAGAGAACACATGACAGAGGACGTACCAGCATTTGTCAGTTTTCACCTGGTCAGCGTGTCATGATACGTGCATACAGAGGAAAAAAACAAGTGGGACTATGGAACCATTGTGCAAGCTTTGGGACCAGTAAGATATGTTGTTCAAGTTGGTGATAAACAAAAACAGGTTCATCTTGATCAAATCATAAGAGGACCCATTAATGACCTTCCTCCATCTACCTTAGAGGATGACGATGATATACCCATTACACTAGCATCACATGACCAGTCTGATTGACCAACATCACCTCCTCGGGAACAAACTACATCCGCAGGGAGAATAAACAGGAATCATGTTTGTGATTGACGTACACCGAACAGGCTGGATTATAAGTAACTATAGAGAGGAGCAGAATGCATGCATATATTTGTTTTAACTCCAAGAAGGAACCTTTTAAAATGCATGTGTTAATTCATTGATTTTGTTGGATCTCCATGTGGAGCAGCATATGACTTATTTGACTCACTACCAGGAGGTATCAATATTTTGGGCTAAGATGGAAACTTTGAAAGTCCTTGAAAAAAGAAAATTTCATTTTGACGATATCGTGATGAATCTATGAGATACATGGAATTATGGAAATGATATTTTATTTTGATGATGCTGAACAAACAATGTGATGCAGAAGGAGTGTTATGTATATAGAACAACATAATAGACATGCCAGCTGCAATGCATACCAATGTAATGTACATGCCAATGTAATGTCCATAGCAGCCAGTGACAATAGGACAATAGATGGATACCTGAATAGCATACCATTACCACTATAGGAAGAATGTCACTGCTGTAAACTTCCAAGCCACTTCACTACCAGCAGCCAAGTAGAAAGGACACTCCCTTAGCTCTCAGGTAAAGCACACATGTTATAGTGCATCAGAGATACAACAGTTCAGGCCGTGGATTTACCTTTCTTACTCGGCCCAATGGCTTTGTCAATCGATGCAAACAGCCTCAACTTGAGTGCGGATAGATTGTACAATGAACTCGATCGTATGCATCATTTGTATAGTATGAACGCATGGTGACCTGCTTTAGCTACCGTCTACAAAGACATATTTTTTGTTTCCCTCTACGCTTGTTTAGATATGACAGGGAATAATTTTCCTGGTATCGCATCGCAATTTGCTATGCATTTTTGCATGACTGCTATACAAAATATCTTTTGTGTAGCAGTTTTCTTCCATAGAAATGTACAGAATTTCATTTGAAATATTTATCCATCGGCTGAAATTGCTAATCAAAAAATTTGAGGAAAATTATTCCCTGTATGATGCTGTAAACTGCCACAAAAATGAAAATGAATGTCAACTGCGAGCAAGAAAGGTCTAGCCCATATTCACTGAGCTGCGCGTTATAAGATAGAAGTGTGAAGCATATTACAATTTACGTCATCATTCAAATTTGTTAAAATATTGAGAAATTGTGATTTTGCTGCGTCATATCTGAACGAGTCTTTCCACTGTAATTCTTGTTGAACCCTGAACCTGCATACAAAGACCACCTTATAAAAGACATCTTTCTTGTCTCTATTTAGACAATTAGACGGTGATGACAGTCAAATTTGACCGATTGCGATATATAACGCTGATCTCAACAATAACATCTCGAGAAGTCTTTATATTCAGATTTGACTGTGCCATATGCAACCCAAATAAATCCTTGTTCTCAAGTTACATATATTGCCATTAAATTGCTTCCATCTACATAAATTAATTCAGTTTGTAATGGATTATGCAAGATGCTGGGCAATCGTCCATTCATAAAGATACATCTCTAAAAACAAGCTTTAGATATTTACCCTTGTATTTATAAGGACTTTGAAATCAAAAGCTTACACTTGCTCAATTTCCCAAAATATGCATTTAGCTTCCTCAGAGGAATTGAATCCTTTCTAAACAGGTGTACTTTCTGCAAGTCTGATGCTTATTAATCAATTTAGGCTACCAAACAAATCCACAGGGATAAAACCCAAGGATCCCAAATTTAAATTTTCATTGTGGGGAAACATTAAAACAATCTCTCCTTGACAATTATAAAAAGTGAAACAAGCACCTGGTTCCTGTTTAAGTCATTTTTTTTTTTTTTTTTTCCTCCAGGTATTCATAGCTTGAAAAAACAAAAATCACCTGTGGATGTAGCATTTGGTAAGTACTGGCTCAATATATCTTCTTCTTCTACAGTGTGTTCATCAGACTTCTTCCTTGCACCTACTTTAGATACTCTCTTTGGTTGTTGATTACCAGGAAGTCTAAACAATGGACAAGCAAAACAAGTGCAATGTATTAACTTTACAAGAAAAAGGAAAATATATCTTTTAACTCAACATAAACAATTACTGAACTACATCATAAAAGCAAATTGTTGTCTATTTTGGTAGTTAAAGAAAAAACACAAATTACATTAACAATGGAGACATATTACATTCTTTGCAATTAATTCTCCCTAATTTCATTACTTCCAAACAAATGAGAAGCTTTAAGATAGTTTCTTGGCAATGAATTTAATGCCAGACTATATAAATCACAATTTGAACACATAGCAAAACCAAAAGAATGTTGCAACAATATGTGCCATCAACTGAGTCAATAGCCCCTTCACCTATTGGTCCTACAACCATAACCTTTTAATTGCATAGCATGACATACAGCTAAATCTTGGGAAACAATGATCTGTGGGACCAACAGGCCATCCCATACCACACATCACCACGGGTAATAAAATAGGCCAAGGATTTATTTTTTCTTCTTCTTCTTTCTTTAGTTTCCTTTTTTTGTAAAACTAGCAATGGGGAAAGGACCACATCCTAAATGAAACATCATTAAGGATATTATTGGCAAATCAAGAGGTTCCTGATTGTAATAATTTTCAACCACAAATTCTTTTAAGAAAAAAAATGAATGAAATTGGATTACTTGAAAGTGATTTCATTCTCCTTGCCAGCCTCTTCAACATCCAGGATATCCTTGAGCAGAAAGTCACCTTCAGAGACTTGTCTGCCTTGCTTAGCACACTCTAGCAACCAGTGGACGGACACTAATAATGGCCTGGTGAAAAAAAGGGAAAGTCACAAAAATTATGTATTTCATTATATAACACAAGCATTATTTAAAGGAAACTTCTTCCTAAAGATTAAAGGCTTCGTTTAACAATGTTAAATCTGAGATGCACGGCCTACGTGTAATCAGTGTCTGTGATATGGTGTAATATTGAAGCCCTAATAAAAAATTGTGCTTCAAAATGATCAAGAAGTGCCTCAAAAAATTAAAAATCTTTGAGTGACCGGTTTTACCATACTCTTTTCCCCCAATAGACAGTAGTGTTATGAACACCGTTTGGCAAACGCAAAATTTGGTTTCGATTTCAAATATCTTGATAATCAGACAGGCGATCGAGTTGTAAAAGTCATGGGGTTCCTGACTGACCTAAAGGTTTATAATGATCATTGCAGCATGAGCTAAATACAGGACTTTGTTTCAGAATCTGAGACAAAGTTACCGGATCCCTTAAGTGTAGGTATGCTGAAATATGAGATTTATTCTTGCCTATTGATGTACAATATTCCTTAAGAAAATGTGAAAAGATATATATAAATGCAGATATTCTTAGCATTCTTATTTTCTTGATAATGTGACATGCCAGGCGAACTTGTACATATATCATGCACCAAGCCTTAGTTGGAAAGACTTTTTAGTTCAATAACAAAAGCTTTACTTTTCAATGAGTCAAAATCATAGCTGAGAAGGTAAAACTTATATTTGGTGAAAACTATATAAACAAGGGAAGAATTGTAAGTCGTTTATTAAAAAATGTTCAAATATAGCAGATAACAAATCTATTTCATTTATACATATGCCTTTGTGCCTCAATACACATTATTTAAGTCACCTGTTACGAATAAATGTATCTCAATAGTCAAGATTCAAATTGCATACATTAGATGGTGCTTGGTAGGACAAACATTATGGCTTGCCCTACCATGCATTAGTTGTATAATTATGCAATACACATGGACACCGACTACTACCGTATGTGGCATTAAAGATAAAGGTAAGTTCTGGTAATGCGATTGCGTTGTGAAAGAAAAGGTGTGGAATGGATCAGAAAAAGTTGATCATATAGCATGTAAATATTGGTGTGTACTGCAAGGTTCTGGAGTCATCAAAATCATCATAAATTTGGCCCAGTCTTGGTAAAGTAACAATCACTGTACACAGAAAGATGTACCGGTATATGGGACAACACAAATGGTGTCGGGGCTAGTACTACCTTGATTTCCTTATTTTTCTATGCTCATTACTCAGCCAGTATACATTTTCTTCCAAAATTGTTTGGCACAAATTTATTTGTAATCTTGAACATTCAGTGCAAGTTTCGTTAGATTATGTGAGAATTCATTTTCTTTTTTTTACCAGAACTCAAGTTTATCTCTAAAGATAAACTTGAGTTCTGGTTCATGGTTATAATTTCTATTATTTTCAAGTATAATCAACTTATTTTGAATGTCCATTCACTCTTCTAATTGTTCATTTGGTGTTGCAAGTCTTATTGGCTAGCTTTTAAACTACATCCCCTCAAAGTCTGGTAATTTCTTGAAATCTTTGATTTAACATTCATCTGAAAATTTGCAGATAATTATGAAACTCAGCACAGGTACAGTATGTGCAATGATTTGTAATTATTTTGATATCGTTGTCTATTTAATATCATTATTCTAAGACAGTTTTTTTGCACACTGGTAACCTCAACATCAGAAATATATTGATGCAAAAATTCTTTATTCTCGAGTTATGACGGGATTCTGCTACATAATTTCTTTAAAATCCAATGATTCACCTTTCATACGTTACACCCTACTCAAAATGAACACAGTCACCATCATCCAACTTTGCTAAAAATTTACATACATGGTATGTCCAACGAAGAGCTACAAAGGTGGTGCCTAGTCTGAAGAATCTTCCATACGAAACACGTCTGAGATACCTGAAGCTACCATCTCTTGCCCATTGCAGAAAGAGAGGAGATATGATTGACGTTTACAAGTACCTCCATGGCTTATACACCACTCAGACAAACCTACCACATTTATGCAAGGAAAACAGAACACGAGGCCATACTCTGAAACTAGAGAAGACATCAGGAAATTCTTTTTTTCGAATAGAGTAGTGGACACATGGAATAGCCTATCTGAAGAAGTGGTTAATGCCCCATCTGTAAATGCCTTCAAAAACAAACTTGATAACTATTGGAAGAAATCACCTTCAGTATATGACTTTGAAAGTTAATAGAAGAATGCAGAACTATTCCACCCTCCACACACACACCTCGACACAAAACCACAACAAACAGAAGTATTGTTTCAAAAGAATTCAATCGATCGATGAACAGGCTCTGTCCTACCAACATCGATGGATTAAAGTAAAGTAAAGTAAAGTAAAGTATTTCTAGATTTTTTTTCCAGTTTTCAAGGATATATTTTGGAAGACTTTTATTACACACGTTTTTTCTGTGTATAATAAATTACTGAAAAGGTAAAACAATTGTGCTTCTATGCTCTTTTAGATAATTATGAATTGGAAATTAATTTTTGACAAAGAAGTTTATCTATGTAGAAGAAAAGATTAGGGAATCTGATTGCTGAATTAATGTGCTGCCTTTTAGTGCAATATACTAGATTTTAGTCTCTCTCTCTCTCTCTCTCTCTCTCTCACATTCTTCTCTTCAATATTTCTTTCTCTGATTAGAATATCTATGAATAATTATTCTATTTCCTTTCTCACCATTCTTCTGAACATTAGTTGATTCCTCTGATTATAACCATCCCTACCTACTACATCACTCGCACTCCTCTCTCTCAGTACTACATGTTTGTCACGCACGCTTTTTTTCTGCAATTCTGGCAGTATAAATTATATATATCTCAAATTTTTATCAGTATGTTTTACCATGTTTGATTGTGATTTTGTATTACTGTAATTGTCAGTTGTCAATTTTTACAATTTGTTATACTGTATACGTCATCAATTCAGCTTTGAATTGCTGCCATTGAAGTTTTTATCTATGAACCATAAGGAATGAATTAATCTTTACAATTTTTATACTGTATACTTCATCAATTCAGCCTTGAATGGCTGCCATTGAAGTTTTTATCTAATAAGCCATTATGAATGAATTAATTTTTACAATTTTTATACTGTATACTTCATCAATTCAGCCTTGAATGGCTGCCATTGAAGTTTTTATCTAAAGCCCCGTCTTGACTGGAAAATAAAGTCGCGACATCCGGACTACATTTACCCCCTTCCAATTAAGACGTGTCAATCGAGGTAAATCTCGCCCTAGACGAGCCAGGGTGATATTTACCCGGGTAAATTACGTCATCGCCCTGAAAAAATGTGTACATGTACACAGCGCGCGCCAGCTGATCACTGGGTGAGGTTTTTGCGGATGGCTGATTAAGACGGTGTCCAAAAGCTCAACCCGTGTTTTACGATCAGACCCCCCCAATGTTTCTCATCCACATGTCGCTCGGGTGAGATCGAAAAAGTTCTATTAAGACGGGGCTTAATAAACCATTATCAAGGATATTCATCCTTGATACAAATCATATCACATATTTATTCCTTTAAAAAAAATTTAAAAACATAGGTCATAAATATCTGTTTTCATTATTTTCCCAAATAGAGTTAAAATTAGCATCTTCTTGCAATTAAAAAGGAAGTAAGACATCCTCATCCTTGCAAATTTGATTCACTCATTACAAAATCTAGTTTCCTCAATTTCATAAATTTGTGATGTCTTTGGTAACACACTTTTTCATGCAAATGAGTTGCTTGTATCATTTGTGGTGCCACTCTCTTTTAATTTTTACATTTTCCAACAGTTTTAGTTAAAGATAAAGATCAGTTCTGGTCATGCGATTGCATTCTGAAAGAAACGTTGTGGAATCGATCAGAAAAGGTTGATCACCTAGCATACAAGTATTGGTGTGAACTGCAAGGTTCTGGAATCAACAAAATGATAAGAAATTTGGCCCAGTATTCGTAAAGTTACAAGCACTGTACACAGAAAGATATGTATATGGGACTATGCAAACGTGCGTTATATCTATCAGGTCCAAATACATAAACTAATTTACCAAATATATCAATAAGTAGGCAACTTCTTGGCAAAATTTGTATCATCACGTATTAGTCAAAACATGTTCTTTCACATGATTGGTAATAAGAGCTTCCAATTCATTTTTTGAGAGGGGGGGGGGGGGGGGGCGTTTCCAAAACTGGTCTTTACCTTTGAATTTAGCCTCAAAATTTCTTGGGCTAATTGTAGGATAAATCTGATGGATTATGATGACTATGTTTCCTGGCCAATAATATATAAATTTCATGAAGTTATCGACTTGTGATGGTTGTGTGAAACAGGCTGTCTCCTTCCTGACATCTCTGTAGGTCGCAGACAAAGATACGACAGTCATGGGGGGTGTTTCACAAAGACTAAGATCGACTTTAAGATGGACTTAGCTATGGCAGGCCATTCATGCCACTGTTTGCTATAATACCTTTTACTGAAATTGGTCTCTCAAAGAACGAACAAATCATGGTCACAAATCTAAATTTTTTGATAATTCATTATTGAAGGAAAATATATTGTCTAAAGATCATAATGGTGAGAGCAAACAGTGGCATGAAAGGCCTGTCATAGATAAGTCCAACTTAAAGTCAATCTTAGTCTTTGTGAAACACCCCCATGGAGTTGGTTTCGTGAAACAACCTCCAGGTAGTCTCTGTATTAAAATCTATGGGCACGTGAGAATTCAGAAGTCAACAGGTTGACATTGTTCTTCAGTTATTCATAACCAAATCCCCATTCATATGATCACCTGTTTGGTAAACCCTTCAACTCTTCAACATGCTCCTCTATGTTGTTTCCGATGATAACATGAGACACATTCTCATTTATCTGATTGAAGCGAGTTCCACCTCCTGCATTCACTACTTTACGAAGCTTCTCCAGATGTTGCCCAGAGAACCCACTCAAGAAAATCTGGAGAGAAGGAAAAACAATTTAAATTCAGCTACTTGTAACTAATATTTTTGTTTATCTAATGCATTAACATATGTGAATACTTTGATGCTTTTTACAACGGCATTACAATCCTGCAAGAACCTATACCCTAGAGGCACTTCAAGTGTGATATAGAGATGGAGTGGATGTTTTTAAGAGGCATTACCTAATTTTTTATTTCATGAGCAGACAGATACCTTTACATCTTGAATAACCCATTTATCTTCTATAATGGGAATATATCTGCTCCATAAGATTCTCAGTACCTTTTTAAATACAAAAACATCCAAGACATGTCAGAACAGAATGAGATTTGATGGCAAGACCATATCACACAATTCATTTTAACCAGTCTGATGGTTTTGATGAACTCCCAAAGAAGAGGGTTCACCATAATATTTTGATGGCATATCACAAAATGGTACATGCCAAACTGTAGAATGTAAACATTCTCCATACAGTATCTCTAAAACAAGTTGAATTAAATACTATAGTGTAAACAACTGATGTTATAAGTTTCTTTCTACAAACAAGGCTTTGTTTCTGGACATTTGCCCTACCTTACAACCATCAAGAAACATCTCTGCTTCACATGCGGCAAGATCAAGCTTTTCCAGCTCCTCTAAGCCACTCTGAGGTCGAGGAGGTGGGGCCAGACGACTGGTTTCCATGGTGATATTAGACTCACTTACAGCCGTCTCATTTACAGGATTGATACTGCTAACATTTATTGCACTGATATCACCAAGGGCTGCAAAGAGATTAAAGAGACAAAATTTGCTCGATATATATCTTTGGATCATAATGATGCAACTATAATGTAGAATCTTGGATAAACAAAGTAAAGAATAGGACGATATCCTTCTTTTCCAGTGGTATTAAAGATAAAGTTAAGTTCTGGTCATGCGATTGCATTGTGAAAGAAACGTTGTAGAATCGATCAGAAAAGGTTGATCATCTATCATAAGTTTTGGTGTGTACTGCAAGGTTCTGGAATCATCAAAATGATAAGAAATTGGCCCAGTCTTTGTAAAGTTACAAGCACTACTATACACAGAAAGATGTATATGGGACAACAGGAACATGTGGCATAAAAATCTGTCCTGATTTTTGTGATGTATTTAGAATATTAAGGCATTTGAAGAGCCATGCTTTTCAGTAAACATTTTTTATCTGATGTTCTTCCACACTTGCTTGATAACGCTCACAAATTATTTTCACCTCTTCCCAGAACTCAACCTTCTCTAAAGGGCCTATCTCACTGAGCAGCGAATGCTTGCGAACGTTGCGAATTTGGATTCGCCAACTTTTCTGACGAATGTTGGCGAAAATCAGAGACAATTAGCAACATTTGAGCGAATGTCTCCGAAAGTGTTTGCGAAAGGCAGTTGGCGACTATTAGCGACTGTAAACAAATGTTAGTGACAACTTTTGCGAAGATTAGCAACTATTTGCCAATCCTTTGCCACTATTTGTGAACGTTTGAGACCTTTTGCTAACTACTGGTACTCAATGGGTCGATTTTATAAAGGAACCATATGGTAACGTGGTCGCTAGCTTTGGCGAAACACAGAGAACTGACGAAAACAAAGAGCAAAACCGTTTAACAACCGTTTGCAAAGGCTTACGACTTTTTTTTTGCAAACGCCTGCAACTGTTTGCGGAAAAATAAATTCGCAAAGAAATTTTGAACATGTTCAAAATTTCTTTGCGACAAGAAAAACTGTTTACAACAAAGAAAACTGTTTGCAATCTTTCTTGCAACCTTTTACAACATTTTACAAACTCTGGCGAAACCCCAAATTCGCTACGTTCGCAAGCATTCGCCGCTCAGTGTGATAGGCCCTTTAGTTAAGGACATTTTTAGGCCGTTGTCATTGGAAATTTCTTTATCATCTCGACTTAAAATGACTTATCTCCTTATGTTTGTGGGGGATTTTCTCAACCTTCCACAAACACATTACTTCTATTTTTCTTTCATTCAACAAAAACTCAATGCAAGGCTCGACTTCTAAGCAGTAATGTGTTATAAGGCTTTATTTTCATGTTAGTGGTTTCTATTATACAGAAATATCATTCATTATTTATAGCAACCAACAGATGTTTTATTTTTTTAATTTTTAATAACTCTAATTACATAAATTGCTTCAACACATACAGGAAATGTATCATTGTTTATGTAGAAGAAGTAAAGTGAAACTGAACTTCTTGATAAGAATAAACACAATATTGATTTATTGACCCAATAATTACAGCAACATATTATTACAGTTCACTGAGTTCAGACTAGGCAAGTACTGTACTGATTTAATTCATTTTCAAAAGACAGAAACCTAACCGAATCTAACATGATAAATTTAAATATCGTTGACAAGGACATTTACAACTACATGTCTTTTCTCATTTTATGTTAATTAAAATTAAACAGTTTTAAAAAAAATATATATTTCTTTAAATCATTCTTAATCAGTGAGCTTCAATACATATATTCATTTGCTTTGTGACATAAACTGATGATGCTTGATGTAGGTAGCTGTCATTCAAAGGCCGGGGGGAGTGCAATACTGGCCATTCAATAAACACAGGATTACACAAGCCTCGCCCTGTCAAAAACAGCCAAATTGGAGACCACTATAATGAGGGAGTTCGTACACACTGTTCTTTACCGAACAACTATCTTCATATTAAACCAACAATTTTTCTCTTTTTAATTATTCAATGTAAAAAAATGAATTGTTCTGAATTCTTTTTTCCTCGAAACACCAGGTTTGGGAAAGTCTTTATTTCTTCAAAAATTTGTATTGTAAAAACATTTTTAAATATTATGCCGTTAGATTTTATTTTGAGCTTCAAACTCCCTCAATACAATGATTATAGACAGTTTACGTCACAAAAAAAAGTTTTCTAATACACAGATGTGATTCCTGCTGATCAGCATGTATGAACTCCTGAGCTTGAATGTATGTAAACATGCAGATCAAAGATAGGTAGCTGCAAATAAGCCGGGGTAAGTGCAATATTTTCATTCGAGACAACAGAACATTGCACTCACCACGACCTATCTGACAACCCCAACATAGTACACCAGCCAGACTTCATACACCAGCCGCTTGGTCAATGTCTTGTTAAATAAACCATCTGTCAGGATGATGGATGAGTCATCAACATCTGTTCATTGTCTTCATCAGTGGAGAGGTTAAGTGGCTTTTGACTACTTTTGTCAAACATACCACTTTGGAAATATCAAAAGAAGATAACCATCAAAGAAATTTACATCAAAATCTTATTAAATAAAGTTAAGAAACCATGGTAAACTAAGTGTAACTGGAAAAGAAATACCCTGTTGAGAGCATATCAGGTTCCACTTTTCAATATGTTCAAACTTTGCCAGGTTTGCCTACAGTACATGGCTCTCTTTGGAATTCTTTGGCCAAACTCAAACCTTGCCCCTGAACAATTTATGATTTGTGTCAATGACACACTTGAGCTCTGCATACTTTCAGAAGATGTAAGTAACTGCTACATATCAGCCGGGGTAAGTGCAATACTTGCTGCAAAGCTGTCACAGAATTACACTAGCCTCGACCGATATGAAGCAGTCTTCTCCAGGTAGGTGACGGTGGGCCCAGGAACATGGTTCATCGATATCTTCTCTCACACAATCCACTAGGATTGAACTACCAGTACTGCTGTAACTTAATATAATCCACTTATACTCAGAGCTGCCAACCTCCAGAACAGAAAATCAGTAATCACAAGGCTCAAAATCAGTAATTTGGGGTATAAATCAGTAATTTCTTATGCGGCGCTATGAATCTAAAAAAACGACACGCCAACACTGCGCGGACGCATGATTATCTGAAATTTTTGGTGATTTTACTCACACAAAGATGTTAAGTATTGAATTTCAGGTCATCACAACACAGTTTATCATGAAAAATGGCTCCTATTCACAGCACTCGCTGCGATAAATCATATTCAATTCATTAAAAAAAAAAAAAAAAAAAATTTTTAAATCCGTAATTTGAGACAACATTCCGTAATGGTCGTTAATTTCCGTACCAATTACGGAAAATCCGTACTAGTTGGCAGCTCTGTATACTGTCTTGAAAGCTACTTGTTTACAAAATTTACAAAGAAGTTATTTCATTGAGTATACATCATCGTTATTTCTTGATCAACCCAATAGAAAATCTGCATCCATGTGCATTTAGGTGAAGGAAAATTTTACACAAAAACCAATTTCCTATGATTTTCTGTAAGAATTGTTTAAGACTTACTGCTGAGCCTTTGGTTTTGATTAGCCTTGACTGGGGTAGAAGTTGGTCGTTCTTGTGAGAGCACATTATAGAGTTGTTCATCCAGACAGTAACCAGCCTCTATACTGTCATAAAACCACTGGAAACAAAAGAAAACAAACAGTGCTAACATGACACATAATGAAGACATTTTTATTTTCAGATTAACTGAATTAACGAAGGACAATAAACAACTCAACAGGCATCCCCTGCACATGACCCCAAAAATGTATATCTGGAACCCACCCTGTAATTTCAAAATTTTAAGAGGACCTCCTGACAACAGATCTTACCAATTTCAATGCATACCCCCGATGTAAAGACTGGAGAACCATGAGAGCAAAATTGTATTCACACATAAAAAGATAAAAACACTAGCTTATTAATCCTTTAAGAACCATATCTTAGAAACTTCTCATAAAATACATGGCTGAAATATTGTCATGGAATATGATTTATAAATCTTTTCCAAAACGAAATTAGGAGATTAATCAACTTACATTGATTGAAACTGTATGAATCTTCCACTTCCTAGCAAATTCAAACTTTGGGCCTCGTGCAGCACCTACTATAAGATGGGTACACTCGTTGTACTTAAGCTCTCCTGTGTAGTAGCCACCTAAAGAAGCAAAGGAAAAGACATTCAGGTTTTGTTCATCTCATTAATTTTTTTTGTCTTTGTAGTTGATTTATGGTTTGTTTCGTTTGCCCTCAAAACATAATTGCAACACATGAATTTGCTCTTGCCAACGAATGATAGTATGTTGTTACACAAATCCTTTGCTTCAGCACAACAATTAGCAGGAATAAGTATGTATGCAGTAAAGTTGTTCTATATATCAGTGTGACTTAATGAAATATTGGTAACGGTGCATTTTTTTCAGAACCGATCAAAATTTGAAAGTCCATGAATTTTGTGTGGTTGAAGAAGCACATAATACCGTATCGGCGCACGCCAGACCAACTTCATCATTGAACTTACCAGATTGAGGCACACGTTGCCTGACATCTTGTCGTTGCGAAGACTCCACACCAGTCACACAGATAATGCACCCTTTGAATGCGGGACACCTGTATTCACTCAGGAATGCTTCGGATGTTGCACTGAAATGCCTAGATTTGAAGAACAGAAGAGAAAAATAAAGCATTATTGAGGCATATTTTCTCATTTATTGTGATGTCAAATGTTTTTTCCTTATTATTAAGTCCCTTTCAGATTGCCATGCAAAGGAATAAGGCAATGATCTCTACATATGTAATATTCATCAATATTGAATATGAAACCTGAAGAGGCCTTTGAAATGAGAGATATATTTCAATACATGTATATTTGATTCAAAGTATTTGCTGCAATAATGAATACCCCTCTCCCCTCCACCCTCCCCCCCATTTATATTTTTATCCATCAACTTACCTGGTCTGACTCTCTTCCCATGCTACTTCTATCCAGTCTGGCAACATAATCTGCTTCTTCAGGTTGGCAGCAACCTACATGATTTGAAAGAGAGCAAAATAAGACATTTACATAATGAAAAGTTTCAGCTAAGGACGGGCAGCACTGATGTCTGCTCAAACACAAAAACAAGACAATGCAATGAGTAATTGTTTGCCTTTAAATCGTTCTTCTTCGCTACGAATTATCATATTTACTATCATTAATTTTCACAATAATTTCATCTCTGCTTACTTTACCTCCTTATGCCGATACATAATAATTGGTTTGCAAATTGACGAACAAACTCAAATGCCCAAAACAATGGCTTCCGGCACTCAAGAGGACTCATCTACACTAATTACTTCATCGCACAAGATATTGAAGGTAAAACTTACATGATATTTCTTGGAGCCAACTTCTCCTACGACCAGATGAGTGACCATTTCAGTCAGGTCCTTGGAAACACGCCCTCCCATCCATTCCAATAGCTGATGGATATGTGCCTAAAAGGGAAAAACACAGAATAAAACATTTTTCAAAATGTATTTAATTTAATACATGTTTACCTAGCAATGAACTAATACAGAATCGCAATTTATGTTTTGACTGATGAAATAAATTATCTGTAACAGGTGAATGAAATGATACATAAACAAGGCATGTAAGACATATTGAATATTAATACATTACCCAACAGGCGTTTTGGAAATGTTATTGGTTTAGTGATTTAATTTCTAGAAGTTACCAGAATTTATATCATGATTACAATAATAAAAGGGGAGAAGTTGTCTAAGCTGACTAGCATAAAATTAAAATACTTGATATGTAATTTAGCAAAGAAGTGTGAGAAACCAATTTGCATACAACCACCAAAAAATGTTGTTGAGAAACATGAGAACACACGCAAGTACTCCACAAAACAATTATTTCACACATAAAATACAAAACTTGGTAAAATAATTCCCCTGTTCCTTTACAAAAGCTTACCCTCTGTGCCTTTTCTATGCTTGAGCAGCTGACCACTACATCCTGCATGGCTATGTTGTTGATTGGATGCGGGACATTGGGAACTGCTATCTGAAGCTCCAGACATGATACAACACACTGAGGTCCTACAATCCTGCATAAAATCAACAAAATATAAAGCAATTAGGTGAAGGTAGTAGTATGAAAAAAAGAAGTCGAACACAATGAGATATACCTTCTACTACATACCTTGTAATGCATACCTTGCATATCTGGTTTCATTAAAATTGGTCCAGATATTAAAAAATAAAATACATCAAAGCCAAGTATTAAAAACTTGTAAACATCCAAATCCGCTTAACACTGCAAGGCAATATGAAGCCAATGTATTGAACACAAGTCCACAAGTAATAAAGCCAGACACTCTCCTCATTTGTATTGATGCTACAGCTCATTTGCTGACTACTGAAACCTGTGGCACTGGAGGTGAATGATACACTGGACATCTCACCACCAACCCAACCCATCCCATGTAATTTATGAATGAATGAATGCCAAAAGAATTATAAGCATAAAGGGGGAGCAAGTCATCAATAGCATTTTATCACAAAGAGGTAGACTGGTAGCATAACTAAAATACAAGCATACTTCACTTCCAAAGCTGGGTATAAAATGTACAGCTGCACTACACACATGTATGCAAATTGGATGCATACCTTTCATAACAAATGACAATCTGTCTGAGCAGAATGGCTAGGAGCCTAGGAGGAATTTGATTGACAAAGGAACCACTGACCTGTGACATATTACGATTAAATAGATTTCATCTGCCTCATTTAACAGCTCATTTACATATAAATGATGAATGTTTCTTTTCACTATGTCATACAGCTGTTCCACCCAATTAAGTTCTCTTGCTTGAGATTTTCCCAAGCACCTTATAATTTGCTGGGAAATTCTTATCTTCCACCTCATATGACATTACTGTGTTCACAGGCAGGGAAAGAATACAAACGTTGAGACAGCTTAAAAAACAGGGGTGACAAGGGTCATTAATACCTTTGCCCAACCCTAAAAATATACCTCAATCTCTTTTTTGAAATGCTTCTATAAAACAAATTGCCCCCAGCAGACTCTTGGACATCAATAAATACTGCCCTTCCCATCAATCTTTCTAAGCAGTTTTTAGATAAATTTACCTGCACTTTATATTGGCCAAGTGTTCAAAAGCTTCCCCAGAAAACTGACCACAGACATATAGGTGCTTGTCCTTGCTTTTCAGCTGCAAGACATCAATACCGGTGATTTTCTCTGTTGGAAGACGGGCACTTTGGACCGACTGTAAGAGAAGAAAAAAAAAAAAAATGGTAGCATTAGGATTTCATTTTTTGTCATAATTGAATATTTTTCAATAAAAATAGTAGTTTCCTCTTTGTGCAAAAATAGTAATGGCTATAAAGTCCTACTTGGCATTCAGAATAATGGTTTGGCATAGAGGACTCAAACAATCCTTTGTTGTAAAATAAGTTTATATTTGTAAAAATGCACTTCACACAAACTGTTCCGGGGAGAGATGAAAAAAAAATTGTGAGCATTATCATTGTTATTATGCAAGTGTAGAAGCACATTAGAGAAAAAATGTTACCTGAATAGCATGGCTCTTCAAATGCCTTTATATTCTAAATATGACAAGCAACATCTTAAAAATGAGACCACATGTTTGTGTAGTCCCATATACATCTTTCTGTGTACAGTGCTTGTTACTTTACCAAGACTGGGCCAACTTTATCTTTAAGACTTCCAGGAAACAGAGTATACAATTGCGTTCTGCTATTCAAGGAGGGTGGATAACATGAAGTGTGAATTTTAACCACAGTAAGCTGAAGGCTTTTGTTATTTAAACTGGTAATTTTACACTGGTTTCCAGGCTATTTCTTACCTGAGCTGCTTTTAACATCAAGTCCTGCTCCACGGACCCATCCACCACAAATTTCACCTTTGTGCTCATCTTTCCATCTGAAGAGTTTAGAGGAAGGACTAAAGAAAAACAGATATAGACAAGAGAAATTCACGATACATCAGTTTATGGGTGGACTTTATTATTATTATCTTTAAAAAATGCATCATTTACTTACAGTGTATATTGTACACTGCATAATATTGTCACTCATGAATTAAATTCAAATGAATTTAAGATAAGCACAACAATCTCTGAGCCAAATTTCATAAATTTTGTCAGTATATTTCCTAGACAGGAAGGCAGATATTATTCAAGTAGTTGGAATAGGTTTTTATTTAGATGACATTTTCTCTCGATATGAAGATTCCTCGACCAGTGTCGGGCAAGTTTAAAATTCACAGCTGTTTCGTAATTTTTTTCATAATTTCATAACCGATTCCAAAGTAAATCTATGTATGTCTTACCGATTAGGTTTCTGTTTCTATGGTATTTGTAGGATCAGACTTTCGAAATCGGACTTAAAAATTATTTTTGAGGTATGGAACCCTCAACAAATTAAGGTCAAGCGCAATTTATGGTCACACCATCATCAATCAAAAAAAATTCCATGCAATAATACAGAAACTTTTTTTGAAAATTATGTTGGGCAATATCATCACTGACAAATAGTCATGGTGGTTTGTCTGTTAAATGCTTATTTTTCATGCAATCCAACAGCAAACATGACAGCTTTATTTTTGTTGTCTGTAACAGATGTGGGGGAAAAAAACTGACGCAAATTTGTTTTGATTTCATTCTGAAATTTGAGCAAAACTAGGGTCTTATTCTACCTACACAAGTCAGACTGACTTTATGATTCAATTTCAAGTTAGTACAAATTTTGTGAATCATTCACAACCTGCCCTAATCAGCTGGTCCGAGAATAAGGATCATTCGCATAAACGAGGATCGTCCGCATTTTCGCAGACGTTTCATATTTCCGATCCGCTCGTTGACGATGCGTAAAGCAAATTCCGCAAGGCGCAATGATTTTCTTGATGCATTTTCATTGACTTTTTAGAGAGACTTTCACGTTTAATATGAGCGATAAATTCTCGGGAAGTCGGACAACCCATGAAAGAAGACGGTGAACTGGGGTCATTTCTTACACGGAATCAGTTTTGCGCGCAGTTCAGGAATCCAAAACCAACCCACAGAGAGTTGATGAAAAAAAAAACATCCGCAAAAATGCAGACAGTCCTTATTTTTTAGGATGCAATTTGTCTGCATAACAAGGAAATCCTTGTTCATGTAGACGATCCTCATTCTTGGCCCAGCGCCCCTACTGCTAATGATCATGCTGATTTTAGATCCTGATTGTTCAATGTCACTCAGACTAAGTAAGTCAAGAGTCAGAATGTCACACACTACTCACTACTCACTAGACACAGGTGTCACACAAAAAAGCTTGCAAAATGCGATCTCTCCATCTATCTATCCATCTTGCTTCTGGGATTGAAAAATTTAAAAATACCACAGTAGGGTCTATAGACTACTAGTCTACATACTGATTCAAAAACACATCGAAACTCAACTTGCAATTGATCTACGTTCAATAAAGTCAATAATGTTTGACCAACTTTTTTGACAAAAATCAGATGACCCAAAGTCCCAAGCATCAAACATGCATCAACACAACTCACCAAACTTTGGTCCAAAGTCAAAGATTCACCATAAATAATTCGAGACAACTAAACTTCTTCCAGTTCTAAACATTAAGTTGTTTTCAAACCTCAACATACCTGCATTTTTCAACAATCCATGACATAATTCTACATTTCATTTCGAGTTAATTGCCACTTGTGTCTTGACAAGCCAAATTACTCGGAGCCGAGTCCAACAGCACTTGTTTGACAGCACATGCGCTTCCAAGCCGCCCTGTGTGTGTGCTTGCAGCGTGCAAGGGACTCCTGAACCACAATACACACAGCATCAAGCACGTCAGAATCGACACGAACCCGAATACACACACAAGTGAAACACCACTCTTCCGAGCTACCAACACCACACAAGATCTGCAATCCAACTTCCCCATCACTTACTTCGCACCTCAAAAATACCACTTACATTTACTGAAAATCAATAAATACAACCATATAGTTACCTCTGATAATACTTGATGAAGTTAACAAACTTTTCAAAGTGTATCATATCACATGTTGCTCTTGATTTTGACAAATCTTTTCGAAATATTTTCTCCTTGCTCCTTCCCGCCTTCCGCCATGATGTCTTCAATCCTTTTAATTTGAATGCAAAAACGTCGTGGGAGGTGAAAACGCGCGCGAAATGCACGAATCGGCAGCGTGCATACGCCCTCTTTATAATGATCTTTGAAGCTTTCAATGGAGCTGTTTCGCATTCCTGAGCGGTGATTTTTCAGCGGGGCTTATTCATTGTTGTACCGTATATACCGTCCCTAAATAAACTAAGCATTCAACCGTGCAAGCTAGTTTACCGCGATCACTTTTTTTGTTTGAGCTAGGAGGAGTATCAGGGAGTATATTGTTCAAAACCGAGATACAAATGTACAATGGATATTCTTCTTCTGGTATATATTCGAGAAAAGGAGGCATGGGGGTTGGATATTGACCAACTCCCTTGAGCATGCCCGTTCTTTTGTTCTCTTCTTTGCTTTTTGTTTTCCAATTTATTTGGTTTTTCTGTTTTTTAAATCATTTTATAATCCTTTTCATATATCTTTTCTTTTCTTTCCTTTTGTTTTGTCTTACTTTTTCCTTTCTTTTCTTTTCAGTGATTTTCATTTCATTTAAGTATAATTTCCTGCCTATATCCTAGTTTTGATTTCATATTCTTATCTATTTTATTCTTTTCTCTCAGTTTCATTTTTGTTGCTTAATTCGAACACTTTCCATTTTTCTTTCTCCTAAAAAAACTATAGCTTCCCGCTTTTGCCCGGCTTCTCTCTCTCTCTCTCTCTCTCTTGTTCCCCCTCTCAGTTTTTCACTTGACAATGCAATATTTAATTTAATATTGCTTATTGAAATAGTAAGCATCATCAGCAAGTGATATGAAATGATAAACCTGTTCAATTCAGCTTTGGTTGAAGATTTAGGCCTAGTTCAGGGGGTGTTTCACAAAGCATTTTATCAATGACAAAAATCAGTGACAAATCTGCTGATAACCAATCAGAAGCAAGGATTTCAGTAGCTTATAACAGAAACTGTCATTTGTCACTGATGACAAGTTTTGTGAAACACCCCCGGCTGAACTAGACTTCTCTCATCATAGCACTGATTTGAAAATCTGGTTGTGCTTTTACTGATTTTCTTGTCCAAATCAGTGATGGGTTTATATAGCGAGGCCCATCTTTAGATCGGACAGCTCTCAAATAAACAACTTGATTTATCTATGTAAACAAAATGGCGGACTTAATTCTTAATAGCATCGAGTCACGTTTTAGGAGATTACCCGGACCTTCTTTCTGATAGTTCAGAACTTTGCACTTTTTAAACCTACTTTTGAAGATAGAAATTCATTTCATTTGCTATTTTAACATTTCATGACCCTTTCATCATTCTCCCGTTTTATTTTTTGGCATCCTTAATTTGACCTCTCTCTCAATCACGACCCCCTTCCCCATTATCTCTATTTCATCATGTTTCTTTCTTTGATTGCTCAGCATCCTTAAAGGTAGTGTATCCCTTTTGCAACATCAAATTCTGTATAGACTTTGCAGGAATTATGAATATAATTTGAGGGAAGTTCTTAATTAGTATTATCTTTCAAGTTGGAATTTATCCTTTTCATTTTCGGGCCTGTAAATATCACACCACCCCTCCTCATGCACCTCCTCTCTCTCTCTCTCATTGTGCACTCCAACTCTGCATCTCTTCATCATAATTTGATTAACCTCAATCTCTACTCTGCTCTTTCCACAGATATACAAGAGTTTTAACATGGTATGGTTTTCACTATACAACATTTTATTGTACCACTGAAACAATTCTTGAGTTAAATATCAGAAGGGATGCAGTTCTACGACATTATGTACTTTTACTGAGAACAACATTTCATTAGAGTTACTGATCCATCCATTTACTTGCTAATTACTTTAAAACAACAAACTTAAAAAAATAAGAAACTTGCAAATGTTCATGTCTCAAATTGAAATAAATCAGGTTTCTGAAAAGCGTTTTATAAATACCATGTATTATTACTGAAACACTGATTTTTTTGTAATGGTTTCTTGCTGTACAAGGTACTCTTGTCATGGTGTACAACATTTGAGGAGAACTAAGGCCAGTTAAATCTTCACAGAAGTTGGCCAGAATGGAATTGAAGTAAGCAGAACAAATGAGTAAAAGAAAGTTCATTTACCATCTTCAATGATACAGAGAATCTCCAACTAGCAATTCGGTTATGGCGTGCTTATGTCATAACTAGACTACTCTAGTTGTTATGGGCTGAAAATTAATAAAAAATCCTTTCTTTACTATCTATCACGGAATAGACATACTGTCATATGATGTAACAGAAACTTCCTTTAATATTCTGTCCAATTCGAACCTATTACTTACTCTCAATGGAGAGGTCAACGCTCCTGTATGCTTTTGAAAAGTATATGGTGTTACAGCACAGGAATCACCAGTGATTTATAAAAACAAGCTTAGCAAACATTTTCATGCCTAGAATAATGAAAAAAGTAAATAATTATTTCCAGTTGATCACAGGTTGTGAATAATTCTACAAAATACTATAATAATAAAGGGGTTTTCATGGTTCATGTTGATGCTTCTCAGGCACACATTAATATTAAAGGTAATACAAAGTTTTGGGAAATTTTGAAAATTGGGTGGATAGTGATTCTTCCCATTTTGATACATTTGGATGCCCCTGTGGATGTATTATAAGCACTAGAAAATTTAGGTCCTAAAACACTTCTGCTTTCGAGAAAAATTGAATATAAAATTTACCAGTGCTCCCGGTAAATTTTGATAAATTTCAAATAGCGCCTACGGCCGTACAATAGTAGATGCGACCATGAAAATCTCAGAATATGTAGTTGTGATAACACATTTCCAAACAGAAATAGCTAATCGGTCGATTTTAGTCAAGAAACATTGTTTTATAGCTTAATTAATATCTTGACCTCGAGAGGGAGCTATACAACATAAAGAGTTTATTATTTACAATTTCATAACTTTAGGTTCGATTTCATCCGCGACAACGATCACTGAAAATTTACGATCGCATATGATTCCAATGTGTTTATTTGAACCAAATTCATGACCCCATACCAAAACTTTGTATTACCTTTAAAAGTTGACACTATTTTCCTTCAGACTGCATTACGGATCTTTCCTTTGATGATAGAAAATTTCAGAGAAAATGGCAATTAAATAAACGGTCTCTGATTGTCTTCATCTATCGAATCACGGTCATAACTTATAGATTTTTGCAGGTTAACCTAAGTTAGCTTTGGATGTGATAAGTTGTCATATTATATGAAGTAAAATGTTTTGTAGTCATACAATGTACTTACAAGTCGGAAACATGTGATGATTTAATTTGCAGTCAGCTGACAACAGTTGCCACTAATTATTTGATAGCTGACTGGCTAAACAAAGTATTCCCAAGATGAAAACAAAAAGAGAAACATAAAGACCCCCAAAATACAAATAACAACATAAACACATTGTGGATTGACCACATAACCACCAAATGTTTAAACAAATTCAAATGCAGTTTAACAGTTTTAATATGCTAACAAAAATGGAATACAAATTTGTCTGAGAGTTCAGAAAAATATAAGAAAGAAATTCTGGTTCTCAGACACCAGACTCAACATACATTGCTTTTTAATGGGGTTTGTGCTCAACAAATCACATGATAATGATGAATTCTGGAATGGCCACCTTATGAATAAACACAGGCAAATTTGGTTTTAAGTCCTTGGTAACAAGTACACATTAACAAACAAAAGAGAAAATATCATCCTTCTTGTCCTTGTCACTATTCTACAATCCCATTACTAACAAAACGTGTCAGACATGGTACAACGGGTTTCATCCTAACAGCCTTTGTCTATAACTTCCTCCTAAATATCATCCACCTTAGTAAGCCTTGAAAAATCATTCCTTCTGGCTTTCATTCTTGCTTCTCTCTTCTTTTGATACATCATCCTTAGCTTTTACTTCTGATCCAGCTTTCTCATCCTCTACCTTCGGTCCCTCTTCACTACTTATTTCCATCAAGTCTGTCCCTTCCTGAACCACATCCTTGGCTGTTTCTTCTGTTGGTGTTCCTCCCTCCTTAGGCTTTTCCACTGCAGCATCAGGTGTTTCTTTCTCTTCCTCCGTTTCATCCTGGCTTGACTGGCTCTCTTCTGGTGACTGAAGTAATGCATCAAGGTGACCCTGGAACTTCTTAGGCTTACGAGGTGAATCTGTGGATGAACAATTTACAGGCATGTGAGAAAGGTAAAAAAAAAAAGGAAAGCTGCAGCATGCTCTTCGCACCAGGCTAGCAGCTGGGACAAACTGTTTCCAAAGGGGATACGACAGCAGCAAGCCCCCCTCTACATTTTTAAAATTGTTCAATGTTAATCAATGACATGTAAATAACAACAAGAAAATACAGTACAAAATGGTGCAAAACTGTGTTTGAAAAAGCAAACAAAATATTCTGACCGAGCTCATCCAAACATCGAATCAAAGGCACAGCTGCAGCAGCACGCCGATGCAACCGGCTATCTCCCCTAGAGCTTTGGCGCATGATTGCTAGCCTACTGCAGCTAAGCTGCGGATCTTAGTTCACACACGTGTGCAGCGATCGACAGGGAAACCAGATTTGCTAGTCTCTACCACAAGGCGTTTTTACACATGAATAATAATTGCTCACGTAATGAAACATGGAGAATGCATTTATCTTTTGATAATAAGCATGATAATAGACTAGCACCCCCCCCCCCCCCCCAGAGTAAAATGTGCGGAAAGCTAAATGCAAAATGTGAGATCTTGATTTTGAAAACAGGTTTTTTTATCATAACCGCAAACATCTCACATGCATCAATTTAAGAAATGTTCATTTGATGAAAAGGTACTGGGCTGTTAACAGATCTTGGGGAACTTTAATAAGAATTCATTACAATTATCACATGATATTACTGTAAGATAAAAATCTTTTTAACAAATTGTTAATGCCAGCCATTTTTACAGCATGAAACTCTCTGGAATTGCAAATATTACTAAGTGTGATTTATCTAATTCATATTTCTTATCATGAAATTTTACGAATGTTAACCATTTCTCAAATTCAAGAAAATTTCATAACATGAAGGTTTCTGGTTCTTCAGTATTCTAAAACAGGATCTTTGCCTGAAACACAATCTCAACCCTACAAATAAGGACATACCAGTATATGCAATTAACTGTAGATGATCTTCCATTGCTAAACATGACCTCACATGTAATCAGGCTACCTTACTTTTACTGTGAACATTTTTACCTCTCAAGCAACACTCATCATCAAAGCAGAGTTACCAGATAGTGTAACTCCGTTAATTCATTCAGGCCCATTATTTTCCACACACACTCCTAAAAGCCTGAAAAAGATTATAACAAAGAGGTGATAAGACCTGAAAACTGGCATAATAGATCAATACAGAGTCTTACCTTTCTTCTGCGATGAGGAGGACGAGTAGGAGCTGGCCTTTGCAGCCTGTTCTACAGCAGGTTCCACACGCTGAGGAGGCATTGGACCTACATCCTGCTGGCTCTCCTGGACTGGTTTGATGCCTGGTACATCACTGGGAGGTCTGCGCAAGACTTGGGTGTTTGGCATAGGTACTGCTTGAACCTGCATACAATACATAAAAAGATGACAACAGTTAGGAACTGTTTACAATTTATTTCCAAGAATGCAAAATTCAGAATGAATTGAAGAATACATGTACAGGTGCTTCTTAGCTTAATGGTTCTTAATTTACCAGAGACCAAGTCAGAATGAAACCCATTGGAGATTCATAAAAAGTGAAAATAAAATCATATCCAATGAGCTAAACCTTTTGGACCCATCACACCTGCTAGCCATTTTTTGTTCAGAAATGTCATCCACAAAGCAAACAAAATTTGGGGATTTAAGTTTGACTTTTTTTACACATCTGTCTATACTCAATCAATGTGTAGGCAACTTCCTTAAGTTCACTTTATTTTACTTTTATTTTTTCTTTTACTTCTTCAGGAAATTCAGGCCAATTTTCTCATTATTTCATTAAATAAAAACAGTGCACTCAAGAGCAATCTGTTATCAATCACATCAAATATGCAACTTAAATTATTATAACCATATTATCAATGAATACAAACAATCCTACAAAACATTCCTAAATCATTAACATGAAATGAAGAAGGGCTGTACCTGAGAAGCCATGACTGGTTGTGCAGCAGCATGTGAGAGAAACTTGGCTGCCAATACAGGCCTTTGACCAGAAGCCCAAGACTGTGAATAGTCTGGGAACATCAGCTCATCCCATTTGATCTCAACCTTCTCTGCACACAGCTGTGAACACAACATGAGAGGAAAACTAGATGGAATTTTGACTGCGCGCAGTCGAAAATGATGCCTCCGCCATAGAGCAATTTAAACAGTTTGGAGTTTAAATCTCCAGTGGTTCTTGAGATATCATGATAACAATCTCAATGTATGGAATTTCATAAGTTGACCTCTGTGACCCTTGACCTTTGACCTACGTGCTCCAAAATCTAATCAGATTGTCTTCCTATGGTGATACACACTATCATTAAGTTTGAAGTTTAAATCTCCAGTGGTTCTTGAGATATTATGATATGGTGATACATACTATCATTAAGTTTGAAGTGAAAATTCTCCAGTGGTTCTTGAGATATCGCGATAACGATCTCAATGTATGGAATTTCATAAGTTGACCTCTGTGACCCTTGACCTTTGACCTACGTGCTCCAAAATCTAATCAGATTGTCTTCCTATGGTGATACACACTATCATTAAGTTTGAAGTTTAAATCTCCAGTGGTTCTTGAGATATTATGATAACAATCTCAATGTATGGAATTTCATAAGTTGACCTCTGTGACCCTTGACCTTTGACCTACGTGCTCCAAAATCTAATCAGATCGTCTTCCTATGGTGATACATACTATCCTTAAGTTTGAAGTTTTTACATCTCCAGTGGTTCTTGAGATATCATGATAACGATCTCAATGTATGGAATTTCATAAGTTGACCTCTATGACCCTTGACCTTTGACCTACGTGCTCCAAAATGTAATCAGATTGTTTACCTATAGTGATACACACTATCACTAAGTTTGAAGTTTAAATCTCCAGTGGTTCTTGAGATGTCATGATAACAATCTCAATGTATGGAATTTCATAAGTTGACCTCTGTGACCCTTGACCTTTGACATACGTGCTCCAAAATCTAATCAGATCGTCTTCCTATGGTGATACATACTATCCTTAAGTTTGAAGTTTAAATCTCAAATGGTTCTTGAGATATCGCGCTAAGAAACTCAATACAAGGAATTTCATAAGTTGACCTCTGTGACCTGCGACCTACGTACTCCAAAATCTAATCAGATCGTCTTCCTATGGTGATAAATACTATTCCCGAGTCTTAAGTTTAAATCTTAAATGGTTCTTGAGATATTGTGATAACGGTCAAACGGGACGGACGTACGGACGGACGTACGGACGGACAACCCGAAAACATGATGCCTCCGGCACCACCTTCGGTGGCGGAGGCATAAAAAGTCACATTATTACACACAAGCAACAAGATGGAGATATTGAATGAGTTTATCTCCTTTGCCATTGGCAGGTAAAGATATTGAGAGTTGATCAATGAGTTTGTATTCAGAATTGCTGCTTTTCTTCCCATAACAGAAAAGGGCATCCTCTTTGTGAAACTAATCACATGAAATGTATCTTCATGCCAAATTAAACAATGGAACAAGCAAAGAAGGCAAAATTCAACACTCAAAAGCTAGTTTATAATAATTTTATTAAAGAGTTGGTAGCAAGGAAGGGGTTACGAAGCACTTGAATTAGAATTACACTGTTACGGTGATGTGATATATACCTCCCCCATATCACATAGGGACACAGCATAGGTGGAAATAACAACTTATCCACTACTGTTCTGCTACTGGGGATAAGGGCAACATATTGTTAATACTGTAGAACACATTCTAGGAAAATCTATAATGTTGTTCAGAATTCTGAAAATGGAAGCACCAGAACACATTTTGATTCAGAATTCCCTCTTCACAAACATTTCACTTTAGCTAGATCAGTATCATCATGCCAAATCGATAGCAAGAAAGTTGTTGAAACTAAACTTTTGGGAGGTTACGTTGTATATTTTGTACCATACAATGTTTTAGAATTTATGCTTGGTTACACATACACTTTTCAGTAATACGAGTATTACATTTTTCACTATGGCGCCAGGAGTGTCAATTCTGACAGATATGGCATGATACAGGCATTAGTTAAGTGCAACACAATGTTAACCCGGTTCCTGATGTATAATTTGAGGAAGTTCTCACCTTTTTCATCTCAGCAGTGAAGTTCTCACTGCACTCAACAAACTTTCGTTTCTTGCCCTGGTACTTTTCTTCAATAAGTTGCAACTCGGCTTCCAGCTTCTTCTGTTGAGATTGAAGAAAAAGAAATAGATAAGTCCAAGATGTTCAACTTCTCCAAAGCTAAATTGTGAGAAAACTGTATAAATAAATAGCATCATTAAGTGCATGTTTTTATCTTGAGCATTATTTAAAGTGTTCTGTAAATAATTTAATATTAATATTTATTTTCAAATTTAATTCCATCACATGGTAAAAGCTAAACTTCAAGAGTTACAACATATTTTTCTCACTATAAAATGCAATACATTCACATCTGTGTCACAATATGTTTCTGATCTGAAAACTATACTTACTCTTCTTGTATCCTGCAGTTTCTCAAGAGAAATATATATTAACTTGTGTCTGATCCCCTACCAAACTCTAGTGTCCAACAATCATATGAAACATGTATCTGAACTAACATTAATCAACCGTATTAATGCTGTTCTAGAAGAGATTTAATGCAACTTGGCCTTCAATAAATCTGTGGTCCTTGTTAAGCTAGGCCTACTACAGGCTTCTTTCAAAATCATGGGCCTTAGAGTCTGTCAAATCAAATTGATTTACTGACCTGATGTACTTTGAGAGATTGGACCTGTCTCTTCAAGATCTGCATGCGTTGGTCAGTAACGACAGTCCTAGGGTCAGGTACCACAGCATCACTGAAGATCTCATTGATTAATCTATGGTTACGCTGGAAGCGAGCTGCTGCAATATGCTTTACAGAATAGCCATCCTCTTGATCTGGGATTAGGAAGAATGTAAGGATGAGCCATAAATAGACTGAGTACCATATAGGGAATTATTGCAACAATATATTTTATCAGACCAATACCATGGTTATGAATTATAACAAGCAAAGACTGAAGTAAAGAGCTCCTTAATAATGACATTTATTTCTTGATTTATCGATATACCTGACATTTCTTTACCTTGGATGTGAGCCTTAGGTTCTGTTTCTATACAACCACAAGTTCTCAGATTGTCAAACAATATAAACACAGAATATTTCTAACATGTTTCTGATTATTCTTCCATGACTATGACCATGACCACCTGGTATATATGTTGTGCTTTATAAATGCCTGCATTATTATCATTACTAAAATATGGCCATCACAATACAAGTAAAAGCTTTGCATTTGAAAGTATATTTATATTCTTGTATCTACCCAGCAACAGTGACTATTATGTAGAAAGAATTTAGTACTGGTATGTTTAAAGAGCAATCCATCCAGAAGCCTTTGTTCTGATGCACTATTCTTGTACAGTGTAAATACTTATAGCAGAGCTTATCACAAGCAATTATTTACTAATGGGTTGATGATATTCATGGCTCAACACTAACAGGCGCCGTGACACATGGGCATCAAACAAAATCTAAACATGGAACCCTGAAAGTTTCAAGTTTTTACATAGGGTTTGTACATACAGATTGTAAAAATTTCAATCCCTATCTTCCAAAAAAAAATTGTGAGAAGCCCTGGATATTAACTAACCATCATCATCCTCAGCAGCTTGCATGCTCATTCTTGGTTCTGATTTGATAGCACCATCCATCTCAGACTCCTGTTCTATGGCCTGCTGAGCTGTAAATAGATAAATACATTCACATCAAATGAAAGCAATATATCTGGAGGTTGTTTCACAAAGCCTTTTTTCAATGACAAATGACAAATATCAGTGACAAATCTATTGATAACCAATCAGAAGCAAGGATTTCAGTAGCTTGAAACAGAAACTGTCATGTGTCACTGATGACAAGTTTCATGAAACGGGGCCCTGATGTGAAGAAGAAGTGGCATATCATCATTCAAAATTGCTAGAGTTAACTCAGTATTAAAGAGTACAAGATCAATGCTGTTCTGACTCTCCGCAAATGAAATGTTATTAACATACAGGCCAATTTACAACATAGAAGTTAACATTACAAAACATGTTAACAATTCTTTTGTACACATATTATTTACTCTGGGAGTTATTATATGGTTGTGAGTGGTTTGGTGAATCCCTGTGGACTGAATAGTTGAGTACTTCCTCAAGTTTTTTGGTACTCTTTTTTAAGGATTATTGAGGTTGGGAACAAGCACTAGACACTTCAATGTTAATTATCCAAAAGGGACAAAGATTTATTTATTTAGAATAACATCAAGAAATTGAAGGTACCTTTTCCTTTAGCCACCATCCACGCCTGATAAGCTGGTGAGTTGTGATAGGACTTCAGCGCTCTGTTGTACTCCTCCTGTGAATATCATTCAAATGAATCAGTACAAACAAAGTATACTTGGCTGATATATTCACTCCCTACCAACATCCCTGAGAAGTTTGGACCCATCCTCTGTTGAGAGCCCTAAGGGCCCTTCTGGCTCCCAGCATATGTATTATTTTGCACAAGTTCTGAAGAGAATCAAACCATTTATTTTGGTTAACATGTTGATAACATATTGATCACTAAGGTGATGAATCTTGAGCCAAGTTCTATCTGTATATGGAAATCATTCTAAAGGTATGTCTCTTGAAACTGATAAAAACTGCATGACCACACCACATAGTACGATTCACAAAAGTGCATAATTTCCTATGGACAGTGGAAATTTGCACCAATGTGGTGGTAGAGGTATACATGTACCAATGTCTGAGGAGTAACAGAGCAGTAACCCTACCTTTTCTGTTTCATATTCTTCTGTGAAAACCTGCTTGCCCTCTTCAGCTAGGTCTCTCCACATCTGACCAATGATCTTTCCGATCTCCCACAGCTTCAAATCCTGGTTGTCATTCTTCACTTTCTCCCACACGCTGCGGCTGTACCTCATGTAAGGCATCAGGGGCTTGTCAGGTGGTTTGGGTGGCTTCGGGATGCGGGAGTCATGAGAACCCTTGGGGTAGCAGCAATGAAATCTCATTAGCTTAACAGAACACATGGATACTTCTACTGTTCGTAAATTCATAAAAGACTAGTATGGCATGCTAATTGCTAATCAACAACGATTTATATATCCAATAAATCATGATCAATGCACTCTTGTATGTGCTTATTTAAAATGTTCTTTCAAAAGTGCAAGTATGTCTCCTCTGAATCATTTCTTGCAATCAAGAAGACAAAACTTTTCATGCTCTTTATCATTCCCATCAGGAAATCAGCAAGGAAAAATTGCTATGCACAATCAAAATATCAAAATGGGAAACTACTTATATTCAATTCATGACATACAGGTGGATTTTAAAGCCAAATAATTTCTGACTAGGGTTAAAAACCCTTACATGTTTTGCAAAGCACATCAGTCTCATATGAATGTATTCTTTTCCACATTAATAATCCTAAATATGAATTTAATTGATATTTTCTTACCCCTTTGGCAGGACTGCTTGATTTACCACCGGGTGCAATAACTCCAGTGGTTGGAGTGTTAAATGGACGAGAATGGGCTAGAGGAAAAAAAGAGAGGAAAATTTACATTCTAAATTGGATAAAAACAACACATGTTTTTTTTTTTTTTTTAAGGCATAAATGCATATCTCCTAATATAAAAGGCTTCTATAAAAGTAGTTCCTCTATACAAAAATTTATATTTTTCAAAACATCAAGAATTTATTTTCATGAAATAACTAAATACCAGGTACTAAAAGTCTAAGGAAACAGGATAAAATGCTATGAATGCCCCTAAATGTTGATTAAGAGACAGAGTCGCATAGACTTCTCTTCGTTCACTAAACATAATTAATAGCTGGAATTGGAAAGATATTCAAATGAACAAGAATATACAATTCAAGCAATGAGACTCAACATCAGTTATCATACAAAAATTAAAGTACTTACAGGATTGCGATGTATTCATGAATCCTCCCATGCTTCTTCTGGAAGCTCCAGACATCTTGGATGCCAATGATGACCTAAAATAGGTAATACCTGTGAAAGAAGATATGAAATTAAGCCTGGGAGAGGGGGGGGGGGGGGCACTCACATATTAAGACCTACAGGGGTGTGCCGCTCTAATGGGTCACTTTTTCATACAAAAAAATCTCTGATTATTGGTCCCATTGTTAACAAAATATATCCCTAAACATTTAAGATGGGTTCGCTTTTTCAAAATTTCCAAAATTTTTGGTGGTTTGCATGGCAAACACTTGAAAATTGTGAAAAATGGGCTTCAATATTTCAGGAAAAATCCCCCAAAATGACCCTAAAATATGGGTGGGGCTTCAAGGCTTGAGCAGCACAGCCCTGTCCTAACCAAATCTGAGAACCCACTGGAATTAAGGCCTTCCACAAACAGTAGGGGCTCTGGTCCGAGAATAAGGATCATCCGCACAAACAAGGATTGTCTTCGTAAACATGGACAGATGCATCCACAAAAATAAGGATTGTGCGAATTTTCGCTGACGATTCTGATCCGCGTGTTGGCGATGCGAAACATGGGTTCCCCGATGAGTTTATTGATGCATTTTACATTGACTTTTTACAGAGACTTTCACGTTATAAGCGATAAATCCTTGGAAAGACTGACAAGTGACAACCCATAAAAAGTAGACGGTGGACTGGCCCTGGCCCTGGGGGTATTTTATTACTTACGCAGAATCCGTTTTTCACATCGCCAGCGTGCGGAACGGGAACCTGAAACCCGCATAGCATAGCGTACTAGTACTAGGTCTAGATCTAGAATCTAATGTTAAGCATACATTTTGTCCCCTATTAATATTATTACGAGGATATTCTCGTTTAGACAATGGCATGGCATATGCTGACGTAGACCGAATTTTCCGTCTCTTTCGTTCGTTAGCCTCTTATTGGGGTAGGGTCGGCTCTCTCTTTAGAGACGGAAGCCGTTTATACACATGTCCCTGCTAACGCCACGGCCAGTTCTGGTCGTAGCGTTTTGCCCCCAAAATCCCCCAAAATGTCATTTTACCTCGAGCATGTTATATTGTAAATTAGGCCTAGGCTATAATAAATCAGTTCCACTTACCAACTTGACTGAAATAATCAGTTTAATAGTCCCTTTTTAGGAAATTATGGGTCAAAATCGAAATCCATTTTGAAAATCTTTTTCAACATGGATTCCGATTTTGACCCATAATTTCCTAAAAAGGGACTATTAAACTGATTATTTCAGTCAAGTTGGTAAGTGGAACTGACTTATTATAGCCTAGGCCTAATTTACAATATAACATGCTCGAGGTAAAATGACATTTTGGGGGATTTTGGGGGCAAAACGCTACGACCAGAACTGGCCGTGGCGTTAGCAAGGACATGTGTATAAACGGCTTCCGTCTCTAAAGAGAGAGCCGACCCTACCCCAATAAGAGGCTAACGAACGAAAGAGACGGAAAATTCGGTCTAATGCTGACGATCCTCAATCTCGGACCAGCGTCCCTACTGACAAACACCAATCGATGTACTGTGAGCACGTACTGGTGCATGGTGCAGAGTTCGTCCAACGCCAAGTCAAGCCACAGCTAAGCCGACGAGACGGCGATGCCACACGACAAGTTGCCGCAGCTATTTCAAGCACTGCGGTGCATCATCAGTTGAACAAAGCAAAGAGAGCAAATGCCAAAAATAGTTATTCATGATTAAAGACCAATAAATTTGTATTAGACCATAAACTATACATAATTTTACTTGTATAAATACTGAAAGGAGTTATACATACACTCTCTTAAAAAATTAACAACATTCTTGCTCCTAGACGTGAAAAATTATACCTTTTATAGCAGAATTCCGGGTTTTCTTGACTCGATCGCAGAGAGACACAAGCAGCAGGCCTTTCGCATTAGTCTAATAATCAGCCGTCTAATGAACTTTCGTGGAATAGTCTAAAAATCAGCCGTCATTAGGATGTAAAATACTAGTAAATGTCCTTCAGTCAAAATAAAGCGGCAGTAGGGGGCTAGGAGCCCGGGGGGGGGGGGGGGGGTACTCACAAAATCAACAGTATTCTTGTTCTTAAAAAACACCCAAAATTGTGACAATTTTTTTTTCTCTCGAAAAATATGTCCCATAATGACCCCTTATAATGGGTATAGGGGTTACTTTCGAAGCTTTATCGACACACCCCCGTCCAAACCAAATCTGAGTAGCCCCCCCCCCCCCCCCAGTGGCGGATCCATGGGGGCCTCCATGTAAAAACATGTTAATTTTACCTTTTTTTTATAGATGGGCTGCCTCTCCTGGCGCTCAAGGTGGGGGGGGGGGTTAATTTTCGAGGGTCTCAAAAAAAAATCAGTGCTCACTGGATCCGCCTCTGTCCCCCGCCCCCCCCCCCCCATCCCGCGTTTTTACAGTTCACATTTTCAGGCAGCCACCACCTCATATTCGGGAAGCGTGGTTTTTGACGAAATTAGATTGATGAAATGCGTCAGGCTTTTTCTCCTCGATCGTTCCCGCTAATTTCATACTAATATTAGACATTGTCCCCGAAAATGCATATACGCCTCCAGGAAAGAGTTGCTTTTTTTTATAATTAGGCATGAAAGTAGGTTATGAAAGTTGTCTTCAGTATAATGTATTAATTTTTTATAAAATAGTAAAACTGCACCATGCACAAGCATCGTAATATATTCAGGTACTTCATATAAGAGGCACCAGAAACGGTAAAGAGGCAGATACCAAATTTCGATGATTCAAGGGAAATCTGCCCCCATGCCTCTTCCATTCATTTTTTTCATTCATATAAGCATATTATAGTATAGAGCATCATCAAATTCTTCTGTGCTATAAATTGTCCCACCACGTGCATCTTCTATAGGCCATCCTTGTATAATGATATGCAATGTATAGGCCTGACTCGAGTTTCTTTCAAAAGTAATAAGATATATTGCGCGACTGAGGGATTTCAAATCTAATCAATTTTCAATATTCGACTTCAACCACATTTGTTTTGAATATCCTTGCAGAAAATAATGTGTCTTAAATTACATCATCTTTTGTATTATGATACAATTAATTCAAGTGAAATTCTGCCATTAAATTGTTGGGGCTCCCAACACTTTAGAGGGGCTTTCCTTTGTTCAATACAGAGTTATTGGTGCATAATGCATCATAACACCTGGGAGATTTCGAAATTCAACACAATATACGCCCATCCCTGACTAACTAAACCATGCCCCTCCTCCGAAAGTGATTGGGATGATGCAATGTTTGAAAGGGAAAGGCACCCCCTTGTGTGTTGATCGTTTTAACCTTTTCTCCTGTTTTTCATTTCATCATTTAATTATTACCAACCAGGCGTGGATCCAGGATTTCTTAGGCGGGCCAAGTTTGAAAGTATGAGAGCCAAATATTGGTACGTAATGGTGACACCGGCAGTGGCGAAATGAGCAAAGACGTTTGAGGGGGGGGGGGGGGGGGGTAGACAACAAAAAATCAGCATCACCCCCAATCTTACATGCAGGCCCCGCTTAACATTTCTCTAAGTAGGGGTGGGGGGGGGGGGGGTTGTATTTACGATCAGCGTAGCGTAAATTGGCGTGGAGTCTATAGGGGCGAAGACCCGGCGGGGGTCAAGGGATGGAGCACCCAGAAGCCCATGGGTTATAGGCATTTAATTACGGTCATATGAGCATATTATGTTGATACCTTATTTGTGACACTGGCAGGACACAAATTGGAGTGGGGTCTATGGGGCGGAGCCCCCAGAAGCTCACGGGTTTTCATTATAGATTACCGTCAGATGAGCATATTTTGATACCCTATTTGTGACACTGGCGGGTCACAAATTGGCGTGTGGTCCATGGGGCGGAGCCCCGGAAGCTCAGGGGTTTTGGGCAATAAATTATGATCATTATGAGCATATTTTGATACCTTATTTGTGACACATGGCAGGACACAAATTGACATGGGGTCCAGGGGGCGGAGATGAGCATATTATGATACCCTCTTTGTGACACTGGCAACTCGAGAAATGGCGTGGGGTCCATGGGGCGGAGTCGCGGAAGCTCAGGGATTTTGGGCAATAAATTACAGTCAGATGAGCATATTTTGAAACCTTATCTGTGACACTGGCAGGTCACAAATTGACGTGGGGTCCAGGGGGCGGAGCCCCCGGATTCTCAGGGTTTTGGGCAATAAATAACTGTCAGATGAGCATAGTTTTATACCTTATTTGTGACACTGGCAGGTCACGATTTGACGTGGGGTCCAGGGTACGGAGCCCCCAGTGGCTCAGGGGTTTTAAGCAATAGATTACGGTCATAGAGCATCCAGGGGCCCGCCTTATAGGGCCATTAGTTGGGTTCAGAGGGCAGAGCCCCGGATGCTCAGGGGTTTTGGGCAATAAATTACGGTCAGATGAGCATATTTTTATACAATATTTGTGACGCTGGCAGGTCACGAATTGACGTGGGTTCCTTGGGCGGAGCCCCCAGAAGCTCAGGGGTTTTAGGCATTTTATAACGATCAGATGAGCATCCAGGTGCCCGCCTTTGGACCCTAGATTGAATCCAGGGGGAAGAGCCCCCAGAAGCTCAGGGGATTTAGGCATTTAATCACGGTCAGATGAGCAAATTTTGACACCTCATTATTTTGTGACCAAGGCAGGTCACTTTTCCTTCTGCCCCCCCCCCCTCCAACTACAATTTTTTGGCGGGAAAATTGCAACTGATATCCCTTTCTTCTTTTCTTTTCTCCCTCCTTTTTTTCCTTCCTTTTATCTCCTCTTTCCTTTTGTCTTTACCTTTCATTCCTTCTCTCTTATTTTTCTTGATGGGGGGGGGGGGGGGGAAGTACTTTGATATAAATTTGAACGATCTCCTTCTTTTTCTCTTTCTTCTTTTCTTCTTCCTCCTCTTTCTTTCCCTTTCTCTCCTCTTTCCCTTTCCCTTCTTTTCCTTCTCTCTCTTTCTCTCTCTCTCTCTCTCTCTCTCTCTCTCTCTCTCTTTTTGCAGGGGGGGGGGGGGGAGGCAAGGCCCGCTCGGCCCCCTGGAGCCGCGCCTGTTACCAACCAATTAATATTTCAGATAATTTTTTTTAGCTTATGACAATAACCATACATTTGGTGAATGGAACCAAGAATTAGAAAAAGCTAGTCAAGGTTGATTCCGTTTTCTCCATCATTGTTTCATTGCAGCCTGATTGTCATCAAATTATTTTTGAATGTGAGGTTCTGGCCAAATGGGTCATAAAGTTCGTTTTTATCTTTTTCTGAATAGCCCAACCCTAGTACAAGAAAAAAAATTATGTTTTCAAATTTAAATCGTGCACATCGGTCCAACCTTAATTGTGTTTTGGTTCCACCTTCCCTTTATCAAAGAATAACGAGCAAAACAAAATAAACTTAATCAATTAAATAAAATAGAGCCCTTGCTTGCCGTTATATGTTGAAAATGAAAAATGTTACCGACATAAAGGGGCGTCTTATGCATGTTTGCAGCTAGCTCATTAAAAAAAAAAATTGTACAACGCTTTCAAGTTTGGTTTAGCGCCCCCTCGCGTTTAATTTTAGACGATTCATTTCGATTGATCCTGATCTTGTGTCTGCTAGTACCAGTAGTGGTTCTCCGAAAAGACCGACACGATATTCCTGTTTTCCTTGTGAAAACAGGCATTCAGCATCAAAATGGTGTTTGAATCCCTTGTTGCGGACCTTCTGAACAGGTTCCTCGGTCCTTACGTCGAGAATTTAGACGCTTCACAGCTAAAACTTGGCATTTGGTCCGGTAAGTTGTCCCATGTTTTCGTTCTTGTGTGTGAATCTGTCACTTGTCAGTGTCAGTACCTGTAGTAGGAGACCAGCCTGTAGGTCCCGTGACCAATCTCGGGGAACAAAGGTTTGAAAGTGTTATTGTGTTCCCTGATGAATACCGAACAATTTTGACGTGGGCTGCCCCTTGAAAATCCCAGGCATTTTTGTGAGGGGTCAACAAAGGTCATACAGGGTTGAAATTCAAATATATTCCAATCGTGTCGATATGCATATCAAATTACTCGTCTGGTCATGAGGATTCAAAAAATGTATAGTTTGCTATACCTCAGACCTTAAATGAGTGCGCTTTGGTCAAAAACGTTGAAAGGTCAACATACTTTTGACTGGTGGTCAAATTCACCAACACAGTTAACCTTATCAAATTTCATATCAAATTACTCGTCTGGTCATAAAGATTACAAAAATGTATAGTTTGTTATACCTCCGACCTTAAATGAGGACGCTATGGTCAAAAAGGTCAATGCACTTTAGACTGGCGGTCAAACTCACCAACACAGTTTACATCTTCCGATTCTAATGATTTTAGTGTCTAATAATATGTTTTCTGACTTAACAAATTCAACAAAGCAACTTTTAAAATCAAAAGTGGTTGCCATAACCTTTAATTTCCCCCAAACCCATGGATAAGAAGTTATTAAATGTTTTGTCACCGAAACGGAAGCCATTTTGAATGTACATGGTCAAGGTAAGCACTTCTACTTATGAAAGTTGTATAGTTGAATCTGCCATGTCAGAAAACATATTATAAGACAATAAAATCATTAGAATTGGACAATGTTAACTGTGTTGGTGAATTTGACCACCGGTCTAAAGTGCATTGACCTTTTTGACCATAGCGCCCTCATTTAAGGTCGGAGGTATAACAAACTATACATTTTTTGAATCTTCATGACCAGACAAGTAATTTGATATGAAATTTGATAAGGTTAACTGTGTTGGTAAATTTGACCACCAGTCAAAAGTGTGTTGACCTTTCAACGTTTTTGACCTTAGCGCCCTCATTCAAGGTCGGAGGTATAGCAAACTATACTTTTTTTTAATCCTCATGACCAGACGAGTAATGTGATATGCATATCGACACGATTGGAATATATTTAAATTTCTACCCTGTATGACCTTTGTTGACCCCTCACAAAAATGCCTGGGATTTTCAAGGGGGCAGCCCAAGTCAAAATTGTTTGGTATTCATCAGGGAACACAAAAACACTTTCAAACCTTTGTTCCCCGAGAATGGTCACGGGACCTACAGGCTGGTCTCCTACTACTGGTTGAGCTGAGCTGAGCACTGTCGCCAAAATTGTGCACGATTTATAGGATCGTTTGTTTGGTGAGCTAGCTGAGAATGAGAGCTGAGTGAGGTTGAGTGAGGTAGAGGCTGACCTCGGAAAGCACTGTGTTGTCACACATACAATCGGCTGGTTTTCCCCAGTTATATCCAGTTCAATTTTGGGTACTTTCCTGTAGTCAGCTCAACTCGAGAGATCTATCATCAAGCCTATTTTGTCTATTAAATTTATTGCAGTTTTTGTAAGCTGCTGCCTAAAATACTCAGTCTTCATTGCTCTTGAGTCTTGGAATTCAATTCTGGTAATGAGTCTGTACTGTAGCATGTAGTAAAGACAGTGTTAGATCCGGATCCAGTGTTAGATAAACAAACATGAATAAGAAAATGATCAGTGAAACTGAAAGTTTAAGAAGCAGAATTTAAAAGTTTAAAACTGTAAATTTTCTTAACTTGTGTAATTTATAATAAAACTAATAAATATTGTATAACTTGGCATCTGTTTGATTTCTCATTTGGCCAACCCTCTGGCCTGAAGTTCTTTTTGTGTTAATATCACCTAGACTCTATATTTTCCCCCAAAACATGTGCTGGTACAAGAGCCATAGTTTATTGGACTTTTATCGATTTCCCAAGCTTTAAGTTTAAAATAGAACAACAGGTATTGAAGGTTCAGAATTGTCCCAGTCTATCTGCACTAGTTTGGCCAGGATTACTCCCTGCATGGTCACTGGCAGGTGGTTATTTCATCAAATCAGCTCTCAATAACATAAGTAAGAGAGAATCATGGGGGATGAATGGGTACTGCTTTGGCATTGTTGGCTGTATGGAGGGCGTAAGTAGCTACAAGAAGTGCAGTCCTGTTTTAAAACAAATTACCCCAAAAATGTGATAATTCAAAATAAAGTTAAATGACATTTCTCACTCCATCAAACCGTCTTCCAATAACTCAATCCAAATTTGTCATTTGCCATATCTGACTATATACTGTATGCATTATACTGTAAAGTATGCCTTTATTTCATGGTATTTGTATATTTCTAGCCCAATTATTTTGAAAACACAATTTCCAACATTCGTCATAGTATTAATAGGAAATGATTTCAACTAGAATTTCTAGAAGTATAAACAAAGCTTCAAAAACATGCCTTTTTGGTGATTGTTTATTGACAGCCCAAATGTCTTGTCTGGACTAAAGAATTAGTACCAGTCCTATATTGCAATCACAATACTGTGTGTATCAGGTGACGGAGGATATGCTATTTACTATCCCTACTATAGTAACACTGGCTGATCCAGGCTAATCCAGGTCAAATGTGGGGCTTAGTTAGAGTAAATAAAGGAGTGTTGATGATTAAAAAGGATTGGATAATGAAGAACTTGACAGCAAAGAAAAGAATTATATGCAAAGGAATACCTGGTCTCTTTTGATCACATGACTTTAGGCTAGATGATATCTACTCTACATAATCATCCAAGTGAAGAAAGTCATGCAAACAAATAACCAAAGGCATACATTGAAGAGGAACTGAACAAATAGAGCAATTTTTTATTATTCGAGATAGATCTATTGTATTTGTTTGCAAAGGAGAACTCTGGTAAAAACATGTTGCTCTCAGTTGAAGCAGCAAAATCTGGAGAGAAAAAATATTTTAGGAAAATGGGACATTAACAGTCTGAAATTGAAATAGCTGTTGAATGGATTCGGGTTTGGTTAAAGAAGCTGTTTAAATTTATATAATCTCACTTATTATTCATGAAGAGTATTTTTTATGTTTGAATCTGAAACCATCAATTACTTACTTTTCTCTAAGAGATTGACATTGATTGTATCATGTTTTTGTGCATAAAGCTTTTTTTTCTTTCCGTCTTTCAGATTTATATATATTTAAAAAATTAGATAATTTTGTTTAATTTAGAGATTTGTCTGTATAACAACCTGTTAAAAGTATTTGTTTCTTGATATTTTAAGAAAAAGAAAACATTTATCTTATATAGTTTTATACATTATTTATCTCTAGATACAGTACATTATGTTGGGTAAAGGCACACAGTGATACATGTAGGTACCCCCAAAATAATAAAATACATGTAAATCATATTCAATGAAGGTACAGATGACAACAAAATTATTCATACCCCTTGTCAATTTGATGTTTTTTTGTGTATTTGTCATTACTCAGAATGAAAGGTAGACTACAGGTAGTTGAATTATGACCTTTGTTGAATACTTTAAGGTACAAGCTTGAAGTGTCACATTCTCAAGAAATATAAATTGGGAAAAATCAATGATGATATCAATAACGATATCTTAACCTCATGCCAAGTTGTCATTTTGTCAGTATGTTTCAATAAGACAGCACCTTCATGCCAAAGGGGAAAAAATGATGATATAGAAATGCCTTTCCCCTTTTTCCTGTTTCTTGTGATATTTCTGCTTAGATTGAAATCCTGTTTCTCATCAACTTTCTCCTCTTCTTTTTTTCTGGGGCCTGGTGGCCCTTAAACAAATACTGTTTGATTGGATTGGAACAGATGTGTGGGCTGATGCTGTATTAGCTCTTTTCCCTTTGAGATGAATAGAATTGAGTTTCTGGAATGTATTTTGTTAGAAGATTGATATAGCATTGTATAAATCCTCATGTCTGCCATACATACAGGCTTTTTAGGAATGTTAAAGTTAAAAGAGTGAACACAAAATAGTGCATTCACTGCTTCAATTTTTCAAATTTATATGATTTTTTTTTTCATATTTCATGCCTTGAATAATTGACTGCCTTTGGCGATCTGTCATATGTTGCTCCAGTGCTCTTGAAGAGTAGATAATATAAAGAGACAGTTTTTTAACCTTTGTGTCTCACTAAGTCGCTAGGACTTGCCCTCATCTTGAAAAACACTTTGGTCTACATTGTATGATCTTCTTGCACATTACTTCTATCTAACATCTGTAGGGGCATTCACATGCAGAGAATTGAGTAAGATTTAAATATCAATAATTGAATCAAGATCAGAATATCACTTTTTTTTTTATGTCTGTGAATAAAAAAATCTCACTAATAGTGAAATTTTGGAGATAAATCTAAATAAAATAAAAAATGTCGATTATATTGCAGTCGCTAACTTTAGCAGTCATCTATAAAGACTGCCATTCCACAAAGATCTCCCCCCCCCCCCTGTTTCCTTTAAATAATTTTCATTGCAACGTGACTTCAAGGAACCTGCACATAAAGACCAACTGCCAACAGAATCGAAACCACTCTTGTCTCTCTTGAGTGGTCTTTACGTATCAGTTTCAATGTAGGTCTACATAGTGAAAGGATTAGACTCTGACCTCCTTATTATGCTTTTGCTAGGAAAGGGTTGTTTCATGTCATCAACACAAGGATGGACTGCCAATGAATGTATAATCAATCTGAAGCTTCTAGCTTTAGTGTTTATATTCTCTCAATGATAGAGACATTTAATTCCTACATTTAGGCCCGAATTCACAAAGGAGGTTTGTCGACAAACCTTGGTTTTTGTACGTCATATGATGCGTTTTACGCGTTTTTTACAAACCTGGTTTGTAAAGAACAAAAGGAGGTTTGGCGAAACAAAAGGAGGTTTGAGCTCAAACCTTGGTCTGAGCTCGAACCTTGCTTTGTGAATTCGGGCCTTAATGTTCAGGTATTGACCCAGATAGGAAGAAAGGTTAATCTACATGTAGACCTACAGTAGCAGGCATACATATAAGCCACTACTGTACTGTCTGTCAGGAAATGACATTCCCCTGTGAAAGCACAGTACCATTATGTTTATGAATTGACCCAGCAGATGTTCAAGCTGTCTGCTTTTTCTGATCATCATTATGTGCAAATGACCTTGTGCTTCACTTTTAGTGCAGTGGAGAGTACCATAATCCAGATCAAAAGGTTTTTGATGAGGTTTATATTGGTAGACAGCACTGTCCACTTGGTGGTTGCAGAAATCGATATTCCCTACCTTATATTTTTTGCGAGTTCTAAAATTTGCGCTTGCCAATCTTAGCCCAAAATCTGTGAAAATTAATGCACTGCAAATATTTCTACTTTTACAGTATTTTATCTAAGATACATACTGTAATTATCCAACTGTATTGTTCAGTTTCTCTTTCAGCATTTTCAGGCAGTTAAATCACTCTCATGGGCATAAAAGCACAAACATGTCATAATAAATGTATTTTTGTTGAGAGGAGCTCATCATGAATTCTATATGATACACTTCAAGATATATTGATATGTTTCAAGTTCTTTAGAGAATGGTATTGGTAGGTTTAAGAATCTATTTTATGATAATTTCAGAATTATACAGCAATTAGTCTTTTGTAGAACAGTGTGAATCGGGTAACAGTACTTTCACAGTGAACATTACTCAATTGTGGTTGTAGAATAACTCATTAAGCCACATCTAGTCTACATGGTCAGCTGGTACTCAATACCATGACCACACATTTGGAATTAGCTAGCATTTTGGCATCATTTGATGAGGCCTTTATGTGGGTTGAATAGCATTTACATCTTCCCACACAAGAAATTTACATGGAAAAGGCACCTACATGTATGTACATCGACATCAATATCACCTATTATATATTCTTTCCCAGGGTAGACTAATTCCTAGGCATCAATTGATTGTACAAAGGCAAGGGATGCCTGTATCTTGTTTATTTTTTATTGCCATTGGCATTGATATGGAGGCGATTTGGGTTGTCATCATGGAACGGTAAACATGAAATTGTATTTGAAAAGAAATGGAGAGTCAAATTACATGTACATATGTACAAAATTACCTGGTACTGCATTTACCAGATGAATGATTAGAGGATCGGCTGTGCGGGGCTGTTTGGATAAGACAGTTTTTGTGAAGTGTTATTCTGATGATGACTAAATGCTCATATTCTGCTTAAATTTAATACAGAAAGCACCCAGTTCCATTAGGCAATGTTGAACAGGATCTGTATGAGCGTTGATTATATCTTAACAGTCGAATACATTGTTTCTGCTCTAGCAGTTATCAATTTGCAAGCCAAATCAGATTCCCCATTCCCTTTTCCCCTAGTGTAATCATATCCCTTGACATGGCAATTTCAGATTTCAGTTGATGTATCCATAATTATTAATACAGTTCACTTTGCCCCTCTCCTGTCTCCCATAGACCTGAATTATCAATTTGCTTGAAGTGATCATAGCAGTTTCCATCTTATTGCTCCAACTTATAATGGTGTGCAAGAATATGAGAACAAAATGACTAAATAAAAAATGAAGATGGCACACATTTTTAAACATTATCCCCCTCTAATCGCCCCCCCCCCACCCCCACACACACAAACCGGTTCTCATCCTGGTCATTATCTAGTTTGTCATATCATTGTAGAAGAAAACTGATTGATTGGAAAAATATGTTTCAGGTAAATGTTGGCTACCACTGATATCACAATTTGTTAATTTATTTTCCATTTTCTTATTCTCCTTGCAGGTGATGTTGTACTCCAAAACCTGTTTGTCAAGGAAGGTGCTCTGGTAATTAAGATCTACCTCTTTTGTTTCTTCATAATATAATTTACAATTCAGAAGAGAGTTGGTGAATTAAAAAAAAAGTTCCTTCTTTCATTTTCTTTATTTATTAAAGACACAATTGTTATCAGAATCAATACAAACGGAAGCTAGCCTATAGTACTGCTAAGTAGCATTCATGTAATACCTTACAAATAGAATAAAGAAAAAAAAATCAGAATTGTTTGTATCAGAAAAATTATATTGATCAGGCTACACACAATACCTTGGGTGAGTATTGTACATGTAAGTTTATAATATCAACCTACTGCAGGGAATAATGAGCAGTCACTTGTTAGCTGTTTTGATTAAGGTGAAATTTATTGCATCCTGTAGACATCAGACAGCTTTCCAATTCAGTACCAAATATGCTCCATGTCACATTTAATTGGGCAAAATGTCAATATTTCATGACTTTTAGTCTTGGCCATAAACTGCAATATACATCGGAGTTACAGTTGGTTTGGGCTTACAGGTGGCTTAATCTTCAATTAAAAAAAAATATATATTATGTTTGGGCAGCTTCTATCTTGTATGCATTTGTATTGAATATGTGCGCTTTAGATGTACCTCATGCAGGCCTTTTTTTTAAAATAACAATCTCTTTTTAGAATTATAGTATTTACATTTCATGATATATGCATAATGTCTTATATATATATATATATATATATATATATATATATATATATATATACAACAATCTTATGGGATATTCTTATGTACATCTATAATTATGTCTCTTTAACATCTTGATAATGGAAAAGTAGTGAACAAAAATTGGAGAATAGATTGAGTTTACCACACAATCTAACAAAAGAGCTTTCAGATGTTACAAACATTAATTAATTCAAATCAGACTACTTGCTAAGATTATATTTTCATTAGTTATATCGCAAATAAGGTCATTTTATTTAACAGCTGTCCTGGTAGTGCCAATTTACATAAGGTCTGTGTTGCAATCAACCCTCTTTTGTGTGTGGAAGACAAGAATTATCTTTGTGCGGGTAGTATAGAGCTAGTGTATGTAGTCGGAGGCCAGGTACTAGGGGAAAAAATCAATAACAACGCTCTCCCTTTCCCTCCAGGGTCTCGAGACCTTTATGTACATGTATCACTGTACTACCAGACGTCTGCGGTTATTAGTATGGATGATGGATATTGTGTACATACAAGCAGGGAGCATTGGGGAGGGGGTACAGAAGGATATTGCAATACTACATGAATATCATATGATAATAATTGCATAATGAATATTAAAGAGTTACAAGGTTTTTATGATATTTATTGTTTCTACATAAAATATGAAGGGTTGTGCCAGGATGCATTATCTACACATAGGCCAAGAACTTGTACTGGTAGACAAATTTCCCCTGCATTAAAGTGCTTGTAATAGCTAGGCCTTGAAGGCTTTATGTAGACATGCACTGAGAGATAATAATGATGTTGATATTTATAGTGTGATAGGGTTTACCGTTTTCTCCTGTTTTCAGATTTCCATGCCAATTTATATTTGTAGTTACTTATGATTGCTTGCATATATATCAATTTTCTTTGTAAGGAAAATTACCTTTAATTTCTATTTCTATTTGTAATTCATTATTTTTTTTTAAAGCTCACAATGACCCAAACAAACTGCTTTCCATCAAGTAAAAATGAACTGGTGTTATGTAAATGTAAACAGTCTCATCAACATTAATGAAAGTATCTACGTTTTGAGCCTTACAATGCAACATAGCTCATAGATAATTTGTATTTTAAAAAAAAGAAAGTTTTTCTCATATATAAGAGGCTGCAATGACATTAAGGGGTGAGATTATCGTGCAAGCACTTCATTGAAGGCCTACACGTGTAGACAATTTGTATCATACATGTAGTTTGTGTGCTGCCTTCAGTAATGCCTTGTCTGGTCTGTAATCACGATGCAAATATGTGCCAGACAATTGGGACATGCTGTGCGTGTAATAAGAATACCAGTATGTGGATGTAGGAATGAATGTGGGAAGGGCTGAAATCACCTGGAGCCTCTCTGCCAGAGGGATGAGGGAAGAATGTGATCAACATTAAAGATAAAGACCAGTTATGGTCATGCGATTGCATTGTGAAAGAAACGTTGTGGAATCGATCAGAAAAGGTTGATCATCTAGCATATAAGTATTGGTGTGTACTGCAAGTTCTGGAATCATTAAAATGATAAGAAATTTGGCCCAGTCTTCGTAAAGTTACAAGCACTGTACACAGAAAGATTTATATGGGACTACGCACACGTGCGTGACACGTGCGTTTATCTCTCACAGTCCAATAGATAAACTAATTTACCTAATATATCAATTAGTAGGCGGTTTCCCGGCAAATTTTTTATCATCATGTATTAGTCAAAACATATTCTTTCACATGATTGGTAATAAAGAGCTTCCATTTCATTTTTTGAAATTGGGGCATTTCCAATACTTGTCTTTGCCTTTAAAGATAATACTTAGTTCTGGAAGAGTAAAAAGAATTGGAATGAAACTAATCTCATATGTTATTCTATCTGAAATGTTTTTAGATAAATATAGTGTGATGTCCTGTCAGTTATGTTCAATGACTTTTAGTGTAAATAATATGTGAAATGAGCCCCAAATTTATTGTTGTTATACTCTTCCAACACCTAATTTAGATGATAGGCTCATAGTACAATATTACAAGGGTTGCATACAAATTATGCCAAAGTACATTGTATGTAGAGTTAACAACTAAATTATTCATACCCCTTGTAAATGTGATGTATTTTTGATTTTTTTTTTTTTGTAACTCAAGAATGAAAGTTGGAGTTAGGGCCTTTATTGAATACTTTTAGATGTAAGCTTTAATATACATGTCACATTCCCAAACATCAATTGGGACTTGTAAATCAAGTTTTACATGTACTTCAAAAATAATAATTTGATAGGATTCTTAGACTGGGGAGGGGGATTAGAAGAATGTATAGCTCCAAAAGAGACAGAAGTTACCTCACATTACAAAGAATTAGAGAAAGAAGTTGATGGAAAACCTTGATTGCCAATGTCTGGAACAGACAATTAAGGCACCTAGCAAGCAAGCAAGCAAGCAAGCAATATTCATACTTTATTTTAATCTTCAGTTTTGGAAATCCACATCCTGAATTTAATTGTGCATAGTAGTGTACTAGCGTACTAGAATACCATTACATTATCTGGTTTAGCTAGATCTACACATTGTACTCTTGGCCTGGCTGCCACAGTGATACTGTATTGTAGACATAATCATAATGATTAATGTGGTGGTAAATATTAGATGCCACGTGTCTCTATGAGATATTGATGAAGACAGATTATTGAAGGGGGTGAATATATGTTTAGGGATGTGAAGACCTCCTGCATAGATGGATTATCCATTGCTACGATGGTGAAGCATGATGAAGCATTATGATACGTTAACGATGAATGTATATGGACAGAAGCTGGGGCATTGTTAGGATTGTGTGTAAGAATATGACACAGCAGACTGATGTTTTTTATTGGCAGGGAAAGGGCAACAAAGAATGGACCTAGAAAAGAAATTGCTGTTGATTGATGCAGAAAAATCAGAGGTTATATCAAACGTTCTTAATATTGAGAAAGCGTCATATTTTCATAATGAATAGTATTACATTGATATTATGAGTTTTGGATTTGTGCACTGCTCTGTTATGTCTTTCAGAAATATTAAGAACAAACACAATTTTGATAAAGCATGAATTGCAAAGCACAAATATTCATGAGAACACAAACGTACCAAAATATTATGTATTTTAGTCTATAAAAAAATTATGTATTTATGGAGGCACATAGGCCTACATTGTCCAGTGAATAGGCCTGTAAAGGTGGCAAAGGTATGAAGAGATCACTTTCTATGGGTCAAATGGGGACATTTATAGAATCATAGAAACTATCATAACAGGTATTTCAATTTTTTTCTATAGTCTCACCTATTGTTCTGTAGGTTAATCACCATAGAATGTTTGTATATATTGTGCTGTATTGCGAACACTAACCAGTTCAGGTATTAACAGATAATTGTTGACCACTGGTCACACCAGCAGTCCCTGAAAGAAGAGTCGTAAATAGGCCAATCAAATTAGTTCACTCCTGCACAGATAATGTTATGTATCACTAATCTATTATTTATTAACAAACAAAAGTAACTATACATTTCTCACACATGAAACATAACACACAAGGTGATAGTATGGAAATGTACATTTATATTGGAGAAAGGCAACATTGCAGGACACAAAAGCAACTATAGATCTCAAAGCAAGCCTACCAGAATAGAAGAAAAAGGAAACAGCACCAGTTGTTACTGCACTGTTCTTTTGTATGAGCTGATATGAGTTTTGTTTTTGTGGAGAATTACTCTGGATTAGTACTGACCCTTACACTTACAGCAATTCTGAATAAATTGAACTGGTCAGCCAGACATGATATGTTAATCAGATCCTGGGATGGAAAATGGTGCCTGGGGAATGGTAGTTCCCTAGAAATTAAAGTCTCAGACAGGCTCAGCTTCATTGACCTCATGATCATGCCAGACATAAGGTCTGTTTTCATCAGCTCGAGTTTGCCAAATAACTTGCTATTTTTAGCCTCAAAGTATTATCCTGGAGCTGGAAATTGCGTCTTTACCAGACCGTTACGGTCATCACAAACTAGCTCGGACAGGCACAGATCAGCCCGCCATTTCCCAAATAGCGGGATATTTTGGAAACAAGACCAAGATTTCTTGGGTTGTTTTCTCGACCAAATATCCCGCCAATTGCAACTGGGGGGCTGATGAAGACACAAATTACTGGTTAATTTGCGATCAGGATAGTTAAAAGAGCTGGTTATTTGGCAATCTCGAGCTGATGATGATAGGCCTATTAAGAGTGTATATGCATCACTTGTGCTCCAGGATTTCAATTTGACTGCTTGATTAGCTGCATATATACCTCTTTCCTTTAAGATACAGGCTTTGAATAAACCAGAGGTCACTAGCTTAGGCATGGTATGGAAGCCTACAGCTTTCAAACATCAGTCACATCAACGAGATCGAACAACAACAAACTGAACAAAATTATTATTTACTCCCTTATTGCCGAGAAGCAGTTTGGTGTCAGTTTGGTGGTGTGACTGAGGTATCAGCCACAATCCCTCTCTCAACATGCCAAAATGTATTACGTCTAACCATGTATATATTGTGATCATATGACATTTGTTTTTATGCCCTTTAGTCTGGCCAAACGGACCTTTCCTTATGTGTGATTTATAACTTGAGGCCGAGTACTTTTAATGCAGAACTAGTTGAAATTTCGGATACTTGTAGTTTTTTATTGTTTCATTATTTCATCTTAGGTTTTAATATGTAGAATTCTTTGTGCTGTATTGTCTCTGCAGAAGCTTCAAAAAGAAGCTTCAAAAAGAAGCTTCAAAAAGAAGCTTCAAGTTCATGTAGGTCCATGAATCAACATATTATTTTCTACCAAGCAATTGAAAAATTGACTGAACTCAACTGTATTTGTGAAAATGCAAAAATTTTACTCCACAATATAGCACTCATACCAACACACAGCATATACCACCATCCTGGAAAAGCTGCTGAATGGGATTAATATTTCAAGGTTTTAAGGAGCATTTCTTTTCATTTTGTTGTTTTGTAGGATGAGCTTGACCTGCCAGTGAAGATCAAGGTTGGTAACATTGGAAAGCTAACCCTCAAGATCCCTTGGAAGAACATCTATGCTGCTCCGGTAGAGGCCACCCTTGAGGGATTGTACATAGTTGCAGCCCCAAATGCTGGTAAGAATCAAAATCTGCATTGAAGTGGTTAACTGAAAAGGAGCCTAGGTGATTCTTGTCTGTATACCCTGGGCCTGTATGAGAAATTATACTGAGTGAATTGGGACAAAATAAGAATAACATTTTGACCAAATTTTCCCCTGTAATGCTGTAGACCCTTTTCATTTTTGTTTTGTTTTTGTTTATATTAACAAAAGTAATGAAGAGATCTGCAAACATAGCTATGAAGAATTATATCAAAACAATGTTTAGCCTGTATTCATTCTGGTGTCCTTATGCACCCTGTTTTATACAGTATTATTCATTTGTATACTAGTGAAAATAGAACTGTCATTTAGTCTGACTTGAACTGTAAGATAAAATATCACTTAAATATAATTGATAAACATCATTATTAACCGTATCAGACATCTGAGCAAAGCAATTTTTAAATGTTATTGCCCTCAAGGTTTGATGGATAAGCCAACAAAACTACAATATTTTAGCCCGCTCAGAAAAGTCAATGGGATTTTGTGTGTAATTTGCCGGTCAATATGGTTATACAGTAAACCAATGAACAAATATTTTAGCCCGATCTGAAAAGTCAATGGCAAAATGCGTGTTAAACTAGTGAGCAATAATATAGAGCCAGTTGTAATTTACATCGCGCATCAGCTACTGTAATTTACATCGCGCATCGCGTATAAGAAAATGCGCACTTTGCACGAACTCTATTGTGACGTAACAATCACACCCTATAGGCAAACTGTTTGCAGTGTATCGAAAATTTGTCAAACACTGGATGCACAGTGCAGGTTTGACAATGTTTTTGCAACTTCTAATGCTAGGAAACCCTGTGTAGCCTACATAATTTAAGAGTATAAGATAGTAAGAGTTTCTTGTTTGCTCTAGATGTCTGATGTGGTTAATAATAGTAATATTGACTGCCTAATTTAGGGCAATACGACTTGTCATATATCACCCTCACCTTCGGATCAGGCGATATATGTCGTATTGCCCAGAAGGCAGTCAATATTACTTAATTATCACTCGTTCATTTCTGTTTTCATGCTGCCACAACACATCCTGCTCTATCCTGGTTTGAGGACTATCTTAAAAATAGAACACAGTATGTTTATTATCATTCTAATAGTTCCTCAAAATTGAACCTCACATGTGGAGTTCCTCAAGGCTCCATCTTAGGCCCGCTCTTATTTTTGATTTATGTAAATGATATAATAAAATCATCAAATATTCTAACTTACATTCTTTTTGCCGACGATACAAATATACTTTACTCACACAAAAATATTGACACACTCGTTGATACTGTAAATCATGATTTGTGTAATATTTCAATATGGTTTAAATGTAATAAATTATCCTTAAATATAAGTAAAACTAATTTTATCCGTTTTAGAACTATTAACTCCCAAGACCAACCACAATGTAATTTGTTTATAGATGGTTTATCCCTGGTAGAAAAACAATCAACGAAATTTTTAGGAGTTATTATAGACTCAAATTTGTCTTGGAACGAACACATTCATAACATAAATATTTTGATATCCCGGAATATTGGTATTTTGTATAAAATGAAATGTTTGATAAATGATAGATCTTTGTTTATGCTTTATAATACTTTAATTTTACCATATATAACATATTGTAATATTATATGGGCAAACTGTAGTAAAACTAAAATAAACTCAATATTTCTTTTGCAGAAGAGAGCAATTCGTATTTGTACACACTCTAACTATCTTGCAAATTCGAACCCGTTATTTAGTCAATTAAAAACATTAAAGGTTTATGATATACATACGCTCCAAACTGCCATTTTTATGTATAAGTACACTTCCAAAACTCTTCCAGCATCTTTCTTAAACTTTTATTTATTAAATGTAAACGTACACTCATATTTAACTCGACATGCTCATGATTACCATCTTAATAATCCCAAACTTAGTTTAGCCCTACGATCAATTAGACACCATGGACCAGATATTTGGAATAACTTACCGAACCATATTAAAACTAGGACCTCCCTTTATTCTTTTAAAGCTTATATGAAAGCATATTTGTTAACTCAGTATAGTTTACTAGATCTTACATAGAAATTTAAAAATTATCTAATTTGTTATGTCTTGAATTGTTCTGTCTTTGTCAACAGAAATGGACCCTGCATACATTTTAATATTATCACCCGTAACTGAAACCAACACACAATTAAATATCACGGTATTAGTCTCTTTTTGTTCCACCAAGCTAAATTTTTTGCACCTTGCACAAATGCACTTCTCAACACGAAATATTTCACTAAATTTGTTTTGTTATTTTCACTCAAAATTAAATCAGCCATGCTCACTTTTAATCACTTCACTTATATCTTATTTAACATCGAATACAATGCAGTTGCATGGGTTGTTCTTTTATTTTGTTAACTCGGCAGAGGCCACGGTCATGTTCAAGCATTTACGCTTACGACATGTGGTCTCCTGCTTTTTCCTTTTGTAACAGTATGAAACTTTTATTTAAACTAGAAACAAACTTTGTCAAACTTACATGTTATTTATCATATTCATTTGTATGTTTCTTTGTATTGATATGAAAAAGTGGAAATAAAACAAACAAACAAACATGCAGAATCTTTGGTTTTGCACTGAATACCTACCTAAATGTAGACACATCTGCAATACAGAATATGAAAGTGCAGTCAAACCTATCTATTGAGACCACCAAAGGGAAACACAGAAAGGGCATGGTCACTGCAGACATGATGGCCTTTCTAGACAGGTTCTTATTTCTTTCTCGAGGGGGGAACAAAATACATGGTCACTATAGACAGGTGGCCTTTATAGAGAAGTGGCCACTGTGACAGTTTTGACTGTAGATCAAGAGAGTAATGGCACCGAGTTCACCTTTAATGAATTCATAAAGTTGTTGAATTTAATTACTGGTAGTCTATTGCTCTAATTAGCTCTTGGAACATAGCTAATGAGCCTTAATGGTATACAATATGCAGGTAGTATCCTTTACAATGCTTGTATAATTCAACCTTGTTTGCCTAATTGTACTTTTTAATGTTACAGAAGTGCATATGTCCATTTAGCAGCTTGTATTACTTTACTCTTCTTCAGTAGAATAAAGAAGAGTATTTGAAAGTTTTAACAGAGTCTGGAATCAGTTTGTAACTCTGTATTGAAGATTAGCATGTACAGGGTCCGCAAGGGAATGGTGGAAGTATTTTCATTTTGAACAAGAACTACCGGTATACTCATGAATTATTTGAATTGAATCGCATGAAAATAATCAGATATTGTGTTCTATACAAACACTTCTAACTCTATTGAGATTGTTTTACCTTTGCTATCTTGTTTGTACATTCTGTTTTTATCTTTCAATGCAATCAAAATTCATTCACTCGGCCATTGGGAAATACCCAGTGTGCACAATGATTAGATAAACAGTATGAATGGCATCACTGAATCCTGCAGACTTGGGCGAAATTGAACAGTGGTTTTATTGTAACTGAATCAAAGTGCACATTAGAAGTACTTTTATCCAGTTTAAGACCGGAAATACACGTTTGACAAACATGCTTAATAATATTTATGTTAAGATTACCTTCTAAGTAAGCTATCAAGACTCTTTGTGTATGGTTAGGCAGTTTTACCAAGTTTTATCAAAGTCTGTTCATGAACTTATTGCAGGATAAAGCCACACATTAAAGAGTACTGAAGTGTCACATTATAAGCTGTCCAACTATGTTTCTCACAAATATATTATCTCAAAGTATGTATCCCTTATCATGGATCAGCATATACAATAACACAGGACTTGATACTAACATCAACTGGGACACATGGGCCCCCAAATCTAAATTCAGACCCCCCCCCCCCCCCCAAAAAAAAAAAAAATAATAAAAAAAAAAAAAAAAAAAAAAAAAAAAAAATAAAAATAAATAAATAAAAAAAATAAAAAATAAATAAATAAATAAATAAATAAATAAATAAATAAATAAAAAATAAAGATTTTGTTGTTTGTATACATAGGGCTCATGCATGCATGCAGACTCTTAAAAGTTCAATCCGTATCCCTTCCACAAAAGCCTAGTGTGGAGCCCTGCCTGTCAAAACCATTTATGAAATTTTAATGTCACAGGTGCAGTGTTTTGTCAGCCCCTAAATTTTGGGGGTAGTTATTCCCAATATGATGTTATAGTCGGGTGAATGTCTATTGTAGGACTGTAAAGGGGGATACAACCGGTCATGGTTATTAAATGTCCAAAGTTTGGCTTTATATAGCCATTGATATCCATTAGCTGACTTCAGAGACCCTGAGAAACTGCACAGACCTTGAGCTATTAACCTTAACATTATGCAAATAGGAGTATGGTATTTCAGATATAGTGTCAGATAAAGTATCAGGGTATCAGGGTATGCAAACATACTTGTACACATGGTGTATGAATCATAGTAAGGATTCTCTCTCTCTATGTATTTTTGTTTGCCCTTAGATATCAAGTACAATGCAGAGAAGGACAAGAAACAGAAGTTTGAAGCCAAGCAGAGGACCCTGCAGAGAGTGGAAGATGCCAAGACAAAGGAAAAGGAAAAAGATAAAGGTACAAACAGTTTAGTTAGATGCATAGAACAGAATATGGGAAACAGAAGTAAATTTATTTTCATTCAACTGAAAAGGCATATAGATCATCTCTACTTTCTCATATTTTTATAAACGATATATGGAAAAGTAAATGCATCCAATGAAATAAAAACTCCAAAGAACTTGTATAGGAACTTTAGTAAGATATCATTTGAAGTGTAATAACTAATTTAAAGTATGTAAAGTAATTTCAAGTACATGCACATGACAGCAACAATTTACAAATGGAACAACACATTTTAAGATTACAAGCAGGCTTGATTATGATTAGTATCGGTTGTAATGCACAGAGTACATTGAAATTTATCTACTTCACACAATAAAATATTACATCACATAGATAGTGCACTATACCATTTGTTTTATTTTGGTGAATTTGTGTATTTAAAAGCAATGTTTGGTAAACTCATAATAAATTATGGCATACCCTATCCCCATTTCATAATCTCAATAAATTATAATATAGCACAATATCTCCATATTGCTGTGTTTTAAAGAAAAGTTGTAATGCTGTAGTGTAAAATGGCAAAGTCATACATACAGAACATCAAATCCCAAATGCATGAGCAATTCTCACCTGTATGCTCTGTCCATATTAAAGAGAACCCTAAACAAATGCACTAAAATCTTCTTCAAACTGCAATATAGAGGTGTTATGGTCTAGTGGATAAGTCAACCTACTGCAGATCACAAGGTACGGGGTATGAGTCCCCTATTCGAGTTTGGCAAGAGGTTAATCTACATTTGCCACTCTCCACCCAGGTGTTAATGTCGTTGATGTATTTGGCATTATATAAAAGCCGACTGTTATTATTATTAATATATTTTCTTTATTCCTTGGTTTTTGTTTGCAGTGAAAGACCCCAAAGCAGACTCCTTTGCAGAGAAGCTAGCCATGCAGGTAGTCAAGAATGTCCAGGTCAAGATACGTGATATTCACGTCAGGTACGAGGACAGGACAACCAATCCCAAGGCTCCGTTTGCCCTCGGTGCTACCCTTCAGAACATCTCCTTAGAGGTAATGAGAATGATCCAAATAAACTAGATTTATGATTCAAGAGGATGCCTGTATTATGAGAGAATAATTCTGGAGAACTGTGAAAAGTCCTCTTGATATTGTATTGTTATCATTTATTGAGGGTTTAATCTTATATCAGCATAAGTTGTAAATATATAATCATAGTAATTATGATAATATGATGCTTTAAAGTAGCGCAATTAAATCCAGAATGGTTTCTGAAAGCGCTTTACAAATAATATTCATTTAAGCACAGGGCAGATCAATGATCTTTGAGTCTTTAAAGCTGATCAACAGTTCTTTGTAGACTTTACAAATATCAGTATGAACCTCAAATGTATAATGTAGCAGGGCAAGACCCTTGTCCTATTACGACATCCTATGTATATTTTTAATGTAATATCAAGCCACTGGTACATTAGAAAAATACAAAATCTTTGTCTGGAAATTATTATATTTTTTTCCTCTCACATTTCAGACAACAGATGAGAATTGGCTTCCGTGTGTTGTGGACCAAACAGTGCAACTTGTACACAAGGTAAACTACTTATCTTCTTTCTTTTGTTTTGCTTGATTTTTTTTGGTAGACAGAGAAGGATGGAGAGAGAGAGAGGGAGAAGGGGGAGATTTGTTTCTCATTGAAGGTGGCAGAATAACATACTATGTGTCATAAAGTTTTTATTAAATTATTTGAAATTATATTATTTTAATGCGTAATGGTTGAATCATGCATGCTTTTATATTTTTGGAATATGTAGGAGCACAAATTCTGGAATATTGCTTACTCAATTTATCTTTCATATAGTATAATGTATCAGGTACTTTCAAAGTATCGTTTGATTTGCACCAAATGTTTTTTTTTCTTCTTAAGATGCTTCGACTTGATTCGCTTGCTGTCTACTTTAACTCGGGATCTGATATGTACACCACGAAAGACAGGCAAGAAATGCTGGTAGGTTTTCATCACTTGGTGTATTGTGTTTCTGGGTCAATAAAGACAAGGAAGATTGATGCGATAGTATGTCAAAGTACACTGTGCCATGGTCCTTGGTTTAAATGTTTACATATTTCTTCATAAGAATTATTATGTGTAAAAAAAAAGATGATAAATGTTTGAGAGCATGAATCAGATGAGATTGATGCAAGAAGAATACACAGACTATTGCCTGTCTAAGAAAAGATCATGTGAAAAACTAATAGAGGAAGCTCAGGGATTTATAAACTTTTGTTAAATTTCTGTAGGATATGAAAAGATTTAATAAAAACATGTATCTGAGTGGTAGAAATCCTATATGTATTTATTTTTTAACTGATTTTAAATGCCATGTTTTCTTTATTATAACAGGATATCATGAAGAGTTCTATTGGTACGGAAGGCAGTATACCAAAGGGGTATCAGTACTGTAAGTTTTTTTTATTTATATTTTGATAATCTGTTTCCTAATAAAATAATACATTTTATAGCTAATTTTAATTTGCTAGATCAGCCTAAATAAGATGTTTTATTATGAGTTCTACAAACAACATAGATCATGTAGATAAAATATGTACTAGTTTGGAAGCACTTGCAATATATCAATTTCATTACCAAATTTTTAGTCCATCAAATACATTTTCTACTAATGTCTGTCTTTGTGGGACAGAGTAATTATTTCTGTTATTTTTTTCACAAGTTGCAATTAACTTTAGATGTAATATTGTCAACAACATTTTCACTTTGTCATTTGAAATATTTTTAAGAGAATGAGCACTTCTCTATGATTATTTTCATTTGTGTTTAATCTTTTTTAACATATAATCCTTTTTTCTGAATCTGCAGTGATCGAGCCAATCTCATCACAAGCCCAGCTACGGCTCAACCCCAAACCAGAGTCCAACCTGTCTGTCCCTCAAGCCTATGTCAATCTGGTCATACAAAGCATTGGAGTGGGTGTCCGTCGCAAGCAAGTAAGTTCATGTTGTCATGGTACCCATACAGGTAGGAAGGAATTCCTTGAAAATGTTGTGAGCACCGAAAAAGGGCAGCCTAGCAGAGCCAGGGTAATATTGGAGCGCTACAAAAATATCCAATATCATTATTATTATAAGGATTAGTATTATTATTATAATTATTATTATTAGCTCAGACATGCTGTTTCTAAAGCAGACTCTATTTATAGCAATATGCGAAAATCAATGAAGAGTTCTCAGCTATTCAAATGTACATGCAAGTGGGTATAGTGCACTGGTGTATGGAACATATGATTTATATGTTTGATAGTTGAGCAGGAAAACTATACTGGGTAGGAAAGATTTTCTTTTATTTTAACACCCTACTGCATATGATATGTGCTCTACTGTGATATGTATGTTTATATGGTCTTTGATACTTTAGCAGGAAATGAATAGCAGATGGGAAACACGTTTCTTCTTTCAGTATGAGCTTCATGAGCAATTGTTTGAATAATCTTGACTTGTTTCTTTGTTTGTGATTGTAGTACAGGGACGTGATGCAGCTGCTTGTATCGTTTGAACGAATGACTCGCAATGAACCGTTCAGGAAGTACAAACCAGATGTTCCTCTTCATGGCCATGCCAAAGAATGGTAAGCTTAAAATAGACGAAGAATGTGAGCGAAAAAAATAGAGATTCACTCTATGGTGTGTTGATTTGATATTTTATTTGTACTTAAAAGCATTGTTTAACAATGCCAAATCTGAAATGCATTAACCTACGTGTTATCAGCACCTGTGATATAGTGTAATATTGAAGTGCCTAAAAAAGGTAAAAAATCTTTGAGTGACCGGTTTTACCATACTCATTTTCCCCAATAGACTGTAGTGTTATAAAAACGGTTTTTAAAATTTCTAATTCCGATCATAAATATCTTGATAATCAGATGGGTGATCGGCTTGTAAACGTCATGGGATTCCTGACTGACTTAAAGGTTTATAATTGTGAATGCAGCATGAGCTAAATCCAGGATTTTTTGTAGAATCTGAGACAAAGATACCCAATCCCTTTTAAATTATTGTCCAAAAGTGTTGCTGCACTTTAGCTCTGTATAGTTTTCATGAAGACTGTCTCTTACACCCAGCAGTTTGATGATGAGCTCACACTGGTCAGATTAACTATATAGTACAACTTTCAAAAGCCTTTTGTTCATGCCGTTATTAATCTTCATTTAAAAATCCTTTTGTACTGTGAAGCAATGTTTGTTTGTATAATTCACTGTAGAAGCATATTTGAAAAAAAAACACTTACCAATGTGTGGCACTATATTCAGAAGAGGAGTAAGAATACACCCCTTACACATCCATATCTCTATTTGAAACATGTTGCATATGTCGCATAATGCCTGTGACAGCAGAAAATTATATACCCTTTCATATTGATTACTCTAAAGGTACATATAGCAATATATTTGAAACAAGCAGTAAAAATTACCCCATTCCACTTTGATAACTTCATGTGAATCATTCCCCTAGGTGGCACTATGCTCAGAACAGCATCTTGGAGGAAACTGTGCGACGGAGACATCGTATGTGGTCGTGGGCTCACATCAGCAAGCATCGTAAGCTGGTCAAGCATTACATCAACCTGTATGTGGACAAACTGGACACCAACAAACCTTCCAAGGACTTGCTGAAGAAGCTTGAGGTATGCTTTATTCCCTCAGAGGAAAGGGCATATATTCCCAAATCGATTACTATTTGAAACTTCAGATCTCATGAAGTAATTGTTCTATACAATTTGTTGCAATTGATGTAATTCAAGTAGCCAGTATTTGGCTATATATAGCCTGAAAATTGTAGACTTTTCATAAATTCCACATCAAGAACATGAAATCTCTTTGAAGATAGATAATATGAATAATTTGAATCAACATTTTATGCCTTTAAAAAAAAACTTTTACAAAATATGTTCAAAGATGCTTATAGCTTTCCATAATTGTTAAGTCCAACTTAGAGATAAGTTCAACTTAAAACCTTTGTGAAACACCCCCTGTACATACTCTCACCCTAGGACATGGAGAAGGAACTAGATGTGTTCAACATCACCCTGAGCCGACAGCAGGCTGAGGTAGAGTTCAAGAAGAGAGGACTGAAGAAGAAGAAGGAGAAAGCAGAAAGCGGAGGATGGTTTGGAGGATTGTGGGGAGGAAAGAAGAAAGATCAGAAGAAGCAAGCAGAAGAGGATGACTTAGCATCTATGGCTAGTATGTTCATTGAGATACAGATATGAAGCTAGATGCATCTGATGTGATTATGTGTGTAATGCAGTTAAACCTGATGAATACTAAAGTACGAGATAACTTGAGACAGAATCTATGGAAGCCATTTCTCACATTGGATTCAAATCATCGAGATTAAATTCTTTCTTTGTAGACTGATTGAGAATTGTAGAAGAACGAAAATTGATAAGAATGTACTTGAATATAATATTGTACATGTTTTGTACTTAGTCATTGAGAAAAGATGGTTTTCTGTAGACAGTATTTGGATTAAATTTTAAATTTTATGCTGGTATGTGTAAAATCTTTTGTTGATTTATATTTTGAACATAAATTGATAGAATTATACACATTTGATTTAATGAATAATACAAAATCATAAACAAAAACTGGATGTAACCATTTTCATTTTTACCATATAATGTATAACTGAAAGATTTGATTGTATTCAGAACAAATTATAAAGGATTCATCGCTGTGTAACAAGCGGTGTGATAATAATGTGTAGCTAGATGAAATTTGATGTTTTTGATAATAAATGTATTCTTTTTGTCGACTTTCCCCAGACAAATTCCAGGATGCCATGACCGAGGAAGAGAAAGCCAAGCTCTACGCAGCCATCGGATTCAGTGAGACTTCAGTCAATACTACACTACCCAAAGATGTGAGCAAAGAAATTAGGTTTCAAGGGTTTAATTTTATTCACTGTGAAGAGAAATAATATTTGTACCCCTTTCTGAAACATTAATCATATTATACGTCCATGCATCGTATTAGTGTCCTTTTTCTGGAGGAATTTTGGACTATTTTCTACACCATAGCATCATCCTAAGCTCTTTCTAAATGTGAACATACATGTAAATGCAGTAAATAACATGAATGGAGTAAGTAACATGAATGCAGTAAATAAGATTAAGTAATATATAGAGGGCTTATCACTATGTAATATGCTTTATCATAGCTAGTCCGCTGATAACAATCATTTGTGCTACATTCTCATCCATTATTTTTTTGCATGATTATGTGCATTCTTGAATAATGCAGAAAGGTGGAAGTGAATAGATTTACTTGAGATACTGTATACCGGTAGATTGATGTTGCAATATGTGATATTCCCTTTTCAGTATGTTGGAATAGATGCCAACTTCAAGCTGCTAGAAACCAGTGTGAAGCTCTTTGAAGATGATGATGAATTACAGATCTTGAACCTTGCTGTCACAGACCTAGGAGCAGTCTTCAAACAAAGGCCAGCAGCCGAAGCCATCAAGTAAGCACAGACAGCCAAGTCAAGATTGGAAGATTTTGTTTGATTTTATTTTTCTCACTTTCTCACTAATTCATTATTTACTTAATTTTTACAGTATGAACAATTGATCTTCCAGTGCCTTTCCTTAATTTAATAATAATAATAATAATAGTTCGTTCTTAATTTGAGGCCTTTCAATCCTCATACTTTTGGATAAAGATCTATTACTAGTTAAACATAGTGTTTAATAATAGAAGGAAAACACCGTATCAGTCTCTCATTAAAATCACTTATTCAGCTAAAATTATACGTAACAATTAAATGCATGAATAAGATCAATAGAAGTCTTTAAACTCAGTAAATAGTATATTATGCATGAAATTACATTTATCGCATACATAAAGAATTCCAATGTATTGTTTATATCACACACCATGTATTATCTCTCATTCGATCAGGCTTGATTTACAGCTCGGCGAGTTCAGCGTCCTTGGGGCACCCACCAATGGACAGCGCCCTCAGATGGTAGAGTCACAGGTCACTCTTGAAGACGAGAAGGTCTCTGAGGTCAGTCTTCAGTTTGAGACCAACCCTATGGACGGCAAGGCTGATCAGCGCATTACTCTACGGACCCAACCTCTCAAGGTTGTCTATGATGCGGTAGGTCCACAGGCCACAGTAATGATGCAGGGAGACCTCTCTCTCTCTCCTGGGGGCCCGTTTCACAAAGCCTTTTTTCAATGACAAATGACAAAATCAGTGACAAATTTGCTGATAACCAATCAGAAGCAAGGATTTCAGTAGCTTATAACAAAAACTGTCATTTGTCACTGATGACAAGTTTTGTGAAATGCTCCCCCCCCCCCCTGTCATGATCTTGAGCCCAAATGTTCTATTCCATTTTGGTCTACTTCTAATCGTGTCCCTCTACAGGCACAGCCTTTCAAAGCTGTATATGATGCCGTAGGTCCACACCAGATATGTAGCAAAACTGTTCTCAGTCTTGGTCTTGATCCTGAAAACCTAAAGCTAAATCCTGGTCTTGTCCATGGTCCATACTACGACAATGGGCCACAGTGTTTGAAACGAGTTTTGATTGCAATACCTTGAATGAGCTTAGAGGGTTATTGTAAACTACATATATACATTATCTTTAGTACAAAAGATGGAAGAAATGATGAAGGAAATTAAAGTAAAATGTCCATATAAAGAGAGTAAATACACACAATAGGTTTCACGGGCCACCATTACTGGTTTTAAATCAGAGATATATGCATTGCCTCAGTATGATTCTGAGATTCTAAATTGATTATTTACATTTTCCCTCTCCCTCTCTCGGTTTCTTCAGCATACAATCAACAGTATAGCTGCTTTCTTCAAACCTCCACAAGACGTGCACCTGGATGAGTAAGTTATTTCTACTTCATTTCAATAACGGAGAGACATTCACTTAAAGCCTATCTGCACTAGTTTGGCCAGGAGGGATTAGACCTCCCTGCGTGGTCACTAGCAGGTGGTTATCTCATCAAATCAGCTCCCAATTAGCTTCAGAAAAAGGGGACCATGGGAGATCAATGGGTACCGCTTAGGCATTGTTGGCTATATAGAGGGCGCAAGTAGCTACAAGTAATGCAGTCCCGCTTTAAGTCTTGCTACCATAGCTCATGATTCCTATAGCATGAATCATTTGGTTTCTGTGATGTATCAACCAAACTAAAGATACAATATCAGACAATGTGAGGACAAGATGTATGTGCATTATAAATTAATCATGGCCTTGTTTCATTAAACTTGTTATCAACAACAACTGCTTAAGTTCTAGGACAAATCTAATCAAATGTAATGATATCAGTAGCTTATTGTAAGAAAGTCCACCCAGATAATTAACATAGTCATTTTGGAAATTATAAAACTGACTGCATTCTATTATTTGTTAAATTTGAATTTTCCTATCAGGCTTTCTGCAGCTGCTATGTCCAACCTGACAGAACTGAGCGACACCTCAACCACGGGTCTCCAGTTCATGGTAGACAACAAGCAGATCCTGGATATCAATGTGGATGTCAAGTCTACCTATGTCATCATCCCAGAGAATGGTGTCTTTGATGGGTAGGTGTATACCTGTGATTAATCCTGCCTGCCTGCATCAGAGACAAATATACCTTGCATATGATGTCCATGGAATTTGGGACTTGTGGTATGAAGAGGAATGAAACCAAGGTGTAGTCAGTGTGCAGTGCAGGTTGAAGTATTATGGAAGTAGTATCTCAAATGTAATCTTTCAGTTAGTTGTTAGGAAAATTCTTCTATCACTCGTGCTTGTAGTAAAAAACTCTGTCACTGGTTGGCCAAAATTGTTTGCTGCCAGCTGCTTAGACGTTAGTTTGTTGTATTCTTGTTGACATCAATTTGCACTCGTTAGCCACTGTCACCTGTCTACAATGTTTTTTGTCATCTCAAATGCATTTAACTCATTGCCTACCGGAACCAGGTGGTTCTTATTTTAAGCCAAGAGTAATGAGAGAATTCAGTAGTCAGTGGGTTAAAAACAACATCACTCTATGAACTTCCATCAACTTATGGATGATTTTTAGCAGATCACAGGATAGTATGAAGGGGTCAATCATAGCAATTGTTGAGGGTAGAATGAGGAACTGTGTATTTTGTCCGCTTTCTTCGTCCGTCATGTTCAAAGTGAGTATAACTATCATTGTGTGATGTTACTCTTGTAGCTCAGGATCAGTGCTCGTTGTGGACCTTGGAAATGTGAAAATGACAACAGAGAGTGAGGAGAGACATGTAGGAGAAAGAACTGAGGTGAGATATGTTGAATTTAAGCTGTCACCCAGTTTTTCTTTTGGTTTTCATATTCAGCCATAGCCGTTAATATGCAAATCATCCCATGTGGTAAGTCTGAGAGAAACACTGCACTATAACTGTGATGATTACAAGATTAATTCTGCATTTACCCTTGTTTCTGTCACATTTAAACCTCATGATTACTGTAAATGTCACCAACCTTTTATTGAGTCTGCGATACTGGATGTGAGATGTGCAATATATGTTGAACATGTATTGTATAGATTCGCAATACAACTGCATGTACTTGTATATGATTACATGTAGTTCCTTGCATGAACATTCACAAGGTAAAGGCTAATTATTTTTTTGTTAATCCTTTTATCACATATTTTATTGTATTAAAGATCTAGAGGGTCCTAGTTTCAACTTTTCGGATATTTTAGTAGCTGTCAGAACATGGCTTATGGGTAACAAAATAGAATTCTTTACATGAAGCAATTATCTTCGACTTTTTCCTCCTCTACCTCCTAATAGAATGAAACACTTGAGGAACTCAAGCGCAAGGCCTACGATCGCTTCAACCTTGACATTCAAGATGTTCAGGTCATCTTTGCTCCAAAAGGTAAAAATACAATCTGTATTTTACATTTTTTGAACTAACTTGAATGTTTCTTTAATTTTTACTTTCTTCCATTTTGTCTTTACAATTTTTGAACCTTTTCTTGTTCGTTTATTTGTTTGTTCTGTGTTCCTGTGAGGAGGTGCGATAGCTCAGTTGGTAGAGCAGTCGTCTCTTAATCCGGTAACCCAGGTGCCCTTTGGTAAGGTATTAATCCTCATTACCAAGTCTCTGGGAGAGGACCTACAGCCGTCGGTCCTCTGGTTGCTTACTAACAAGAATTTATGCTTTCTTAGCGGTCGGGTAAAATAACCACTACTACTTACCACTACTACTGATTTGATGAAAGGCATCGTTTTCTGGCGATGGATTTGACAGAATTATATTGCACGTTTTATTGTATCAAAGATAAAGGATTAATGCTTTGGTTGTGTTTGGGTTTTAGATTAGGTCTCGGATTAGAGTTAGATTTTATTGATCTTGTAGTAATTTTTCATTTCACCCTTCTTCATTTTCTCAATTTCATTTGTTATTTTGCCAAATGGATTTGGGAGGACATCGCCCTCTGACATATGCCAGGCACTGCCATCCCTATATATTTGTGAACAAGTGTCAGCTTGATGGCTTTAATGTCCCTGTATCTGGTAATCACCAGTGACTCACCCTTGCTTCCCAGAATTGGTATAGTACTCTCTTTGTTTTAATCCTGCTGCCCAAGACGAATGAAAACAACAGCTTCTCTCTAACTCTCTTCATTATTAGACCTCTCAAAGTTTTCTCATCAAGGCAACACATTAATTTGAGAACGTCATCTCTACTACGATAATTTGTTTCCTGCATACATTTGGGGCAAATGTCAAATGTATTTCAATTCTAACCTTTATTTCATTTTGGAGAATCTTCGTAACCATATTTCTCTGCAATTCACTCAGAGAACATTCCTGAACATCGCTTAATGTGCTAGCCAAGTATAGTTTGTGTGACATCATATGTGGTGATTTTGTGGTGTACAACTTGAGGATAGTGCAATAATTGGAGCAGTTATATTTCTTGTTGGAGGAATCATGCCTGGGTATCTCTGTACGCCTAAAGTCGGTAAGTGAGATTGGTTCTATTCATGCTCACACGACCATTCCCGCTTCAATCTTCTCAGAAGTCTAGACCTGAGTGTGGTATAGGAAATAACAGAGTGGAATAACAAAGAACATTGACATTTTTGCTCTTTTGATTTCTAGGTGAAGATTGGCAGGCTATACGTAAGCAGCATGGATCGTCACCCTTGCATCTCCTTCAGCCGATGGATCTTCATATCTCACTACAGAAATGCATGGTGGAGGATGCTAGACTTCCCAAGTAAGTTCAAAGTACAGTCAAACCTGCTTTAGTGACCACCTGTCTTCAAAGACCACATTTTTTGTTTCCCTTGAAAATGGTTTCTCATTGAAACATGTACGTAAGGAAACTGTCCTACAAAGACCACTTTTGTGTTTCCCTTGGGCGGTCGCTATAGACAGGTTTGACTGTAGTATAGTCTATTATTTGAATGTTTAGGGCAGTTTGCAAAATCTTTCAGAATTTATTGTGGAATTGTCAAAAATTGTGGCAGTATTTTATTGTCTCAGCATCTACTGAAGTTATGAGTTTATTTTCACACAGAGTAAAAAATGTGTGAGTGCTCCAGATTCATTAGGGTTCTGGCTATGAAATAATTGAACTACAGCACTGAACATAAGTAATTTGTGAAAGTTCATTGCTGTGAAAATGACCCCTGTTAATATTCTGTAAAAGTTTCTGGTTTTGTGATATATAATATGAATAAAAATTTCTTTATGAAGTGTCTCCATATATGTTTCTTCCATCAAAGTCTTATGTGTTTGTACTTATTTCAATATGTTCTAAGGGTGCTTTGTTCTCGCTCAACATAGTCAGGAATTTGTTAACATTTGACAAAGCTCTTTGTTGTTGCATGAGGTTCAGTGAAGTAAAACACTGCTGCATAGAAATGTAATGTTTGTAGCAGTCACAGGAAGCAACATTGCCCATGGTTTAAATCTTCATTTACATAACCCATGGTTTAAAATTAGCGCAAATAAGCGTGACACAGTCAGAGGTCCAATAAATATTAGACGCACGCAAGGCAAGGTACGCTTAATTAGCACTAATTTTAGACCATGGATATTGTAAATGAGGGTTTAAACCATGGGTTAAATTTAAACCTCCTTTGTGAATTCATGCCAATAACTTTATCCACTTCCTTCTTGTTTTCTTTCTGTGAAGGATGAAAGTGAAGGGTGAACTACCTGATGTATCAATCGATCTATCAGACCACAAGCTGAAGGAGATACTGGCCCTGGCAACCAGTATACCGCTACCTGAGAGTGATGAACCAGAAGCACCTGCTGCTCAAAGAGGCCCCAAGGTAAGTAAACTGATTGTAATGTTTTTATCTTAATGATTGTTATATTATCATGGATATATAAGTTCCATGGTTTTGTGTTAGTGAAGTTCTTTATCTGAATTGTCATATGTAATTTGTCTTCATGAAGAAGCTGATGTCAATTAATGTCTAAAGCCATAAGAAATTGCTTTTCATCTTTTCATCATGTGTAAGTAAGTGCTGTTTTTTGAAAAGTAAAGACTTTTGTAACAAAGCCCTTTTATCCAGTATTTTGTGATGCATGAAGACGAGGCTATATATTATCATATATGCTTGAAAATCCTTTATCTTTTTCTTCAAATGTACATTGTATATAGATTTAAATATGTCTACAGAATTCTTGTTAAGGGCGTTCAATCAGATGTTGCTTGTTACTGAATTATGTTTAGACATTTCTTTATGTTTGAGAACTCTGGTGAGCATGTTGATCCTATTCCAAGTGCTTCTATTTCCACAATCCTATTGTATTGTATTTCCACAGATGGTTGCATGTATGAGAAACTACTAGATGTAGAAAGACATTAATACATTTTGATTTAGCGAAATCAAATTGGAAATTATTTTGGTGTTAGGCCTCTTGAACTATTACTCAGCCCTCTTTTTCACCTATTGAAACATCTCACATACAAAAGATTTATAATAAAAAAAAATAATTCCTCAATCTTTACTCTTGATTATGTTTGGGAGTAGAAGGTAAAAATTGGAAAACTGAGATAACATCATTTTTTCCTCCTTAGCAGTTCTATCAAGCATGTGTTTTTATTTTCTTTCCTTCTGGTCGTATGGCTTTCTTTCTTGAATCTTCACTCCATGTGGTTTCTTTCAACATGGCATTCTTGATGATACAGGGTAGCGCAGGAGCAGGAGCAGCAAGGGGAGGCCAGGAGGGTGCGACAGCCTCCGTAAGTGTGGTCAAGGCGCTTGTGTCTTTGGAGGAATCGGATGGTTATGAGACGGCGAGTGAATGGTGGACAGAGGCAAGATGTTCAGAGAGTGTTGAAGATGGACAGACTAAAACCAAAAAAATGCTCACCCAACCCCAGAATAATCCCTAACTCATTTTGTTATGTTTTGTTTATTATTGTTTGTTTCAAATTGTGAGTAAACTTTAGAATGCATGCCGAAATTGACAGTGTTGCAGAAATTCTTCCAATAAATCTTTCTAACATTCATAATCGTTAGAGTTCTTTGTAAACCATAACATTTATTTTAATGAGTCACTGTTTTCATTACTTGTTTTTCTGTTTATTTGTTTAAATCCTAGATTTTATTTTGAAATTATAAAATTAGTTAGAATTGAAGTTCATTGCTTCCTCTGTTTATTTTTAGCATAAAAGAAAAGATTGTTGAAAAAGTCATAGAATTGTTGCTGGGAAGTAACTTTTATTTTGATGTCTTCATTCATCTCTGAATTCACAATACACATTTAAGTGTTCAAGATTTAAGAATTTTATAGCTCCAAAATTACATTTCCATATATTACAAAATGGAATCACTGTCTTTCACGTAGTCACTCTGAGATGTCTACCGGTATGCATGAAATGCATGAGAAATAATATGCTGTTTCCAAAGTCAAACATAAGATTTTCACTATTGTTATTTTCCCCAAAGAGGTAGCATGGTCTGCTCATATTTAGCACTTTTGCTGTCTCTTGCCTCTGTGGTTTGAATGGGTATATGCTATGTTTTTCTCCATTTTTAATCAAAAGTGCTAATGGTACTAGATTGATTTTTTTTGATAATTCAATGTTTTATCGTATATTTTGTTTGATTTTATGTTTCATAATGCTAATTTCATCACCCATTAGTGCTATTTTTGTTCTGAATTTTCGTCGTTTTTCATATTATCATTTTTTGTAGCATTCCATTATTCAGTCAATTGACCTCTTTGTTAAAGTGTATACCTGTCTCTGACATACAATGTAGTTTAAAACATAAAAGAATGATATCATCTGAAGCTTAACTATGCACTTGCTCTAATGGTTCCAAAACATTATTATTTACAGTTTGTATACCGAGAAGAAATGAAAGATGGAAATTGTATCCAAGTTTCTTCAAATTTGCTATCTCATAAAAATGTTTAACTATCTCAGTTAATGGGAAACCTGTCAAATTCTAGTATACTCATTATCATTCTGGTCATACCAATTCTACAGAGTGAGACCTATGCTGTAGGGAGAGGCGTGTCGGACAGCAAACTCATTGCCGTGGCAGGAGACGATAGTGACGATGAGTTTTTATCGGCAGACGAGGGATCAAGTCCCTCGCTGCTATCCAAGAAGAAACAGGCCATACAACGCCAGCAGAGTACCAGCGTCTACTTGAGATCAGACGTGGAGCTCCAATTTGAACTAAAGAGAGTAAGTCAAAAGGATGATAATGTCGTAACAGTATTGCAAAGTGAATGAAGAATGAGCACTACTGAAATGTCTCTTACATCAGCAAAATTTTAATTACATTATTTCATGTTATGCATGTTTATCTTCAAGTCATTTAAATAACTATGTTGTTGTTCCAACTTCTTGTTCCAATTAGACTTGTAAGCACTACTACAGTGTATGTTCTTGCTGTGTGTACACCCTTTAGCTTTTCTTCAGACAGCCACTTGAATATTGGGTGCAACTGCCACTTAATAGACATGTGTAATGTGTATTTCCTTTTTCTCTTTTCTTCCTACAAATCATCCTAGAATCTGCAGTACCATTGCTTAAACATCGTTATGATGTCAATGACAAGATGAAATCATACATCAGCTGACATAGTAGAGTATCTTTATATGAGGCAGTATAAAGAAGTGTGATTGTTCAGCCCACAGTCAATAATAATAATAGTCACATTTGTATATCGCTGTATATTACGTTTCTAAGCACTTTAATTATTATTACCCAGGTCATTGGATTCAATTGCTCATCAGCATATCATACTGCACATGCTCCGCTCTCTGTAATCCATGGTTATTCTTGTTAACAGGTCACTTTGAACCTAGGCCAGCGAGAGTCTGATGGATCCGAGAGCCCTGTTCTAGGTGTAGCCATCCATTCCTTAGGAGCTAAGGTCCAAGTCAGACCTCTAGACATGGATGTAGAGCTGTATGTTAATCAGCATTATTATACTGCACATGCTCCGCTCCCTGTGGAGCATTTATGTACCATAGACTACTGTAATCCATGGTTATTTTTGTTATCAGGTTACCTTGAACCTAGGCCAGCGAGAGGCTGATGGATCCGAGAGCCCTGTTCTTGGTGTAGCTATCCATTCCTTAGGAGCTAAGGTCCAAGTCAGACCTCTAGACATGGATGTAGAGCTGTCCCTAGGGAGTATAGCAGCTCAGCATCACAAGTTCCAAGGTGAGATCATGTCACATTGAAATCATCACAGAGGTGGAATGAAGTATTAAAACATTGTAAGGAAGCAATCATATATCAAGATTCAAGATAATTCATTGTCTGATTTTTTTAAAAACAGAAATTTGTCCTCCACTGGCGAGTAACATACATATACAAGCAACATAAACAATATATACATACATTCGAGGATACAAAGAAAATACAACAATAATAATAATTACAATAATAGCAATAACAAAACTGACATGTGAATTTTAAAACTGGCATTAAAAATTGAACCTCGACAATGCACAGAATGCATGAAATAAAAGTGCTCTGAACATTAATTAATAATAATTAATAACGTTTTATTTACCCAGGGTAGCCACTTCAGTTATGAAACTGCTCTTTCAGCGGGCCCTGCATAACATAATGTTATTATTACCCTTCTCCAATCTAATATGCTGAGCGCCTAGCTAGAAGGCAGAAGGTCCCATTGTTCTAAGTCTTTGGTATGACTCAGCCGGGGTTCGAACCCACGACCTCCCGTTCATGAGGCGGGTGCTCTAACCACTGAGCCATCATGCCCTTCTCTCCCAGAAATGGAGTTTGAGGAAAAACAGAGACCAGAACAAATGAGAGAGAGAGAGAGAGGGGAGAGAAGTCGCATGGAGTAGAACAGAAAGGAAATGTGAGGGAGAGAGAGAAGGTGACAGAAAACAAGGAGCTTTTAGAAGTTTGTTTCGAACTCATTAATATTAACCACTACATCATCAGATTCCCTAACCTTGTTGTGAAGCTTCTAACATAGACTTATTTTCAACAGAAAAGTTGTGAGTGTCAAACCTACTATAAAAATCACAGAGTTCATTTACAAAATCCGCATTGAGTTCTTGATTTTGGAGTCTTTTCTTGTAACCTGTGATCAATTGCATCTTTTTCAATGCTGCTCTAGAATCAGAACTTCTAAAATTTTCTTTATCATCGTTTCTTTATCATCTTCTGGAACTCTTTCTTGGGAAAAGCATCTTGTTTCTGCTTCAGAAGCCCCTTCAATTCTTTGGTGATCCATGGTTTATTGTTGGGTATATTTTGAATTTCTTAACTGGTATTGAAGACTGTACACAAAAAAGGATATACTGGTTAACGATGGATACAGTATCATCCGCAGATTCTGCTGAGCCAACAAGAACCTCCCAATCAGTGCACTCCAAACTAGCACGCAGCTCCTCCACCTCCCCTTATGAGGTGTTCCATTAAAATTTTAAAAGAAAACAAAGAAATAATACAAAAGCAGAATATCTCATCACTAGGTCATGTATTATTTAACTCATGGGTAGGCTGGTCTCGATGCCATTGTTAGACTCTGGTTTTGATTTCAAACTTGAATGTAATAGTTATAGCTTTAAACTGTATGCTAGCACTGGAAGACATGAACCAAGAAGAAAGAAAAACAGTATATTTTGTAATCTTGTATTACAGTACCTGGATCTGAAGAGTTGTACCTGGTAAGAACACCAGCCTATGATGAGAAAGCTGAAAGGCTCTTGTCTGTCAAATATCATAAGGTAAGTTCTCTTGTTTGATCAGTAAGATTATATGTTCTTTTGAGCAGGCGTGCTATGTATTATTGATGATCTGTCCTGTTGATTGAATTTAATATGTGGACAAATAGCTTTGGATGCTCGGCTGCTAACAATGGACATGAACTGTTCTCTCTTTCCTTGTTTCCAATGTACTGGCTGGATTCGTGTAGTGTGGAATCTGTGATAGAATAAATTTTAGAAAGAAATTACACAAATACCTCATACCTGTTGCATTTCTAAGCAAAGGCAAAGCTGAATACTTTTGTCCTTTGACTGCAGCATTGGAGAAGTGTACTTTCATTTGTTCAACAAAAGTATTGATTGTATTAAATTATTCATTAAAGAAAAACAAATCCCCATGGTTACATTTATATAGATGATACGACATGACGGGTATCAGTTATTCAACAGTTATTTTCATTCAGATCGTGTGTATTATGTTTTATAATCCTGTAAAGCATGTCTACTAGTTTAACCAGGAGGGGGGGGGGGGATTAGGCCTCCCTGCAAGGTCACTGACAGGTGGTTATCTCATCAAATCAGCTCTCAATTAACATAAGAAAAAGAGGATCATGGGGGACCAACAGGCACCGATTATGTATTGTTTGCTATATAGAGGGTGCAAGTAGCTATAAGTAGTGCAGTGGGGCTTTAAGTGAAAACAAAATTTATTTTCATTCTCCTACAGATTGACAAGAACAACCCTGAGTTTGCCACCACCTACAAGTCTACTGAGCAGATGATCACAGCTCACTTCACCACCCTCGAGGTGGTAGCTCACTGTGAGGCCATCCTGGATATCACAGAGTTTGCCGACACCCTGGTGGCTAGTCTGGACCAGTCTGGCAAGACACCGGCAGTGGAGGATGGACACGTAGAGGATGAAGGGTACATCAGTGAAGATGATAAGAAACCGGAACGTGAGTTGGGATTATTAAAGCAGGAGAGAGGGAGGGAGAAGAGTATTTCATTAGTCTTTTATAATGCTGCTATTGAAGACAGCTAATTTGACTATAAGGATTTGTCTTAAGATTCAAGGAAAGAGATGGAAGAATGACCACCTGTCTACAAAGATCACATTTTTTGTTTCCCTTGAAAATGGTTTCTCATTGAAACATGTACTATAGGCACCTGTCTACAAAGATCACTTTTCTTGTTTCTCGGTCTTTATAGACAGGTTTCACTGTATTAGGCTTACCTGTAATAATTCAGTAATGAAGACTGCTGATTTGAACGATGAGATTCTTCTGTATATCCAAGAATCTAGCCCTCATGGATAAAACATAATTTGATTGTATGTAGGATGTCAAAGAAAGGTTTTGGGAATATAAATTACAATAATAGTGATTAAATATGAGACGTGGGTTGGGGAGTCACATTTTCAGTAAATAGGGACAGAGAGTATGACATTGAGTAGGTTACTCACTAAAAAGTAATGAATGCAAGACTTTTGAAGTATCGGATATGTAAATATTATAAAAAACGAATGACAACTGTAGTAAAAAGTAATCAAAACAACAACAACATGTATTTGATAAAAACCAACAACATAGTATTGGTCATTGCTGTCAGGTAGCAGTTTATGTTAATTAAAGAAGAAATATTCTGCATTACAAAAGATTATTTGATGAGGCATTTTATTCCTCATCCCACAAACATAGAAATCAGACAATGTTTGGCCTGACAAAATGATAGCAAACCATACTCATCAGGGTAGAATAGTTTTCAGTCGATGTAGTGTATGATGGAATCTATGCTGATTCTCATCCCACAGGCAAGCGAACCAAGGGAGTGAAGCCCACTGATGTCATTGATGTCCAAGTTGTAGCTACTCTTGATACCATCGCTCTAGTAGTATGCACCCAGGAGGCTAGTCTTACAGAGGTCGCTGTTAAAGGTACGTTGCTTCCTGAATATCCAAAAGTTACTAACACATGTGCTATTATCTGGCCCCTTTTTACCAACCAATAATTTCTCTTCTTGTATATGTATAATAATTTAATGAAATGTATTGCTGTTGTTGGTAAATAAATCAAATCAAATCAAATCAACCCAGCTACATCCATCATAATGACACCATACTTACATTTATTTATATATAACAAAAAACATATAACCCAACATGGACCTTGTGGCAGATGATCCCAGTGCTTTTTAGATGTAAGATGTACTGAGAGTCAGGACCACAATGATGATTTTCAGAAGTTACTCAGAATAGGTTGAGAAAGGGATTTTGTGAAGTGAACTTAGGCAACTCGCACAATAATGAAATGAATTGTAAACAAGAGAAAGGGGATGACAAAGGTAAAGAAAGATTTTGTCAATAAACAGAGATAGCGCATATATATGGGACATGTTTTTTGTTCAATGTTCAAATTTGTTATCAAAAGAATTGATGACTTTTGTTTCAAGTCAATTATGTATTTGTCTCAACTTGACAGGATTGGAGGCTAATGTGACTGTTCAGAAGCACAAGACTTGTGTGAACGCCTGTCTCCAGGAGATCACTGTAGTTGATCCTACACCAGATGCTCTTCATCCCAGGGTAAGTTACCTTCATCATTAATCTACATTTGCCACTCTCTACCAAATATTGATATTATTAGACACAGAATCAAAATCATGCATGTAAATATGTAGTAATGAGCTTTTGAAAGAACTCACTAGATAGGACATATTAGTTTGTGGTGGATGTAACCACTTTTTGCATGAGAATTATTGAATAAAGAGAAAACAAAAACACAAGTCTTACTTTGCTGGTCTGATGTAAAACTAAGTATTAGTCTTCATATATTTCCTTCTCTTGTTCTGATATAGAAGGAAGAAAGAAACATATAATTCCAACAATATTCACTGTATTATGTACTGTGTAAGTGTTATGATCATGTACCATTTACCGTATTTGGCGGCGTAAAGGCCGCAGTATTTTTGGAAGAGAAAATATCAAAAAGTCGGGGTGCGGCCTTCACGCCGAAAGAGTAAAAATCGCAAGTCAAAACAGCACGTCCATTATTTGTAGGCAACTTCATACAACAAAATATATTAACAAAATTGACTTGAAAACACATCGGAAAAGATCTAGTCTGAACCACGTCAGCAGCAAATTTGAAGAAGTTATCTTTTTAGTCGTTGTGCAACCAAAGAAATAAGAAGAAAACTGACCAGAAACTCGTACTTGTAAAGTTGTAAAAATGTCCTTAAGAACACCGATGATTGTGCGCTGTGCATCTCCGAAGGTGCGTTGGATTTGTTAGCAACTCCAGCCCCGTAGCTCCCCACCGAGGAGTGTGTGAGTAAGGTATGATTTTGGTACCTTACTCACACACTCTGTGGTGGGGAGCTACGGGGCTGAGAGTTGCTAACAAATCCAACGCACCTTCGGAGATGCACAGCGCGCAATCATCGGTGTTCTTAACTTTTCAGTAAGATAATTCTGAATTATAATTGAGACTATCTAATTAATTAAAGCGACAAACTAACCTCGGTAGATCTCTAATAACAATACAAAAGCTTGTTTATTTTCTCCATTTGACGGTACGATAGGGGTAAGACCGGATAACATTACAAAAAAGATACATCCTTCCACCATGCTTCCACCCTGCGATAGGTTGGCCATTCAGGTTTCTGTATGCATGCGAAGCGCCCTCTAGTGTCCCATGAATGTGCTAATCTGCCTAAAAATCGATGAAGATTTGCTAAATTACGATCATTTTTTAGGTAAACTTCCTGTAAATTTATAAAATGATTGATAATTTTGGTATTAGTTTGTAGGAAAACTAGAGTTCTACGGGAAAATTACAATTATTTTCTTTGGTCCGTTTTTTTTTTTTTTTTTTTTTTTTATTTTCCCTTTTTTTTTTTTTTTTTTTTTTTCTCTACGAAATCTCAAAGTTGGGGGTGCGGCCTATGCGGGGGTGCGGCCTTTACACCGGCAAATACGGTACTGTTGCATGGTGATGTATAATGTGACTGCTCATTGTAATGGATTCCATCATTTCTTGCTTCAGATTCTGTCTACCTTAGATAAGGAGGTGTTCAAGATGGCCCTCACCCTCTACAACCATGCTACAGTAGGTGACCTGTACTCAGACATGGAGGCAGTTGATATGAGAATGGGATTAAAGGTGGGATGTATCAGAGCTGTCTTCCTCAATAAGTTTGTCAACAATCTATTGGTGAGTTCAGTTTTGCAGGATAACAATGATATTTTTTACTGCTGACCTCTGAACTATGAAACCCACAGGAAGACATACCTATTTGTTTTTATGTGAGTTCTAAATAAATCAGAATGTCTCTTTAGTTTGAGGAAAATAATTGAAGCATTTGTGTTTATTATTATTATTATTCCTTTTACAGGGAAGTTAAATGCATACATACCTGTTTTAGATGTTTATCTATATTGGTTGGTTGATGAATTGATGTTGATTGAGGGGATTTAGTTATTAGAGTGATGTGACACTCCATTCTTTTTCTTGAGACTCTAATGGCTCTAGACATACAATGGATATCTAGGAGCTGTAGAGTCCCATGTGTAGAGTTTTACCCAAATGCATGCACCCCTTTTCGCTCATTTCTAAAGCAGTAAACCATCTTCCTATTTCAGGGTTTTGTTGATCACTTCAACCGTGCCAAGGCGCTTGCAGCAGAGGCTGGTGCCAACGCAGCATCTGCAGCCCAACAGGCAGCAGAGGACATCAACGCTAAGGCCCCACGCATCGCCATGGACATCGTCGTCAAGGCACCCGTCATCGTCATCCCTAGTAACTCCACATCAGAGACAGGAATGGTTGCTGACTTCGGTCAGTTGAGTGTCAAGAATTCCTTCAGGATCGTAGCAGGATCTGAGAAGCTTGAGAATCCAGCTGTGATAGATACCATGCATGTGGCTTTGGAGTCCATGCAGCTGTCTAGGTAAGGCACACAACATATACATTTATGTTTTTATGCCTCCGTTACGAAGTAGCCGGAGGCATTATGTTTTCGGGTTGTCCGTCCGTCCGTCCGTACGTCCCGTTCTCGTGATCGCGTTATCTGAAGAACCGATTGATGGATTCCTGCCAAACTTTGGTCATGTATTTTACTTGCAGAGCCGATGAACTGATTAGATTTTGGGGTCACGAGGTCAAAGGTCAAAGGTCACAGGGCTCATTATGTATGCAAAAACAGCTCGTGATCGCGTTATCTGAAGAACCGATTGATGGGTTCCTGCCAAACTTTGGTCTTGTATGTATCTTGCAGAGCCGATGAACTGATTAGATTTTGGGGTCACAAGGTCAAAGGTCACAGGTCACAGGGCTCAATAGGTATGCAAAAAGAGCTCGTGATCGCATTATCTCAAGAACCGATCGATGGATTCCTGCCAAACTTTGGTCATGTATGTATCTTGCAGAGCCGATGAACTGAATAGATTTTGGGGTCACGAGGTCAAAGGTCAAAGGTCACAGGGCTCATTATGTATGCAAAAATAGCTTGTGATCGAATTCTCATTAGAACAGATTGATGGATTCCTGCCAAATTTCGATCATGTATGTATCTTGCAGAGCCAATGAACTGAGTAGATTCATGGGTCATGAGGTCAAAGGTCATGGGCTCATTATGTATCCAAAAATAACTTGTGAACGCATTCTCATTAGAACTGACAGATGGATTACTATTTAACTCAGGACATCTTGCAGAGCCAATGAACTGAGTAGATTTTAGGGTCATCAGGTCAAAGATCAAAGGGTCATATATGTATATGAGAAATTGCTTGTAATCACGATATTCTGAGAACCTCTTAATGGATTACAATTGAACTTGAATTTGAAAAATGTGTTCTGTTTTGGTTTGTAAAATTGCTCTATGACGGAGGCATCATTTTCGACTGCGCGCAGTCGAAGTTCCATCTAGTTTTTCTTCTGTTTTTTCTAACATAGTATATCATCTTTTTGGAGCCAGAGGGGCATCAACTTTGATTTAAGTATGACTTAACGCCCTTCTGTCTCCAAACAGACGATATATGCACCTGATTACAATTTCAAACTTTGTATTCAGAACCAGGAGATATTAGAGTTTACATGATGGAATACATAGACGAAGAGAAGATCAAACAAATATATAGAGAAAAGAGAAGTTATAAAGGAGAGGGAAAAAAAGATCACATGTCAATAATATTACAGTGTTCAGTCAAAGTTAAGGAAAAAGAACAAGTGACATCACAGGGTGATCTGCATTCATCTGCTTCCATTACATGATGACAATGGAGTTGAGCGAAATTTACATTTATGCCTGGTCTGACAAGAGTAGACGACTTGGTGGTAACCTTTCATAAGGTATGACATGATCTGAATGTAGATAGTCAGTGTAGCATTTAAAAGAACGGAAGTCAGGTGGACAGCAGCTAGTTACTTGAATACTCTGCATTTCGTTCCATTTTGTTTTGTTTACAGATCTATCATCCAGAAAGAGGTCGTGAAATCGGATGTACTTATCCTGCATCCCATGTGTCTACACGTCAACCTGGCCAGGAACCTTTCAGTGGCCTGGTACCATGATGCTCCGGCTATAGCAGTCTCAGGAAAACTTGATGCAATTCAGGTAAACAGCAGTCAAAGATCCACTTTGACATAAATGTTGGGATGTCAGATAAGATTACTGGGGATTTATGCGTGGATGCAGTAATATGGCGAAATGTTTCAGAGGAAAAAATCTTTGGATGTCAGATATCTTAATACCAGTAGTATTTGCATGAATCTGATGGTGTAGACATACTGCTGTTAGCGAGGTCCACACTCTCTACTTGGCCCTCTATCTAACTGCACTTTTCTGGCCTAGCTCTGCTACCATAATGCACTAGTGATGGTATCATCCTGCAGTTCAAAATTCTTTTTCTCTAGATTTGTGTTTCCCCTTGTAGTTTAGAATATTAATGCAGTACAAGGAACACATTCTGATAGTATTCTTGCATGGAATTAATAATCTTGCAGTACTATGAGTGTTCATATAAGAGATTAACAGGTTGATTCCAGGCCTCTGTTTGGTTATTCTTCAGTCTCGTGTAAGACTGCTCTTATGGCTATGGTGCTGATGTATTTAGTACGGGAAGAACTATATTATCAAACAGATTCACTCTCTAAACCGACACTCTTTGCTTGCTTCCTCAGATCTCCATGGCAACTGATGATTTTGGCATCGTGATGTCGGTCCTGAATGAGAATCTACAGGAAGGTCAGCCGGAGAGTAAGCCATCTGTCAAGCCTGTAGAAGGAGCAGGGGATGCACCTGCAGCCGAGGGTGGGCCACCAAAAGATAGTGCAGCTACAGAAACAACTGCAGGTGAGCATTGGTATTCATGTATGTCATTTAGATCCTTTGTGCATGTTTATTTTTGTATTTGTTGTGAGTTTTTTCAGTAGGTGAGTACATGGCTCTGTGGGACTAAAATGAAGTTCATATTGATGTGCTTGATTCGTAGATCTAGTCCCATATGTGCAAAATCGTGCTGGTTTTGACTTACTTTTTAATTTTTTTTTTTACTCTTTCGCCGCATAGGCCGCACCCCGACATTTTGATATTTTCTCTTCCAAAAATACTGCGGCCTTTACGCCGGCAAATACAGTACATGATTCAATGAGAAACCATTTTCAAGGGAAACGACAAATGTGGCCTTTGTAAACAGGTGGTCTTTGTAGACAGGTGGTCACTAAAGCAGGTTTGACTGTACATGAATGCTTTATAGCACACATAAAAAGAAGATTTTAGCTAACATTTGAATTGATGGTTTTACAGCAGAAGTCACACCTAGTGGTAAGCCAGAAGAAGAGAAACCTGCTGAAGAGCCCTGGGTACAGGTCAAGGCTGATTTTGAGATGGAGAAGATTGGTGTCTCACTCTACACAGGGACGCATGACCTGGTAAGTCACATCTTCTCATCTCAATTCATTTTGATTCTACTAAAGAGTTACTCCTGTTGCTAGTTTTAGTTATATTTGGTCATGCTGACAGATATGGATTTCCACCACTCTCTCTCATCTGTGGATCAGGTGCCAATTACTGTTGTTATCCACAAGTCACAACATAATGTGATGAATTTATCCAAGGTAGATGATGAGGGACAGAGACTACTAAGGATGAGCCCTGCCTAACATTGGCAGTGACTGTAAATGGGCAGTTCAACCTGCAAAATTCCCTTTGTCTACACCTTCCCTGGGTCTGTTGCTGCCTGAGTTCACTCATTTTACAAATGAATGCTAAATTGTTCTAGTGGAACTCTGTATGTATGAATTCTAAAATATAAACAGCTTCGGTGTACAATTTAATAAACTCCTTGTGAATGAAGTCCAACTCGGTCTAACTTCATGACACAACGCCTTTAGAGTGTACTCTCTTTATACACCTCCTCACAGACTCTACTGAGTGGACGACAAGAAAGGCAAGACAAGGACACCCTGGGGCACTTCGCTGTGTGTCAGTTGATTGTAGGAGCTACAGTCATGTCAGACCAGGCTGTAGAGGCTAAGACTAAGCTTGGAGACATCCTCCTCAATGATATGAGGTCCAACAATCCTAATGCCATCACTAGGTAAGAAAACAGGTCATTATGCATTTTATTACGGTCGAAATCAAACAAATCTTCAGTATTTACTTGTCATAAACTCAATTGATCAGCCTCAATTTCTATTCAAAATATGAATATTCCTTACTTAACAATTATTACAACAATGATAATAATGATGAATCTAATCTATTTGTATCATCAATTTGTTTGCAAGTATGGAATATGTAATAAGTTATGATCTATTTTACTGTGTATTATTTGTACTTGTTTATATCTAAATTTTTGTTGAAACGTTTTTTAAAACTGAGCTTGTAAAACTTGCAATGTAATTTAGCTTTTGGGCTACCATTTTGCAGTTGTTCTAATAAAACCATTCTACTGCTACTACTTAGATAGATCAAAGGGGGATAACATCCATACACAAGTTTCAGATTGTTATTAGCTGCAATGAAAACCTCTATTGAAAAACTATAATCACCATGATTAGTATTGTACATGTTAACTGAATTGTGTGATGGGAAATGTCAAACATAATATATAATGGGAGCTCTTTTACAGCAAATAATTGAAACATTGGGGGACAAGCTGCAAATATATTAATTTTGACTGAACGCTCACCCAACTAGAATTATAACTTTTTCTGTTTGTTACAGTGGCCTTTAAAAAGAAGTACAAGGTTTCAAAAGATAACATGAAATGACTATTTGAATTATTAATTGAAATTGGTAGAGAATACAAATCCTATCTCTTTCAAAATAGAAACACTTACACAAAGTTTTTAAAATTAATTTGTATACCCATCTCAACTTTTTGTTATCAGAATGATTTACAGATATGGGGAGACAGATGAGAACATTGTGGATGTGGACTTCAAGATGTCAGCCAAGAAAGCCATCATTTGTAAGTTAAGAAATTAATGGTGTCTGAAAAATTCCAGCTAGATTCTGTTTTATCAAAGGTCATAGATAGTTCTGAGTCTGATTCAGTCTTTGCACAGAATAGAGAACGGTTTTGATTATTTGGTTGTGTCTTCAGAATCTAAATCAGCTTGAAAATATGTTGAGAAACATGTTTAGGGCAAAATCTATCAATCTATACTAGTAATGATATCCAGGAATAGCAGTTCAAGTAGTAATTGTGATGTCATTGTGAAAATGGTAGTTATTAGTTATAAATTTGTCTTCATTCATTCTATGAATGCTGTCTCTCTTATATTAGTTTGTCAAGGAGTCGGTAGTTGAAATGAGTACTGCAAGAAACTATTTCCTGATCTTGTCTACAAATTTGTTTCCACATGACTTCAGTGGATGCAATCCTGCGCAACCTGCGCGCCTGCATCTGCACCGAGTTCCTGGTGACTTGTGCAGAGATCTTCACCAAGGCTCTTCCAGCAGATGCTCAGGGTACAAAGTCTGGCACCAGTATAGCAGCCAAGCCGTCTACCACCAGTCAAGCCTCTGCTGCTGCAGCAGCTCCTGCTGAAGAAGGGACCAAGAATGATATGCAGATCAAGGCCATCCTGCAGAATCCTGAGATCATCCTGGTGGCCGACTCCAGCACTAAGGACACCAATGCTCTCATCCTGCAGGTCAGTATTTCGGAGAATCGCGTTGAAAAGAGCCATACTTAATATAGACCAGTTCTGGTCATGCGATTGCATTATGAAAGAAACATTGTGGAATCGATCAGAAAAAGGTTGATCATCTAGCATATAAATATTGGTATGTACTGCAAGGTTCTGGAATCATCAAAATGATAAGAAAGTTGGCCCAGTCTTGGTAAAGTTACAAGCACTGTACACAAAAAGATGTATATGGGACTATGCGATATATATCCAGTCCGGATAGATATCCTGAGATCATCCTGGTGGCTGACTCAAGCACCAAGGACACCAATGCTCTCATCCTCCAGGTCAGTATGTGGAAATGTTTGTTGATAGATCCCTTCAGCTGCCGTAGGAAATAGCATCGACATCGATAAAAACAAAGTGTTTGATACAGAAACATGGTATTTCATTGCACATCAGATTAAGGGATCGTGCAGAGTGACGCATAAGCTCTGTGAAGAGTTAACGTGGGTTTGATTTTATGGTCTGCTGTATAGTGTTATGGTTTTGTGAGACAGCAAATATTTTCATCTATGTACACCTCCAGTGTATAATCCATATAGACCATTCTTGGTATTTTGATAGACTTATCATGTAGTGGATTATGCAGTGCTGATAAAGATAATGTGTCGATGTGGCCTGCCGTGTCTTGGGAGTAGTGTTTGTTACAATCTGACTGATCCTGCAGATGTGATTAAGATTTTGCTTTTTCTTGTATATAGGCATCAGGTGAGGTGAACCTGATCCAATCTGATGGTACCATGAAGATGACCGGAGGACTACCTATGCTTAGGATTGATGCTTGTCCATTCAAGGAAGAGCTCAGGAAAGGAAGAACTAGCAAGGTAAATAAAAATAGTAAACACCCAGAACTAATTTATATACTCTGAATATCCTATTTATTGATCAGGTTCAGTTTTATCAGCATTCATAAAACCAATTTGTTACTTAGTATTGTGATTAAAGTCCTTCACTAAGTGCTGTAGGTAAACAAATTAAGTACAATTTTTTAGGGAGCAGGCAGAGTTTTATTCAAGCCATCTCAAGAGCATAGACTCCACTGTATGTTTAGTAATCAGTTTGAAATTATTTCTTTAAAACTGGATTTCCTCTCATTTTTTAATCTGGAAAGTGATCAAAATTAGTTTCAGAAACAGTGACAGCAAGCTCACATCCGGCAATGAGAGGATTTGCTCCTTTACTGTATTAGATTATCCAGTAGGTTGAATGAACAATAATTATTACATCAACGTGGTACAGTTTCACAATTCTCCTTCCTGTTCTCCCACAGGTTCTTGTGCCATGCCACATTGACTTCCACCTGAGCTCTCCTGAAGGTCAGGGGCAGAGGATCTCAGTAGACCTCCCAGAGCTGGTACTCAATATCTCACCAGAAACAGTCAAGATTCTCTCTGCTGTGGCTCAAACTGTTTCCCCCTCTAAGGTAAGTAAACACAGTTGTTACGATCAGATGGAGGGAATCTAGGATCCCATTGCAAGAATCCGTCTTTAATCTTAGTTCACATACTGTTTGTTGATTCCTACTCATACGAGATGGAGAATGATGGTCTATTACAACACCCCCTCGTCCTTTTTTTTCCCTTTTCAAATATCAAGTCTTTAGTGATACTATGTAGTTGGAAAGAAACATGAGATAAGGTTTTTTCTTATTGATAACCTTATTGTTCTATTCAGTGTAGAGAGTGGACCCCGTATTTTGAGATTTTGTAACAACACAAATATTTCATGTGCAAATGTGTGAATTTAGAACATGTTGTTTGGTTGGGTTTAAGGTAACCACATGATATCTGTTATGTGATCTGTGTGTCAAAAAATGACACTTATTATCCAGTGGGCTCCAGGAAAATCAAAGATTTTTATTCAGCCCTCAGTAGGCAGACTGTATTACAAGACCATGAAAAATGAAAGGATCTTTCCATGATATGTGCGTGTTTGACTTAAATATGAATTTATTTTCATTGTGTGTTGCGACCAAGAAGTGAAAGGGTTTTTTCTTGATCAGTGTTTTTTTTACTATGAAATTAAGATAAGAATTTATCACCGTTGCATTTTTAGGCTGAAGAAATGGAAGAGAAGAAGAAGGCTGTTGATATGTCGGATGTTTGGGATGTGAAACATCTCAAAACAAGCGATTTCTGGTTCCTCCATCAAGATGAAGGTAAGCACCCTATCATCTTCAGAAATCTTTATCTCATTTTTAAAAAGAAATGTTGAACATAATCTAATCCACTCTTTGAAATATTTGTAAATAGGTAAAATCTCTCTTTCTTTCTTTTTTTTTTAATTGGGAAGAAGTTTTATTGAATACCGTAAATCTCTGTGTATAAGGCGCACTTTTTTTTCCGTCGGGAAAAATCGAAAGTCGGGGGTGCGCTAATACACAGGTGCGCCTTATACACAGAGATTTACGGTTCACTTTTTACATGTGAAACCCTATGGTCTTGAGATAGAAATGAGTCCTAAAATGAGCTTGAGATCGGATAGGAGCCCTGTTATTATTCTCAGCATGCTTAGCATCATTCCGATGGCCATTAGGAGAAGAATTGCTTGATAATGTTTAATTATTTACTCACTATGGCTCTTTCTTTTTTCATGAGGTTCTGATTTAGATGACTTCAGCCAGATACTCTCTCAGGTATACACCTTAATAATTCTCTCATTATTCTTTCAGGTGCTGACGTAGATGACTTCACACTGCCTCTGGTCCCCGTAGTGCCCCCTCCCCAGCAGGTGGAGGAGCTAGTAGCCAACATTAAGACCATTGTAGTGAAGATAGAGGCTGCCAGTGGACGCCGCTTTGTCCCTATGCTCATTCTAGAGGCCAGCATGCATGCCATCGTCAAGGATTGGTCCTCACGGGTGAGTAACGGCTCCTTGAGATGTAAAGCGTTAAACCTCCAATCCATTTTTAAACATGTTAAAATGGATAGCAACTGTACACAGCAAAGGTTGTATACGATATTCACTTAGCTCTGTGTTAAGAGATTCAGAAATGTGAAGCATATTACACATCTTTTTTTTTAAACACTGCGATTTATGAAGTCGTATCTGAACGAAACTTGATAGTGAAACTAGAATTTCATGTCAATCCTAGAAATGAGTGCTGTGGAGTATTAATGAGATTTTCCTTGCAGCCGTGTCGAATGTTTTTCCTGAATATCCATAGTCTTGTCACTGTCTATCTCTCACATTATCTCCCCTTCTTTTAAAACATAAGTATTCATTTAGTGAAAGGCTAGCCTTGAATGGCAATATTTATTATTTGCTCCCTCTCATTTATGTTATGTAATATGTGTATGTTGCAAATCTATGATATTGTAATGAAATTATTGAAATTGACATAATTGACATAATTTCAATCCATATATTTTTGTATTCATTTAGCCCTGGTCTAACTCTTTCTCCCCTCTAGACTTCTTAAGAAAAAAGATGACACATAGTTTAAGATTCTGTTAGTTATGTTGACCTTGAGATGAAATTCACATTGTATGAAAGAAAGACAAAAAGACTTTGTTGTAAAAGTATTTGTTTTGGGGTGTGTTTTGATTGTAGTTGTATGTTGAGAGCCACATGAAGCTGGAAGTTTCAACGTACAACGAGAAGGTTGCAGCATGGGAGCCATTGATCGAGTCCATTGAGCAGGCTAATGAGAAGTACATCCCATGGAGTCTCTCTGTCAACGTAACTATAGCTTTGGAAGACCTTAAGAATTATGATCATTATGGTCATTGTTAGAATTTTGAACCTTGATACCTCTTTAATCATGTGCTTATAATCATCCTTTGCAATTAACTTTTAATAAAATGTTAAAAAAGAGTTTGGAATCGTGAATCTAACATTTCAGCTCTTAATTTTCTGTTGTAATACCCTCCCAGATAAAGAATAATAATAAAATCATATTCATCCATTTGACCTTATCTTTAGTAATTTTAGGAGCTGAAGTTGCTTTGTTCTTTTTTTATTAGGATGGGGTTAAAATATTCTTATAAATAATAAAATAAAGGACGTGAACAAAAATGCTTTTTAATCATACAGTTTTAATTGTTTTTTTTAACAAAAAGAGCTAAAATATTCAAATGATAAAACCAACATTTTGAAATCTTGCTACAGGTGGTCAAGAATGATGACCTGCTGGATGCCGGCTCAACTACCGTCTCATCAGAAGATGAGGACAGTGATAATGTGAGCCTTGCCCCTCCAGCCATGACTGTCACTGTGTCTGCAGAAGAAACACTTCAGATGACCGTCACAAAGACATCACTGGCACTCTTCAATAAACTAGGACAGGTAAGATCTAGCAGGAGAATTAATGAGAACTTGGTAGTGGAAGGGCGAGGCAGGGGAGTAGCCGCAATCAAAGTTGGTAATGCTGATTTTTCAAGTTAATTATGTAAAAGCCCCTGGTATCTCAGCAAAGTAGTCACTATTATATAATAATTATAATAGTTTATTTATTCAAAAATATGCATCGCAGCCCGGGGGCTGAATTGTACAATATTTTTGCAAACGTATGTATATAGAATCATAACAATAGAAGGAAACAGTATGCAATTGTAAATTATTCATGAGTGCAATACCTTGGAGTACATGTGAGTCACCATTAAATTGGTAGTACGATTTTATGTGTATAGGTGAAGGTTCAAAATAGTATAGTGTGATGTAAGTGAAGACCGCAAAAGGAAGGCAGGTGGAAGGGAGAGAGTGAGAGTGCGAGAGAGGGAGAGAAAGCGATGGATTGACAGAGGGAGAGGGGGGGGGGGGGGGGGAGAGGTAGAGAGAGAAAGATTTACCGGTATATAGAGAGAGAGAGGTGGGGAAAAGGAAGAAGACAGTGAGTGAGCGGTACAACAATACTACAAAATAATACAAACTTTGGCGAATGCGGCATTGTAAATAAGAAGTAAATTTGACATAGTAACTAAGCAATCATTAAAATAAGATGTAAATGTCTTAACAGATACATGTTTATTGTGTCATACTAATGCTGTAAACCATCATCGCTATACCATTTAAACATCTATTTGTTAGAGGTATACTGGGAGAATAAAGTTGGATGTTTTTGTTTTCTTCTTTAAGACAGGTATGTTTTGTTGTTTCTCTTCCACAGGTGTTTGGTCAAGCGATGGCCGAACCAACAACATCATTGAAGGACACCGATGTCATCCCAGCTTGCACTGTAACCAACCAAACAGGAGTAGCCATTACTGTCAAACCTGGTTCATACTATCAGGTATTAGCAATACAACTTGCGCTTTGCATATTCACTTCAAGGAAAAGGGATGAAACTAGGTGGTCTCAGATCTACTTTAGTGATGATTTGAATCGTGATGTTTTTAAAGGCAAATAAGTCTATGAACTATATGTTATATGGTTTGATTACTAAGAAATGTAATTTACCAGTATATTTAAAAATTGTTATTTTTAATGGAGTCTTGCCTCAGTTGTAGACCAGTGATCAAGTATCCTTGAGGTCCTGGGTTGAAAACCAACCTGATGCTGTAGTGCCTTTTAGTAAGATATTAATTCCCATTACCAATTTGCTTGAAAAGGACTGAAGCCCTAGGCCCCCAAGTTGCTTACTAAGATGCACATACTCTTTTCCTAGCTGTTTTAAGCTGTTACAGATCAGTATTAATCATCAGTACGTTGACTTCTTTATCAATTGTTATTTATCATCTGTTTTCATTAATGAGTTGATGTCAATGTATAGAGGAAGATCATTGGGTTGAAGATACCTGAATTCATTGTTTGATGACCTTCTCTTTTGAAATTACAGAGACCCAAGACTGGAGATGTAGCTTCTGTCAAGCACACAGAGAGCATTGATTTGGATGTATCAGAGAAGGTCAGAGCAAGCAAGAAGATGGCCGTGGTCAACAAATCACCCATCTCACCCTCCGATATGGAACTGTCTATTCAGGTCAGTATTTTCCCTACTCCCCCCCCCCCCATTTTTTACCTGAATGTTTAAGGAGAGATGTCCCTAATAGTTCAAATAGAAAAGTTTACATCAGTGCTAAACATTATGATCTTAATGAGTATTTACATTTTGCAGTTATGGTCACAGCAGTTATGAATTCAGGTTACAAACAAAGCTACCAACTCCCTTCAAACCTGTAATTGTAGTCAAACAGCTACCAGGGTATTAATAACTATCAGAGATATGTGAAAGTTCACTGAATAAATATATGTACATTTAAAACAAAGTTGCTAATATCATGAAACAAGCAACAGGCTTGTTTCTTATATAGTGTTTTGTTTTGCCTGTGATTGTAACTAAACTTTCACTACAACTTTCACTTTATTCAACAGCATGTAGACATATGTTCATAATTTTCCTGTACAACATTCCAAGATGTACACATTTTGAAGAAAAAAAAGCTATCTCTGAGATTGTGGGGCAACAGATTACTTAATTTCTCTCTCTTCTGACTTCTTCTCAACTTTTAAAGATAAAGTTGAGTTCTGGTAAAAAAAAGAAAATGAATTCACACAGAATCAAACAAAACTTACACTGAATGTTAAAGATTACAAATAAACGTCATTTGCCAAACAATTTTGGTAGAAAATGTATACTGGCTGAGTAGTGAGCATAGAAAGATAAGGTAATCAAGTAGGCCCTGACACCATTTGTGTAGTCCCATATACATCTTTCTGTGTACAGTGCTTGTTACTTTACCAAGACTGGGCCAAATATATTATGATTTTGATGACTCCAGAACCTTGCAGTATACACCAATACTTACATGCTACATAATAAACTTTTTCTGATCCTTTCCACACCTTTTCTTTCACAATGCAATCCATTGACCAGAACTACATTACCTCTTTATAATGTAAATGATAAATATTTAGTTTCTATTTCTCATGATAGGTTGAGGGGTATGAGGAGCTCCACCATATCCCGATAGTACAGGCAGGGAACGTCCTCTACAACCTACAACCAATCAAGAAGTCATCGGAGAAGGTCTTCTCTATCACCCTAGAGATCAAGGCGACCCTTGACATGAGAAAGGTCATTGTCAGGTCTCCACTTCAGGTATGCAGCAGTTAGCAATGTTGAAATAAAATGTTACCCATCATTTCTGGAATATTTTTTTATTTAAACATTTTCAATTCATTTCTGTTGTTGTTTCATTTAGTAAAGTTCTTCTTATAAGATAATTGTTTATTTAAATTTGTTTGAAAATGATAGTTTGATCACTTTTACCTTTGTGATGACAGTTGTATATTTCCAACAGCAGTTACTGTTTGAATGAATAGAAGTACACATGATTTTAAAAGGGGAATGAGGTTCCAAATCAAATCCTCATTTTCAAGTTTGCACCACATTTTATAAAGTTTGGAGCAACACATGCCAACTTACTCTGTCTTTCAGGGGTATAGCATTTATGACATTTTTCAGAGTATTTGTCATTTTGTTTTTCTTCAGCAATGCTGATACTTCACGCTATGAATCATTACACAATCGAATCACATGATAATTCATTTGTTTCTTTTCATTTCATTTCCTCGCCAGATTTTCAATCACTTTGACAAACCAGTTGACATCTACACCAGAGACTCTACCATTGTGAAGAAGCTTGGTGAAGTCCAACCCAATGAGAGTTATGTAGTACCCCTTCATGTCGCTCACACCCAGGAACTACTCGCTAAACCAGTGGATGACAGGTATGATAATGCCTGATAATGGCTACATTTAGCATCAAGATACCAATGTAACATTACAATATAAGAATTTCTTGTAGATGGATGGTCACTGTTAATTTCTTGTAGATGAATGGTCAGTGTTAATTTCTTCTGTAGATATTTTGTTAAGCTGTAGAAGGTAGTATAGATTGAATGTCCAAACAGTTGGAAAGTGTGCTAAACAGACAAATTTAGCAGTAGCTGATGCAATGGACTGGAAATAACAGGTGGACCTTACTTTTATTGAAGAGAAGACTTGTACATGTATAAAATTAACATATTCTTAAAACTAGTGGGTCGTCATGACAATGGAATAGCAAAATACCTAGGCATCAAAACAACCCCGAGGACAACTACCCCATAGGGAAAGTACCCCATCAAGCAGTTACCACCCCTTGTTAAGCATGAAGGTCATTTGTTGGGTGGGGGTCCGAAGTAGGGGTAATAGTTATCTCAGGGTAGTACTATTATTGTAGGAAATGGTTATTAGAATTAAAATACATAAGATCTGGGGAAAGAATGATGGCATTATTGAAAAGAAATAAAAAGTTATAACAACACTCTATCTTCATTTTTCTAGCCATCTGATGTGTGACCAGCCTATATTGTATGAGAATCTATGGAAAGAGAAGATGGCTGCTGGTAAGAAACAGGTCACATTCAGGTGCCCTGCCAAGGTTGATGGATACACACCACTCTTCTTCAATGTAAGTAAATGACTATATACTCTATGTCCTACTCCCATGTTGAATTTGTAGAATGTTGAAATCTTGTTTCCTCATTTGAGAGCGCTATATATATAGGTGACCATCAAGAGTTATTGTCTGCACAATTTTTGAGGGGATGATCGAGAGTAATAGCAATTTGTGTGCTGTTGGAATACTGAAGATGTATCCTTTGAAAGTAGAATGCAAATTGATTGGTAGAGTGAAATTAAACTTAATGTAATGTTCTGAGCATACAAGTTTAAATGCATATGCTCCTCACATACATCTTTAACATGTAATATTGTCATTTTCTGTATGCAAACGGGGAGAAAAAGCTGGCTTTTGTGCGAAGGATCATTGAAAATTTAAGAAGAAGCATTATCTTTACAACGTATGTATTTTTGGTATGTCTTCTTTTTCTATTTTTAGCACTGGGGTGAATGATTTTGTGGCATCAGTTGGTTTAATAGTTGTGTTTTATTAGTTTTCATCTTGCATGATGTTTCAACATTAATGTTTAATTTGTTTCTGATTCAGGTTCAAATTCTGGAGGATGCTTTGTTAGATGTCAAAGGAACATCGCTTCATTCTCCCAAGTATAACATCCATCTTCACCCAGTAGTATCTCTCCGGAATCTCCTTCCAATCCCCATCTACTACACACTACAGGTAAGAAACCACCATTTCATTGTCCTCTTTAGAATCTTTCATGTATTGCAGTTGAACCAGCAAAAATTTATGTCGACTGTCACTTCTTGCTAAGTTACTTTCAAGAGGTTATTGTTTTGTAGAATGATCTTTGAATGCAAGATATATACTGTTTAAAATCTATAACATTATAGGGAGATAAAAAAACAGAGTTATATATGAGCACAATTGTTTTAGTTAATACAATTTGAGGACTGGATTGATGTTGAGCTGCAAAGCTCTACTCTTTCTTTATTGTTTCTAAGTAACGGTATATAATTCTATAATCATACTAGCAACAGGTAGGGGTTATTAAAGTGTATTTTGATCTTTGAGTACAAAATTGTTGTTGTCAATCCTGCAGAATGCATTGCTTATAATGTCTATGATTTATAGTATAATCCACACATTGCTCTCTCTTTTATGTCATTTTGAAATTGAAGGGTTCGGCAGATGAAGTGAAGATTGAGCCATGTGAGCAGAGCAAGATGTTCAATGTGGAACTTGCCAAGACCATGATGTTTGTCAGGGTAAGTATACACAAGCCATTTATATCTGCTCTTCATCTGGTGGTATCTAGATTATTTTTGTTCAAAAAGTGCTTTTTTGTAGTATTCATGTAAATGAATGTCATTGAATACTTCATCAACAAACTGGTGTCATCTATCTGTGTGTGGAGTTGAAGATTTGTTGTCTTCTACTTAAAAGAGATTAATTTCATTCCACATAAGATCTATGAGATGTAAGAATGTTTTTTGAATAAGCAACACCAGCATTGTAGCCACGTCACAAACACCCATGATATCAAAGTATTCTAGTGGTAAAATTACGAGACAATGGATCACAAAGGCAATGCCACATAACTTACATGCTTTGGCAAGACATCTATATTTACCACGCATCACCCAGGGCATCGTTTCACGAAACCGTCACAAGTACAAAATCACCAACATCAAATTAAAACATGTAATTAAATTAACATGCGTTTCAACTGGGTGTCAGCGAACTTGTACTTATGACGTTTTTTGTGAAACGATGCCATGGGCCCTGTTGCATAAAACTTACCATTGATGGTAACTTTGCCATCAATGGCAACTACCATGGTAACAGGGCTCAACAGCCAATCAAAATCGAGGTTTCCATGGTAGTTACCATTGATGGCAAAGTTACCATCAATGGTAAGTTTTATGCAATGGGCCCAGGTGAAGTATGTGGATATATAGCAGGATTATTTTTGTTAATGCACTGTGCACTGGCAAATGGTTGCCAGGATAATATTGTTCAAAGGCTCTTACTTTGGATGTGTGTAGGAATGTTACATGTATATCAGAATGTGATATGCACCATACAAGAACTGACTAAGATCATTACATCTTGCATTGTCCATAGATTGCCGACTACAATGGCATGGAATGGCGTGGGGAGATGACCCTTCGTACCACCCTCCAGGAGTACTCTCAGCTTGGATTCAGAGCTGGTAACAAGTGGACAGAGGCTGGTGTCTGGTATGACTACAGTCAGGGATTCATTGATATGGCCATGTTTGTACCCTACACACTCATCAACAAGACTGGACTACCCATTGCCTACAAGGTCAGTCATAGTTCAAAGGTCAAATTTGAGTTAAAATGGGGTACGTATAGAAAGTTGTAGGGGTGTGAACGCATTCGCTTGTGAGTCTAGTATGAATCAGACTTCGGTTGCGGTTGAATGCTTTTACAAATTTAGAAGCTCAGATCATTTTTGAGAACATACATTTGATTTCTGATAATGAGAGTACAGCTAATTTTCTGTTGTGAGATATTCATCTTGGAAAGCTTCCTAAGATTTTATGACGATTTGGTAACATCCCAAATTCCAATTCTCCCAATGTGTTTTCATGAGTAAACTGTAAGGGACACTTCTTATGAATTGGATTATGTAAAATGATGAGGGATGGTTCTAGGATGGAATGGTATGGTACCTCTGTTAAATCATTTTATAGGAAGTCAAAGCACTTTACTTTAGCTAATGGAAAATTCTGGAACTTGAAAAACTATCAAAAATTTAGTGTTTGTATGAAATTATTTGTCCTTCTCATAAACAACGGGATAACTGTTACCCCTCTCTTTTATTACAGCATTAAAAACATGTCATAAATACTAACTTACATGGCAGAAGTCTTGTACTTTCTGAGAATTTTATAGTAAATACAAGTCATACCAATGATAAAGGGAGGGAGTATATGTCCACTAACATACATCTTGTTAAAGGTTTTGATTTGCTTTGTGTCTTTGATTACATGACTGGCAGGGAGGAGGAGAGGAACAGATAGAGCATCCAGCTGATAAAGAGAGTCCCATCTTCTTCTCCTATCCATCCAAGGCCTTCAGCCCTGGCAAGAACAAGGTAAGCATTGTGCTATCAAATACATGTGCATATCCAAATTCATATTAATGCCCTTCTGTACTCTCAGCACACAATATCTCAATTTAGTACTAAAATGCAAGTTATCTTATCTCTAGATGACATGTCTTTACAAAAACTTAAAAATCAAAGTGTCACCAACTTTATATGGATCCGTAGAGAAATTAAGATTTGTATATTGAGGAATTGAATTAAAATATCAATCCTTGATGTATATTGAGGAGACTTCCATGGTGTGGATGAGGTGAACTTCTTGTGGAAACAAAGTCAAGCTTATTGGTCACAGATCCTCTTCACACAAAAGTAAATTATGTGCATATTGGTGTATAAAGGTGATTAATGCTTCATCATACATGCCAACCGTTCCGATTTTAACGGAACTGTTCCGTTTTTGAAGTTTTTGTAGCCCTAAAAAACGGAACGTGTTTCGAGGTACCGTACACTTTGTGATTTGTGATTTGTCTCGGAAGAAAATCTGTCAAAATGAGCGGAACAGCAGCAAGACGAATTCAGAAGTACAAACAGGAATACAAGGAACGATTTCCCTTTATTAGAGCAAGCACAAAAGGGGAGGAATATGCATACTGCATTTATTGTCGGCAAGATGTCTTGTTCTGCTGACATTGATTTTGACAACCTCATTTACATGTAGCTCAATGAGTTACAATAATTTTGGATTGTTGACTGTTGTCTGGAAAGTTGAATACCATTATTGCCAGTCTCATTTTATGCATAGATCTATGTCATGTATAATTATTTAAAAAGTAACTAGACTTAAATGCATCACTCTGCATGAGTGGCTAATTAAATCTATGTCTATTATCTGCTCTGCCTCTGCCAAGGATAAATTAAAATGTGGAATTCACTTCAATCACTTTTTTGTTTGGTATGACACAAAAATTACCCATAAACTTGGGTTGAATTTTAGGGGAAATGGTCCCTAAAATAGGCTCAGATTGCACCAGAGAGCATCTGGAAACCCAGAGCTTCCAGGGCCCTAAAGCGGGCCCTGGACCCCGGCTAAAAGGACTTCGCGCTCGTGATGTGCGCTTCGCGCACATAGTGTACAGATTTCTGATTTTCAAATGTTGGCATGTATGCTTCATGATTTCGATTGATTATCTATTAAAAAATTGAAGCAGTAGGAAAATGATTTATAATTGACTGATGAATAACAATGATATAAATGCAGCTGACTATCAAGCTAATTTAAACATGCAAATGCATTTCACTGAACTCTGATGACTACCGTAAATCTCTGTGTATAAGGCGCACCTGTGTATAAGGCACACCCCTATTTTGAAGACCAAAAAAATAAAAAATAAAATAAAAAATCAGGAAGAAAAAAATCCGGGAAAAAAAAATTGTCATCTTTAGTTTTAAAACAAACATTATAACTAGGTCTAACTTAGTTCCAATCAGCAAAGTTTTATTGCCACTATGGAGATCTAAAAAACAATAATTATCGGCAAGGTTTTGTGGCCCCTACGGAGATCTAAAAACAATAATTATCGGCAAGGTTTTGTGGCCCCTACGGAGATCTAAAAACAATAATTATCAGCAAGGTTTTGTCGCCCCTTCCATTTATCTGGGACACATCCTTGTACAAGTTTAGAAAATGGATGTTACTTGCTTCATTGTCCAATACTTAAAGGTGAAATTCAAAGAAGATCACAAATATGTCAACTAATGTATCACTAGAAACTGGTAAGCTAACATATGGCCATCGGGCGAGTTTTAGGTCAACTACATATCGGGTGATTTATAAAAAAATACAAGTACAACCACCTCCATAGCAGCTGGGATAGATGTATACGAGAGATTCGCCGGAAAAATAACGATGTTTTAATGACGTCACTATATGGACCAACACTGCCCAAGCAGATGACATCCCATAGAGAATGAACATAATTGCAAAGCTATTATTTCTCAAATTATAATGAGTTTAGTGTATATAAATGTAATGGCATGTCAAACCATTCAAAAGGGGATATGACCTAGCCTATAATCTAGGCGGAGTGCCGAGCTTTTTTCTTTGCTGCTAGACTAACCCTAAGCAGAACGTCTGATACGGCGAGACTACGAACCGTGAGTCGCGAAGCGGCTCACCGCCTATAATCACTGGTCTAGCTTTAGTCGTTGTTTTTTTATTATCGACCATGAATCCGTGGCAGTTTTTCGTACGAAAAAACCTCATGAATACGAAATGAACTCAACCAATCAGAAACACGTATGGAGAAGAGTCTATGCATATGCATATTATAAATCACGTGACATTACGTCATTTTCTTCATCCAAGATGGCGGGTAGTTCATGCGACGACGATCTTCTGCGAGAAAGTTTATCATATGCGGCCAACAAGCTAGGCATTCCTAATGGAAAATTCAGAGAACTGCAGGAATCCGCTATTCGTAGCGTTATTGAAGCCGGCAGGGATATTTTTGTTGCATTACCTACTGGTTTTGGAAAGAGTGCAATATACCAAGCAATCCCCTTGTGCTGTGATTTTCTACGCCACCACAGATTCTATGATCATGATGACTCGAGTCAAGGGGGAACCACTAATTTGTCATTGTAAATTTGATACGATAATTGTTTTACCATACAAAGATATATGTTTTATTGTTCACATAAAACTACAATTTTTTAATTTTTTGATATTTCACAGTAGTAAAATGATCATTTTAAAGATTTTTTTGGTTTCATCTCCCCTTCTTCCTTTTTATTACCCCTATTTAATAATGGACGAGCGCAATCTTTTTTCGTTGCGGTTTCTTATATCTGATTGGTCGAACGTAACATAGGTGTACCTTATTTGGTAGGGCTGTTGAATGATTCATAGATCCGCCATTTTGAATATATATGAATATTGATTAGCTAGACCAGTGATTATAGGCGGTGAACCGCTTCGCGGCTCACGGTTCGTAGTCTCGCCGTATCAGACGTTCTGCTTAAGGTTAGTCTAGCAGCAAAGAAAAAAGCTCGGCACTCCGCCTAGATTATAGGCTAGATATGACCTGATTCGAATAACTAAAATTTTTTGCTTGTAAATACACAGGATAGGGGTTAATTAACCATCAAAGAAACCAGACTTTCAAATTGAAAAACCCCTGGCATGATATTAAGGATGGCATTTGTTCCCTCTTGAAATACCGAACATACCCCGGTCTGTGCAGCTGAATATACAATGGCGTCTTATTTTGTTTACAAGCGACAGATTCCTTTAGTTTTGTATCGCTGCATTTGTCATAAAAATAAAACCATGTGCGGGTTTAGAGTGAGGCAATAGATTATACATTTAGCCTGACGGTAGTGAGGTAAGAGAAAGAACTCAAGAGAAGATGAAAACACAGGCACTGAAAATGTGTGAGATGTCATGGGACATCGTCTGCTTGTGCAAGTCATGTCCATACTGTGATCTCACACATTTCAGCAGCGTTCGGAGAGCTCTTCAGGTGCTATGTCGGGGCTGTATAGTAAGCGTTTTGTCATTTATAATAATCATTACTTCGAATGTTTCCAAGCATTGAATTTTGATAACCTTGTCGAATCAAAGTTTCAACTTTGCAATAATGAAAATAAAGTTAGTTTTTAAAATCAATGAATATCTACTTTAAATGATATCTCTAAAGATGTTATATGTGGAGATGTATATAGTTAATGGCCTATTGCTGTCTGTAGTTACATGAATTGATATTAAATTTCTCTATTCACAAAGGAGATAATCTATATATTTTGTATATGTAATGTGTATATGTGATGTGGCATGTATAGTTTTTGAATAGCAGTGGGCATGATATCCTATTCTATAATCTAGGCTGCTGAATGACTGAACAGGTGTATAATATACTTTATACCTTTGCTTATACCTTTCTAGGGACAACCAATGCTTGTAAGTAGTTTATAATTGAGTTTTTGTTTGGAGAAGCCTTTTGCACAAGAGTACCATTTTGTACTTTCTGTTGAAGCGTTTTGTTCTTTGCCTGACAACTAACTTTTATGATGGGTTATGTATTAAAGGTGGGCTTCTGCAGGATAAATATAATTATTGCAAAGTGAAAAGCCCACCAGAAAAACAAATTCCTCCTTGTAATTTTTTTTAAACCAAAATATAAAATAGCTTTGCAGGGGTATGTGATAAGCTGTGGCTATTTGCATTCAGCCATACATTTTCCCCTTCCATACAAAAGACTGTCCCAACCACAGACCTAAAGTTTGACTTATAAGAAGTAATCATGAAATTCACACAAAGGTAGCTACATGTTAGTTATGATTTTTGACATTTCTTTCTTTTTTCCTTCATCTTTAATGTTGAATTATGAATTAGAGCTTGGAAAGCATTGCCTGACTTAAGAGTTAACTAACAAGTGTTACTATACAGAATTGTGTTTTCAAATACTGCCAACTTTATATTTTGCTTTGAAAAGATATTTTGTGCAATTGATTTTTTTTGGGGGGGATGATGCAGACCACTTACACAAATTAGTTTTGAAGAATACTGGCAAAAATTTACAGACAGGGCAACCTCACTGTTATGTAGTAGATGAACCTTCTCTGCATGTACCTTATCTGCAAGGTTTTGTTGCCCCAAGGAGCTCTAAAAACAATAATAATTGGCAAGGTTTTGTTGCCCCTACGGAGATTTAAAAACAATAATTATCGGCAAGGTTTTGTTGCCCCTACAGAGATCTAAAAAAAATAATAATCGGCAAGGTTTTGTTGCCCCTACGGAGATCTAAAAACAATAATTATCGGCAAGACTTTGTTGCCCCTACAGAGATCTAAAAACATTATGTCTTCATCAAAATAATTGAATGCTTTAGAATTTATACACTTGTAAAAATATGTGTATTTTCAAAACGGTTAAACGAAATCGCCCGTATACATTTAACGGTTAAAAGTTTAGCACAAAAAATGTAATGACTCGGGCTTATCAAAAACCACTAAAAAGTAACATTTTGAGGACTCAAAATATCCTGTACCTGGGTATAAGGCGCACCCCCGACTTTTGATTTTTGCCGACGAATATCAAGCGCTACAACAAACCTGTATTTCTCTGTATTTCTCTGTATTTCAATATGTTGAATGATAAACAACAACAGCAACAAAAGCCACCACCGCAAACTCCTTTTTTTATTCTCCCGAATGACCATCAACCCTGTATATATTCTGATAAGTAACAACAACATTGTTAACAATAACAAATAACAGCAACAACCATCACAACCAACCTCCTTTTTCTCTCAAATAACCACATTTCCTATATGTTCTTGACCTTAGATCCAGCTGAAAGTTGGAGAATCACAATGGTCAGACAAATTCTCACTGGACACAGTGGGAAGTTCTGGCTTCATTTCATGCAAGATGTCCAAACAGGACTATGAGGTGAGCATCTCCAACCTTTCCAATTTTTTGATTTTTTTGAATTTGTTTAATTAAAGAATGAAAAAGAAACAATATTAATTATTGATACCAAACTCATTGTCTTACACTTGTCATTGTACTTCACTATGTAATTGAATTAGAAATGTCAAATTACTTGTTTAATCACTTGTGAAGACGTCTTTGATCCAGTTCATACAATCATATATATGTGTAGTGAAAGTGCTTTCCTTAATTTTGCCTAATTCATTGTGTAAAATTTTGTATATGTATCCATACAAGTGTTTCGAACATAAATCATAGTCTAAAGTTGTGACCTTTTGTAATGCTATATTGTGATTTACTGTTGCTCATTAATTGTTCATAATAACTTTTTATTGAATTTCTCATATTTGTCTCCTTCTGATAAACAAGTTCCTTGAAATACATTTGATATATGAATAAGTAGACTAGAAGGCTTTAGATCTTTTATCAATGCTAAAACTGCATGTTGTTATGGGGCTTTTAGCATGATTGTGTTATACATCAAATAACACCCTTATAATTAGATATTATCTGTGATATGTCATGGTTAAAGTCTTAAACAATCAAATTGATACATTGGGACATATTTTGTTTGTATATGACAACCAACATAGAGACAGACAATCACATTAAAAGGGTAGTTGTCAAAGGGTCACAGATAGTTCTTATTCCAAGTTATCCTTCGATTTATCTGGAACAAATCCTTGTACAAGTTGAGAAAATGGATGTTACTTGCTTCATTGTCCAATACTTAAATGATATCTCTGAAGATGTTACATGTGGAGATGTATATAGTTAATGGCCTATTGCTGTCTGTAGTTACATGAATGGATATCATATTTCTCTATTCACAAAAGAGATAACATAAATATTTTGTATGTGAAATTTGGTGATGTGGCATGTATAGTTTTAGAATAGCAGTGGGCATGATATCCTATCCTGTAATCTAGGCTGAATGACTGAACAGGTGTATAATATACTTTTATACCTTCGCTTGTACCTTTCTAGGTATTAGGACTTATGCTTGTAAGTAGTTTATAATTGAGTTTTTGTTTAGAGAAGCCTTTGCACAAGAGTACCATTTTGTTAACTTCTTGTTTAAGTGTTTTGTTCTTTGCCTGACAACTAATACTTATGTGATGGGTCATGTATAAAGGTTGGTTAGTGCAGGATTACTGCAAAGGGAAAAGCCCTCCAGAAAGAAAAAAAATCCTCCTTGTAATTTTTGTTTAATGCTATAAAAAAAAAAAAACTTTGCGGGGGTATGTGATATTCAATGGCTATTTGTATTCAGCCATACATTTTCCCATTTCATACTAAGCATGGTCCCAACCACAGGTTTAAAGTTTGACTTTAATAGAAGAAAAAAATCATGAAATTCACACATAGGTAGTTACATGTTAGTTATGATTTTTGACATTTCTATCTTTCTTCATTCATCTTTAATGATGAATTATGTATCAGAGCTTGGAAAGCATTGCCTGACCTAAGTGTTAACTAACAAGTGTTGCTATACAGAATTGTGTTTTCAAATACTGCCATCTTTATATTTTGCTTTGAAAAGATATTTTGTGGATTTTTTTTGGGTAGGGTGATGCAGGGCACTTACACAAATTAGTTTTGAAGAACACTGGCAAAGATTTACAGACAGGGCAACCTCACTGTTATGTAGTAGACAAACCTTCTCTGCATGTATCTTTTAAAGCCCATCTGCAGCAGTTTGGCCAGGAGGGGTTAGACCACACAGAGTGGTCACTGAAAGGTGGCTATCTCATCAAATATGCTCTCAACTAACATAAGAAAAAGGGGATCATGGGGGAACAACGGTCACCGATTAGCATTATTTGCTATAAGAGGGCACAAGTAGCTATAAGTAGTGCAGTGGGGCTTTAATTTATTCATAATTGTACCTCTCAAATGCTTATTTTCATTAAAAAATGTTGTATAAAGCCATTTGCTCCGAAGTCGCCAATTTTTTTTTTTTTTTTTTTTTTTTTGGGGGGGGGGGGGGTTGTAATAGAATCTGGTAAAAAATATTGACAAAGAAACACAAATCTAGCAAAATACAGAGAACAAGAAACCTGCAGATGAACAGAGAGATAAGTTTGTGGATACCCTTAGAAAATTTGCAAAGAGAATTAAAAAAAAAATTCTTTAACAAAAACTAAATATGTAAGTTCAGTATTTTGTAAACTTGTATTCTTTGTAATTCTTTAACCTTTTACTCCAAGCAGCACTGATTTGCTTAATCACTCTATTTGTACTTCAGCATGCTCACTGTTCGGTTATGATAAAATTGGCATATTACTTTTGAAATATTCGAAACTAGATTTTACATAAAGAGATATTTCATTCTCTTGTGAATAGAAAATTGGGTAATCAGATAAGGGTATACCGACTTCATATTGATGAACTAGACTAGTTTGACTAAATATCCCTGAGTGGAAAGGGGAGTTGATAATGAGAATTCTTTTTCTCGGTTTGTTTTCACTTCTCATTTGCTTAATTTATTTGAGTAAGAAGTCAACTATGCTTATTCTTCTTATCACTAGTCACATAAGAACTCCAATGCATGCCTGGCTATGAAACTAATTTGTTTATTTTGATAACAGTGTTTATCTAGCATAATTACATCAAACAATACATTCAGTTTCATTTAGGATCTCGAAGATTCCCAATAGCCTGCATAATGCAATATATGGATATAACAATGACCAATGTTATACATGTACAGTACATACATGTAGGACTACAATCTAATCATGCCACCACTACACATTGCAAGTGCATTTAGATAATAACTGTTATCCTTTGCTTGTCTCCTTGATTCAATTGCTGTTAATGCACTGTGGCATTTTATCTTTTATATTTGAATATCATTGAAAAAGTTTTCCAAAGAGTCTGGATATTTTACAATTCAGAATAATTAACCGACAAAACAAATTATAATGGACACCAAATTATAATAGACACCAGAATTACTTTTTTCCTCTTTTTTTTTTGGCACTCAATATTTCTCTTGTATATCATAAGATATATATTTCATAATTTGAATGGGAAAAGTTGTCAACCCAAGAAAAATAATGTTTAAAGATATATTTGCATGTCGGGGGAAGCAGCTTACATGACTTTCCCTCCTCTCTTTAAGCAGATGGTGTTCATAATTCATTACTATTATTTACTTTTTATTTTACAGTATGTCTTTTGTCTACAGTTGAAATAACATTGTCAGGTTATAGAGTGAGATATCAAAGAGTGTTCTGGCTTGTAATTAGGAAGGAAGGGATGAGTTGAGTTTCTCAGAAGTTTGGAGACAATTTGGAGTTTGGAGAATATTGAAAAATGTATTAGACATAAGGACAGTAATTCACTTGTCTACATTTGTAATCGTTGTTGTCATTGTCTTTTTTGTGCAGTCTTAATGTGCACCAGTTGATCATTTGATTCATACATTACAATGTTTAAACATTATAATCATGTCTTTTTCATCCATTTTCATCACCAATCTTTTTTCCAAACAGGCTCAGGGAAGTGGCATACGACGACCAAAAAAATACAATGTAAAACTTCTGCTTCACATTCATAATTTTTTTTGTATTACATGCATGCTTTTTGTTCTTTCTTTTGTTGCGGTGAAACCAGTTTGCTTTTTTTTTTAAAAGAAAATCATTATGAGTGAGTAAAAGGAAGTGTTGATTTATATAACATACATTTCCAAGTGCATGTGGATTTGTTTGTGCTATCTATGTCTTGTTGCAAATGATTTATGTTTCCTTCTCTCTTGCTCTTATCTGTTCCTCAAAGATTTTGAGAGATTTCTTCTATCCAGCCTTTTCTTTGTTTTCTGTCTTGAGTTCCTGATAGCTATTTTGATTTAAAATAAAGCGGTGGATAATCAAAGAAAGAGAAGCTACAGATAATCTTAAGAAATGTATTGTAATGCTTTCTTACCTTGCTCTAACAATTTGCCTTTAAAAATAAAATTCCATCTAAAATATGCTGTTAATTAATCAAGTTTAAGGTTTGCTTTGGTGTGGAAGAAGAAATGAGGTGTGCAAGGTTAATATAAAAGCTTGTCTTGAATTTTAATTTTTTTGATGTGGAATAAGAATATGCAAACTCGAATCCAACAATTATAAATTCTGATGTCCATAACCCAATACTCATCAATGGTCCTGCATACCATAAGGTTTTTTTAGCATTTGGAAGTCAGAATGCTTCTTTTTCCTTTGTGATAGATAAATCATATAAATCACAGAAGAAGTGTATTTCCATTACATATTTGACCATGAGGCCTAAAAAAAGAGATGTTGTATTGCCCTTTAGGTAGGTGCCAAAACATGGGTCGGTCAGAATTTTTTTTTTTTTTTTTAACACTTTAAAAACAAAAAATAAATTCTCACTCTTTGCGCTGATATTTCTCAGTTTTGAATGCTTTAATACATATTTTGTTATTCATTAAACATTTTTTCCTAAAAATAAGATTAATATGTAGAAAAAAAAACTTTTTTATAGAGCCGACTGTAGATTTCAAAAATTGTGGGTCGGTCCCAAAGGGCAATACAACATCTTTTTGTTATAGGCCTGATTAAAATTTAAACCTTACAAAGTTGGTATTTGACCAGTTTGTTCAGATGTATTATCGATGAGCTATAAGAAACCTGATCAAATGATTGCCATGCCAAATGATAATCATTATTTATACTTTAAAATTCATCATGCAATTAATTCTTTTTTCCTAATAGCAAGCTCGTATTTTGTTACTAATAAGCGTGCATCATTGATTGAAAAGGTTTTATTAATTGCACTTCGCAGCCAGATGGCTGAATTATAAACAATTTACATCCCTTGCTGATACTTAATCTAGCAACATATACTAAATGAGGCAATTTGCAAATGATACTTTCCCTCTAAGGGAAAACTATTTATGAATCAATGCACTCTGGTTTTGACAATAGATTGAGACATGCATTACAACTGTGATGAACGAATTTGGATTTAATCCTCTCCCTTAGACAAGAAACATTTTGCTTATTTTTAAGTGACAATGATGCCTATATCTACAATATATCAAACATTTGTCTTGGCTCTAATACTATGCTTTGCAATGAATTACCACAATGGTATAAAATGCAATTCACAAAGCATAATCCTCTAAAATATTATCCATTAATAGACCACAACTTCTTTATTTTTTAATTTTTTTTTTTTGAGGTGGGGGGGGGGGGGGGGTTTCAAATGCAAAAAAAAAAAAAAAAACTTCATGAGCTACTTCTAGGGTATGGAATAAATAATTGTGTACCTTTGGGGAAAGAGCTATTTTAAGGTGGGGGAAATGGAACAGTTAACTGATACTAGTAAGCAAAAATATTAAGGTATTAATCTTATGTGAGCATGAGAATCATTTCTTCTTCATTGTGTTTCTATTCTTTGACTTCATTCATGTGTTGTTTTATTTTTTATTATTTCATTCTTGAAGTTGTTAGCATCATTTTGGTGTTCTCTTCTATCCATGTGTGTTAATCATCTTCTTTCCACATGTGTGTGTGTGTGTATCATCAGTATCATTATCATCTCAATCATCATAATATTGCAAGATGCCATTTTTAATTTACAAGGGATGTGTGAGAAGCAACTGCTTTATCAATTTCTATTACAATTATTTGTCTTTTAGCATCTTTAAAAAAAATGTTTAAACAAAATATCAATATTCCCTGTGTACATGCATGTTGTATTAAAGTGGATTTGGGACTAAGAATTGAAAATGATGAAACAGCTATTGTCAAATCAATTTTTTTCCTCTAATTATCAACATTTACTAGCATGATGGTGTCAGTTTTGTAAAGAAGATACTCAGAAATGATGTGATGTATAATACTAAATCTAATTGTAATGTTGATGATGATGATAAAACCTTAAGTGCTTGCTGTGGCCGAAGTGATATTTTTTGCCCCAATTTGATGGTACCCTATTTCCCATGCTGTTCCCAGAAGTGGCTGTAAAAGTCGTAAAGTGTGAACTTAGATATGTTTGAAGGAGCTTTTTTTTTATCATTTTTTCAAAATGTTGTGAAATGTTGGAGATTAATGTTGTTGGGTAAAATGAGGTACATGGTGGAAAACTTTTAGATTTGTTTTCTTTTAATTCATTAAATGGTAGGTCTTTCAATTGCAATGGGTAATCGATCAATACCATTGTAACTTATGTCTTTACATTGTTTGTTATAAATCTCTGGAAAAGTGGCATAGATTTTACTTGGAAATTTACCAATACAATATTGATTCAAGCAGTGATCCTTTATTTTCTTTATCAACACTTAATAGGTGGCTTCCTTATCATTTTACCTACATTTCCAGTGGAATGAATATAGATTGCTCAAGTACTCGACATATTGAGGATGTTTTGTTCTGGCTCGAAATTTCCAGCCAGTTTAGGGAAAAACTATTAAAGAATGTACCTGCAAATATATATTTTTCACTTTCACAATCATAAGAACATCATGAACCAATATACAATAACTAGGGTGTTGCTCAAAAGAAATATTATATTTTGCTCACAGTGTTTTTAATTTCTTTTTCTTTTCTCCGGGGATGGTTATAGATCAGTGTCCAGATTCAGCTGAGTAACTTAGGTTTCTCCAAGGTGGTGATGTTCACACCTAGATATCTTCTGGTCAACCAAACCAACTATGATATCTGCTGTTCCGAACCACAGGGAACATTCAAAGATGTGGCTGTCGGACAGGTAAGAGCTAGGTTCAAGACTCGGTCATCGTAGTTTATTGTAATAAAATCATTTCATGGGGGGAATTGTTCTTCCATCTCCTAAACAGACTGTATCAATCCCAATATGTTCAAAGTGCTTTGGTATTAATAAAACATGCTAGGTGTGTTAGAATTGTGTTAGATAATTATGTTTGGGGGAGATGTAATACTTGGGACAAGTCAGTTTTTGTTGCCAGTAGAGCCAGAAATATTATTGCTATCTTTTGTTGCCCTATGTAAGAGTTATTTTTGACTTTCGTGTGAGTGGTGTTTTATTACTAACTTGGGAAGTTTAAGTTTCTTAAACTTGGTATGGCTTGTTTTTCCAATCTCTCTCTCTCTCTCTCTCTCTCTCTCTCTCTCTCTTTTTCTCTCTTTCCCATTATCTCTCTTTCACTTTCTCTCTCCCTCTCTCTCTCTCTTTCTCTCTTTCACTTTTTCTCTATCTCTCTCTCTCTCTCTCTCTCTGTCTCTCTTTCTCTCCCTATCTATCTCTCTATCTCCCTCTTTCACTTTTTTCTCTCTTCCCCTCTCGCTCACTTCCATACTTCCCTTATATGACTACAGTGTGTACCTTTTTGGCCTGTGGACAAGAAAGAGAATGACAAGCTGGTGGTGATGAAGAAAGACGGGACAGAGACATCTCTTCCATTTAACTTCACAGAACCACAGACTACAGTACTCAGACTTCCAGAGGTAAGCTGAAAATGATTGTAGAAAGGGAATCAGATATTCAGAAGTGAAAGGAGATCTTTAGTATGGTTATCCTTATCGTAAAAGGGGCACTTATAGACATAGACCTTGTAACTTATTATGCATTGTGATGTATGAAGAAAAAAACTAGTTACTAGCGTAGCATAGAAATGTCCTTTGAGTATGAAATTATGTTTTTCTTGTGACTATTTTCAATACAATATGATTAACAAACAAATTAAGCTAATCAAAAAGTTATTTGTAGTGGTTCTTGAAAATAAAAGGTGCTACAGAAATGAATATGCACATGCGAATAACATATTCCCTTTCCCTCCTGTTTTGTCCTGTTATACTTCACTTGATTTTATGTGTGATTGGTATCAGACACAGGCTTTGCAGGTAGATAAAGGAATAATGGGCAAATAACACATCAAAATGACTCGGTCCTGTGAATAGATACATATTTCTTAACAGTTTTCTTTTGTTATAATAAAGGCATACCATGTTCATCATAGATAAATGTATATGGTTAAGAAAACAGGCTGAATCTTTCTATTTTACTCTTGCAATGGGTTTAAAATCATTGTTTCTGTCTTTTCCAAGATTGGTGGTATCATTGTCGAGAGCCAGGTAACAGAGACAGCTACAGTCATCGCTTTCAAATCCTTTGCTGTGGGTCACTTCACTACCCAACTGGTCAACCATACACAAGATGTTCCTATTACATTCACACAGTTGTAAGTTTCTACCTAAGTTACAAAAAGATTTTTTTATTTTTATAATGTTAATTGTTGTATGGGTTGCCGGGAGACAAGATTGCTTTGGTAAAGGTACAGTCATAGCTTTCAGATCCCTTGCTGTGGGTCACTTCACCATTCAACTAAACAACCATACAAACGATGTTCCTATTACATTCACATTGTAGTCTGTAGGTCCAAAAAGATTGGGTTTCATTTACTGATGTCATTTAAATCTTCTGATAAGTTGCAGCATTTATTAGAAAAGAAATGTAAAAGAAAACAGTATGAAAAAAAGAAAGGAAATAGTGCTATTCCTGCCACCTCGATCCATAATTTCAACTAGAGCCTCTCAGTACGTGGTATATTTCTTTATTATTGTAGGACATTTAATAATATGCAAAATTCAAATGCAGGTTCATAACTAGCTTGAAAGGAACAATTATCAGTACAGAAAGTGATAAAATATTAAAGTTATAGTATGTCATCTTGCTGTAATATAATATTAAGGATATATTGACTGCTTTGAGAGGCATAGTGGTTTCTATAGGGTCAAGGGAAACTCACAACCTGCTATGACCCCAAGGCGCTTGCGCCGCGGGGTCATAGCAGGTTGTGAGTTTCCCGAGACCCTATAGAAACAACTATGCCTCGAATATTAAAAGCAGTCAATATATATTTTATATACCGAAAAAAGGGAAAATGTTGACTCACCCATTTAGGTTTCCATCTCTTTGAAGTCATGAATATTAACACCAACAATAACTTGTGTACAGTATGAAATCCAACAACGGAAGTCTGTTAACATCTCCGAGGTCCGTGTTGACATTTCGCAAGAACTCTTCAAATATTTTAATGCCGTATTTTACTGCATACTTCGTATTTTTGCTATCAGCAGAATCGATTAAGTCTTGCAGCTGAATGTCATCCATAAGTTGAAATCTTGGCATAGCTGTGTCCTCCATTTTGCCTCTTTATTGACAAAAAATTGGAATACAAAAAACCCCAGTATTTTGCGATCGAGACTAGTACACAAAATGGCGATCGGTCGTCTGCGCTGCGTGGATTGGTAGATTCGTCGCCTGAATGCAGCGACCAAAATCGAATTGCACTCCAACACCGTTAACTGTATTGCGCATCGGTCATCGCACAAAAGAAACTTATACGGTAACACGTAAACCAAAATGGGGATCGCAGCAAAATGACGTCACGTTTCACAGCCATGGAAAAAGTGCTATGAAAAATGGATATAAACCGGTAGAGCCGGGAAAAATGACTATGAATTTCAATTAGCGGGCATGGTTAAGAACATGACTGCATTTTTAACCAATCAGAAGACAGGATTAGTAAAGAATCTTAAAATGAGGTATATAAAAACGTTTATTATTGCTTTCTTTTGTGATGTAGTGGAATTGAAGATAAGATGTTCCTAGCCCCAAGGGAGATGGCTGTATACACATGGCAAAACCCTACAGGCAAGCGACAACTTGTATGGACAGTGGATGGCAAAGATAGCAAGACTGATCTCAAGAAGGTATGATACCATGTACAATCTTATTTTAACAATAGCAGAAATGTTATAAAATTTCCATATTCGTTGGTTTTCATAGCCCCATTTCATGTTGCATCAAAATCATTTCATAGAAATTTTACAGTTTTTCTTTTTCCTGTAAAGACAAGATTTCCCTACCTCTATAACTCCTTGGATATTTAAATGCCTGAAGAAGTCATGTAGGTATTTTGTATTATATATATCACTGATTTATTATCTTTGAAAAGGAGTATTAAATACAATTATTAGGCATGGAGCTAGTTAATTAGAGTGTTGCGCAGTTAAATATTGTGAATATGACTATTAGCATTGTTCATCATCTTGACAGAATTCAAATCTTCATAAGCATCACTCAAGTATCAGTTGCGATTTTGTAATCTTGTGATTCGACAGTTCTTGAAGTTGGGAGCAATTTTTAATAACTTTGAAGGAAATGTTAGGGATCAAACATTCAATATGACATCTGAAAGTTTCCAATATCAGAAGATGATCATTTACATTTGTCTATCAATTGTATTAGTATCTGTTGCAAAGTAGTTATGTTTCATTAAGTATGAATCGTCCTTTCAAAAAAACATGCATAGTGCTATTAACACTAACACATAATTCATTGCACATTTGTTGTATTCATGTTAAAATATCTTACTGTATTTTCGATGTATTGAATTTTTGTATCTTTCCCATGATGATAAATCATTTCTTTAATTTTTGTAATTGATTAATAATCCAGAAAGCATGTCATACTACTTGTACCATATCAGTAAGTTAATATACATTTAATGTCATAGTTCTATGTGAAAACTATCCTGTACTTTATGTCCACTTACATGTTGTCCACTGTCTGTTGCTATATTGCTCTGTCTGTCTGACTGACGATCTTCCTGTCCACTTTTGTTCTGGCTCTCTCTATCTCTCTACCTCTCTCACTCTCTCTATCTCTCTCTCTCTCTCTCACTCTCTCTCTCTCTCTCTCTCTCTCTCTCCATCTGTCTCTCTCCTTCTGGCTCTCTCTCTCTCTAGTGTCAATGTAATTAATAAATTGCATGATATTTGCTGGATAGTGTGGCCTGACCTTCAGTATTTATGACATTAGAATTATTTTAATCTATATTATATGATCTAGAAACTTCTATCTTGTAATGCATGGGTAGCTTTGCAAGATTGAAGATAAAAATGCTGGTGAAAATTGAAAATATAGGGTCCTATGCGCTTTGTAATGCTCAAGACTTGAATCTGATCCGCAATGGGGATTTTCCAAGTGGGAGCAGCGTTTCTTAAAAAGTGTTATGCAATATGCCAATGATAATGGGATTACTTGATATATATAATTTTTGTTAATATTTGCTAAGTAATTTATTTATAGATAAAATATGTGTGATATTCTATTGGCTGGTGTAAGTTTTATTTCTTGTGTTAGGTTATTGTATGGAAAAAATAGTAGTATGTAGCTAATAGCTATTATGTTGTTAGTATTGAAAATGTCTTCATTAGTTGTGGCCAACATACTCTCTTTCAATGTAACTTATGATTTGATTGTAAAGGCAATGTTTTTATGCGGTTTTATTACCAGTATGTTTTGTAGAGCATGAAATTAGTGAGTCATTTAAAGGATTAATGCCAGTAGAATATTATAGTTACAGTGATTATCGGAAGGGAGGCTAATGGTTTTTATATTTTTGATTCTCTCTATTCCACTTGAAGAGTGATAAAACTTGCTTTCATGAAACTGTATTGTATGTAAAAAATATTTGTTGCACTTTTTATTAACCAATAAAGCATACTGCTCCTCTAGAAGGCTGGGGTCTGAAATCTGTCCTTACCTTTTCATTTTATGCTGTGTAATGTGTTAGGCATTGTAGAATCACTGTAATACAGCAAAACATTAGATGAAGGTTGAGAGTAATTTGGCCCCTGACTTTTTAAGAGAGCATTTGTAATGGATCATGAGCCACCATTCATAAAGAAACTTTCTCAATATGTTTTATTGCATAAAATCATGTATAGTGATTGTTTCGCTGGTCATGTTAATTACTGAATTATTTCATGTCCATGGATTCAATTAAGGAATCATCTGATTTCAGTGGGGGGGGGGGGGGGCTGAATGTAGCCCTCTGGGAAGAAATACAATTTTAATTTTGTTTCAGCAATGTCAACTGTGAAATCTGTAAACTAATCTTAAATCCTGTATACTTTGTAGGATGGGATTGGAGAAGTGAAGCAAGCAAACAACAAGCTGCTGTACTGGGTGTCTTTCTTGAATGGAACCGGGAGAGTAATCCTCTTCACTGAAGATCTAGCTATTGCTACCAAAGCACAGCAGGTAGGTACTCCATATACAATAAATATTTTCTTATTGCTCATCAGGAATTGTTTTGGATGATTTGTTTGACAAATGAGACATCAAATACAATGCAAGAATTTTACTTCTGGTGATACATTTGATTGTGAAAGGAAAACGGTTAACTCGTTTGGCGCCATGTATTGTGGCATTGTGTCATTATTATTACTAAGTATTTGGCGTCACCTGTCGGTGGCAGGCGAAAATTGAACTGAATTACTGTTACACTCAGGTCTCTTGTCCAGGTAAAACAAATTGGGGGTGTGCAGGTGGACCACTGCACCAGGGTTTCCCCTACCCCAAAGGTGGTGACTCCTCTACACGGGGCCTCCATTTAACTTGCTATCCGAGGGACAGAGTGTTTTCCGTTGTAACATATCCCAAGTCTATTTAAGAGGGGAGTGCCTCGTTTTAACAAACATCATACACGTCTTGGTGCAAACACTCATTCACTTCCTCTAATTTTGATTTTCCCATGTAGGCTGCAGAGTTAGAACAGCCTGATTTGGAGTTGGTAGTCTCTCTTCCAGGCATTGGTCTTTCGCTTGTCAACAACATCTCTAGGACAGAGGTAGCCTATATTGGTCTCATCAGGTATGTTATTCTTGGAAAAATTTGCTGTATGAATTATAACCTTTCAATTTGATTTCTCCTAGTTATGGTTACAAGCAATACTGAGTGTTACATAATTTGTTGAGATCTATAATACATTGATTGATGTTACTAAGTGTCTCAACCATTGAAATGACCAAATATCATCACATGATGCCATTTTCCTGTTCAGAATTACCCCATCTTTTAAGGTGCATAGATTTGTATATTTTTACATTGATTAGTAGACAAAATATTGAGTCATTTGCCATCAGTCGAATTTTGAATTGACAATAATTAGATTGGCAGTTCATTTAACTTCCCCTTTGGGTCAATTTTCAGAACATTCCTTAGAAAAAAAATCACAGTGTCCTTGGTGCACTATAAACCAAAATTATGATTATTAAGGGATAAATATCCCAGCAAACAAAGAATTGAAGTTTTAATGATGAGTCTCTTGTCCCCGATTGACAGCTCCGGGATCATCTGGCAGAACAAGGTCCGTCGCCGATACAAGGATCTGAGCGTGAGGGAGATGAAGAGCTTAGAAGAAGGTTTTGTGAAGGCAGGATTAGATGCTAGTGATCAGAAGGATCTACCACCCAAAGTATACAAACTAGACCATGGCATGGAGGTAAGGAAGCCAGTAATGATTGAAGAGAAATCAAAGAGAGTTGAGAGATTGCAGGATCGGAATGCTATTATGAGAAATGATATTGTTCTTTTAGAGTGCTGTGATAATCACTAAATCGATTTGAAATGAATAGCAGGTTTTGATGAGAAGTATCTCTTGTGATGTTCTGTAAAATAAGTTCTAGTTTTGTGATCAATGTATAGCACATACATCAATGTGTAATTCAGAATCTTTGGTGCTTGCATGATCAGGGACTGTAAGGCTTGAAACAAGATATATTTTACTGTTTTCTAATCACAATTGAGGTACTCTTTCAACTTTATATCCATGAGAAGGATCATTCATTATATACCATTTCTTCTTTTTATGCCAATGTTTATAAATAACTTAGGGGAAAATAAAGAAGTTGCCAATCACAGGAAAGCAAGTTTTTCACCATGACAATGCAAAGTGAAATATTCCTAAATCAATCACCTTTTGTCTCTTTATCTCTGCCCAGGTTGACTATGGACGTATGCTGATGCTAGCTCCCAAAAAGCAGCAGCTGAGACGTACCTACCACTCCGGTATCTGGGCCCAGGTTCGTACCTCCAGCCATCAACTCCAGCTCCATCTCACCATCAACAGGCTCCAGGTGGATAATCAGATGCCTGCTGCTATCTTCCCCACCCCAGTGGTTCCTGTAGCCCTCCCCAAGACCGTGGCAGCTGAAAATGGTAGGTTAACTTTACACACATCAGGATTTTAAATGTTTGCTTGCATGTCAAGTTAATTCATGTCATGCTGATATTGTATGCTGAGAGCCATGTTATTTTGTAAACAGTCTCAACCCTTCTCACTCTCAGCATACAATACTGCATATCATTGTCTGTAATTTGTCTTTATATCTCCTCATTTGTATTCTCCAACAATAATGTACATTTTTATGTTGTTTGAATCAGCCACATTCCCTCATCACATTCATACTTACATGTAGATTGGAAGTGATCTTATTTGTATTTTCATTTCATTTCATTTAAAGTGTAACTGAATTGGTCTTGTGTTTGTTTTTCATTCAAACTGTTTCCCCCTTCTTATTTCTGGGCCATTCCAATAGATACGACAGATGACCCTTTTATGCACTGTGCTCATTTTTAATAGCTGCATGAACTTCTCTTTGGTGTAGTATTTTCAATTGACTTTTTACAAGATTTTGTCAAGATAAATGTTGTTTCTAAAGCAATATTGTGCATCCCAAACAAAATAAATCAATGTTTGCTCTTTATGATCTTCAGCACCCAAGCAGCTTCTAGAGTTCAGCATGATGGTGCGTTTCTCAGAGCACAGCTCGGTCAAACAGATCAAGTACCTCAAGCTCTTGGTCCAAGAGATGGCGGTCAAGCTAGACATGGGATTCCTGGCCAATGTAGCGGCCATCTTTCAGTCGGATGAGGAACTAGTCATTGATAGGGTCAGTAGAAAATGTCTTAACCACTGGATTACTGAGCCTGAGATAAATTGGGCAGGAGTTTATTGAACATGCTTGATAACCAATTTCGTAAAATCATATGCAACAAGTACAGACCTCAAAAATCAGTTTGTTTGACCATGCAATATGGTGCTGTATATATGGTGTATATACATAGTGTCAACTTGCATAGTTCTGGTCATGTTCTGTCAATTATACCTAGCAATTCAAAACTAGATAACCACCAGTTCAGCTTTTAGAACATTCTCTCATGATATGAAATATGATAATACTGAAAAGATGTGATATATCAACATGAAAATTATAAGAGCATCAGGAAGAAAATGTAAACATACTGATTCACTGAATCACACATTGCTAAGCAAGTGTTTAGTCGACTTCATGCAGTAAATAAGCAGTGGAGATATGTTGAAGAGTTAGTAGTTATACTACAAATACTCTTGCTCAATGTTGTCAACTATAAATCAGCCTTCACTAATTAATAGTTATATAATATTGACTGGCCTCGAGGGGTATATCAGAAATATTGACCAAGCTCAGATCATATTGCCCCGAGTCGAAAGACGAGGGCAATATGGTCTTAACGCGGTAAATATTTCTGATATCCCCCGAAAGTAAAGCCAGTCAATATTTTTATTGTTATCCAAATCAGACATCTAGAGCAAATACAGAAATCCACCATGACAATCTCAAAGAACTGAACAAGCTTTGTCAAACCAGCACTGTGCATCCAGTGCTTGATGAAATTTTCGATACACTGCAAACAGTGTGCATTTGGTGTGATTATTACGTCACAATAGAGTGCGCGCAAAGTGCGCAGGTTCTCGTATGCATAATAGATGCGCAATGAAAATGACAAAATACGGCGCGGTCAATACAAGATGCCCGGATGCGAGACCGTGGAAAATACAAAAGTATATTTTCACTCGTCTCTACACGCAAAGTCTATACGAGCAGGGAGACCAAGGAAAATACAAAGAATATACCCCTTCGTTCCCCCTGCTAGTGAAAACTAGGGCAATACGGTTTTGTAAATGACCAGCTCAGATGTCTGATATGGGTAATAATAGTCCTTATTGAAATAGTGGGTCTTTCAAGTTTGTATATTGGTGTAGTCCTTTCTTTGCAAACCTCAGAGCTCTACAACCCAATCTGTATAAACCCACTCACAAATCTACAGGTCGGTAATTAGCCTGTCCGCAAACCTTAATGCTGCACATAATCAATAATCATTATTTTGTTTCTTGTTATTTCTGCTCAGGTTGCTCTGCTAGAGTTGGATAAGGAGCTGGTACGATTAGAGTTAGCTGACGCTGAGTATGTCAAGGTGGCATTGGCTAAAGACTTCAACTTCTATGACTCCTTCCATCTCTCTCCACTCAAGGTATGTAGCATTTCACTGACAAATAATATATATATTTGATTCTCTAGCTGGTTTGGCAACTAACATTGTCCAATCCAGTATCGCAGTGTCAATGTCATATTCAGAAGATATGGTATTTGTTGATTTTGCTGTAGATATATATGTTTCATTTATATATGTCAGCAAACATTTGATTTGACTAATTGACAAAACGCTGTTTTTAATGATGGTTTGTGTGGACTTTGGTGCTATATGAAAGAATACAGTATTTGCAGCGAGTTCTCTCTCTCTCTCTCTTGCTCTCTTTCCTTTTCTCTTGTTATTTCTCTTTCCAATCAATGATCAGACTAAAGAATACTTTTGTATTTCTAATCTTGTCATAGATCCATGTGAGCTTCTCCCTATCTGAGACCGGTAAGGAGGACAAGTCTCTGCTGAGTGCTCGGGCCAACGCTCGTCAGAACGCCCTCAATCTCCTGCTGCAGAGTGTCGGGGTCACCTTGACCAATGTGGATGATGTCATCTTCAAGTGAGTATTATTAGGACCAGGGTGGTCTCCAAAGGTTATATGATTTAAATAATGATTTAGATTCTATAAAAAATGTAAACTGTGAAATTTAGAACACCAGACATCAAGTGAATATTCTTAGATTGTATTAGAGATGGCAAGGAAAACGGAACTGATTAATGTTGAGAAGCAGCCATTTATAAATGATTTTCAAGTAGTTCAAATGATTCGTTTGGATCTCTTCATTGGAATATAATTATATAAATTTTCTCATCAATCAGGCTTGGTTTCTTTGAGAGAGAGTACCAGTTCTACAGCCCAGAGCAGCTATCATCGGAGGTAATACGTCATTACTCCAACCAGGCCATCAAACAGCTCTATGTACTTGTGCTTGGTCTTGATGTGATTGGCAATCCATTTGGTTTTGTCAGGGGAGTAGGGACAGGTGTCAAGGATCTCTTCTATGAACCTTACCAGGTGAGTTATTCCGTTTTACTAACATTTATTTGATTTTCTTGCTATGCTTGTTTTTATTGTAAATGAGTATGTTTGGACATCATGGTCTCGTTGAACAAAACTTACCATTGATGGTAACTTTGGCATCAATGGTAACTACCATGGAAACCTTGATTTTGATTGGCTGTTGAGCCCTGTTACCATGGTAGTTGCCATTGATGGCAAAGTTACCATCAATGGTAAGTTTTATGCAACAAGCCGTGGTAATACAGTGAGTCTCACAATGTTCTCAGTGATGGGTTTTATCTCAAATGATATGAAGCCTTTTCCATAGATTCCTTTGTTCACAAGTTTTTGTCTTCAAATTATTAACTTGGTGACAACTGTCACAAGCCTCTTGATTAAGGCTCAGTTAGGTTTTAGACAACTTTTCTGTTCATAAAAATGTCTGTTTTATAATCCTTTTACAGCTCAAGTGAATTTGCATTAATTATGGATGTTAACTATGATGCTGAATCATTGATGAACGATGTAACTGAACAATCTCTTTTTATTTTTTTATCAGGGTATCGTGCAAGGTCCAGAGGAGTTTGCTGAGGGGGTAGCTCTAGGCATGAGGAGTCTCTTTGGTCATGCAGTTGGTATGTACAACGTGTTTCAATTAATCAAGGAAATCATTTTCTACTGGACGAATGAATCAGCCTTTGACCTTAAAATTGGCAACACTGAATTTTTCTTTTCCACTGTTCACAATTTTTCTGATAAAAATGATATGAATGTATTTGGGATTCAAATAATCTATTTTGTTCTTTCCTAGAAATATGTAATTCTACAAACAATATTCTACTGTGCAGTAACATGAACAGAACTAATGCATTGATTTTGCTCTTTATGCTCAGTAATTGTAAAGATGTGTGAACCCAAGCACAAAAACTGGTTCCTTTTAATGGAATACAACTACTGTTATCGCCTTTCAGTGATATGACACAGTATGTGTTTTATTTGATTGTAGGTGGAGCAGCAGGGGCTGTATCTCGCATCACAGGAACACTGGGGAAAGGACTGGCAGCACTCACCATGGATGAAGACTACAAGCGTAAGAGACAACAAGCTATCAACCAAAGACCTGCTACATTCCAAGAGGGTCTAGCCAGAGGTGGCAAGGGGCTAGTTATGGTAAGTAGGAGTACACAGTAGGAGGGCTGGGTCAGGAGTACCACCAAAAAAAAAATCGAAAAATGAAGAAAAAAAAAATGAAAAAAAAGAAGATGAAAAAGAAATGAAAATGAAAAAAGAGAGAGAAGTTATAAATGTTTGCCAGGGAGGCACATACACACATGTACAAATTACTGCACATTTTTTCTTATGTGTAGTAAACATGCCAGATTTGATTTGATCTAACTGTTGCTGTAGGCTTTCTGTGCCGCCCCTTCCTCCTTACCAATATGCTCCTTGAATGATTTGAATGATAAAATAAAGTATGTAATGGAAATGAATCTAAGATGATGATTTGTGTACAAAATTGTTATGTACATGTATGTGATATCAAGGACTATTTTGTGTCTTGGTGTTATTTAACAGGGTTTCTATGAAGGTGTGAGTGGTGTGGTGAAGAATCCATTTGAAGGGGCCAAGAAGGAAGGTGCGAAGGGCTTCTTCAAGGGTGTAGGCAAGGGTCTAGCTGGGGTAGTAGCCAAGCCTACTGGAGGTATCATTGACTTTGCCAGCGGTACCTTTGAAGGTATCAGAAGGTAAGATCTGGTAGGAAATTGAGTTTTCAATCTCTGCATAAACAGTGTATGTTTTTTAGTGACTTTCCTAATAAAGATTTGCAGTACAGTAAAAAAAAACATATATATTAAAAAAGTAAGTGTAAATAATGTTATTGGCCTGAGATTTATAAAAACATATGTTTACCTTTCATTTTCATTATTTCAACGATAGCTATTTGATCTATTTTGATCAATCCATGTTTTAAGAAATGAATATGATTAGAAATCAAACAAAATCAATCTTTTGAATAAGCTCAATGATATTCAGTGCAATCAGTGACTTTCAGAAGGTTAAGAAACAAACCACAATAATAATTATCTTTGTCTGCAGGGTTGTAGAATCCGAGGTAGAGATCCACAAGCTGCGTGAGCCTCGCTACATCGGTGCTGACGGTATCATCAGGGCGTACAACAAGTCTATGGCTCTGGGCAACTCTCTCCTTCTACAGGTGGACAAAGGGAAGTATGCTCACACAGAGGACTATGTTGCTCACATGCAGGTCACCGCAGACAAGAAGAACTACATCCTAGCTACAGACAAGTAAGCTAGGTTATCTTTCAAAGTGAAAAAAAACATTGATGTAGACTCAAGAGATCTTGTCTAAAAAAAAAATGTTTTCTTCCTCATTTTAAATTTTGGCACAGGAATTCTGGTTTTGAGGCAATGGTATCATATCAGAGTATTCTACTTCACATTTTTTGTTTTATGCATTGGTAATGATGAACCTTGCTTAGAACGAACCTCCATTATGTGTTAATAAGCAATAGTTCTGGATTACATCCTCTGAAATTGACAACTTGAATGTTTAACAAGATTGTCCTTTCAAACGTATTTGTGAAGTTCATCAGTTTGCCTCATTTCCATCATTTCATGAATTACTTCAGAAAAGCTAGAAATAAAATACTGGTATTATGTATTTGGCATCACCTGTGCCTGGGAGGCGAAAAAAGCAAAGTGAAACTCTGTAACCCTCAGGTCTCTCCTCCCGGTTTAACTGATTGGTATAATTAAGTTGTGTGGACTTAATCATACTAGAACTTCTTTACATTGTCATTTGCCTCCTGCTTCACTTCATTCAAACCTATACTTTTGTAGTTCTAGCAATCAAATGAGGACCAAAAGGTTCGAGATTTGAGCATACCTCATCTTAGCATACAAGATAGTAACACTGTTCGGTTAACATAACCTCTATATGTTCACCAACCAGAGTTATTCCATACTGAATAGTCCAATCAGCAGCGATCTGTCTTGTTTGGTTGCCATGGTTTAGTATCAATGATTCTGTTACATCTTCTTGTTTTTGTTAGACGTGTGATCTACACATCTCGTGGAGAAATGCTTGGCCAGTGGGACGTCGATTTTGAATTCATGTACATCAACCTCAAGGAACTACCCAAAGTCACTGAAAAGGGTATTCTCATTGAACCAAAGGTACGTCAAGTCAAGTCATTCATGCAAACTGCACAAGGGTCTAAAAGTACCATTAACGTTTATGGCATGTATAGTTTGACATCAAAGCCACCATTACAGTATTATGTGAAAAAATATGTTGAAAACGTACTTCTATGTTGTTACAGATTTTGACAACTTTAATGATTTTATTTTAAGTGGTTCTTCAAGTTTTAGTTTTTATTTCTTGAATGTTTTTGAGATATGTATGCTTATGAGAAGTCAATCTGTTACACATGGGTTGAGACAGTATTAGATGTAATGGCTCAAATTATCTTTTTAATATACTAGTATTTATTAAATCAGTGGCTTGAACTCTTAACCCGGTAAAGCCCCAGTCCCATATAAAGCCGGACCAGCACGGACGAGCACGGACCACTCCGGACCATCCCGGACCATGGTCTGGGGTGATCCGGGATGGTCCGGGATGTTTTGTTCAAAAAAAGTGTGATGCTTTTAAGCTACAGTCCCATATATGTCCCGGACCCCATCCGGGGTGATCCGGGATTCGGTCCGTGTCGACACCGTGTTGGCACCGGGGTGGTCCTGGATGGTCCTGGATGGTCCTGGATGGTCCTGGGCGGTCAATAACTCACTCCCGGACTGCCACGGATCAACACGGACCGCCCCGGCGCCACTACGGATGACCCCGGACCCAGCACGGTGGCTACACGGATCACCCCGGATCAAACTATTGTCCCGGACCGTCCCGGACCACCCCGGCAGTTTTTGACCGTCAAAAACATCCGGGGTCGACTCCCGGACCGCCCAGGACCATCCAGGACCATCCAGGACCATCCAGGACCATCCAGGACCACCCCGGTGCCAACACGGTGTCAACACGGACCGAATCCCGGATCACCCCGGATGGGGTCCGGGATGGTCAGGGACGGTCCGGGACGTATATGGGACTGTAGCTTTATTGGAAGTCCTTGGGAAGCAACAACTCTGTAATGGAGCTCCCATTGGTATATCTTATCTTTTCAAAAGAATAAAAGTTGTTTCGGGGGCCAGATAGCGTTTAAAGGTATTCAATCAATGAAAATTTCTAACAAAGATATATACCAGTATACTCTTTATATCTGTACACATGAGTATAGTTGGTAGTTGGTTTGGTAGAGGCTTAGGAAGTCTGATTAGACTACCGGTATGCTCATTATGTAATTATGTAATTAGTTTATTTCTATATATATATTTTTTTTTTGCTTTTAGGAGAAGGAAGCACCTAAAAAGGGTCCACTTGGTCGAGGGTTTGGACGAGGCTTAGGAAGTCTGCTCAAGGGCAAACAAGGATCTGGCAAGATGGTTCACATCCTAGATCAGAAGACTGCTGAGGTATGTATCTATCGCTACAAGTGAACTATTACGCTATCAAAACTTCTTTTTCTTTTTTTTCATATTACTGCTATTATTGTGCTATTAGAATGAAATGTGTTAATGAAAAATGTCAGCAAATGCTTCCTTGAGACACACTAAAACAAAAACATCAGCCAGTATTTCTCAAGCAAGAATATGGTACCTTAAATTTACTGTGGAAAATGGAAATTTATATACATTCACGTAAATATTTGTTGTATGTAGTAAGGAAATCAAGAAGAGATAGAATGTCATCTTTGGCTAATAAACAAATGCTATGTTGTTCTGTAATCTCATTGCTCTTACCCTTAATCTATATCAGGGCAAAATGAAACTAATGAGAAGTATCTCTCTCTCTTTTTATTTATTTTTAAAATATGTGTACAGGTGTTTGTATCCAAGCTTCATTTTGCCATAGCAAAGGCAACCAACGCGGTATGAGCTACCAAGTCCAGTCAGCCCATAGGGAGTGAGTGTACAGCAAGCTCTATATTTTGCACCTACAATATTATCATGAGTACATGCTAAGTGGTATGTTTTGTTACTGTTTGGATAGCTTAACATGTACATACCTGTAGTTCTTTCATAATTGATGTTTTTGTTAGTATGTAAGGTTTAGTGGTTAGTCGTTATATAATTTTGATTTCTCATGCAATTAGTAATGTACTATATTTGACCACTGTGATTGCCTAATTCTTAAAATAAAGGCTTATAATCTGAGTTGTAAAGCAAGAGAAAGAAAGGGTGTTTTGTGTCCCAGTCAGTTAGACTGCAATTATTTTATTCCAGACTTCTACATTTTATTTTTCCTTTTTTCTTCTGTGCTCATTAATGCTTGCCACATTGTGTACCAATTTCTAGCATACTAGCTGGTGAAATGGAAAATAGGTAGTACATTGCTTTTGTCTACCATGTGTTGAGGCTTGCATTTGATTTGAAGGAATGATAGTTTAATGTGAAGATACTTTCAATGGCTTCGAATGTAATTGAGAGTCGGGTTGTATTGTAACCTTGGACTGCAAGGTACCCTGTATTTACACGATGGTATTTGATAATGTTTCTGAATTTTAGAACGAGTCCTATGTCTCTCATGGTGGTTTCATCTTTTATAATTAATTTCAGTGATTTTTCTTTTCCTGAGTTCTTGCCTTCCAAATATTTTATTACCTGTGACAAAGTACTGAAAGTACTCATTATAGAGAAATTATTTTGCAATTCTAACAATGGTTCTGAAATTTTGGTAACAAATATATGAGAGATAATCAGAGAAGTCCCATAAATAGGCAATATTATCGGAGTTGAAATTGGCATATGATGCCATCATGAGATGTTATAATTTTAGAAAGTTTGAAACAATAACAAAAATTAAAATCTGTTTGAGGCTGAAACTCAAAACTCAACAGTACTAACAACTATAAAATGGTACAATATTCCACTTTCAAAGTGAATGGCTATTTTTTTTTACTTTAACAAAAGGGTGTGAGAATAACTCATGAATGACATGTGTATGATTAAAGATGATGGATCAATTTGTGAATATATAATTCTCTTACTATGTACAGTCAGTCATGTATCCTCATTAATTTAGTAAGGATTAAGTAAGTGTGATATAACAATGATGTTCCTCTGCTGAAAATGTAATGTATAAGGGAAAGGTGTACCGTAATTGATTTCATCTGTCTAACACTAATCTGTAAATTCTTCAGTTTAAACACTTTAGAAATGTGTACCAGTAGATGGAATGTGCACACAAAAATGATACTGTATGTAAAATGTAGTGAACAGATCGAAGAATTGAAGGGAAAAAAAACATTTCCCTCCCTTTCTCTTCTGTTTTGATTCATGTACAGATTTGTATGAGGGCACAACACGATCCCAAAATTTACTTTGGCATATTGTTAGCTTGCTTCTTTTAAAATTGTAAAATTTGTTTTCTTTCTGCTCGTAATACTAGGTGTAATATTTGTATGTCTTTTGTATCATGAATGGTCATGATCATGTTTTTGTTTTTCATTTTGTTTAAATATGAATTGTGATCATTTGTTTTATGTTTTCTCTGAAATATTTGTTTGTTCTTGACCAACTTTTTAGGATTAGATCATTAAATTTTTCTCAGCATATTCAATATGAAATTCTTCATCATCTGATATAATCAATTTCTTACAGCACTTTTCAAAAGGCTCTATAATCAGCCCTGTAAATAAGAAAGGGTACTGTATGAATGGGTATAATCTTGGAAGTGTAAAAGTGGATGTGCAATAATGTTGCATCCAGGAAATACTAAGAGATGTTAAAGGTATAATAGTTATAATTTTGAATGCACAACATACTAATCCACTTTGTGCAACATAATGAATGGCATTTTTGCATTCATAAATACATTGATATATTCACAATTCACATTTAATAATTTCATCATATAGGTTTAAGGAATGTAAGGAACCAAATCTAGAATTGCATTTAGTATCAGTGATTCTGATTTCTAATACATTCCTAATTTTAAGTAAATTTGATTTCATATGATTGTTAATAGAACACAATTTTGCTGTAAGCTGGCAATTAAAAATAATGACATTTTGTATATCTTGTTTAAAGACAGTCAAGTTCAAAGGACTTGCTATAAAGCAATTTGAATATAATGGAAAGGTGGGATAAATGAGGTGTTGCAGTGATGTGCAATTTTTTAAATTTGAAATTGCTGTTGTTTTATTTTGTAAAGTAAGTTTATTTGCAAACTCCTGAAATGTATTTTCACTATGAAAGACATTGTATGGGGTTGGAAAGGTTGATAAGGTGGGACAAAAATGATGTGATTGATCCCAAACCCTGAAACTTTCATGCTAGAAGTTACATTTAATGTTCGCTGTTAGGATTTACTATTCGTTGCGGTGATTAATATCTTTTGTTGTCGATTTGCGCAAGTCTAATGGATGGCATTCTTTCTTGAAATAGAATTCAAAGATAAAGGTTTTTATTCCTGTAGGAATTTCAAAAGGAGAACGGTGTATTTAAAGGAGAAAATAAAAAGGCTAGCTGAATAGGGAACCCTAATGTCTTTTGTCTCTTAAAGCTTTTTACTGGCATGTGTGATTATCGATTTGGTTTAGGACGGACTAAATCGATGCACCAAGAGAAAAGCATTTTCAAAATACCATGATCTATTCTTGAATGACACTGTTATTTCAAGTAATGAATAGATGCACTGTTCTTATTGCTTTTCAATGGGGAAGAGAATTTCAGTAAAAACAAAGGAATATGTATGTCATTTCAATTTTCAGAGGAAAATAAAACATTGCACATGTATTGATGAATTCAAATGAATGTTGTCATTGTCCAGTTGTTTGTTCATGTTTTCATGTTGGATGGAAAGATTGAAAGAGAGAAGCTCTAGTCAGAAAGAAGTGTTTTCATTTCATTTGTAATTAATTTTATCAGCTACTCCTACAGTAGCGACTGTACGTAGGCAGTACCATGGTAACAAAAGACAATATAAATCCTATTTGATCTTGTTAAGAGTTCAATGTCATGAGCTAAAAATATCTTTGTATTACTCCATGAAAAACATGTATTTGTAAGAATGCATATTGGTAAATATTTGATCCTTGGTTCTTCAATAAATGGAAGATCACCATATCCGAGTTCAACATTTAATGTAAAGATAGAATTGTGAAAAAAGACAGTTATGTTGAACAATAGGCCAAACTTCAGATACGGGCATACTTTCATCTCACATGCCTCTTTCAAACCTCAGTGCGCAAAGAAGTATGTGTATCACTTTGTTTCAAAAAGTTATTAACAGAAGCATACTTACATATCACGCATCAATACACTATCATACAACCAATAACATCATGACAAGCTCATCATTTTTTCAATTTCAAGTGCCAATTCTTCACTTTGTTTTAATTCATTTGAATATTAGGTTCACAGTGTTTCAAGATTCACTGAAAATATATATTTTTTCCTGGAAATCCAGTTCTCCCATTTATTTAATTTAAACAGTCAAAAACTTGATTCCATACAATATGCCAAGGACACACGGGTCAGAAGCTTTAACGATATTCATTTAGCCCCGACAACATGGTAGCAAGAACTATTTTTTTGTTAGGAATACAAATTATATGAAAACATTTACATAGCTGTTTTTACTACCATATTGCTACAGTTAATGTCTGCTGATATTAAAGCAAATGAATATTTCACTACAGCCAACCACCTTTACAGTACATCCATATTTAGTGTGCACATAAGTTTCGTCATGCTTTTTTAAAGGATGCCATACATTTTTTAGAGATAACAGAATAGTTACTGAATTATAATAGCTAGGTACCTTTGCTGGATACCAATAATTGGCTTTAGCTGCAAAAGCATTGTATTTTTTCCCCCTTTTAAAACCCAGAATATTTCAAAAGTACTTTTTCCATCCTTTACTTTTCCTTCAAAAGGGCCAACCCTTCTGCAATTGTATTGCTAAATGTAAGATGTTTGTTACTGCATTAACTTCCACATTTGTAGCAAACATGTGCTACTAAAACTACACACAAACATATTTTTAGGACTTCATCTATTGCTTTATAGTGCCAAATACAAGACATCATAGTAAGTTTGTTACAAACATGTTAGTAGAAAAACTTCAATTAAAAGGGCATTTGCTTTACCAACATATATTTTTTGGTATTTTTGTTTTTCCATATATTCACATTCAGAGTAATAGAACTGACAATGAAAATAAACCCAAGGTATAACCTAAGTGAGGATGAAAGGGAGATGTCACATTTATATGGGCATTTACTCTTCAGAGAAATTTGTCATGTCACCCAAAACCATGAACTCATCACACATATTTTTCCCCTGTATCGGTTTTGTTTTTTGTTTGTTATTGTTTTGGGCCATTCATTTATTTCCATGAAAAAAAACACTTCTTCCGTAACTATGAATTTTTCCTAGTGGTTATTGTACATTTAAAATTCCTCGTAGTTTGTACATTGCTATAAAATTGACCCGGCTTGTGTGTTTAAGTCATATGTGTATCACACTGACAATTTCATAAAAACTGCAACCTTAATGAAAATCACATGTTTCTTTTTCTATAAATAAAGCATGTTTTAATATACCATTTTAAATGCTCCTGACATATGGGGATACAATTATTAAAATATCAAAAGCTTTGAAATCTACTTCAGTTTCTTTCAAATTACTTGAGCTTCGATAATCAGTCTACCGTATCTATAACAATACAGTAACCCTATACATTGATATAAAAGCGGGGCAGCCTATCTTGCATGTCATATTATGGACTAAATTCACTGCACATTTGAAAACATTTACATTGAAGGAGATATTACTCTAAGCACACACTGTTCAACACATTGATTTCATACCAATCTTGAGTCATCACTAATGTCCCAAACATTTGCCATGATATTGACCAAGCAAACAGGGTTGAAACCTTATTTTTAAGAAATGGAGGGGATATCAAAATGCAAACAATTACATTCAACCATGCCTCGGAATTTGTGACTGATCAAATTCAAATCGATGTCTACCATCCGGAAGGTATATGGACTATGGAGTCAAATGAGAGAAAAGTTAGAGATTTGTAAACAACTATTTTTTATAGGCAGAGAAATATGCTACACACAATGAATTCAATTGACATCCATCTGAGAAAGTTCAAAAGCATTAATGATGGGAAAATGAACATTGTGATGAAGAGAAGAGAAGTGACCGAGCCACCTGGTACCTCCTTGATGGCTCATGACACAATTCAAATCTTGAGACTGCTACTTCAGCCGTTGAGGGCCAAAAGGGCATTCAATCTGTGTAAGATAGTATGAGAAAGTGCCCTTCTGACTCTCAACAGACTGACAACTACATGTAATTCTTTCAGTCGACATAATCAGTGTGAAATCCTCAAGATGTCTTGGTTTATTCACTTGGGTATCCAGCCCATACTTATGTTCATGGAATGTGATGAATTAACAGCTAACCACAAGAAAGAATAAAGACCAGCATTAACTAGGCACATAAAGGTTGTTTTTTTACACCAAGTAACTACATACCTGAGCCAAAATGTTTTTATACAACAAGCCTTAAAATGAGTTCAACATTGACATAAAATACAGTGTTGACCAGTTCCATTTCATCTCTCTTTCAACACTCTACAGTTTCTATGGAAACCATTTTATCAGTAAGATTAAGGTTTTACATGATGTGTGGATATAACACCCACTCCCTTGATATTACCTGTAAAATGATTTTTGCCTTGCTATGAAAGCAGAAGTGTCGTAAGATATTGATTTTCCTGTATGACATATTGGACAAGCATGTGTAAATGTAGTACGTTATATATCCCACAAGAGAGAAATCCTTGCAGACTTTCATTTGCAACACACATTTATCAGTAAAAAAAAAACTTCTATTACTGGAAAATCTCCAGCTCCTGATAGAAATTCAGAAAATACCAACTGTTACATTCACAAAAGATTGTGTGATAAAACCAATTTTGTACCTTATTCCCTTTCCCTTTGATAATACAGACACTTAGTTAATTCACTTCATCACTAATTAATCTACGGCTCTTTAAGTAAGATGAATACATTTCCCATTTGACAAGAATGCCAAGATACTATCCAAGACTCTTAGAAACCACTGCAGGAGTACTTTATCCCATCTACAGACTTTGGTCTTGCAGTAGTTCAAACACACTATTGAGGAGAAAATATGAGTGACTGTGCAGCAAGAAACTAGACAATGTCTGGATTCAGGGCAATTGTTTGTTTTTTATTTTTGTTTTTTTCAAAATGTTTTGTATCATAACCACAAGATTATTCTTTATTTACAAATCAAAATAAAACTAGATGGACCAACAATTGTATATTATTTCATACTTAATATTTTCTCATTTTAATAAGTTGAATAAATTCATTAACTTGCATATCATAGTTTATTTTTAAGGATGGAATCGTCCTATATTCCTTCTCCCGTGAAGCAGCGGAGAATTAGCAGAGAAGTAGCTAGCTAGGATAGATCATTTGTATGATAACTTGATACATCAAAAACCTTTTCATTCACAACACCTCACAAAAGCTATTCCATTAAACACCTCTCTCTCTCTCTCTCAATCTCTACCGCGACTACTCCACTCAGCTACATGTACAATGCTCATTATCATACGACCTCTAGCAGATGGGGAATCACCCCTGCTACGATGTTGTTCGTCTTTGCACTCATGCCCTCGGGCGATGATGACCTTCTTCACGTGACCTCCATAGGAACCGATTTGTTACTAGGTATTTGATTAATGGCTGCATTTTCCTCATGGTTCTCCCTATGAAGGGGAATAAGAATAGAGATTAAAAGAGGGATTAGTTTGATAAATTCAGGTTGCAATAAACTGAATTCAAGAAAAGGCAATGATATTCACAAGTATAACATATTCTAAAATGAAAATCGGGGTAGGCTAATTTTCATCATATATTGTTCTATACTGGACGAAGCAACACAAACAACAATACATTTTGAATCCTACATAATGGGGTTAATCTTAACTTTTCAATGTGATCTACGTCACTTTTTTTTTAGTTTAAATCAAAATGTGACCGTGGAACATGTAGAGCAAAATTTAGAAAGGGCTCTCATAACTGAGGATGGGAGGAAGCAAAACTTGTAGCATACTTAATAACAATACATATTCAAGCAAGTTTCTTGTCAACAGCGTCAAGTTTTTATAACATGTTGTTCAATCAACACTGCAGGTACATAATTTGCTGTAGAACACGTTTTTAATGATTAATTATTTGACTCACTTTGCCTTAGCATCTACATCATTGCCTGGATTCTTGACTCTCTTGACTCCCATGGATAAGAGACTGCTTGCTGACGAGCTAACTCCACTGCTCTGACTGGAGTCCTTACTAAGCAATGACGAACCCTCCCTCTTTATCGTCTTGTCATCTTGAGAATTTTTATTAGTACTGGATAAGAGACTGTTACAGGAGTCGGAGAGAGAGTTTGTGCGTGATTTGTCCTGACTGATGTCATTGAGGCGCGACGATTGTGAGAGGGAGGCTAGAAGCGAAGATGCTTTGTTGCCCGATGGTGGTGGTAAGGGGAAATTAAGCTGTAGTACTGTGTCTGCAGGGGCAGTGGAATGGCCTTGTGGTGCTGTGAAAATATAATACATAGGATTATTATAAGCAGAATTCAAGAAAAACGACATACTTCTGGAAATATTGCTTTCATAGCTGGTACCAGGTATTCCTGACTTACACAGGAATAAATTTGTCCCTTTTTCTTTTGGCTCCTTTTTACAAACACCTTAGCCACGATTGCTAGAATACAAGGTGGCAAAGAGATAATGAAATCCGATAGAAACTGATGATAAAAAAGCGTATATGCAGTGCGTCAAATCATGATTCCACCACAAAGAGTTGCTCGTCAGCTCAAAGTTGATCCCACAGTGATCTTCAATACATTACCTTACAAAAAAACTGGGGGATCAATCTTGTTTTTCAAAATGATTTTCCAAGCACTATAGAAATCTATCAATATATTGTACACATGTGTTGATGAAACATTCTCACAGAATGTGTTGATTCAATTGTTATAGCTAGTCTAAACAAGAGTCACAGGTGCTCAAATAGGCAAATACACAAGTCAGAACCTCTTCTCCAAATCCCATTTTTCAATACAGCCAATTCTATGTATGTCATTAATAAATTGCTTCCTAGACAGATCCAGTACATACATATATTTCCCAGTGTAAGTAAGAGATCTCGTTTGTTGCTATTACCTTTAAGTTTAGTATCGGTCTCTACATTGTTTGTGTCTTCAACTTGTACATGATTTGGCACAGATCCTTTTGCCAAGGGAACACCAGCAGTTCTTTCCTGAGATAAAACTTTCACCACGCTAGGTTCCAAACTGAACTTTGACCTCGGTAGCGACGTGAATGACACATTGAGGTCAGGGGGCGTACCATCCTGACCCACGACGTCCACTTCCATGGACTGAATGTCCAGCGTATCGGACACACTCTCCAACCCCTCACTGTTGAGTTCTAAAGTAGACATGACCGTTGCTGGTGTATCCGACACGTCCACTATAATGTCCTCCTCTAGAGAGGGGTCTAGGAATGCGGAGGTGGAGGCAGTATCGAGAGTAGGGGTGCAGAGTGAAGTAGCGTGGCTTAATGTGGTAGGTCTCTCTGGGAAGCTCATGTAGATAGATTCTGACAGCAAGGAAGGATAGAGTGATGATGATGATTGATGGAAGGATGAAGAGGAGGGGTACGTTGAGAATGACTGACTTTCTTTGCTGGGTGGGGGTGTCTTTGGTCTGAAGTGTGATCTGTAAACGAATAAAACAAACAATTAACACATTGACATTTTATTTAGAAAGGACATAAAACTACTTTATATTTAAACAATCAAGAGCTTTCTACTTGGTAGTTGGTACACTTGAAAATCTACTTCAATATTCCTGTAGATGTTAGAAGTTATACAATACCTTTACCTATAGAAACAAAAAATTAGTTTCTTCTCAATTTGAACTACAAAATTCATATGTTGCAAAACACTTTAACAACAAAGTTAGATACACAAATTTTGAGGAAACACTAAAAAGGTGATCATTACAACACCATACCTGCCAACCTGAGACAAGAGAAATTAGGAGTAAATTTTTCTGGATGGACTACGAGGTCGCGAACCACCGAAGGATTGGGGTAGTAGCCCGTAGATTGGGGGGGGGGGGCAGAGATGCCAACCCTATAGGATGGCTGTCAGTAACATTTACCATATTTGTCCGTAACAAATGGGGGTCTTTCCGTAACGCAAGACACCGCAGCATAATTTTCGCGCAAAACGTACACAAACACCCAATCACTTACTGCATTTCGAACCTACCATATTCAAGTCCAAAATAAAGATGTGCATAAAAACGTTTTTAAAAATCTGTTTCCAGTCAAAGGATCTCCTTCTCGGGTACTCGCTCTTTTGAGTGAATCCATGATAATATTCAGGAAGAAAACACCTCGTTCAAGCGTCGAATGGCAAATTCGAATCTACAGTCAAATGGCAGAGCTCGTATTCTACACACGCACACGTACACTCACCAGTACCACAGACACACCATACAGCCCAGGCCGCTAGGCCGGGCGTTCATGAACAACAACACACCGTATACCGCACTGCACTTGCAATGCGCCCGCTGAATCACCGAAGTCTTCGCTACTATATTGCGGGCGCCATGCGCACGATCATCTACCCCCATGCTTCCCTCAAAAGGCACGAACGCACGTAGCATACGTAGCGGCCGTGTTGTTTTGGAATTAAACAAGATGGCGGCGGACGGACCATGTGCGCGAAAGTGTCTATCCAGTGTAGTCAATTTCAGTGAACCTATGAGTGAATGCGTGCGACATGCAGCGCTGTGTGCGGAGGCTATGTGATAAGGCGGCATTCGCTATATAAAGTACTTATGTTTATCGTTTCCCCGTAAGGCGTGATCTGGTTATCAGTGCTGTGTTATGCTTTAGTCTTATGCAACAGTCGTTTGTTTTAAAAATATTTTAAAGTTACAAAAAATCGGAGTTTTGAGGCATGCAATCGGAATTCGGAGTGGGTATGAAAAAAGCGGAGTAACTCCGCCTAAATCGGAGTGGTTGGCAGGTATGCAACACTACCATACAAGATGAAAAGTTTCACATGATCATATATGTCTGAATATTAATAAAGGCATAAATGCATTTTGAGGACTTACATTCTCTTTGCCTTGATTTCTTCAAGGAGTTGACTAAGTGGAAGACTGGTTTGTGAGGGTCTTGGATCTACAGGTGACACAGGATAGTCCTCTTCATCCGATGACGATACAGGTGATGGACTTCTTGGATACATATGCTCGTCAACATCGTCTAGTTCGTCATCCCACATCGTTCTTGCACGGTCTAAGATTATCCTGAATACAGGAGAGCACAAAAAGGGAATGTTCAATTTCCCATTCTGGGATCAATTTTTAAAAATAATACAAAAAGGTGAGGGATAATCCAGGTGATGACATTCAAATAAATTGACACTATTAAATAAGGTATGGAACTTTGACGTTTCTTCCTCAGATAATTCTGAAGATATGTGATTATACCACAAACTACTGAAGTCTTGCGTTGATTATGGATAGATCATTCTTTGGTTTGGAGCAGAGTACGGAGGGACATGGGTAAAGTGAATCCTTTATAGAGAATGAAAGACATTTCTCTCCCTTGTTAAGACATCCGTCTTTCTTCCTAACAATGCACTAAATCATATACATCAAAATATAGTAATATATCCACATAACAAGGGAAACGCTCTCGGCGGTCTCGCCTGCATAACGCAATTCAATATGATAAACCAGAACGTCAATGACGTAGCGCTTATCCGCATCTCGCAACAACAAATATCGTAAATTTTATGTGGTACACTTTTGAACTGGTCAAAAAATAAAAATTTGATGCCCTGGAAGGGACATAATTTCATTTCATTTGCATAAAGTACTATAAATAATCAATAGAGCAAAATCTCACAATTCTGTGTAGAAGTTCAGTGTTCCAAATTTAGCTCTACCAGATAAGGCAAACCAAATCCAAATCGGTCGAGAAATGAAGGAGAAGAAGCCTTTTTTGTGATTTCGAATAAATTTGCATAAATTAGCATAATTAATTAATGGAAAACAATTTCAAAATTCTGTGTAGAAGTTTAGTGTACCAAAGTTAGCTCTACGATATAAAGCAAACCAAATCACAATCGGTCGAGAAATGAAGAAGAAGCCTTTTTTATGATTTCGAATAAATTTGCATAAATTAGCATAGATAATGAATTTCAAGATTCTGTGTAGAAATTTTAAATCCCCCTCCTAGCCCTATCATATGAAACAATCAGAATCATAATCGGTTGAAAAATAACGAAAAAGAAGCATTTTGAAAATCTTTATGTGGTGCCACAACAAAGTCTAAGTTTGTTGACCTTAAATGACCTTTGACCTTAACATAGTGACCTGAAATTCTACTCACATGATTGGGGAGACTTGATAACCCTATAGTCTAATTTTCATTGACTAAGAACTTATAATTTCAAAATTATATCAAAAATTCAAAAACTTAACCTTAGGTTAAGTTTTCGATGATGATGCTACAACATAGTCCAAGTCTGTTGACCTGAAATGACCTTTGACCTTGACTTTGTGATCTGAAATTCTACTCACATGATTGGGGGTACTTGATTACCCTATAGTCAAAGTTTCATTGACTAAGAACTTATACTTTATAAATTATATCAAAAATTCAAAAACTTAACCTTAGGTTAAGTTTTTGATGTTGACGCCGTCGCCGTCGCCGTCGCCGTCACCGGAAAAGCGGCGCCTATGTCTCGCTTTTTGCTACGCAGGCGAGACAAAAACCCATACAACACTTTTGAGAAAAACACTTTCTCTGATGCTTCAACGATAGCGCAGACAGAGCAAGGTTTCTTACCTCCCGCCTCTACCGATTCTCCTCCTGCCGAAGCCAATACACTTCCTAGGCCTTCGTATAGAAGTGCAACAGTAGCGGTACCTTCTCTCCATGAGACCCTTGTGTTGACCCTCCGACCATGGCCACCCACAGACCAGCTCTGGGTTAGGCTATAATATAACAGGGTAGGTAGAGATAAATGTGACCACTTCATCAAAAACAGATATATTTGTCCCTGTAGTGTGTAAGCTTATTGGTAAAGTCAACGGATAATGCTACCTTTGATATTACAGGAAAAATATAACAGACTGTGTATGAAGGTATACAATTACATATCCATAAATTTGATAAAGGTGCGAGGGAAAAAAAATGTTTGCTGTGACACAAATAACTCAATCATATCATCAAAAATATTATTAATTTGCACCACACATAAATTATACCAAAGCATTACATGTCCAGCTGCCCCCACCCCATTCCAAAATGTTATCTTCATTCAATTGTTTACAACAGAGTACATATAAATCTTTTTTGGGGGGAGTGGTTCTATTTAGCAACCTGCATCTAAAATTCATGAACAGGACAGGACATGCAGGGTAAATATATGAGCCAGCCAGTAATGACTACTACTTACTGCATGATAATTGCAACCCTTCTTTCTTCTGAATGCATAGATACCATCAGGATCATTCTCCTCTTCTTGATCTGATAATGATTGCACCTGTATCAACAAAATCATATAACTCATGAATGTCAAGAAGATTCAGGGAGAAAACAGCCTATATACGACAAAACATAATGTAGTAATCTTGTCTTCACCTAATAGCGAGAGCAAAAGAATTTAAAGAATGTTATAAATGTACATAAATGAACATACAAATAATAAAACAATTCAAATTATGGAACTAAGAAATCTTGTAGGAAAAAAAAAGATTAGCAATATAGCAGTGACATTCTTACAATATGGAGGCTTTAACAACTTTCAAAATGAATCAATTCCAAGAAGCAGGACGATAAATTGCTACTTTAAAAAAAGTTAAAGGCAACATTTATTTGAAACTTGAGCTAACTATACTCGGAAAGATTAAGAAGCTCCAATAATTTCATAACCAGGCTATCTACGCTTATTGAACTGCTTTACAACGTTACATAGGAAGCATTACATTTATAAAACATTACATGAATCAAATATAAGGTGTAACTAGTGGAACTCACTTTTGAAGGTTGTGTAACCGTTGTATCTTCATCCGATATCCGCGACTCAACATGCCTGTCTCTAGGACTGGATGATGATTGACGAGGTTTGTCTGAAGAGGTTTTGTGCTTTCTCTTCTTGTATTCCCTCTTCTTCTTCACTAGATTCTCATCCTAATAAAAGAGGAAAAAACAATTGATACATTCTTTAGGTACAAAAAAATGCAATTCTTCATCTCTGTATATAATCTGTCACATCATTTTGAAACTTGGCCTATTAAATTATTGAGAATGTGAAATAACTCACAAGTCTTATTCAAATGACTCGAATTCCCTCTTAACAAAATAATCTTTCAAAAGCAACAACTAAAGAACCTTTAAAATATTGTGAGATCTCAAAGGGATTACTACAAAGTTACACATCATAAAACCATCACAAGATGACAAGCTGCATTTGTTCTCGAAGATAGATTAGAGCGAGCAGAATATTTATAGGGGATGGAGTTAAGTTCTGAAAATATCTGTAAATCTACTATGCTCATGCACAAAATCATCACAATGGATCCAACCCCTGCACGAATCTGTCAAATTACACTTTTAAATTAACGATGTGAAAAAGAAAATATCTTGGGTTCGCTTCATCAACAGTGAAATAACCCCAGCTCATCAGTGTTGATACAAGATCTCATAAAATGACCGAAATAAACAGCCTAAACCTCGTTTGATACTCATCTCTTTGCATTCGTGATAAAGAAATAACCATTTACCTTGGCACCCCACGAACTGTACTGGTTGCCGTTAGGTATAGCAGGTATCGTAAATGAAGGCTGCTTCTTGCTAAGCTCCTCACACTCAGCAAAAATGGTCCCTGAGAAATCATCCATTTGATACCTAAATAATGAAACAAACACATTTAATTGTACTACGAACATAAATATTGCTTTCAGAAACAAAAACGCAAAGCAGGCAATTTTTACCACATTACTATCACTTTTCTATACAAAATGTAATCCTCCTTTTTAATGTAATGGTTAGATATTGTATTGTAGCATGGATGTTCAATTCACAACAACATATAATGTACACAATTATTGAACTAGTTCAATCACATCATTTTTATACCAACATTAAAAGCTAAGAACTTTGATTAATTCTCAAAATGGTACACAAACGATGATATCTGATGGTAACTCTTACCTCTTTTCAAATATTTCTATTGTTAAGTGAAGATTTTCTCTTTTACTCTTCTCTCTCCGCTTCACCATTTCCAAGAGTGTTCTGTAGGAAAAGAAAATAGAAATAAGATATTCATACACTGACAATAATCTGAATGTTTTCCACAACACGACATAAACACAACATTTCAAAATCTTCCAAAAGAGTCCCCTCCCCCCCCCCCCCTTTAACATGGGCAAGTCTCAGGAATTCCCCCACCCCTCCCATGTAAACAGTGATAAAAATGTGTTTTTATGCCTAATGATTGCATTAAGTTACCAAAAGATTACCCACCTGTTCAAGCTATTAAATTTTTTTGTTTGAAAAGCAACCTCCATTAGACACGTAAACTACAACACAGTAAAAGCTGATATGAAATATCTATGTCAACACTACTAGAAAATTGGCAACTCCTTACAACAAACAATATTGACCACCCCATGATAATTACATAGTAACCCATTTAAATACAAAAGACTACAACTTACACTGCCTTTGAAAGGTCTCGCTTGAGTTTGAGCATCTTCTCGTAAGACACCTCATCGTTCTTGCGATTCTTTCTTGTCTGCATCTTCTCCGTCCGTCTTCTGAAAGCTACATAGGGGTTGTTACTGGTGGAGCCATCACGCTTCTCTTGCTTGACCTCTGGTATCAGTGAATGACCCTGGATAAACGACACATACAAATAAAACAGAGCCTTACTGTCTTGAACCAATCAAACTCCAATGCACCGGCAATCACATGTGGGACAAAAGTATAGAATTGGCAAAGATTTTACATGCCTAAAACTTGGCTTGAACACGTTACAAAGATGCTTAATTTGTGTTCACGCAAAGTGAAATTTTAAGATACAATGATTCTATTTTCCATTAAAAGAGATTGTTATCCTTTCATTTTAGACTACATAATGACAGATTCCTCATGAACTTATGTGAATGTTTTTATCTCCCCCTCAATCCAAATATGATTATTGCAATAACACTTGCAAAAATCAATAAGACAAAATTCTGAAGTTCTAAACAAAGAAGTATCAATTGTGAGTTGAGATTGGTGTACATAGTTCACTTACCACTCCGACTCTCTTGTTGAGCCAGTAGTCATAGACTGCTATGATGAGATCATCATCCTCTTTCAGAAGAGCCTTGGCATCCTTCAGATTCATTACCTGGAAATTTCACAAAAGAGAGCCAAATTAGAAGCTATTAATTACAGGATACACACTATTTGTTATACATAAATAGCACCCCAAAATTTAAAGGATTACAAAAAAAAATTAATGATCTATATTTACTTTTTTTCAACAGGGGAGGGACATGCCAGCTAATATAAATTCATCAAACAATGACAGGATTCACAAAATTTCATGAAAAGGAACATTCCCTGATTTTCCTAGATTCTTGAAAATGTTCCCAGATGGGGTTTAAAATTCTAGCAGCAACCGGCTTCCAATTTGAAACATCACTATAGCCAATCAAAACAGTGGATATGTTTTTTGAACATGTGACAAAAGATGTATTTATTTCTTGGGTCAATGAAATCCCCTGACTTTTCCTTGAGTTTTCATGACAGGCCCAAACAAAAGAGAAATTATTTTCCTGGTTATCCCTGATTTTCAGAGTAGCCAGGAACCATGAATGTAAGTTGATTCAATAATGACGTAAATTTATTGTATTATATTAGATGCTTACCCTCTGACCACTGCCCTTCTCTAGCCTGTCCATCATAATCTCAAACTTGATAGGTGTGATGTCTGTGAAGAGTTTCGCCTCTTCATTCAACCATCTCTCATCCCCTGAGTCCATATCATAGTCTGGAATGTCCTGCTCCATGCTAAGGGCTGTCAAAGGAAGGAAGAAGGAGGCAAGAAACAGGGTCATTGCAAATGCTCACAAATTGGCAACTTCACACAATAGGAGAAAAGTTTACCAAATCTCACTGAAACTACATACTTAGTGTAACAATTACTTACATTAAAATATATCTTTAAAGTGCTTAGAGACATCGTGGATGTATTAAGCACTTTTTTAAAGTGAAATATTATTATTATTATTAAAAGGAGAAAAAAAAGAGGTCTTTGTCGAGAAAATTGCAGCTAACAGAGAGAGACACAAAAAGAAAATGAGACAGAATAAAAGCTGTTTCATGTCATAAATAAAGGTTGTTGTACTCACGCTGTACATGAATGTACTGTCTGTTTTGCTTGTACGATGCCTCATACAGATTTTCATACAGTTCCTGGTTGGAGAGAACCTCAGGGGTTGGAATAACAAGATGATTTGCGGAGCCATACACTTGTTGTGCTGAAATGGCTCTTTGCAAATGATGCTCCTGCAGAAAACAAAACAAAATGAAAACTATTAGGTCAGGTGTCTAATTTTTTAAAAAATATTTAAACCTATATATTTCAAATTTTATCAATTAAGTAATCAATCAATGCATTAGTTTCAAGATGCTATATCTAAACTAGATATTCAAAAATTTGTATTAATGCTAATAACATTAATTTTATCATTATGATTGTTATCATATAGGCCTATTGTTGTTCTTGTTTGTTATTATTATTATTATCATTACCATCATTGTTATCATTATCAGCAATGATATTATTTTTTATTATCATAAATATATTATCATCATTAATTCATTATCATAATCATCATTGTTCAGCAGACATATTTTGCCAATATTTGAATGCAGCACAGGCATCGATCATTCAGTAAGTCGACAGTATAGTCTAATTTTATTTTTTTTAAATGCTGATTAAACTTCTGTAAACTGTACATGGGAGTATGGATTAAATGTTTAAATCTATACTAAAATATATTGTGTCAGGTTCCCAATTGGAGAAAAAGAAGATTTGTTTACATTTTTTAATTTAGTAGTATATTATTAGTACATTAATCACTTGACGAGTTGACACTGAGTGACACCGACACTCGACAGTCTTAATTCTTATTAATATTTTTGAAATCACTGAAAATTTCATGTAGCAACTAGCAAATGTGTAAACAATTGACATATTATAAACCAACATCGACTTATTTGAAAACAATCGTTGGGATCTCATATATCAGCTTGCAATGAGATTAATACTTCTAATGTAATAAAGTAAACAAATGGATGACCATCGCCATGTGATTCAATGTTTACATCGGCTCCCTTCAGGAGGGACAAGGATATTGCATAACAAGGTTTAGATTACTACAGTGCTACTATATACACAATGGACTTTCCCACTTTGCTCATCCAGCTCATGAATAATGCATGAAACTAGCATTACCACATCGGAAAATGTTAACATTCCCTCAAAATTAATGCGTTATATTACCTTATTAAAAGTCTATAATTATCAATAAATGGCTATCTAAATTTAAATTGTATAAAATGCAAGAATTAAAATACAATTAATACGATTGTTTAAAAAATTATATTTATTCTCGTATGACGTAGTTGGATCGTCCATTATTGAAGAGGCAATACATTTTCAACACATGGATAATTTGGGATCATGTGACTCTGACAACTGTTAAAATTATATTTCAAGACATATGTTAATCTCACAACTTACACAACATTCGTAATTTCGGAAACATATTAATAAATATTCAAAGACAGTATATTTTCTCTGTGTACACAATTAAAAAGAAATTATTTGGCGAATAAAAAATACAAGATTGCGTCCCGCCAAAAAGGGCGTGTTTTCAAAATGGCCGCCGAATCCGGGAACCTCATTATATATGCAAGGATAACGAACTAATTTGCATGAAACAAAAACCTACCGATTCTTCTTCTTTTTCCATTCCTGTGGGCATTTGAGGAACTGCCCGATTAGTAGTGGAAAAATCAGGCAAATCTGGGAGCTCATCTGTTGTGTAGATGGGCATCGGCTTCGCGGGATCGGGAGCCCGAGCTCGAAAACTTAGCTTGCTCATGATGACGAAGTGTCAACGATCCCTTAAAAATGCCAGAATGTGCCTCTATAGGCCAAGCAGGCCAAAATCACCGAGCTGAAGTCAGAAATAGTGGTATCATCCGTCCTCTCATTCAGTTAGAATTTAGAGAAATATGTTAAAAATCACAAATGAAGGCAAAATAACGCTAAATTTTCCGCCTTTAGACATAACAACATGGCGGACAAAAAATTCGCAGCCTTCCCACAATTCCTTGGGATAGACCCTCCTGTATGCGCGCGCATTCTCGTAAAGTGTTGTGTTCCCACGGCGGAACGCGGGAATTGTGTGTGTGCATTGGGCCTCAACCACACAGAAAAATATACAGCTGAACGGCTAATTGTGGTTCATTTTACACTCTTCATGCGTGATCAAGTACTATATTTTCGTCACGTCTAGTAGAAGTGCGAGTTACTGTAGTCAAAAAGTTGCGTTTACAGCCACTATCAGTGCCCATAAAGTTAAATGTAATTTGTCTAACCTTTTTTCGTAAAAGTATCGAGTCAAGGATTCAACGGGTGATTAAGTTTAGATCTATCTCTTGTCAGAACTTAAATGATACATTCGTAATTTGAGAATAAATATATAAACTTTATCTGAAGAATAAATCATAATTATCATCACAATCATTTCATGAAAATAAGTTTTTTTTTAAAATCAAGATATTCCAACTTTAGGCCGTAGGCCTACAACGCGGGCATAATTATGATGATAGTGATGCTTCTGCTGCTGATGATGATAATGAAATCATGATGAACTGATAATAGACATACTACATATTGTATGAACCCTACTATTTATGCATTCATGTTTTTTTGTTTGTTTTTTTTATCTAGAAAAAAGAAAAGAAAAAAAAGATAAACAAAGTAAACAACTGAAATTGATTCAGATTCATTCCGATAAGGGTTGAAACTGGCCTTGAGATTTGCCGACACAATGTTCAAAAAGTAAAAGCAGGAAAAACCATGATTTTAAACAAGATTCCGAAAGATGATGAGGATCCACACTCAGTGCGCCCCCCCCCCCGGCCCCCCCCCCCCCCCCACAATCCAGAAGATGATAAACACAAGTCCAAACTTTGCAATCTCGAAGTTGGCTGCCAAATCATCATATTTTAGTTTTTGAATGCGTATGAACCCACATAAATTATTCTTGCAAGAGGTCCCGTATCGGATTAGACGTGGGGGGGGGGGGGGGGTATTACTTGCCTTTTATTCACTTTTCATGTACATGTATATTTTACTTATCTGAGAAGATCGGTAATCAGGTTTCTTTTTAGAATTAACAGTATATAATGAGTTGCCTTTTTAAATGACACAGCCGAAATAATAATGTTGACGACAATGGTGATGATGATTGCTGATGATTGATAATGATGATGATAATGATCATTATGATGGTTATGATGAAGATGATGCTGATATGATGACGATGATGGATTTGATTCTAGGATTGGATTATGTGAGATTTAGTTGTTATATATGAGTCATGCCAGTGGCGGATCCAGGGGGGGGGGGGGCGGGGGGCCCGGCCCTCGCCCCCCCCCCCCCTGGGAAAAAAACATGTAAAAACACGTAATTTTTAGCTTTTTTTGGGGGGGGGAGGGTGGCCCGCACAAAGCGCGGAAGCTTTGACGTTTCATTAAATTATTAGAGAAAGAAGAAGATTCGTTGTACCGTTCTCTACTATTAATCCTTTTTCTTCCTATGTCCTCTTCCTGTCTTCTTTCTCTCTTTTTTAATTTTTAGGCCGGCGTTTTTTATTTTTTTTATTTATTTTCTTTTGGGGGGGGGGGCGATCACCCCGACTGCCCCCCCCCTGTCTACGCGCCTGTGCCCATTCCTGTCTTTTAAAATATCAAAGAATTTTTTAAACAATTATATTTATTTATTTTATTAATCTTCTATTATCAATTCTTGATTTTTATCAGTTTTATAGTTATTTACGTTTTTCTTCTTGAAATGATTTTATCAAAAGTTTGTCAGCTAATTTTGGTCGAACCAAAGTTAATCAAAATAGTCTAGCTACAACCCCCTCCACCCCAAAAAATTGTCTAGATACACCCCCCCCCCCCCGCTCCCTCTGAGTTGGGCCCACAATGGCAATATGAGATTTAGGTTACAAATGCAATTTTAGTCATCTTAGATCTCAAACATTTATAAAGCTGTAAAATTGTTTCATCCTCCTTAATTCAAGCGAGTTGTATAGTTGCTCTAGTAACTCCGGTAATGACAGTCATGTTGACCTAGGATTGTCGGAAAGGATACGGGTAGGAATATTTTCTCATTAATATCTTTTTCCCATGCAGGAATATCATTTCGGGAATCCCTAGGCCCTTTCCAGGCTCTATCGTGAGAAGGAAAGGGGGAAGGGGTGTAGTGAGATCAACATTTCTTTCAACAAAAATCTCACATTGTTGAAGACATACTGACGACGTATGTTTTGAGCCACTTAACTCTGCGTCAAAAAATATGTGTTGATGCCCTTCTGGCTCAGAACCGTCTGCCCCCATTCAAAATTGTCCGGGCTGACAAACATATTTCAAAACCTTTTCGTATACCGCTCCTACTCATTCGGTTAGCAGAATTAACACATAGAATTACTGTGTGAAACAAAGTTCGTATTGCCAAAGGGGCCCGTTATACCCCGCCTCATTTACATGTACTCCTAACGATTTTAATTATTATAATATTTTATTATCCTTATCAAACGAGTTAAAAGGGGGACAGTAGAAATTACTCGGGACGATTTTATTACTACAATCGACCGCTTTACTATACAGTTTGATGCATAGCAATGCCTGGACGGAATATGAACTACATTTTAATATTAACCAGAACTTCTCTGACGAAAAAAAATGCATTATCATCTTTTCCCGTGAAGATTTTCTTACCGAAACTACGACAAACAGTGAAACTAAGAGGTACTATAGTAACAGGTTTTTTTTTCTTAAAAATGGGCTTGAAAGAGGTATTTGTGAACCATCTGTGGCTAAATGCAGGTCATTAAGACTATAGCAAAACGTGTATATAAATTTCACTTCTGAAACTAAATATGATCTTTCTCGTGAAAATTCTCTTTTCTTCGAACTACAACAAACAGTGAAAATAAATGTATGGCTAAGCATACAAATTCTTATCTCGATAATGGGCTTGAAAACAAACGAACGAGGAAGTGAAATACCACTATAACAAAGTTGGTATATTATACCATCTGTGGCTAAATGCAGGCATTCTGAAGCTGGTTAGAAACCCCTGTATATTCAGACAGCGAGGTGGCATTTTCTCAAACATTCGTAATGAAATCACGAAAATCAGTGGAAATCTATAGATGGTGGTCAGATATAATTATAAAGGTTTGACAATAAATATTTTTTCTAAATCTCATCTCATCAGCTACTATCTGTCTTCAAATTTAGTTGTTTACTTCAAAAATTAGATTACAAATCTCAAAACTTGTATCTGTCACGATGGAACAAGATTGATAATCTGTAAAGACCTATCTTAAAATGGCGAAGTGTACATTGGGTTATTCCGAATTTAAATAAGATGCCTTTGCCTACTTCATCTGCTTATTTGCGTTTTTGACAATACTGAGTTTGAGATGAATTTGTTAGAAAGAACTATGCCCAACAATAAAACTTCTGCTACATATTTTCTTTTTACTCTCCAGTACATCAATCATTCTTGTCACATTATAATAATAATCATTGTTAATATAGACTGAAATAATACATGTGACACAAATTGAAATATAATTCTGAACAATACGATCATTCATCTTTAATGTTGATTCTTTGTAAGATGTTCTAAAATTTGACAAAATTTATGACATTTACACTATTTACATATCATACAATATGATATAAAGCAATCAGATAAATTTCGTTTGATTATAATGAAAAATATAATTATAGATGAATGGTGTTAACTCAAAAGACAACAAAATGACAATTGTACCATTTTTTCAAAATGGCTGAATGCACATTTCTGCAAACAAAGTAGATAACTTAAAATCCAACACCTCATGAATGATTGGAACAAGAAAATGAACATAACACTGATAAAAATATCAACCGCAACAAGTCTTCAGAATAAATAACATCAACAATCAATGATTTTCTTGTAAGAGACTGCAAAACTATAATTATAACCTTGCATTAACAGAATGATTACACAGGATTTAGAGTCCCAATATCATCAAAATAACATATTATCATTTTATAAAAGAGGTTCAGTTATAAAAGCATTCATAAAGGTGCTCAGAGTGATAATCATTCAAAATGGAATAAAAATTCAGTCAGAGTACATATTAAAATTATATAGGTTTATAAACATTTTAAATAGAAGAATTAAGAAGCTGTCACTACAGCATTTTAGATGACCTCTAGTGAAATTGTCCTTATGACATCAACATGTACTTTTTTTTAAAGATGAAGAGAAAAATGAAGGAAGAAAATAATATTAACTTTATTAGTTTACATCATTACATACAAACATATTTGCCAATTTACTTGCTTTATGAGTTATGTCATTAATGTTTTGTAAATTATGTAAATTATGCAAAATAACTTCAACTTTGGGTAACTTACAGGGCAAGAGCTATAATTTAAACATGATACATCAAACTTAGGTTGTATTTTACATTCAGCTGCAGCATGTGCTTTTAAAAGTTGGAATAAAACAAATATTAAATTAAATGCAAGTTTACCAGAGTTCCATCTAAACAGAAGGAATACTCAAAGCTCACTATACATTTTTTACAAAAAAATATTGAATACATACCAATGAAAATAGAACATGTTTATATAAATTCATTTATAAATAAAAGCCTGCCCTAAAAATCTAAAACAAGAAACAACAATGAACAGAAAACTTTCATTGATTAGGTTAATCATAACATGTAGTTTAAGCTTCTACCAACCTTAAAATTGAATGGGCAAGCTTTCTGCTTCCAATTAAGGTGAAAGAATCCATCTTGTTAAAAAAGATTTATCCTTCACCGTTGCCTTTTTTTTTGCCCCAGTAATCTCAAAGCAGCAAGAAACTGTAAAGACCAGGGGAGTGGATGAAAGCTTGTCTACTCAATTTCAAGGCGGGGGAGAAGCTTAAACTACATGTTTAACACAAAAGCATATACAAAACACATTAAAAAAATAAAAATAAAAAATAGAAACAAAAACATAATATAATATAAGAAAATTAACATGGATTTAAAACAGCATCAAGTAAAAGAGTATGAAAAGGGGGCAGGCAATAATGAACAAATAGCAATGACAACTAAGAAATGAATAAATGAATGACATCATTACATTGGAAAAGCATATCTTCTTATCTTTTATGAATACTCTATCTTCAGCTAGGGGAAATGATGGAAATGAACATGGCAATAAAGCTACAATACCCTTAGTAATAAAATTGCACAAAATAAGGAGATAAATGATATGTCATGCTAAATGGCAGAGTCCCACATAAGCCAATAAAGTAATCAGCATGTTTGATTATGATTACTATGCTTTATGATTCTTATGCTAGTACAGTACAACTAAACATCCATCAGTCCAAATACTTTGGACGTCAAGAGTACATTAAAAAAACACTTAACCCTTTGACTTCTGAATTTCTCTCATTCCCATAGACTTAATACATGAACCACCAGGTTCCAGGATTCAATGGGTTAAAAAATAAAAATGGTCCAGCTTTGAGTGTACAGTCTGTCCAACTTTGCTTCCATGACAACATGCAGTTCAATGAAGTTTCCCAAAGCAATCAAAGAACTTTATTAAGAATGCTAAAAAGTTTCTTCTACTTGCAGCAAACAAAGTGACTGCACTTGTGTGACCAGGATCTAAAAGTGATTTATCCAGAAAATTAAGAAAAAAATAGCTTTAAAAAATAATGGGCTAACCCTTCATCATAAATATGGTTATCACTCTAATCATCAGTGGGACTAGACCAGGTATTAAATACAAACAAAAATGACAAAAAGCAAATTGTAAATGTTTTTGATTGTAGTTTTTTGTAAAGACTGCTCAGTTATTCACAATTCTTCATAGGGTCATTCCATGTCAAATCACCCAATGGTTTTAACCCGTCCATTTTTGATTTTGATGAAACTTAGTGTACTTGTTGAGTGTGATCTCACAGCACCAAATCCAAAATTTTAGGTCAATCGGATAAGGAGTTTGGGAGATACGGCCCACCAAATTTTGAGATTTTTTCAAAAATGGGGGTGGCGGGCCTACCTTTGAACCCTTGTATTTCGGGACGTAATGGGTCAATCTTCACAAAATTTGTAGTGTTGGAAAGGGTATTCAATAAGGATTCCAAATCTGCTGCCATTTTGAAAATTTGTACATGTTGGGGTACTTTGACCTCTTGACCTAAGATTTGACCTTGAAATTGACCTTGTGGATCACGTGACCTTCAAAACATTTTTCATGAAATGTAATCTCTGACATGTTCTCTTAAACATAAAAGTTTCAGAGATATAATATTTTTTGTTTAGGAGCAATAAGGATTGAAAGTATCCATACTTACAGATATTCACAATAAACCCTATCATAATGTATACAATACATGCAATATGCACAGTATAACATACATCTTCCACATGCTTTTTTGTTCTAAGCATATCCATTCTAAATGTCAGCAGTACTTGAATAGAAAATAAAATGACAAGTTCATATAGGCCTAAAGGGTTAACAGGATGTATGGCTTTAGGACTCTGAGTCGGTTCTTGGATAATTACCCCCCTGGAAAATTAACCCCCAGGAAAGGTCCCCCCCCCCCCTGAGGACAATTGCCCCCCAGAAAATTACCTCCTAGGACAATCTGTCCCCCCCCCCGGAGGACAATTACCCCCTAGGATAATTACCCCCCCCCTACCCCCCCCCCCCCCCTATTCATTAAAGGGGAAGTCCATCCTGATAATAAGTTGGTTTTAATCAAAGCAGATTTTTTTGGGGGGAGGTAATTATCCTTGATGGGTAATTTTCCAGGGGGGGGGGGTTATTGTCCTCGGGGGGGGGGGGGAAGATTGTCCTAGGGGGGGGGGGTTATTGTCCTCGGGGGGGGGGGGGGGGGGGGGGGAAAGATTGTCCTAGGAGGTAATTTTCTGGGGTTAATTAACCTCTGGGTGTGATAGTCCTTGGGGTAATTGTCCGGGGGGGGGGGGGGGGTGTGAACATTTCCTGGGGGTTATTTTTCCAGGGGGGTAATTATCCCAGAACCGACTCAGAGGCCTAAATCCATACATCCTGTTAACCCTTTAGGCCTATATGAACTTGTCATTTTATTTCTATTCAAGTACTGCTGACATTTAGAATGGATATGACTAGAACAAAGAAGCATGTGAAAGATGTATGTTGTACTGTGCATATTGCATGTATTGTATACATTATAATAGGGTTTATTGTGAATATCTGTAAGTATGGATACTTTCAATCCTTATTGCTCCTAAACAAAAATTATTATATCTCTGAAACTTTTATATGTTTAAGTGAACATGTCAGAGATTACATTTCATGAAAAATGTTGTCAAGGTCACGTGATCCACAAGGTCAATTTCAAGGTCAAATCTTAGGTCAAGAGGTCAAAGTACCCCAACATGTACAAATTTTCAAAATGGCAGCAGATTTGGAATCCTTATTGAATACCCTTTCCAGCACTACAAATTTTGTGAAGATTGACCCATTAGATCCCAAGATACAAGGGTTCAAAGGTAGGCCCGCCACCCCCATTTTTGAAAAAATCTCAAAATTTGGTTGGCCGTATCTCCCAAACCCCTGACCCAATTGACCTAAAATTTTGGATTTGGTGCTGTGAGATCACACTCAACAAGTACACTAAGTTTCATCAAAATCAAAAATGGTCGGGTTAAGATTTTCAGATTTTTTGGGTGATTTGACATGGAATGACCCCATATCAAATATTATATAAACATGTCTTATAGAGTAGACTCAAAAATAAATTTCTCTCATTCAGAATTATTCCAATATCACATACTTGGATCTGCATCTCAGAAACAAACTTGAGGTGCGTTCCCCAAACACGACTTTGAATTGCTCTCATAAAAAATAAAAAATAATTGGCTCAATCAAATTGCCAAACCTCAAAAACTGCACATCAGTTAAAGAGAGTTGGTATTAATAATAATGTGAAGAAATAGGCATCCTCTTGATAGGATATAGATAGAGTGCTATCACTTGCAAAACCCTGTCCATTGTGAGGCATATCAACTTATTAAAGATTCCATCTACTTGTGACAAGAACCAAAATGTTATTAAAATGATTGTCATTGTCAGTTAATTATATAGTATCTAATTCTAGAAAAACATTCTTTACAGTTTACACAGAATGGCAAACTTAATTTCCAAACTGGAAAAATATGTTTCAAATGACTATGATATCTTTTATATCCAAGACAGGTTAATTTGAGTTTTAAAGAAAAATAATTGCAAGTAAATACAAGTTCTGTAAAGAGCAATCTTAATCAAGTTTTTAAGTTTTGTTCAAAATTTCTGAACTGAAAAAAAACCTGTAAATAAGCACTATCCATCCATACATTATGCAAACACTTGTTCAATCATAATCACAACACTTACTATTGGCAGGGGTAATAACAGCTAGGTTAGTTTTCATTGTAAATGAAATGAGATGGTACTATACATTACTAAAAATGTAAGTATTTGATTAAGTCAGTACTGATAATGGTACAAAGTACTTGCAATTTACACTGTACAGTAAAATAAGAATATACAAAGGATCAAATGACCCTTTTAATATGAACAAAATGTAGCTTTTAACCTTGAAATAATTTATAAAAAAATATATATATCCCTAACAAGTCCAAGAGAATTTTTCCATAATACTCTGGAACAAATATCTTCTTTTCACAATTTACATAAACTGCTGTCCATTTAATATGCATTCCTATAAACTTTGAACTTCATAGACAATTCCTATGAAATCTTACTTGGAAAAGAAGACATGACTGTCAAAAAACAAGAGTTTGATGGTATCCAATCACTTATCCAACAAAAGACACTCAATTTTTACTAGAAATGCATACAATTTGTTCAATTATTGCTGAAATTATAACAGGCACCACAAACAAGTTCCAGTATTCATTCCAAAAAAAATGGGAGACATATTTTCTTCTTCCCATGTCTGTCAGAGAATTAGAATTAGATCTTCATGTAGTAATGGTTATAGTATTTACTACTTTGTAATAGAAAAGATTGATTTTAAGTAATTTTTTGACACCACAGCATTAATACAATATGAAATCATCACAAACTTTAAAATCATTTAATGTTAAAGGATTTTCACAAAGAGAATGCATTATTTGATAATTTATATTTCTTAATAGTGCTTTGGCACAGTTATTTCACCGATGGGTAAAGAATACTATGACTTTCAAGATTTAAACTATAAACGATAATTACTACTCTAAATCATATTTTCTAAAGAGAATTAATTATCTCAACAGATCTTTTACTGGTATTCAATGGTTCCAAATTTTGAATCAATAACAAGTTAAAACATAGTGCTCATGATATTACAGCCTAAGGATTCGAGGTACGTTTTCTTCCAAGCATACAAAAAACATTAACTTTTTGTATTTTTGCAACACATTTCATGCATGAATTTACCTTCAAGAAAAAAGGTTTTGAAATGTAAACCAATTGAATAAATGATCCTACTTTTACTGTTGCCATGGAAAGCTGATATAATTACTGAGCTGAAATCTCATACCTAACACCTAGGAATATGACACCTAGAAATATGGATTAAATTTTCAGGGTAAAAGAAAACTTGAAATATGATTTAAAAATTTTTGGAAGTTTTCACTTGTCAGAACTTGGACTTGGAAAATCAGTAAACAAGGAATGCAAACTGCTTGCATAGCCTCCCCAAGTGAAATAGAGAATGTTACATCACGATTCTCTGTAAACCTTTGCACTTCTTTGGAAATGATGACACATACATTTGTTATTTTGTAAATTTAACTTTACAAATAAAAGATAACACTTGATGGTATTTATGTACTTTGACCCTGACAGGTAAAAACGCATTCCCTGGACATTCCAGAAGAAAAAAAATCAATAACCTAAAATTTGATCATAAAATCACACACTAAATAATAAAATCAATCCTTTCATAAGAATACTATAAACCACATACTCTAGTTAAGGCCATCACAAGATTAAAGATAATGAAATTGTGACGTTCTCTTATCTGATTTTTTGCCTTTTCAGCCGTGATCGTCCTCTTGCTGCAGTTTTCCTCTTCTTTTCATTTGCCTGGAATTGAAAGGAGAGACAGAGAATAGCATTATGTCTTTTGTGACATAATAACAGCAACTGCATAGTATGACTACATCACAAAGATGTGCCTGCACTCACACAAACAACTAGGAACAACTTTATTACCTCTTTAACTAACAAGTCAATGCAAGTTAAGCCTAAATCAGTTTTATCAGGTTTCACTGGGCAAAGTTAAGTATGAATTCCCTTCAGCCTTTATGAAGTTATTTCAGTAAAAGTTTTACAACAGTAGTTTACCTCCATGATTGGCCAATATATGATAATCCAGGACCTTTTTATGCTAAGGTTGAAATCAATGCAATGGTTACTCAACTAATGAATTACTGGTAACTCTTTTTTTCATGATCTGTTTACTTTGATGACCCAATGATATCTGAATCATATATTAACACATTTTATATATATATATATATATATATATATATATATATATATATAGGTGAAGAACATGTGTTGGTATGTACAGAAAGCATGGGTGATACATTGTATATTCAGCTCATCTTTTCAAATCAACTAATTAGTTTTATATACCTGTTCTGTTTTTTTGTCCAGTTCCATCATTGCTTCCTGGATAGCTGCCTCCAAACTGCTTGTTAATGTCCGATGTCTATCAAAATAATCAAGTACAGCCACATAAGACAAAGCCCAACAAATGAGCAATCTGAAAGATAATGCTTCTCTCGATAATACTGATGGCGAAGAAATGTAGCTCAGGTTTAACAAATTTGGGAGCACCTAAGGAGTTCTTTGTGTACACTACAAATTTCAAATGGCTTTGAGAAAGATGCCCCCTCCCCTGTTCACCTTAAAGCTCCCAATCCCCTTCCCTCCCCCCTCCCACCTCACCAAAAAGAAAGAACACTGTGAAACTTAAGAATATGTTATATAATTGCATAATAATAAAACACAAATAACAGGGTTTTTTTTTAAACGGTGCTAATTAAGCGCTTACCATCAAAGTCTCTAATTGCTATAACAAACAAAACAAATGATAAACAGTTACATATTAAAAAATATTACAAATAAAGTGATTATACATTTTCTTAAAGTACAGTTCATGGCACTTTATTTCTTTTCAAGAACAACATAGAACTCCTACCTTGTTCTATGTCTTGTTCTTGCTTTGTGATGAGCTTCAAGACCCTCTGTCAGAGTTTTCAGTTTTGTTGGTTCCACTTGGGTGAAGGAATGATCTCCAAACCACATGACCCAAACCTATCGTGAAGAACAGACATTTTTTCTTATCAACAGTTTAAAAACAGACATGGTCCAACTTTGAGCGTACAGTCTGTGCAACTTTGCTTCCATGACAATGTACAGTTTATCCCTTTAATGAATTCATGATTTTCTACATGAAAATATTACTATTGTTGTTCCTAATATGTATATAGGTCATGCGAACAACTAAACTGTACTATTTTACACCATACCGAGTTCCTGTTGCAAGACTGAAATATCTCTGGTTGGTCATAAAATCACAAGTGACTCCCCATGACTGAATACAACATGGAATCACGGACGATTAATTCAACACCCAATGTTTACTCTTCACCGACTTCAACATATTTGAGAGCAATTCCTAAAGAACACAGTTTGAGAGTATTTACCTTGCCTTCTTCCTTTTTCTTTTGACCTTTGACCTCTGCATCACTGACAACCTTCCCTGGCCAAGACGAGTATCCTCTGATCTGACCCCAGACCAGGTCTCCTGTCTCAACCTCAGGGCTGAAAGAGGATTCTTCATCATGGTTGGGAGAACAAGAAGCTTCATCTCCTGAAAATAAATCAGTGTATAAATAAATTAATTAATAAGAAGCAAAAAATTAAAAAAATAAAAGGTAAAACACATTCACTGAAAGTAAGCAGTTTGTCCCACAATACAAAATTGCAACAAACTGAAGTGATACATTGTAAATATTCACTTCTGGGTAGCATAAGTCTCTATAAAAGAAGTTTCACGAGGGTGGGGGAAAGGCAAGCTAAAACAAATGTGTGCATCAAGGTCCGCCAAAATGTACATGTTTGGGTTAATCTAATTTGCCCAGATTATGGGTGGTTGTAAAGGAGCAAATGCATTAAAAGGGACAGGGAAAATTATAAATTACCGGTACGGCAGAGATTACATTTTATATGCCCTGAAACTCTTTCAAAGGCCAAAGTCATACCTGCCAACATTTGAAAATGAGAATTAAGAATATTTAGCATGGTAAGTCTTTGAAAATAAGAAATCTGTACCCTTAACAGGCGTTCGCACATGCAGCGGCAGTGTAACTGGCAATACGCGGTAAATCTGTGCAAAAAAGCGAATACAAATTCGTTGCTCAATCATGCAGCCCTTCAACGCACGCAATACATGAACTCTCACATCGCGGCATATGATAAAACAAGCTTAATTTGGCTTGAGCAACAAACCCCCCCCCCAAAAAAAAAAAAAAACAATCGAAATTTTGAAAATCCTAAATATTTGGGGTCCTAAAAATCCAGAAAAACAGAATATTCCAGATTATTTGGAAGGGTTGGCAGGTATGCAAAGTGAATGAAAAAAAGAGTCATATCATACAGTGATAAAAAACAACATTTATAATTCACCAACACTTCAAACAGTACTCAATTGATGTTCTCCTCTATCAGCTAAACAGTAAAAGCCAACAATTTCCCTAAATCTCTCTAGAATCACATCATCAAGTCTTCTTCATTTCGAAGAGTGCTCGTACAGTTGTCAAAATGTCAAAGGCCTTCCTGATTTCTATGTACAAATAAGTAAAGAACCATTTTTTATCCATAACCCATAACAAATAAATGTCTCCTGGATTACAAAAACATGTATAGGTAACTAGATGGATCTTTGATTGCACGCAGTCGAAAATATTGATAAGTAATGATTAGAGCGATTTTACAAACCAAAATCCAAAACGGAAGCAATTTTAAAAATTCTAGTTTAATTTCAATCCATTATTGGGTTCTCAGAATATTGTGATTATTTTTCATATACATGTATGACTCTTTGATCTTTGACCTCATGACCACAAAATCTAATAAGTTCATTGGCTCAGCAAGAAACACGCATGTCTTGAGGTTGATGGTAATCTGTCAATCGGTCTTAATGATGATGTGACCACGAGGTACTTTGCATACATAATGAGCCATGTGACCTTTGACCTTGTGACCCCAAACCTAATCAGTTCATTGGTTCTTGTAAGGACGGACAACTCCAAAACATGCCCCCAGCTACTTTGTTACGGCGGCATAAAAACAGCTTCCGCCATCACAAAAAATGACAGCACGTCAATGCACATGCAGGCCTCTATTCAACTATCCCCCCTAATGTAATTTCCCAAAACAAACTTAAGAAAGTTTGCATCGCGCAACTGACAGTGAACTTTGTACTCTTACAGGAAGTTATTAATTGGCATTGTTCTAATCTGATTTAAGGATCTCAAGTGCCTGGGGTTTAACTGTCATATAGATAATTGGTACCCTTGACATTCTGTCAAATATGCATTTCCCCAATTTTTATATTAGGTGAGCCAACATAATCAACAGTAATATCTTTGATTCAGTTTATTTCTCTAACTTTATCCTCCTCATCAAAGCTTCATCAGTACATAGCCCAAAATTGAAGAAATACCAACAGAATTGTGTACTGTAACTACATTAGATATTCCATTCCAACTTCATGATCATTTCTTCTTTCTTTGACCTTTGACATTCTGTCAAATATGCATTTCCCCAATTTTTATATTAGGTGAGCCGACATAATCAACAGTAATATCTTTGATTCAGTTTATTTCTCTAACTTTATCCTCCTCCTCAAAGCTTCATCAGTACATAGCCCAAAATCGAAGAAATACCATCAGAATTGTGTACTGTAACTATTCCAACTTCATGATCATTTCTTCTTTCTTTCTTTCTTTCTTTTCAGGGAGGGGGGGGGGGGGGGAGGTAACAATGTTAACATGCTTGCGGTTATCTTTGACATGACTGCTTCTTACCCCAATTATTCTTCAAGGCATCCATGGGCTGAAATATGTCTTTTTAATAAGTCACAATGTACCATGTATCCTCCATACCAAGATGAAGTGTACATAGATGTATGTATTATAGTATCGTATTCATGCAAAGAAGATGAAAGTATGAAACAGAGTTGATTTTGACATTTTTTATACAAACTTGAAGCTAATCTTGAGCTCTGGTATGGGCATTGTATGTCAAGAGAACATGGCTATAATTCATTCTGGATTGTTTACATAATCCTGCAGTAAACAAAAATAAACTCTGCCGATGCCTACTCTCAAGACAATCTCAACCTGGAAAATTGATTTAATCCGTCCAAATCACCCATGGGATCCTGTAAGACCATATGTCACTCATTTTGGAACAATCATGTATACTTCCTGCCAAAATGAGTGTGCAAACAAGTACAATAATATTTTATGTAAATGAAACTGATCAGACTTACCAACTATTCCATTATCTGTTGACCTGTCCATAGCAGATGTCACACTATCACACAGATCAGCTGGTTTCTTGATCAGCTCAGAAACAGGAACCACCTCTTGTATGTTGTTCACAGAGGAATCCCTCAGGGCCACTCGACCACCACCACCACTACCACCATCTTTGATAGCCTGACACTTGGTTTCTGGTTTCATATCCTGGACAGCAGTGTTGTCTAGTTTGAAATCTGGCCGCATCTGACGTTCTTGTGATTCAGTTTTGTTCTCACTACTTGGAACATCCTCCAATAAATCTGCACTGCTTGCAGCAGCATCAGACACATCTTTGTCAGATCCTTCACTTGGAAAAGCAGTTGATTCTTGCACTTGGTCAGAAGCATCAATCATCATTTTGTCCTTTGCTCCCTCTATATTGAGTTCATTATCAAGACCGCAAGGTGCAGGCGGTGAAGTACTTTCACTACCTTCACACAGGTCTGATAGCATATCAACATCATATTTGCCTGAAGTAACAGGAACCTGTTCAAGAACTTCCATGGGTACAGATTCCTCGCAAGTGGACTGCATTACTGATTCTCCAGGTATGTCAATGACGCTAGCATCACACACAACATTGTCCACACAACTATCACTTGTATCTGATATAGCCTCCATAGGTTTAGTATTTGAATTTAAGTCTACATCACAAACTTCTTCACTTGGGATTAAATGGTCACTGGAATTGGAATTGTTAGAATTTACATTGCACTCTGGTGACAGCCTTTCAACAGTCCTTTCATTGCTATCTACATTTTCACTACTAATGCCTTCTGAACCTTCTTCTGATGATACTCTGGCACATTTCTCCTCTACTTCACATAGTTCTTTGGCATTTTCCATATCACATTTCAGGTCAGTTCTTATTAATTGGTTATCCAAGCCACTGTTCTCCACTGTTGTTTTGCGTTCAGAATCAGTTTCCTTTTCTCTCTCAAAATCAAGTTCTTTTCCACCCTCTAGAGTCTCTGTATCTGTTGCACATTGACCTTCAACCTGTGATGTATTCTCTTTAACCCCTTCACTACTGAGTTGTATTCCTGACATTACACTATCTATTCCAGTGGTATGCCCTTTACTAGAATCTTCAGCATCAGCCTGACTGATTAATTCTGAATTTTCTGCACAAGAAGAGTCTTGGATTGATTCATGCACCTTCAAACACAATGTGGAACAACCTCCTTGTGATTGGGGTGAATCTTTGGCTTTATCTTCACATGCAGCTTCCATGGGCAAGGCATTTGAATTTCTAGTAACATCAAACTCTATATCAGTATTTTCAATCTCTTGCACATCAGTGTTTTCTAAACGAAGCATTTGGTCTTGCAATGCTTCTGTACTAGAGCTGGCATCTCTTTCAATGTTGATGGTCACCTCATCTGCTGTACAATAGTTACTACTGCTGTCTTCCACTTGTGCAACTTGATCACTTGAGGCATCTTTTCCTGTCACTGGAAGTGAATATGTGACTACTGAGATCACCTCATCATTGCTCTGTTTTTTCACAGTGGAACCTTCGTTGTTGTTCAATTGGATGCTGGATTCCAATGTCTTAACTGTGTCTTCGCATTGGGATATATCAGCTGCTGGATTGATTGCAAGTTTGTCTTCTTGAAGGCAGGTTTCAGAAATATTGTTAAAGGGAGACTTTAAGGGTTGGTCAGTCATTGACAACAATGCTGTAGCAACTTCCTGTTCTTCACTAACTGAGGGCATGGATGATGTGGTAGGACTCCCAGATTCCTGGACTTGATGTACTTCTTGTGCCTTGTCAAGAGGTGAAGTTGAACAAGTGATTTCAATTGCATTCCCAATTGCCTCTGAACTTTCTTTAGGAACTTCCACAGATGTTTCAGCTGCCTCACTCACTGGTTCTCTTGAAACACACTGAGCATCCTCGACATTGTCTCCTGGTGCAGGGTGAATGACTGATTTATCGTGGCGTACATGTACACCTAAATTATTCAAACTGTCTTTGGAATTATCAAAAGTTTGATCCTGCTCAACTGGATGTTCAACCGTTTGCGTATCTTCACTTTCTAAATCGCCTAGTGTTGAAGAGTACTGTTCATGTGTAGGTTCTGATGCTGCAAGACCAGAGAGATTTTGACCATCTGATAAAGAATCTGCACTGCTGGAGCAATGCATAGTGTTTAATGGTTCATTGTCTTCAGCATTATGGGTTTTTACAGAGTCTCTAGGTAAAGAAAACAGTGGATCTAATTCAATAATTGGCTGTGATGTTTCTTTGGATACTGTCTGTTCCAATAATCCAACTGCTTGAGAAACAGGAACACCTGAAGGCGTATTCATAGTTTCACTGATAGTTTGAGTAATGGCCGACACATCCTGACTGGAAGTATCTGAGTTTGCACTTGTGACAGCGGTCTGATTAGAGTTACGCAAGTCTGCAAGCATATCCTTCACCTTCTTGGGACCCGTAGATTTCATGTATAGTCGCTGCTGTTGCAGCTGAGGCAAGATATTCCTCAGCTGAGCATCTTCAAGAGCACTTTGAACAATGACGGGAAGACTATTGATATTCTGTTGCTCAAGCTGTGGGACATGCATGTGTGTCCCAGAGACAAGCTGCTGATCAGGAAATGGAGGACGTACCATTCCTGGAATATGCGGTGGAGGAGTGTACTCGTGAATCTGGTTAGTTTGTAGTGGGTTGTGGAGAGGAGGATTCATGTGGGGATTCCTCATGACCATCTGTGACATAGCTGGTTGCCCAGGACTGTGGAAAGGCATCATCTGAGGCATTTGCCGATGAGGCAACATACCACCATGTGCAAGTAAACCATCTGCAGAAACACTCCTCTGATTTTTAGCCTTCCTTTTCCGCTTCTTGCTTGGAGCAAAGTCTAGTTCTGTTTCATGCATTGCAAAGGTTGGATTTTGGAGTCCTCCCCATGGCACTGGTGGGTAACCCATAGGACCAATCTCTGGTATTCCTGGCATTCTAGGGACCACATGTCCTGGTGGTACTGGCATTCTCGGTGGCACTCCTGGCATCATATCAACTGGATATCCATCTCTAAGTGGTTGCTGCACATTACCAGGTAATGCATGGTAGTATTGTTGCTCCATTTTTAACCTGTGTAACTCTTCTTCATTTATGACATGTTCCATTGGATGATTACTTATAGGTTTGCTAGATTGCACTTCAAGAGAACTATCCTTGCCTTCTTCACTCTTTTCACACTTTGTAGGCTCTTCAGGCATAGTTTGGTTCTTAGTTGATTCACCCTCAATTTCTTTAGCCAGTGTTTCTGGACTCCCAACAGTACTTTCTGAGGTCTGACTGACACACTTTGCATGTGATGGTGAGGAATGAGTTTCAAAAGAACCTGAATCATGGAATTTCTCTTGGTCCACAGGAACATCCTTACATTGTGGTTCACATAAAGATTCTTTTCCCTCAGGTGGGTTTTCAGCAGTCCTTTTCTCACTATCTTGATGATTCATCTCTCCATCACCATCTACTTCACTTTGAGATTCCTGTACATCTGTAACACTAGATTTTCTTGTCTCAGGATTTTCAGATGGATTGTCTGTAGGTCCTGCCTGTACCTGGTTTATCACATGATTGACAGATGATTGCTCAGATTTCTCACTGGATTCTCTTTTTGCCTGTTCTTGGTGAGCTTTGATCATTTTGGTCAATTCCTCATGGGGGAGTTGTAGTAATTGACTGGCTAGGTTTGGCATCTTGCATACTGCTTCCTGCTGTTGTTTGTTAGCTAACTGGGCTCTTGCTGCGATGGACAGGAGATTACTAGCAGACATGGACCTGGTGTCAGATTCACAAAGTACATGCTGAATAGGAGAACAAGTGGTTGGCACTTCAACTTGATCTGCACTACGTGCCCTTTTCTTTTTCGGCCTGACTCCAGGATGTCGCATTCGTGGGAAGGTAGGACTAGTAGGTCCAGTCATGTACATTGATACATTCTCTCCAAACATGCCAGGCATGCACATCTGTGGATTGTTCGCTGCATGTGGATGTTGTGCCCTTGGAAACATGTTGCCCATTGGAGGAGACATCATTCCTTGAGGCATACCTCTAGGAATGGCACCAGGATGAAGATTGGCCATTGTTCCAGGATGCTGCTGCTGATTGAATTCACCTGGAAAAGGGAATCTCTGATGAGAAAAACGAGGCATACCTGGATTAGCAAACCTTGGAGGAGACATACCAGGCACACTGTGTCCAGGGAATGGCATCTGCTGCTGCTGCATGTGCTGTTGGTTGCCAGCAAAGAACTCCCCTTGATTCTTAGGCTTACGCTGCTTCAAGTTTGTTCCAAACTGCTGATGGAATTCATAGAGCATTCGCATCTGATGCTGTTGTGCCTCAATAGTATTGCGTTGCATGTGGGCATCAAAAGGGATAGAATCTATGTGATGCATAAGGTTCATCTGATTCATTTGTGGCATAGATCCAGGATGCATGGAGTTGGGAAGCATGTTCGAGGCTGGGAAGTTTGGAAATTGCATCTCAGTAGCGAAGTTGGAGATGGGCTTACTTTTACTTGGACCTGCAAAGTAAAGAGAATAAAATACTTATAGGTTTCTCAAGGAAATTCAGCTAAAAATGACACATTATAAAAGAGATATTAACAATTTCAGATTGATATTCTACCACTCTAAAAATATAATCGATGCAATTGCACAACTGATTAAGAATAGTAAAATATTTTGAATTTTCAATACACTATTTGCCAATATATCTGGTGATTTCATACTCAGACTCTAATGTCCTATGCTCAACGAACCCCTCCTCTCACCTATACTAGTTGTTTCTCTGAAAACCTTAATATAAAAACTGATATTCACAAATAAATGTTATCTTAAAAACTGGCAAAATGAAGATCATAAAAGAATACATTTCCAATATGAATATTGGTGTTTTATGCATGAATGTTCCATCCATCCTACATGTATCTCTTGACTCACCAGGTTTGTTGGCTGTGACATTATCCTCCACCTTTGTAGTCTCCACACTGTCGAGCCAGGTTGCCATGGCAACCACTTTCCTTTTGTGATTGCACAGATTAGTGAGGCCATTGTCGTTACTGGCCTCCTGGGCTGTGCGTGGCTTGCAAAACACCCTTGGGTCAAAGTTGAAGACTTTGTCAAGGATGATCGGGCACTCAAGGCCACACTTGCAGGTGCCATCTGAGCTCAGGTAGGTCTGCACGGCCTCCGTCGACTGCAAGAGCTGTCCACTGGGGCTGTAAAGAAAAATTAAGATGAGACATGACTCTTCTACAGAAAACAAAAAATCCATTTTTTAAATACTATTTTAGCGTATATCAAGAGCAGTAAATATATTTCATAGAGCTTCAAACAGATTTACTTAAGGAAAAACTAAAAAGGCAATTCATCAAAACTTTAAAAATATTCAAGCAAAATGTGACAATATTTGTAATATTTATATGCACACAGCAAGTTTATGAAATATATGTACATTGCAATATATACATGTATGCATATACAACAAGTTATGAAATAGTAATGAATTCTCATTAGAAAATAGAAATTTATAAAATATTTACTTTTTGGAGGATAATCATTAGGTATAAATCAGGCATTGAATCTACTTCTAGCAATTTGTAATATCTATACTGATGCAACAGTAACCGACATCTTTGCTCACAACCTCACTCACTCACCTCATGTATACTACTTTCTCCTTGACAATGGCCCTCTTCCATCCTACAGGCACCACTGTCGGCTCCATCTCGCCAAAGCTAAATTGCCCAAATTAAATCACACAACCCGAGGTGTACTCTGAAAACATTTCCTCCTGTCCACACCCTTCGAGCAATCGATGAGCCACAGGGCGCTCAGCCTTGTGGCTTTCCTTGGTGATAGTACAAAGCACAGTAAGGAGATAGTCTGTACCCATTGCTAATGGTATGGAGAACTGATGATCCCAAGGGCTTCACTAATTCATCTCAGTTTGTAAAGTTTACACAGATTTCATGGAATACCTGGTTGGTTGTAAAAAGAAAGAAGAAAAGAAAATGGGACAGATTCAATCAAATAGCAACAAATATTTGTAAATACTCTGACATGCTACATATACTATAATTGGTATTATATTATTATTCAAATCAATCATTCACTCACTCATTCAATTCACTCATTCATTCATTCATTTAATTCACTCATTTATTCATTCAATATTTCAATTCACTCATTTAGTCATTCATTTATTCATTCATTCATTCATTCATTCACCCACTCCCTCGTTCAATTTACTCATTCACTCATGCATTCATCCATTAATACCACTCAAGGATCACTAGTTATCAACTACAATGTATGTACATTGGTACTTTTCAAATTTCCTTTTCTCTTCTTCAGTTCTGGTCTTTTCTCTCTATTCTTATTTCACTCCCATTCCTCTCTCTCAGCTCTATGTCTGTCTGTCTGTCTGTCTGTCTCTCTCTCTCTCTCTTTGCTCTCTCTCTGCCTCTCTTCTTCCTCCTCTGTTTCTCTCTCTCACTTTCTGTCTCTCCTTCCTCCTCTCCACCTCTTTCTCTTCTGATGATGTTTTACAGTACAACATTCTTTAATTATCTGCTATTCTTACTGTGACCAATAATACCCAAGGAATTCCATTGTTCATGTGCATTTTTTTAATACGTTATACTGTACTCATATCACACTTGTGATTAGCACACTGACAAGCCTCCAATTTTAATACTTTTTAATACTTTTTAATACCTTCTGAATGGAATTTGTATTGCATTTTATCACAATTTTCCAATGTTACAGTTAATTGAACTCACAATTTATCTGTAAACATTTTACTTGTTCATTTTTGGCTAGCAATATTTCATATCTTTTTTTTCTTCGTTGTTGTTGTTGTTGTTGTTGTTGTTGTTGTTGTTGTCACTACTTTAATGTTTTGATTTAAACATTTATTCATTGTTATATATTTGTTCTCATTTGCTATGTTATCTTTATATATACACTATACAGTGTATGTACATATGTTTTTGAATGCTTTTTATATGATTGTATGTTTGATGTAAACTTGCATTTTTAGTCTGTGGACTTTTTGACAAGTCATGAATAAAACCTTATTTGAATCTTGAGAATGTAAGTTACACTTTTGTTTAATCTCTGAAGTCTAGTCTAGACTCTAAAGTCTTAGCCTACATTGTGAATGTCCAACTGATAACACAGCTTTTGAAGTAGCAGTACATACATTTACATGTACATGTTTGTGTAGTGTAAGCTCTACAAAATAACGATTTGTTGTTGTTGTTGCTATTTCTGTATAAAAAATTCTGCTTTTAACAGGAATGAATGGAATAAACTGAAAAGTGATTCATGTTCAGTTTAAATTTTACGTGGAGGTGGATGAATGAAAATTGCTGACTATAAACCAATATTCCTGTTCTTGCGTTGGCTTGCGATTATAATTCCATCATATCTCTGTTAAAACTTAACATATAGTTTGTACATGTGCGCCTATATTTACAAACTGATAAAAGATATAGGAGGTAGATAAATGTTATTTTAAGAGATAGTAATCTTACCAATTTAATTATTACAACACAACATTAGAAGAGTTATTCTTTGTAGTGAAAATCCAAACAAACTTCTTGAAGAAGATTTATTTAACATAACAAAAACAGGAATCCGTCAGTCAGTGCTTTTGAAATTGAACAGAACACATCATTTTGCATATTACGTTTATCTTCACTCTAGAATCCAGATTAACTTATTCACAAAACCATGATTCACAAACCACCGTTTCACAAAACCATGATAAGCAACAACTTCATGACTTCGATACTATCGGCTAAAAAATATATAATCTTTGTTACTAATATTCATCAGATTTTATCGTGAATTACCAAAAGAAATGTGAGGCTCAATTTCACTCAAACTGTTTGTACAGTATGAATCAAATTCTAAGAGAGTGGTAGCACAAATGAAGCAAACATCCAATATGGATGAAAATATTTTTTACTAATGTCGTAATGACATCTAAGAATTTATAAAATTGAGGAAAATCATGGTAGCTTTTGCGACGAGCAAATCAAAATTTGCATGTAAAAGTAAGAGAATACCATAATCCAGTCAAAAGAAGACCCTGATTTATTTTCTATTGAAGAAAATAAATTAATGAATGGACTTCCGACTTCACAGACTCAAAGATTTGGACAGGAAAACTGTTGTTCGTTGGTCCGTTGGTGATGTTTATTTTGTCCTATTGTAAGATGAATCTCCAATATGGTTATGAGAGACAGAGTCTCAAGTGGGAAGCGTCTCTCGTTTTGGCTGTACCTCTACTCACTGCTGCCCATTTACGCGACTCAGCCTCAGGGCCCAGGGTCACACAAATGGTGGCTACCGTAGATGGTAAATCTCATCACTTCGGATTGATTCATAGTCCGCATGAGTAGAATGAGGGTTCCATTATAAATCATTAATTTCACAATAATGTATGTCACTTAATCATACATAATCTTCACAGAGTCAGACACAACTCCACTCTCCAGCTGCACTAGTAACAGTATTAAAGTCACTATCACATAACACATAACACTACAGCACAGGCACACTCACCATCAACATTGCAACAACTTGAGTTGAAGAAGGACAAGGTCCCAGCTCAGACTCCCACACAGGCGACAACTGCAATTAATGCAAATAACTTCGCCTGTATTCATTGATTACAACTAAAAAAATGAAATTAAAACCTTCTCACTTACCATCTAAACATGATATCTCATAAAACCCTCCTTTTGTAATGCTTTGCCACACATCTACATGAGATTACAGCCGGGCTCGCGAGCTCTAAAGAACGTGTATACATGTACTGTATGCATGCATGTACCGTACTATTGTACTGGCTATAGTAGTGCATGCAGTGCAGTGCAGTGTTGTGTGCGAGTTTCAGGTTGAGCTAGTCTCAGTTCGCAGCTGGTTCAATCACTGAAACATCTCGCCCAACACAAATTCAAACAAATATTAATAGGTACGCAACTGTCTTCTTTTTTTCGAATGATATTTATTAAAAATATATAGGATCACAAAAGCACTAAAACAAACAACGAATATAAAGGTCACATACAGAAATACTTGATAATGTTGTAACATTAGGTCAACAAAACTTAACTTTTCTAATTTTGATTCTTCATAATTAAAAAAAAAATCTTACTCATATTAGTATGCATCTCAAAGAAGCCAAAAATATATGAACAAATTGATACAATAATGACGAAAAATACAGCAATGCAATATGTGCCTAAAACAAATTTCTTTCCTACATGTTTCTTACTCCGCCCCCGGCCGGTTCCCCCCCCCCCCAGGAAGCCTTGCAGAAGACCAGTGCCAAAAAAGCACTCCAATGCAGTGCCCTTAACAAAAGGGTGACTGAAAAGCGAGCTCTTCATTCCATTTTTAAGCGTCCAACTGCTTGCATGACTGCTAAAACAAAGAGTTGCAACTCAACTGCTCCATGCTCAGTGAACCAGAATTATTTTATTCGTTAAAAGTGCGGCTTTAAATTAACTTTGAATAATAAACTCTTTGGAAATTAATGCATGACAGGAAGACCATCACGATTTACATTATTATGAGTGACTGTACATTACAGACTGAGTTAATCAGACTTATGTATTTCCCAGTATATAGCCAAGGTGGCGGAGAGCAAAGCCAGAAGGAGTTTTAGTGGAGGGCTTCCCCTTTCTGCGCCCCCCCCCCCAAACAAAAAAATTTAATACATTGAATCCCGGAACAGCCCCCGCCCCCCCCCCTCCTCCCTCCTCTGAAGCCTGATAATAATGCCTGATCCCAACAAATTTATAATGCCCTCAGATGCATGGCCCACAGTAGGCCTATCTTTGCTTACCAGTAGCCTAGCTGACTGCACTCTTTTCAGGGGCGGCAATAAATCATTGTGAATGGGGTACGTACGTCTTATAACTGGCCTGTCGCTGCATATGTAGTCTAAAAATAAGAACTTTGGGAGTATTCCTTAAAACCCTTTAATGCTGACAGCTTTAGGGTCTCACCGGCACCCTCCATCTTTGTCTATGAAAGCCTCTGGCTTCCTTGGCCCTGCAGAGAATGCTTATAATTATGTTATAATCTAAAGCTTCTTCATAGCCCCCCCCCCCCGGCGCCCCCCCCCCCCCCCACCCCCTACAACAACAACGAAAATAAAAATAGTAAATAAAAAAATAGATAAATAAATTAAAACAAATTGCCACAGTACTGTCTACATATCTAAATTACCTAATGAAAATAAATCTCTCCATTTCATTATTGTTAAGGCATCCAAACTTTGAAAACTTTAGGAGACTTACTTTCCCTGGCCGTGTTATTCAGTCCCCGGGTACGAACTGGTATGTTTTCTGAAAATCGTGTTGGTCGAGGAAAGTTTTGGTCAGCGGGGCGAATTGTTTGTTCACGATGGGGTTCTACTGTCAGCGGCATAGTTATGAAACTGAGGTAGGTAAATTACATTTTTTTTCAATCAGGCTTGCAATTTTGTATTGCATGTTGTCTAGCATAGTCATTGTACTATATATATCTACGGAATAAATGTTTATTTTGATGGAAAAATGTGTGGGTGTCTCTACTACATGATGATATTGCTACGACATTGACATGTCATGGTTGAGGGGAGGCAACTCCTCCGCGAAGCTCCCCCGACTCCTGTGGCGCGATCGACGGAGCTAGCTAGCTAGCTAGCTCAGTTCAGCAACTCACGTAAGCGACCGTGGTGGTAAAAGGCGTAGTCTAATCTCTAAGACTCTAATCACACTGGTCCCACTCTCCTTAAGTAAGATTCTGTCCTCACTCACTTCTAAGTTCCTAGACCGATCCACTGAATCGGTCCAGATGTACGCTTTGTTTATGTTCACACTCAAGAGCTAGACCACTCTTATTGCTATGGTATAGCACGAACGAGCTAGACCACTCCTGTTAGTGTTGCTGGGGTAGAAAAGGTCAGCGGGTCAAATTTTTCGCATGGAATATAAAACTGAATAGAGTGCCTCAATTTTTGCTATATATTTCTATAATTTTCTTTTTCTTTCTATGTTTTTTCTTTGTTTATATTTCTATCATTTATTTATTTCTATTTTTTGTCATGTTATTCTTTGTTTTTCTTCAATCGTTTTCTTTTCTGTTTTTCTTATGTTATTCTTTATTTTGCCATCTTTCATCTTCTCTTCTATCTTTCATTATCTATTCTTTATCATTTTCTCTTTCCGTCTTTGGTTTTCCTTCTTTCATTTCTTATGTTATTCCTTGTTTATTAATCTATCATTTATTTATTTCTGTCTTTCGTCACGTTATGCTTTGTTTTGCCATCTTTCATCTCCTCTTTTATCTTTCCAATCTATTCTTTATTACTCTCTGTATTTCCTTATGTTATATTTCTTCTATCATCTCTTATGTTATTGTTTGTTGTTATCATTCTATCATTTTTTCTTTCTATCTTTCCTAATGTTATTCTTTGTTTCTTTCTTCTTTCACCTTCTCTTATGTAATTCTTTGTTTGTATTATTCTATTAGTTCCTCTTCCTATCTTTCCTCACACTATCCTGTTTTTTCCTTCTATCACCTTTTCTTATGTTATTCTTTTTTTATCATTCTATCACTTTATTTTTCTGTAATCCTTATGTTAATCTTCTTTTCTTTCTTTTAGCACCCTATCTTATGTTATTGTCTGTTTACCTTGTATCACATTCTCTTATGTTATTCATTGTTTTTATTCTATTATTTCTCTTCCTATCTTTCCTTACGCTATCCTTTTTTTCTTCCTTCTATCAACTTCTCTTATGTTATTCATTGTTTTTAACATTCTATCACTTTCTCTTTCTGTCTTTCCTTACATTATTCTTTGTTTCTTTCTTCTATCACCTTTTCTTATGTTATTCTTTGTTTTGATCCTTCTATCATTTTCTTCCTACCATTCCTTATGTTATTCTCTGTTTTTCCTTCTGTCACCTTCTCTGATTATATTCATTGTTTTTAATATTCTATTATTTTCTCTTCTTATCTTCCCTTACGCTATCCTTTGTTTCTTCATTCTCCACTCCCCACCCCTATCTCTGTTGGCAAATTTGACAATTTACTTTAAGATGAAAATAACAGATCTTTCATTTGCTCTAATATCTTCTTAAAAATCTTGCATGTGTTTCTTTGTATGAGCCCAAGTAACAAAAATGAAGTGTTTCTCATCCCCGCCCACCCCTTTTTTGTTACTATTTAGTATTCAGAAGCAAAAAGAAGCCTGTGAAATAAATTTTGTTTAAATAACTTCTTAAGTGATACAAATCATTTGTTTTGTCATAAATTTCATCAGTATACTCACATATCTGTGAATAAATAGGCTTGGCCAGCTATAATTAGCATGGCAGCCATCTTGGAAAAAAATAAAAAAAATAGTACCGTAAATACATTTAGGAATGCCCTGCCTCCTCCTTCTTTTAAAAGTTCAGATGAGAAACACATTATTTTTGTTATTTGGCCTAAATTATAAGTTCACCTTTCAAATATGAGAAGCAATTGGTAGATCTATTCAAGATATAGACTTGTTTATATATTTTTCCTGAGTATGTTGTCAGTTTATTTCAGTTATCTTTGTTAAAAGTATTACTTCTAAATCAAGTTTCAATGAAATGCCACTACAACTATCATTGACAAATTGCTCAGTTTGCCTACCATATTTAAGTGTAAGAATGTAAAACATGATACCAGTACCGGTTTAACATATACTGGGATCTAATGAGAATACATTGCTTTCCCTTTTCCTCAGCTCACTACTAAAGTGGTGTCATGCACTCAAGCACAAGTGAAGTTGGAAGTCAATGGACGTAAGCAGAATGTCAAGGGATTTGAACTCATTTTGGAAGACACAGTTCTGTTCCCAGAAGGAGGGGGACAGGTAATTTATTTAAATTGTGAATTTACCATGAAATTGACAAAAAAAGACGATGCTTTTGATTAAGGCAGATTCTCAAAAAGAGAAAAGAAAAATCACATGATATATTCATTTGTAACAAGTTGCTTCTACAAAAATGATTGTTGTTTATTTTATTGGAAGAGAATGTTATTTCCTTTTTTGTTGTCTTCCTTGTTTTGCATTTATTAGATACTTCTTTCAGATCTTGCTATTTATAACACATTGCACTAATTTTGCACCACACATATATTTTAAGTGTTATCCTTTATTTTCTTCATACTCCTTAACCATGGTCCATAGAATGTTAGGTAATTTTGTTGTGGTTCTAGCTATATACAATTTTTTTTCACTGCCAGGTGATTGATACACTTGTTCCTATAAGGACAAAATATCTCTTATGATTGAGTACACTTTAGACATTATGAAATACAGTGTGACTTTTAATGCTAAGGCCTGATATTGAAGTGTATAACATTTGGTGGAAATACCAATGATCATATTTTGTATATCTCTTTCTCTCCTCAAATCTATCTATCTATCCGCACATCCAGCCTGATGACAGAGGAACTGTAAGTTGAGTTTATCAAGTGTTTGAGAATTCTAAATGTTCCAGTTTCGTTTTTAAATACCTATTCATTTAAGCAGTCACATTCATATTTGATGTTGTCAATGATAGATTTTATCAAAAACATGTTGGTGTAAAATGTATGTAACAACTTTCCTCCAATGACTTATTGTTTGAAATAATTGTTTTGGATTGTTGTTTGTTTTAAGCGAAGAGATGTATGCATAATTTTGAGTCTTCCTGTTTTTAATTGATGGAAAGGGCACTTTTATGAAGCTTATAGTTTGTTCGGATGGCTTGATGTGAAAAGGAATTTTGTTGAAAACTGGAGAGTTGAAAGGATTGTCAATAGCCTGATTTTGTTAAAAGAAGGAATATAAATTTGTAACGAAATATTCAGATGATTTTTGCAATTCAGTTTACTACGGTAGAAAATATATGATTTATCAATAGATTTTCTTGATTCAAGTGTTATTTTGAGCAAAGGTATACTATACGGATCATTGACTATTAAACATTACTTAAGGTATAGGCATAGGTAACTCCACCCCCCCCCTTTTTTTTTACCCAAACCTATAACCTTCTGTGTGTTCTTGATGCTATATCTTTGTCTTTAGATAAACAATGTAGAGGTTCTAAGAATAACCAGGAAAGGTGCTGATGCTATTCACTTTGTGACATCATCTTTAGAACCAGGGTCAGAGGTCACGCAGAAAGTTGATTGGAAGAGGAGGTTTGATCACATGCAACAGCATTCAGGTATTCAAATTGTATTGCATATTTTACTTTTATGCCTTTGCACTCCAATATGCAGAAGGCATTGGTATTTTTTCTTCATCTTTTATATTTCCAAAATCTTGGAGCTGCTTCCCAATTAACTGATTGAAAGATGAACAAAGTAATGTAGGAGTCAAGACGTGAGCAGTCATTGGTTAAACTGGTAACAAATATAGAGTCATCATTTTTGGGTTGAGGTGATTTTGCTTGAGATTTAGTCCAATTATACGGGTGCTTAATTTAGATAATGTCTCATAGATGTTTGTATTTCATGTAAATCTAGATATTCTTTCAGTAGCCTTGGAATGCATGGTATAGATGTGTTGCCACAGGTTAGATTTTCCCTCGTCTATCCCTTGAATCCCTTGAATACTAAAGCCGTCTCCAGCTGCCAAGCTTCCAGGTCTAACTTCAGGGGGGGGGGGGGGATGTCCCAGCTTCCGGATCTTGCACCACGGTCATTTTACATCTGTATCTTGCTTGCTGGGTCATATCAGGAATGTCATAATTGGAGTGTCTACTGGGAGAAGGGTGAATTATACTGCTCCTTCTTCCAGTGTTTGTCAACTCTGGCTTTAAAGCTGTTTACCGAGGTTGCATATACTACCGACTCAGGGAGGGAGTTTTGTGACAAACGATCATTTGAAAAGTGTAGGATTTCAGCCACATCCATCTCATTCTTAGTCTTAAACCTATTGAGGTGTTAACCATATGGACTATTTCTGAAGTAGAAAACTTACATAGTTTAAAATATTCTTTCCGTTGGTATATATTCTCCAACAAAATTAAAGGTCAGCATCTTGTCACCGCCATTGCTGATGATAAATATGGCTGGAAGACAACATCATGGTAAGTCCATAATCTTTAAAATAAAAAAAATACATGTAATATGTCACCATGGGTTTCCTGAGCAGTGATAGAGAAAGAGTGTTATGAGACTGGGATTTTCATGTCTCAGTCTAAAATCTTGACTCCCTACATCCTAATAATAGATGAATATAACAAAAGTCTCTTTTTTTCTGTCTCAGAATCCCAGAACTTGCACACAATACTTCTAATCAGTCTTTCTTGTTTCCAAGAAGAGATCAAATCACAAGGATTAATGTCTGTAATTTGGAAGAGTGCATGGTGTAGTTACTGATATGTGCCTTGAAATCCATATTTTATCTCAAGTACATCAAATTTGCTTATGTCATAGGGATCTTGGAAGAGAGAAGTCTTTTATCGAATTGGACACACCCAAGATTTCTCAGGAACAACTTGAAGAGCTTGAGAAAGATACCAATGATGCAATCAGAAAGTGTATTCCAATGACTCCCAGATTAGTAGAGCTGGGTTCTAAAGAGTTACAAGAGGTAATATTTGAAGGATACAAAAAAAAAAGTGGGTAATTAGAACTTTGTTGTCTAAGAAGTTGTTAAGATTAATGATAATAAACTATACATTCCATGTGAGAAGTCTTTAAACATATACTTTTAAAAGGCATGTAGAAATTTTCACAAGTTGTAATTGACAGCCACCAATTTTGTAGATTTCAAAAGTTCAGTGTTACGTCAATCATAGCTCAATTATTTTGCAGCCAGAAAATGTTATGAATCCTAGCTATTTGTAAAATTTGTGAAACTTCATACATGTAAACAATTCTGGTTTTACAGAATTCAATCAACACTCCTTAATGTAGTCTTCATCCTTTTTTATATGCATGGGTTGCACTATCTAATGATATTATTATCAATTTAAAGACAAGTTAAGTTACCATTGAATGTGTTTGGCTGTAGAACTTTTACGATGTGGCTATCATATTGTTGTAGGTTCGTACCAGAGGATTACCCGATGATCATGTGGGACTCGTTCGGATTGTGGAGATTGAAGGTATAGAAGCCAACTTGTGCTGTGGAACTCATGTTTCTAATCTTAGTCACCTCCAGGTAAATACATGTTTTGTTTATATTTGTCTTCTTATTTGTTTGTTTGTTGTTTGTTTTTGAGTGTGTGTGTTGGTGTTTTTTGCAAAAAAATGTTTTAGTATCACTTTTTACAACACTCGAGAAGATTTAGACAATATGACTTAAAAGGAATTATAAGAAATGTTATGAAAATATAGTTGATAATTATTGAATTATTGAACAAAGTTTGGTTTCAACTTGGTATCTATGACAAATCATATTTGTTGTGTATATTCTAATTATATAACCATAAAATAAACAGGGTTCGTTCTTCAAAGTAAAAGTTAAGGAGTGGTCGAAAATCTCACTGATTGCTTAGTTTGTAATCTACCCTTTCACAATGACTTATGTCAAACAGGCTATTAAACTCCTTGGTGCTGAGAAGGGAAAGAAAGGCAAAACAAATCTCTATTTTCTGGCTGGCAATAGAGTCCTCTCCTACCTTGGGAAGTGTTATAACAACGAGAAGGCCCTCAACTTATCACTCAAGTAGGCAAACTCCTCTCTGCTTTATCCAAATCTGCATGAATGCTGTTAAAAGAATGTTTATTTTGTTATAGAATGAAACAGGTGCAGAATTTATCGAGAAAAATGCTCTTAAAGTGTTGCAGTTCTTCAGTTAAAGATTCTTTTTGATTTTATTCAATTAGCCTGAAAAGTGACCCTTTCATATTGGTGCCATATGTTCTATACTATAAAAAAGCATGAACTATCAAACTAGAGCATGAAACAGCACCTAATATCAGGTATAAATCTAAAATTTTCTATCCCTGGAAAAGCATTCTGGAAACTGCTTTTAAACTTTGTGCATTCTGAAAGAGATTTGAAAAGCCATGATGCTATTTACTTTATTTATTGTACTCTTTATTTCATTAACTTGTTGCTTTATAACTTCTTATTGCAGGTGTGGTCCTGATGAGCATGTACAACAAGTTGACAAAATACAGAAGTCATTAAAGACAGCAAATAAGGTAATTATATAAACTTATTTACCCTCAGTCTACAACTTCAATTGTTCACTAGATTTGAACTTAATATCAGCTCTGTATTTTTTAGGCTGTAAAAGCCATAACATGGTGAACAAATATGAATCTTTTTCATCTAGAAGTTATCATGGCCATAATGAAGAGTGAACCTATCACAAAAGTCTGGGCTAAAAAGTTCTTCTGAAATCCTAAGTACTATGGTTATTTCATCATAGATGAATCATATTGTATCTAGAGAAATTTACTTTAATCATGAAAGACCATCAAGGAAGTAAAACCTTCAACCCATGGCATTGGAAAATGAATATAATGTAAATGATGATGATGTGCAGGCAGTTAACATTTTATTGTTGTCGTTGTTGTTGTGTTCATACACTTCTGCATTTTTAGTATACCAATTTACCATAATATGAGGCTGTTTACTGTACCCTCTATCAAATGAGAGATTAGTACCTGTAGGCATTGTCTATCATATCTGATGATTTTATCAAAATATTTTCATTCTATCAGACATCGCTGACTGTATTGAGGGAGCTCGCAGTACTAGAAGCCAGACATTACAAACTGAATCCTAACAGAGATCCATTATTATCCATTCATCGGAAAGAGGGTGATTCAGAGTACATGATCATTGTGGCCAATGAAGTTGGACCTGAGGTAAGCAAATTTACTCTCTCTGACAATTTCTAATAAATGTATTTTTCAGCATGGTATTACAGGCATGAAATACAGGAGTTAAATAATTATAGCATGTGTAAGTATTCAGACACTAATAGAAATGGTCATGATAGTATGCAGATATGCATATATGATAAGAATACACAAGAGTTAAATTTCATATGAACTATATCTTATTTCATATTTTTGTATTCAGAACCTCTTAAAATTTGACTGAACTATAAATAATGAAGAAATGTTTTATCGGTTCTGGATGAAAATGTTTTGATAGCAGTTACCCACTTTTGTCAAAGTTGATGGTTTTGGATTGAATCCCACCGCTGCCACCATGCAATTCAGGAGATGAGACGCTAGCCTAGTATAACTTACTTATAGCCTTTTATTTTGAAACAAATTGAAGAACCAGAGCGGTAGAGTGCTACAATTGACAAGGAGACGCCACAAGGTGGCATTAAAGCTCAACAAATAAAACAAAGCTTAAGAATAGCATAACACTATGGCATATGTTGAAGTTGAATCAAAAGATGCATTTTTATATACCGGTATATATTTATTTTTTTACTTTTTTTTTTCTTTAATAAAATCATCTTTATTCAATATTGCTTTCGACTTTGCAAAACATATATGAATATACATACATAATATAACCAATAGAATCAACAACAAGAATACAGCTGATTTTTCAAGAGATGGTGGTACATTTTTTAAGTATATTTTTTTTAAAGCAACACAATGTTTTTCCACCTATTATCAAATGATACAAATTTTTTATTTTTAACACAAGGGTTCAATTTCATCTGAACTATATTCTATCTTATCAAAATAACATTTTGTAGAATGATATAACTGTGCTTACTAGCGTTTCCGTCACTATGCATTTCCCTTGTACCCTAGAATGCACTCATGCTGCTGTCAACAGGGGAGGAGAATGGAGCTGGTCTCTTTCTAGTAGCTGGACCTACAGACATAGTTGAAGAAGCAGGACCAAGGTATAACAACTATATATTCAGCAATACATCTGAACTTGCATGATTTAAGCTGTCTATCAGTCTCACTTATTTCATTGTTGTAATTACGAATTACAGGCATCCATGTTTGGAAAGTATTTTACTTAATGTACATCATGAAAAAGATCTTTCTTTTAAAATTGTATGCACTATAACTAAAACCAACTCAGTTAAAAATCAACACAACATACGTTACAGTATTAAAGGCTGTAATTATTTGCAGAATTACAAATTCATTCATATTCATATTCATATTCATATTTATTTCATTTCCAACAGAAAGGTAAACAAAGATATTACATTTGATTTCATACATAATTCATTTTTTCAAGAAACTATACAAATAAACTTTGCACATAATAAAATTATTACAAGAATTTCTTAATTTCTTAAGTGGGGGGATCCACTCATTCAGCAGGTCATAACTATAAAAAACTTCTCTTGATTGTGATAGTAGGAAAAGTGGAATGTATTTTTGTTTTAATCCATGTTCTGTCTTATTAATCTTTCTCCAGAGTTGCATCATTACTGGAAGGCAAGGGAGCATGTAAGAATGGCCGATACCAGGGAAAGGCTACCAAGCTTTCTAAGAGATCAGAAGCGGAAAAGCTTCTACGAGATTTCACACACAAGCTGAACTTGAACAGCTGAGACAGGATGAGATTATAGAGGGCAAGGAATATTGCAGCTGATCGTATTCACCAGTCTGAAAGCGCAAACTCTAATTTAATAATGATTTTAATGATATTTTTGTTGTATTTACCTATTGTAGTCCTGTCATTATTAATACTTATATTGATATTGATATTTATAAGGGCCCTGCAACTGTTATTACCTGAATGTTGTCAGACACCCATTTTATACACCTGGGTAAAAATCTAAACAGGCTTACTGTACATAACAATCTTTTTCCTCTGAAACGGATTAAATATGAGATGCCCCCTTATAAGCTATTGACAGGTAGCCCTTATAGAGAGGTGGTCTTGATGATAGATTTTACAGTAGATCATGTATTGAGTAAGTTTTAACCATGCTACTATACCTGTAGAGGAGCAGATACTGTGCAGGACACATTTGATTTATTTTACATCTTGGCTAGAAGTTCAGCACCGTTACAATGGATAGTTCTGATGGTATGACCAATGAGAGTGTTTGCTGGACAAGTATATGTACATAACCACCATCAAATGATCTTTTGATTGCATTAAGTCTTTCATTATCACTTATCATGCCTGGGACTATACTTCCAAGCCATAGAGGATATTAATCAACCTGGCTAAAAAGATGTGTGTGCTTGTTTGTACTATGTAAATAGAATCATAGTTGATTCGGTTTATTTTCAGTTGAAAGTCAATTAAGGCAAAAATATGTCCTATTCTGGTTACATTCATTTTGAAATGAAGTTAAACAACTCTATTCCATTACCGGTAAGTTTCCATATCATTCTCCTAATGCTGATGTTTAAATGGTGATATGGTTTGTCACATTATTTTGATATATTTTTTGAGATGGAAAATCACAAATGACTCCTATAAACTGACAACACTGAACTTCCTTTTTTTTTCTTCTTCAAACATGATATCAGTAAGTAGATTAGAGAAATGAACTGAGGATAACTTTAACTATCAAGAATGTTACCAGTAAGCTAAAAGTCTAGAATTCACTGATGATAGATGGTTAGTATATTTATAACCACACTTTTCATGTCTGATAGACGTGGTGCGGTTGTCATCCTTAAGTAACAGTCATATGACTGTAAGGACAAAGTTGAGTACCAATGACAATGGTGCAGTAGATGTACAAAAAGGATTTTTTTTTTTCCTCACATTTTTTTAGTTTGAGTTGTGTAATTAGAAGGTATGATACAGGATATGTGTAACTATGGATATCATTGCAAAAACATGCTTAATTGTGTAGCTTCCAATCTCCAAGAATTTCCTGGTCTGACATGAAACTTTATTTGTGTACTGATTATGTTATATATTAATTTCACTCATGGGATATTGAATTTATTAAGATGCTATTATACATTGATGTCATGCCTCAATTTGAAATGCTTTATCATTGTCAAATTATATTCGATAAATAAAACACGGCAAAACAAAAATTGAATATTTTCTTGTGCGATACTTGCATCAATAATATTGCATCGATATAGCATTCATGTCATTAAAACTCAGCATTTGTTGCAGGAGTATTGATAACATTTGAATGAGTTTGTGAGTTTGTGAGAATCTTAGAATTATGAAATCTGTGGTAGGTACTAAAATTTAAACAAACTTTGCTGAATTTCATTATTTATTTTTTTAAAGATATTTTATATGATTTTCTCTCAAATCAGATACATATTGTACAAATCATTTTAACAAAACTGGATACATTGTACATTGATATTTTGGATTAAACATAAATTGCAATAATAAAAAGAAAATAAAATTACATTTTCATAGACTGTTTAGAAACATTTCATATATGATCAAGAATATTAAAGTAAACTTGAGAGAAATTTTTGTCTATTCTCCCATTCCCTTCCCCCCACCATGCGACACACGACACACAGACACACACCACCGGACCACACTTCTACACACATACCACGCACTGTTCCTAGCCTCAGAGTACCTCAAATTGGAGCGACAGAATAATGGAAATAATCTATTTTTTAAAAATTGAATAAGTAATTAAAACGAGGCTACAATAACCCAGTGTTAAAATTTCATGAAAATTTCACTTATTCCCACTTTCGTAAATGTACGGCTTATTTACCTGCCCTCCCTGCAATATTTGTTTCTTTTTCCCTAAATTCAAACAGTTCTTTTAGAAAATCACCCAAAGACAATATTACAGACTTTCCCCTGCATCTATATATCCAATATTTCATTGCAAAAATAATTGTATTAAATATCTTTATTCGTGGGGAATTACCGGAAAACCCTTAATGGATACCCACCCAGCTCAAACTTGGCTATTACATTCTGCCATAACCTTTGAACATGTAAACACTCCCGGAACAAGTGTAAATATGTTTCAATCTTTTGCTTACAAAATGAGCACAAGTTATCTTCAACAAAGCCGAATCTCAGTAAGTGTTCTCTAGTATATATTGCTTCATGAAGCAGTTTACATTGAATTTCTCTTAGTCTGTTAACAAGAGTAGCTTTCCTAGGCCTACTAAATATCTCCCTATATACCTCATTTGAAAAATCTTCAAAATAAATAAATTTTGTAACTTCTCTATATAAATATTCATAAACCTTCCTCGATAATAAATCTTTGAGGAGCTTCATAGTACCGTTAAACTGCTTTAAAATATCATACTCTTTTACATCCACTAAACTTTTTGCTTGTTTACACCCAACACACACACTCACACACACGCACACACACTCACACACACATGCACATCACATTTGATATTCTACTGTTTTGACTTGCTTATTTTGTTTCCAGTAGGATTTGAGAGGTAACTTGTATGAACATACAAACATAAATATATACATGTAAAACTGTAACCCCAAAATAGGCATTTGAGCCCGCCCCCCCCCCCCCCCAACTCCGAGAACGGACGGACCCCATGCGTGTTGCCAAAATGTCCTTTTCGTAACAAAAGAAAAAGGTCGACCCGTATTGACTTTACACACCGGACTTTTGCTGAAAAGGGGGGGGGGGGGGGGTGCTGTAAAAGGCTCGTATACAAAAGAAAAAGGTCGAGCCGTATTGACTTTACACACCAGACTTTTGCTGAAAGGGGGGGGGGGGGGGTCGGTTGGAACACGCCGTCGTGTGCCCGGCAGAAGGGCGTAAGCGCATGTGCTCACGAAAAACCGCGTTTCGAGAAAATCGCGTTTGAAGAATATGCTCCTCATTGCAGGTGACATTCTTGAAGTAATTACTGTTTAAATGTTTCTAAATTTCACCCGATGATAAAATACTTATTCAAGAATCATCAACCTAAATATGATATGAAATGGTGCAAAACTTTTAAAGATATAAGCACTTTTTCCGTTCACGCCCTTCTGCTGGGAACAAATTTACGCTAAAGCAGTGTTTTTCTTCCCGGCAGAAGGGCGTGAACGGTGTTACGCCCTTCTGCCGGGAAGGAAAACTACACTTTAGCGCAAATTTGTTCCCAGCAGAAGGGCGTGAACGCGCTCGGCGCATAGTCATGCAATGGAGGAAAATTTTGATGAATTAGTATGACCCTCTTAACAACATATATTTGTTCACAAGCTCAATTCTTGCACATTAATGGGTTATATTCTTGCACATTAATGGGTTATATCATTATGTTTGTCGCCCTCTTGAGTCCAAAAATTGAAAAATAGACAAAAGGTGTCTTTCAACTCCTGTGGGGGAGAATGTGATGTAAATCCATTTTGTTTTATTTATTTGTGTCAATGATCAAATGTATATTGGTATACCATTTGTTGGGGGGGGGGCACACCAAGCACTATGTACAATTTCTTCTCAATTCTTTGTATCTCTCTCTCTCTCTCTAGCGATCACTATCTCTCTTTCTCTCTCTCTCTCTCTCTATTTCTCTTTTTCTTTCTCCATTAATCACATCTCATAATCGTTTGTTACCTCTCTTTTGCAGTCACGTGTCTATCTTCTTGTCAATTAGTCTTTATCATTCTAGAACATTACTCTCTCAGACACATTTCTCCCATAAACAAATCTAACTAAATTAGAATAAACGTTGAATAGTACAAAGCAATCAAATTTTAAGATGGACACTTTCGTCATGGTTATGACTGAATTTATTTTTTTGCAATATAACTGGAATCATTTTTTGTACAGTTCATTTTACAATTACATGTAAAATCATTCAAAATTCAGGCCTTAAATTTCAATATTTTTAGGGCATGCAAGGCCACTTTTCTGTAGGGCACATTTCTATATTACAGCACAAATAGGAAGAATTGGAAAGGGCACACAAAATCTCCAAGGCCAATGAGAGGGGCATTGAGGCCAATCAAAGGGGCATCAAAGGCCATAGCCTTGGTGGCCTTGGATTAATTTAAGCCCTGAAAATTGATAAATCATTATCAATGATGTTTGCATATCAAAATTGGAACTTATTTAACTGTAGCACACGTTCATGGCAGAATGCTCTTAAAAGAACTTTTTGTATTCTGCGTTGAACCTGTTCTAGCTCTAAAATGAGCTTTTGTATTCATATTCTACAATCTTTGCTGGATTCTATTCAATGCATAATAATTGGAAATATTTTTTTACAGCTCATGTTCAAAGTACCTATTATTCTAATCCTTCAAAGTAATTAAAATGTTCTTGTTTGCCATTGTACATATAAAAATAAAAGCACTAAAGAAAATGTAGAAATCACAATAAATATGTAGATAGTTTTAAAAACTGTGCAGTAAGTTTACAAAAGAAAAATACTTGAACAATATTTCAGCATTATCAAAGGCCAAAATAAAAAACAAGTACGACAATAAGTGAAACTGTAGCACACGTTCATTGCAAAAAGTACAACAGGGTAGCTCTTAAAAAGAACTTTTTGTATTCTGCAGTTAACGTACTGTGCAGTAAGTTAACAAAAGAGAAAATACTTGAACAATATTTCAGCATTATTAAAGGCAATATAACAAAAGTATGACAATATAAAGTCAAACTGTAGCACACGTTCATGGCAGAAAGTACAACATGGTAGCTCTTCAAAGAACTTTTTGTATTCTGCAGTTAACATGCTGTGCAGTAAGTTAGCAAAAGAGAAAATACTTGAACAATATTTCAGCATTATTAAAGGCAATATTTTAAAAAAGTATTACAATAAGTGACACTGTAGCACACGTTCATGGCAGAAAATACAACATGGTAGCTCTTAAAAGAACTTTTTGTATTTTGCATTTAACGTACTGTGCAGTAAATATGTTAGCAAAAGAGAAAACGGATTGACCAATATTTCAGCATTATCAAAGGCAATATTTTAAAAAAGTATTACAATAAGTAACACTGTAGCACACGTTCATGGCAGAAAGTACAACATGGTAGCTCTTAAAAGAACTTTTTGTATTCTGCATTTAACGTACTGTGCAGTATGTTAGCAAAAGAGAAAATGGATTGACCAATATTTCAGCATTATGAAAGGCAATATTTAAAAAAAGTATTACAATAAGTGAAACTGTAGCACACGCTCACGACAGAAAATACAACATGGTAGCTCTTAAAAGAACTTTTTGTATTCTGTGATGAGCACGTTCTAGCTCTAACGTGAGCTTTTGTTTATTACTGAACATGTATGTAGCTCTGAAAAGAGCTGTTATGTACATTTCTGTACATTTTATAGCTCTGAAAGAGCTTTTGTGTACAAAACCATGAGAACAGATTATATCAGCGCTCTCAAAAAAAGTTTGTGTGTACATCATTGTACATACAGCTCTAAAAAGAGCTTTTGTGTTTAGTATTGGTCACAAACATCCTAACATATAGCCTCCAAGTTCAGAACTCTGAAAAGTCTTGTTAGCTTTCTCTGTTGGCAGCTTTATCGTTTAAATAAAACAATGTTTTGCTTACAACTCAAACAATGACATTTGATCAAGTCAAGTGTCTAAGTCAAAAGCATCAGCTTTCTTTTTTACTTACCTCAAAACCGTCAACATATTACAGGCAGTGAATATAATCCTGTAAATGAAACAGAAGACTGAAAAGTTAGAGTAAAAATCAAGGAAGACAGAATAAAGTGAATTATTCTTCACAATTGCGGTGACCATCTCCATCAGGTAGATCTCTGTAGAAGCTCTGGTAAACACTAGGAATTACATTCATATTGCACAAGTTCACCAGATCAACCTTCTTTGCTGCACTTATCGGAAGCTGTGAATCATAGAGTGCTTCAAGTTGGGAATTCTTCATCCTCCTGCCAGATGCAGAGACCTTCACCTCATGAAACTCCTCATCGAAATCATACTTGAATTTGATGGTAAGAGGAGAACTCTTCTCATACCTCAAGTGCTTCATCTTAGTCCACTGCACTTTATCTCCAGACACATCTCTCTGGGTGTTGTGCAGAATCTCTGCAGCAAGTTTCTTCAAGTCGAAGAACTCACCAAACCTGAGCTGCTTCACATGGTAAGGTTGTTTTGGACGTGCCATGGATGCAACCATAGGCCACTGATCTGGATGGTGTACCTGGACCTTACGTTTGACCTGTTCTATGGTGCTATGAACAGAGTCAACTTCCATCTGAGTGTGTCCCGACTCCAAGAACTTCTGATCTATGACATTGATAGAAGAAGTCCGAACAATATGTAATAATGCAGCAGCAATATACTTATTCTTGTTCTGGCCTGCACATGAATCACTGAAAAGTGAAACATCCGTCACACTTTCAGGTTGAGAGAGAAGATGGTTGATCAGACATGAGCCTATTTCACAGGCACCTCGATTCCCATCAACCTCACTCCACATATAGCAATGTACCTCACTATCTGCCTGACTGTACACTGTCAAGTTGTATGAAGACAACTTACGTTTATAAAATAGTACTGATGTTTGGGCAGATGGGCAGCTGAGAACCTGCTGTAGGTCAAACGTGAAGGCAGCACTGTTTGGGCAAGTCTGGGCCTTCTCTTTGTCACTCTTCTTTTCTTGTCTTGCTCTTTCCTTGTTCTTCAGATGTTGATTAAATGCAACTGCCATTGATTCTTTTTCCTCTGCGTTGCTATTGCTAAAGCAAGAGCAAGTCTTACATTCATCCTTCTTTGGAGGATGAAAGCCTAGATTGAAATTAGTATTAAAGACCCTACGATAAACCTTGATAGATATTGGAATTGGGGTTTGGGAAGCATACATGTCATACATTTTCTGTAGACTCAAGTCAGCAGGCAAATATTGCCTGGAAGTGGATGCACGACAATAATGCGATTCAATGACCTGAAACTGCCTTATGTGATCTCTCACAGCGTTCACGTCATCATTACTTGTTTTGTTTGAAGGTTGGTGTCTACCTCTTCTATCTTTGGCTGAAAATGCCCCATCTCGTTTCTGTAATGTGTAGAGAACAGTCTTCTGAGAAATAGATAGAGTTCTCAGGAAAAACAAGTGACACACATTCTGCTTACCATTATTTGTTGGGAGAAGGTATGTTTTATTTTTTTTCTTGCCTGAACTACCCTGCTTATCAAATACATTCTCACAAATGAAATCTCTTTGGCGCTCAAAAGAGCCACACTGCCAATACTGATCAAAAATTGCCTTTCTCTGAGCAGGGTTGAAATTATCTTTGCACCTAAGTTTACACGAATCCTTACATGGTTCTCCAACCTTACGTGCATCACGTGCCTCTCCATTTCGTGAATGGTAGGGTTGACCATGGATCCGCTTAGTTTTTTGGATGTTTTGCTGCCATTCCTGAGGCTGAGCAACCCTTTTCCTTGCTTTGCTCTTCTGTAAAAACAGTAAAACAAAAGAAACATAGTACTAGTATACTTTAAACACTTAGCATGTATCCTATTTTTACTGTTAATAATTGAATTGACAAAGCTTTCTTTTTAAAATAAATCAGTATATCCTTCAGCTGTATACATATTCAAGTGATTATAATCAGCCTTTCTACATTTTAAAGGTTCTCCGGATTAATTCACTTAGACTTGAAATCTTAATTAAATCTTTGACTTGATGTTTAATACATTCAAATAAATAACTTTCCCAATAGTGATATCTAATGGGCAAATCAATTTGAATACCAGTACATTTTTTGTTAGAACAAAATTTCTTTTGAACCCTGTTACCATAGTTTGCCTTTAAAATTAAATCAATAAAAATAAAAATAAATAATTGAAACTAAAGGAACTTCGACTGCGCGCAGTCGAAAATGATGCCTCCGCCATAGTGCGATTTCACAAACCAAAACAGAAGCAATTTTTCAAATTCAAGTTGAATTGTAATCAATTAACAGGTTCTCAGAATATGGTGATTACAAGCTATTTTTCATACACATGTATGACGCTTTGAATTTTGACCTCATGACCCTAAAATCTAATCAGTTCATTGGCTCTGCCAGATACATACAAGGTTCAAGTTTGGCAGGATCGAATTCATTCGTCGATTCTTGAGATAACGCGATCACGAGAACGGGTCCTACGGACGTGACGTACGGAAGGGACGTACGTACGGACGGACGGACAACCCAAAAACATAATGCCTCCGGCTACTTCGTAACGGAGGCATAAAAACATATCATAACTCCATGAAATCTGCCATCTCTAATAAATTATATGAATGAAAGGTAATACTACAGCATTTTTAATGTGCCATCGATCTAGTAAACTATTCTGAGGTGCAGAGAGAGATTATTACCCTGGCTTTAGCACTGCTGCCATTACAGTGCTCTCGCATTTCAAGGAATTAATTCCTGACAGGTACCCATTTACATCACCTGGGTTGAGTGTGGCAAATGGTAACAATTTTTAGAGAACTTAACTAATCTTACCTCACATATTTGGGGGTGCTCTTTTCCAGTATGGGCATGTGAGACGCTGTGAACTGGTCCTGGAATTTGCTGAATACAAAAATAAATATTTTGTCATAAATTATTATGAGGACTTAATGTTATATTTCCATAATAATAGAAACAAAGTCCTTTAGTATACGTAGAAAAAGGAAAATTGAACACAATTCTGAAATATTGATAACATTACAAATGAAGTTACAAGATTGGATTGATATGCATACATATATATTCTTAATCTCTCATGAATACTGCTTCTGTGATACAACCACAAGCAATGTACTCTTGAAGTTTCATGTCATTTGAATATCCATTTACAATTTTTTTATTTGTCATTTTTGTCCTTAATCTCTTATCACTAAACTTAATTACACAATGAGTTATTATGCATACATTAGGGATGAACTAAAAGTAATCAAGTGAGCAAAAAATAATACCACTTTTAAAGCAAATAGTGGAAATACAATTGAACTTAAATATAAAAGCAATATTACCACTTTTTCTTTCTGGGTAGAGTTGGACCTCGATGACACACTCTCGGGCTGAAAATCATTGACGGGTACATTGATTTCCTGTTATGGAAGACATGAATCATTTGATGCAATAAGACATCTTCATTCTTGTATTTACTATTATTGCATAATCATGCATTATATGTGAAACTGTATACTATGAATAACATCAAATACAGTTAATACTTTTATGATATTTTCATGTTCATATCAATCACATATACTGGTTCAATTAAAAAAACAGAAGCAAATCAATTATCATCAAACTTAAGAGCAGCATTTTACATCACTGCTCTGATGGTTCTTTTAGTATGACCGGTATGTGTGGTATTTATAGTAAAAGCATGAGTAATAAGAAACATGTGTACCTCGTCATCATCCAGCTCCATTGGCTCTTCATTGCACAGAGGAACTTCTGTGACAATGGTCACGTCAGCAGAGTCAAGCTTAGATGAGCTACCAGGTGTCACGTCAGCAGAGTCAAGCTTAGATGAGCTACCAGGTGTCACGTCACCAGAGTCAAGCTTAGATGAGCTACCAGGTGTCACGTCAGCAGAGTCAAGCTTAGATGAGCTACCAGGCGTCACGTCAGCAGAGTCAAGCTTAGATGAGCTACCAGGTGTCACGTCAGCAAAGTCAAGCTTAGATGAGCTACCAGGTGTAACTGCTCTGCCGCCAGTGGTGATAACCTATCAAACCAAACATACAAAGTGTATATTCATGTTATAAGTCTCAATAATCCCTGTCATTTGTCAATTTTGGATAAAGATTTTAAAATAAGTAGATACAAAAATAAATAAGTAATTAAATATACAATCTTTCAACAGGTGAAGCATTTGGTTTTTCATGAAATTACAGAGAATAGAAATTACCTGAAATTCATCCATATTGATGTGGGCGTCATCGGTATCTTTTGTGCTGTTCATCCTTGGGGGAACTGTTGGGCTAGGACACGGTGAAAGCTGGTCTGGAAAAAGAAATAAAAACATATTGTCTTACAAATATAATCAATATTTTCTCAACTTTTTCCAAATATTATTAAAGAGGGTTTTGTTCTAATGGAATATAGAAGAAAAATAACACAAATTGAACATATAAACTTATATTCTAGCATTTAACATCATTTAAAAGCTCTTAATCTGGGGAATACATAATAAATAACAAAAAAATCTTTTCTATACCAATTTATTATCTATTATACTTACATGCTCTCTTTAATCTTGACAACGGGACATTTTCTTCCTCATCATATTGATCATCAGAGGTGGAACACAATGCTAGCTGGTCTGGAAATTAAAACATAATGTATTACAAACATAATCAGTGTTTTCTCAACTTTCAATTTGTTGTCTGTGTTCTTGATCAGAATAGACATAGGAATTTGTTCTACCAGAACACATAAGTAAAATAAAACCAACTGAATAAAACCTATAAAATCTAAATTTAAATTTTAGCATTTTGCATAATTTACAAGCTCTACATTTGGGAAATAAATAAAATTAATAGAAAAATATATTTGTCTTCTTCCAATTTACTTACATGCTCCTTTCAATCTTGACAGTGGAATATTATCCTCCTCCTCATCGTCTGAAGTTGACGAGGCAGCACTGTCAGCAACAGCTAACACCACCCCATGCCATGTCACCTTGCGCCAAGGCATGCTGACTTGTGATCCCTTCTTTGGTGCTGACTGATTGCACATGATATCACCGAGGACCACCACATTTTTACTTCCATCATCCCATTGGACCAGAATGTCAGTGGTTGGATCCATGTTGATCTGTGGACAAATTTTGGATATACATGTAGCTTGATTAATTAATAGGCATAGAATATAGAATATAAATGGATATGCTATTATTAATTTACATCTAGGCTTAAACTGAGAACCTATAACCTGAGAACGTAGTGTGTATCAGAAGTGCATAGCATACACGTACAATGTAGAAGGTTAAGTATGAATAAGAAACATGTGTACCTCGTCATCATCCAGCTCCATTGGCTCTTCATTGCACAGAGGAACTTCTGTGACAATGGTCACGTCAGCAGAGTCAAGCTTAGATGAGCTACCAGGTGTCACGTCAGCAGAGTCAAGCTTAGATGAGCTACCAGGTGTCACGTCAGCAGAGTCAAGCTTAGATGAGCTACCAGGTGTCACGTCAGCAGAGTCAAGCTTAGATGAGCTACCAGGTGTCACATCAGCAGAGTCAAGCTTAGATGAGCTACCAGGTGTCACGTCAGCAGAGTCAAGCTTAGATGAGCTACCAGGTGTCACATCAGCAAAGTCAGGCTTAGATGAGCTACCAGGTGTCACGTCAGCAGAGTCAAGCTTAGATGAGCTACCAGGTGTCACGTCAGCAGAGTCAAGCTTAGATGAGCTACCAGGTGTCACGTCACCAGAGTCAAGCTTAGATGAGCTACCAGGTGTCACGTCAGCAGAGTCAAGCTTAGATGAGCTACCAGGTGTCACGTCAGCAGAGTCAAGTTTAGATGAGCTACCAGGTGTCACGTCAGCAGAGTCAAGCTTAGATGAGCTACCAGGTGTAACTGCTCTGCCGCCAGTGGTGATAACCTATCAAACCAAACATACAAAGTGTATATTCATATTATAAGTCTCAATAATCCCTGTCATTTGTCAATTTTTTAAATGTTATTTTAAGTAACTCAACCTTTATGTCATCAAATTAAACAGTTTACTCTTGATAAAGAATTTAAAATAAGTAGATTCAAAAATAAATAAGTAATTAAATATACAATCTTTCAACAGGTGAAGCATTTGGTTGCTCATGAAATTACAGAGAATAGAAATTACCTGAAATTCATCCATTTCGATGTGGGCGTCACCTGAAACTGTTGAGCTGTTCGTTTTGGGGGGAACTGTTAGGCTGGGACTAGGTGAAAGCTGGTCTGGAAAATGAAATAAAAACACAATCATGTATTACAAATATAATCAGTGTTTTCTCAACTTTCAATTTGTTGTCTGTGTTCTTGATCAGAATAGACATAGGAATTTGTTCTACCAGAACACATAAGTAAAATAAAACCAACTGAATAAAACCTATAAAATCTAAATTTAAATTTTAGCATTTTGCATAATTTACAAGCTCTACATTTGGGAAATAAATAAAATTAATAGAAAAATATATTTGTCTTCTTCCAATTTACTTACATGCTCCTTTCAATCTTGACAGTGGAATATTATCCTCCTCCTCATCGTCTGAAGTTGACGAGGCAGCACTGTCAGCAACAGCTAACACCACCCCATGCCATGTCACCTTGCGCCAAGGCATGCTGACTTGTGATCCCTTCTTTGGTGCTGACTGATTGCACATGATATCACCGAGGACCACCACATTTTTACTTCCATCATCCCATTGGACCAGAATGTCAGTGGTTGGATCCATGTTGATCTGTGGACAAATTTTGGATATACATGTAGCTTGATTAATTAATAGGCATAGAATATAGAATATAAATGGATATGCTATTATTAATTTACATCTAGGCTTAAACTGAGAACCTATAACCTGAGAACGTAGTGTGTATCAGAAGTGCATAGCATACACGTACAATGTAGAAGGTTAAGTACGTAATAAGAAACATGTGTACCTCGTCATCATCCAGCTCCATTGGCTCTTCATTGCACAGAGGAACTTCTGTGACAATGGTCACGTCAGCAGAGTCAAGCTTAGATAAGCTACCAGGTGTCACGTCAGCAGAGTCAAGCTTAGATGAGCTACCAGGTGTCAAGTCAGCAGAGTCAAGCTTAGATGAGCTACCAGGTGTCACGTCAGCAGAGTCAAGCTTAGATGAGCTACCAGGTGTCACGTCAGCAGAGTCAAGCTTAGATGAGCTACCAGGTGTCACGTCACCAGAGTCAAGCTTAGATGAGCTACCAGGTGTCACGTCAGCAGAGTCAAGCTTAGATGAGCTACCAGGTGTCACGTCAGCAGAGTCAAGTTTAGATGAGCTACCAGGTGTCACGTCAGCAGAGTCAAGCTTAGATGAGCTACCAGGTGTAACTGCTCTGCCGCCAGTGGTGATAACCTATCAAACCAAACATACAAAGTGTATATTCATATTATAAGTCTCAATAATCCCTGTCATTTGTCAATTTTTTAAATGTTATTTTAAGTAACTCAACCTTTATGTCATCAAATTAAACAGTTTACTCTTGATAAAGAATTTAAAATAAGTAGATTCAAAAATAAATAAGTAATTAAATATACAATCTTTCAACAGGTGAAGCATTTGGTTGCTCATGAAATTACAGAGAATAGAAATTACCTGATATTCATCCATTTCGATGTGGGCGTCACCTGAAACTGTTGAGCTGTTCGTTTTGGGGGGAACTGTTAGGCTGGGACTAGGTGAAAGCTGGTCTGGAAAATGAAATAAAAACACAATGTATTACAAATATAATCAGTGTTTTCTCAACTTTTCTATTTTTTTTTCTTCTTTTCAGTATTCTTTTTTCAAAAAGTAAGAGGGTTTTGTTCTACGGAAATACAGAAATGAAATAACACCCATTAAACATATAGAATATGTACATATAAATAACTGATATTTTAGCATTTTGCATCATTTATAAGTTTATCTGGGGATTAAATAAATGAAAAAGAAAAACATATCTTTTTTATTTCAATTAATTTTCTAATTTACTTACCTGTTCCTTTCAATCTTGAAGATAATATCTTATCCTCCTCCTCCTCGATGACTTCGGAGGTGGAAGTCAATGTTCGCTGGTCTGGAAATAAAAAGATAATGTATAACAAATATAATTAGTATTTTCACTACGTTTTTATTTCTGCGTTCTTTAGCGGAATAGTAAAAAGGTTTTGTTCTACCAGATCACATACTCTAAGTAAAATTACACCAACTGAAAAGAACATACACTTGTTATTTTAGCATTTTGCATTATTTACAAGCTCTAAATCTGGGGGGGGGGAGGGATAAGATTTTTTCTTCAAACCAATTTTATTATTTTTTTTTTACTTACCTCCTTTCAATCTGGACAATGGGACATTTTCCTCAGGATCATCGTTCAAGGTTGAAGAAGCAGCACTGGCAGCAATAGAATCCATGCTGATCTGTAGACAAATGTTGAATATAGCTTGATAAATTAAACGGCATAGTATATAGAATATAAATGGATATGCTATAATCTAGATTTAAGGAGTGTATATCAAATGCGCATAACATACATGTATATCATCAATATATGCACTTTTACGTCAGTTTTTTTCAGAAAAAGTACATTGAAATATACAACACATTTGTTTATTATTCATAGATTTTGGTTTAAACATTGAAATTAGATTTAAATCTACTTAATTTCTTTGCCTCATTTCTAGGTCCTCAATGTTGAATCCCCTCACAGACAAACTCTCCATGTTTTTTTCCTGAACGCCTAATTGTGTGCTTTCATTAATTGATACCATGCCTTATGTTCCACACTACTAAGTAAAGGACTCAGTGTTGTATCTTGTTTATGGACTCGATTAAGATCACTCACTTACTTCACAATGATGATTATGTTCAGATTTATGTATCATTAAATGTTATGTTCTTGGATATTTCTACTTCTACTACTACGTCGATACTTGACAGGATCCATGAGTCAGGTTATAACGCATTACACCAGGGTTTCATTGTATAAAACAAATGATGCATGATTTCATTCGTTCATTATAGTATAGCCTATAGGATCTATCCACCCACGTTGATGCTGTGTGTATTGGCTTTGTGCGATAGATACGCACAGCCTCAACTCGAGTGCGGATAGATCATATGATGAACTCATGCGCATGCATCGTTTTTATACTAAAGCTAGCTCTATCCACTCTGACAATGCATGAGGTCTAACTGTAAATTAAATATATAGACCTACATCTAGATCTACTCACTCCTACAATGATTAACAATAATGTGCCATAGATACTCCATACCATAGCCATATAGCCATCCAATCTATGGTTAGACTTCATGCATTCATTGTAATGATTTGTAGGAGTGAGGCATATACAAATAGAATGACTAGTATATCTATATGACTGTATGAGTAGAGGCGAGTATGAGTAGACCTGCGCCTGCACTATGATAGTACGAGTCTTTAACGACTAGACCCTAGGCCTAGTAAAGTAAGTAGTAGTAGACTAGAGTCTCTACTCTAGTACGAGGTCAATTTGATTTGGGTCCTATTTTTATGAACCAAGACTTTTTTTAAAGCCCACAATTAATGCCTCCAGATACTAGTTCACATATGAATCGTTTCCAGACGTAAACAATCATATATGATTGATACACGCATCCAAAAGCTCAACACACAGCTCACACTCACAGACATAACAAACACAGACCAACAAACACAAAAATCCACAAATGGGACCGATTGAACAAAAACGATACAAACGGTCCAATGTTTTAGCAGATTTTCAACATTATTCTCACGATCTAGCAAAATTACTGTAAGAGTAACATTATTTTGTCCTAAATTGCTGAAAATGTATACTTTGTCTTTGTTTTTTAAATAGTTAATTACAAATACTTACCCGATTCGGAGGTCGTAGCAGATAGCAGGATTCCGATCGCGACCGTCTGCTGGGAATAAAATTACGTCACGCGCGCTTTTACGACCTTCTGCTGGGAAGACTTTTGATTTTTGGCTGCCCGCGCCATTTTCATTTTGGTGTATTACGTAACAATTACGCAATTATATGAATTAAAAAGCACATCATTCGAAAGGTCTTGTTAATCTCTTTAAGTTTTTACCGAAATTTGAAAATCGAAAATTTTACCAAATTTTGAGTTAACGCCCTTCTGCCGGGCACACGGCGACGCATATTATGCGTACCCTAAATAACACTGAGTGGGGGGGGGCCGGGCATTTGAGATGAGATCCTTAACTAAAATATACACTGTTGCCTATAGAGTTGGAATAATTCTTTCTTGCATCTTTCGTGACAATATGATTTATTCTTGATAGACGAAGTTTATATCTTCTCAGAATGTTATTGATTGATCTAATAGTCATAAAGATTGATCTATATAAGTTTCTGAGAAAATATAATCTTTATCCGTTAGAATAAATCATATTATCACAATCATTTCTGTAAAGAGGTTTTACAAAAATTTCCAAGTTTATGGGTAACAGTGTAAATCCATGGATATCATCAAACATAATAATAATTATTATATTCGTGTAGAATGCTACGTGCACAAATTAACCGACGTCTGTGAAATGTTTGTGTAACCTGTGCACAATATTGATGGTGATAAGTGATAGTAGTAGTGGTGGAGATTATGAGGCGTAAACAGAAAGATGTTGTATTGCCCTTTGCGACCGACCCACAAATCTTAAAATTTACGGCCGGTTTTATTTATTTATTTTTAATTTTAACCGTTTTTTAGAGAAAAAAATGTTTAATGAAAAAAAAATATATGTATTTTGTTTGTTTAAATGGGATGTAAATGCATAAATGCGTAAAATCATCAAATTTTCCCCCAAATTCTCACTCGTCTTCTGCTCTAGTTTAAAAACCTGCTAGCGTATACAAGTAGACCCCGGCCTCGTGTACGTGTATATATACCATGCACCAGCTAGAAACCAGCGATATTTGGGCGACGTTTCCGGTTTTGACGTTTTGGGGTGACGGTTCCCGTTTTGAAGGGGGGGGGGGGGGGGGTGTTTTAAAAAAAATCAGACCGACCGACCTAAAGGGTAATACAACATCTCTTTTTTAGGCCTGATAGATGATAATATTGAAAGTGCATGATGATGAATACAATGACAAAGATATGATGACGGTGATGTTGGTGCATGTTGGTGGTGCATGATGCCTGGCATGATGGTGACTATGATGATGTTTATGATGGTGATGAAGACAATGACATTGATGTTGATGATAGTTAAGATCACATGTGGACGCCAATCATTATTATAATTCATGATAATTCAAGGAGAGAGAGAAAAAATGATATATTTTGTTTGTTATCAAAGATCTTAATCCCTCTTTTATTTGTACCCCTTTTTCTGTCGACTATACTTAAATTTGGGGCGTTTCATAGTATGATACTGTAGGATGATATGCACTGAGATTTACACAAAATTATAAAAAGTGAGATTAGAAGAAATTTGTAAAATAGTGTGTATGAAAGTTGTCAGGTATTGAGGAGCTGTCAACTTTGTCTTTTCTTAAAACAGAACACAGTAAACTTTAGTTTCTCTATAGTAAAGTTTTTCGAAAATGTCCATAGATTTATGCATGGTTCAACCAAAGGACAGGGTTTCTTAAGAATTTATAGCACATGTCTATTCAAATCAAACGCACATTCAAAACTAACCGTGAGGATTTTAGGATTGAAAGTGTGTTCCTCCTTTAATGTAAGTCTATTGTCACATAATAGTCGGACACCACAAGAGAATGTGACCTCTTTTTATTCCCTACTTAAGGGCGAGGTTCCATGAATGTCAGTCAGATCAAACCCTCTAATTTTTGCATCGTATTTTCCGATTCAGCTGGATATGTGTTGTTGGTTTACGAGTAGTGTTCCAGCTCAGTCGTCCTGGGCGGATTTCCTGAATGTATTACAACCACACATTAAAAAAAGGATCCCAACTAAATTGAGGTTGGTGAAGAGGAAGTTTAATTACTAAACAGTAACTATGATAGGTATTTGACGATCCTTTATAAATCAGTGGCAGAATACTTAAACGAGGAATGTCTTTTTCGAAAACCCGTCGAAAACAAAATTTGATTGGGTGCAAACAGTCTGTTCGGAACGTCGAGCCTCTCTCTCTCTCTCTCTCTCTCTCTCTCACTCTTCGCATTCATAACCTGGTTCATCTGTCCTTTTTTCAGGGTCCCACCTCGAATGAATAACTCTCTCCATTTCTCTATACCTCTACCTCTTATCATGATATCAAGTAGGAGAAAAAAATACTTCTCTAAAAAAAAAATACCTCTCTCTCACTCTCTTTTCTTTTATATCTCCTTTTCAAACCAAACAGTCCTTTTCAGGACAACTCGCACAGTGAAACCGAAAGCCCCATGAATGTTATACCTCAATCATTAAAGATCATTTTGTAGATATATTTGAAGTTTAGAAAACTTTAGACCTAAAATCAGTGGCGTGGCTACAGGAAAAAAGGAAGAACGCGCCCCTCTTCCATCGTGTCGTACACTAATTATTTTTATTTTAAAGGGAAAGAAAAGGTGAGAAAAGAGAGAAAAGGACAAGGAGAAGGGAAAACGGACGAAAAAAAGAAAACGCCTGGACCAATTCCCCCAACCTCCCCTAATCAGTAGCCTTGTAAAGACATGTGCCCCCCCCCCCCCATTTGTTTCAGAGTTCCTCAATGGGTGGACTCGATCACGCTACGCCAATGCCTGAACTACATGTGTTGGATGTTATACTTCGGGTGATTACCACAGTAATACTTTGATGAGTGTATTAATTTATGTATTGATATTTCAGCTTGAAGGGCCTTTATTAAAACAAATATTTACCCCACCCTCATCCAAATAAATGGATTTAAGTTTTAACCTGGGAGGAAAATTAAACGAACTCGGAGTTTACTTTTCTTCTAGCTAGCAGAAAAACAGTAATAGTGACAATAGTACAACTGTGGTATTTTTAAAGGGATATTTCTGGAACCATGTTGAAAAATATCCCTTAATGCATGGATAAGAAGAAGACATGAAATACTTAATCAAAGCGGAATGCTGTGAAGAAGAGCTTACATTAAGTGGCAATGACAAAAGTGCCCTTCTATTCCATGTTGTGGCCCGATAATTGTGTATATAGCAGGGGAGTAAAGCATCTTAATAGAACGGCAGGAGGGGTATACTTTGTGTTCAGGGTTGAAAAGACATTAGGTATTCTTTGCCAAGAGATAGTACAGAAAATGTTTAAATTATCATTTCTCTTTTCAACCTATCAGGACTGAGCACTTTTCTCATTCTTTAGAGAGGCATTTCTATTCAAAAGTCAAAGAAACATCAACATTCCTCTTGAGACTACCAATAATTTGATGTATTATGTTCATGTTGCCAAAAAGAACAACATTAATCACTGATTTAGTGAAAATACATTTTGTTACAATCTTTTTAGTATTCATAAAAAGTTTGATTTATAATCTTTTTCAAAATGATAAAAGTTCAATTCAATTTGCAATAACCGAAAGTAAAACAAATGATAATTGTATTTCTAAGGTTTTAATTTTACTCTTACGTCTTGGAAAGAAATTACATGTATTCAAATGTCAAGTCTGTTCCTGGAAGATCCTTGAATGAACGTGATGAATACATTTTGAAACTGAATAATAAGTAATATAATTCTAACCAAACAGGTGTGTCGCAACAGATGAGTTTTCTCATAAATCAAATGAGACTAGCTGAAATCGTCCTTGCCCCAGTTTTCATCCTACGACTACGATTGTAATTATTTTTGGAACGTCACGGGTCACTGGTCGCTCTTTACGACATGCTAATTATTTGGATCATCATACAAAAACGTCTTGAAAGAAATGCACTTCCACGCCGAGCACGAGCACACAATCTAATAAGCAGCATTTGCATATAATTATCGCAGGAAGTCCAGGATGGCTTCTTTAAAAAGGTGGTGGTATTTGGGAGTCTTCATCAGAATACCGCCAGTTCGTCCATCGAGCAACAGCTTGTTCAAAACCCAGTTGGTTTCAAGACAACAGCTTTTTCCACAGACCATTAAAACCAGGTTCACATTGACATCCAGCTTTGCAACTAAACTTTGCTCACATTAGAGACGGCTACATTCGGTCACCAGTGAGTTTGAACTCGGCGCCGATCTTGTTCATGCGGAAATTTCAAAGCGTTTATGCTAGAGAGGCAACCACATCATGAGTTTGTCATCGGTAAGTAAATGCTTCTTTATTCTGTCGCCCACTCCTTAAATAGACTTTGGTTATGAAGTCTTAAAGTTTCCCTTCCCTTATAGGAAACAATGATTCAATTCTCATCTTGATTGTCGTTGATTAGTAGTAAAGTCGGAGTCTTACACATCTTTAATACACTTGCCCGAGATATCATTGTCTAATGATTTGGCCACTATTGCCAAATGAAATTTGCATAACTAATTGCAAGGGTGGTGTAAAGGGCTATAGGTTTGGATATAAGTTTGTGCGCGTATATTCAATCTAATACCTGAAGAAATGAATAACCTGTAGTATTATTTTATCAACACTAATTCAACTCTAATGAAATTGCTACAATTCGATGCATTATCATGATAATATATATCCCAAATGGAATAGAGATAGAGGGGGAGAATTTTGAGCTCAATAACAAGAACGAGAGGAAGATAGTAAAGGAGAACATCTTATTCAGAAAAAATGATATGCTAAATTTACATTATGTTCCCTGCGTCCACAGCAGCCCCGTTTACCCGAAACGTAGTGTGCCATGGGATTTTGGCCATTTTTTCTGTATTCAAGTTTTGTTAGGTCTTGCCAAGTTCTTTGTATTACGTACTGTCACGTTTTGTTGCGTTCACCACGTTTTACTTCGGCCTACTAGGTTTCCCATCCGCACCGTGACTGCCGTGGCACAATTTTTGACAGTTTAAAAATCTGGCCCGGCATCCACGAATTCCACGGCATCCATGCCAATCACGGCCTGTCACGTTTGCCCATCCCGTCCACCCGCTTTGTCTCACGTCTATTCGGTTTTGTCCACGGTGGCCTGAAACGTGATTGCCGTGGCCGCTCGGAACATGATGTAAACCTAGCATCAGAAAAGGCAACACAAGTTGGAAGTGGTTTCTTTTTATGATTTATCATTGCATGAATAACACAAACAAACACAATTTATTCAATCAAATCAGAGAGTTGCCTCTCAAGTTAAAGCTTATCTGCCGTAGTTTACAGAAGGGATTAGACTGCCCTGCAAGGTCACTGGACAGGTGGTTATCTCATCAACTAAGCTCTCGGTTAACTTAAGAAAAAGAGGATCATGGGGGACCAATGGTCACCGATTAGGCATTGTTTGTTATATAGAGGGCGCAAGTAGCTACAAGTAGTGCAGTGGGCCTTTAAAAGAGAACCCCACCCCCATGAATAGAAATTGTGGAAAGACGATAGTGATTTGTACAATAATACAAATGACCTACAAAGTGGTGAATAACGTGAATGAAACTTGGTTGATTACAACGGTTTAAATAAATACGGAGGTCACATCCATAACGTTAACACTATATTTATGTATTAAAATATCGTATTTGCGCTCATTATTGGATCGTTTTGTTGTTCAACTAATTCATTCTAACACTTGGTTCTCAGTAAGGAATTGGAGCAGCTGCTTTTTTATTATATTAATAAACTAAAACAATTTATTCATTTAACATTTAGAGTTTGAGATTCTAAACATGACTTCAATTACTGTATACGATGATTGCATGGCCGTTCCGAAGAGGAATAACTGCAGACTGAAAATCAAATTTGTATATAAGTTTGTATAAAAAATAATTCACGAATTGAATTTACCACGACAGTAAAGTTTTAGACTCGTATTTATTCAAATTGGGTTATCTGCATCATGTGAAAGCCCTAAAAATGGTTTAGTGGTAAATGCATGAATCCACTAACATTAGGGACTTTTAGATTTGCGTGGACTGATACGTATGACGTCCATTTAAGTCAGTGAGATTAAAAGAGCTGCGACAATGAAAATCTCAGAATATGTAGTTGTGGTATATAATTTTCGAACGGGAATAATCGGTCGATTTTAGTCAAGAAACATTGTTTGATAGCTTAATTAATATCTTGACCTTGAGCGGGAGCTATACAACATAATGGCTCGAATTCACAAAGCAAGGTTTGAGCTCAGACCAAGGTTTGAGGCCAAACCTCCTTTTGTTTCGCCAAACCTCCTTTTGTTATTTACAAACCAGGTTTGTAAATAACAAAAGGAGGTTTGGCGAAACAAAAGGAGGTTTGAGCTCAAACCTTGGTCTGAGCTCAAACCTTGCTTTGTGAATTCGGGCCAAAGTGTTTATTATTTACAATTTCATAACTTAAGAGTCGATTTCGACCGCGACAACGATCAGTGAATATTGTAGGATCGCATATGCTTCCAATATGTGAATTTGAACCAAAGTCACGGCCCCATACCAAAACTTTGTATTACCTTTAATGTGATGGCTCGATTGTAAGCCTACTGTTTGTGAGCTAATACTAAAAATGATAAATTTATTAATTACATTGGCTAAGATATTGGTTGAGACGTAAATAATATATGTGCAAGTCAATCTTTTGGCCTTTGTGTCCCTATAACTACTAAGTTTCTAAATATTTTGGGCGGTAACGTATGGGACCATATAAGCAAGATTGATCTTGGAAAATCTGACAGTGTTACAAAAATATATGTGGAAATAAAAATGACGGCTGTGCAATTTGTTTAAAAGGCTGGCGTAACTGGGCAAAGGCATTCGATTATACAACACCCGTCAAAGAATCAACCTTGTCTTGCGATTGGTCCAAAGTTTTAGTCTCCTAGCAACCAACCTTGCAGGCGATCGACAAGCGTGTTACGCCCTCATAGTAATTTTATAGAAATGCACAATAAATATTCGACGTCTGCTGCGCTTTGGTGGTGCGATGTTACTTCCGTATGTACAACACGTTAGCTGATCACCCGTGCTGAACCAGCCGCATTTAAGCTGCGGTAAGGGAAATTTTATAATTTGTGCAGGGAGTTGGATCATTTTTTCTATTTTCCACTTGGAAATAATAGTTTTATGTATGAAATAAGTCTTATTGTCGCCTCAATTTTATTCATCAACAGCTAAAACCTGGATATCTGCAGCGGGGCACCGAAAAGAGAGTACGATTCGACTGCACTCCTCCGATCGTGCACCATATCGGCAACCAGCAGCAGCAGCAGCAGCAGCAAGGCTCTCGGGCGGACTGCCTTGCCCAGCCTCCTCCAGCTCCAGGCCTGCCTGCACCGGTTCGAGGTGGTACTGGCAATAACGTGGATATATTTCGCCAGATAAATGCTCTATTGGAAAACACGCTGGATTTACGTGGAGTAGGTTCGAATCAGGGGGCGGGACAGAATATCGGCGGGGACTTCTCGCGAAGACAGCAACTGGGGAACCCACCCCGTCCTGAAATCAGAGAAAATGAAGGTAAGTCGATTTCATCTCATTATGTTACAAACTTCATGATAACGCAAACGATAGTTGTCGGGACCAAAACCACGAATACTTCTCACCTTACATACTAGCTGCCATGTGATTGTGTGAATGCTTGTCTTGACCTTCAGAGAGACTCAATCCCGAGTCAATGAAATTAATTTTCTAGCTCCTTCATGCATGGTGTTGATACAGTCCATTACCCACCTACATTAAAGTCAAAGAGGAAGAAGAAGTCAAACAAGAATCACTCGACCAAAATAGAGCTTGATCAAATATTTCCCTCTGGACAGAAGCATAGCTGAAATTATGAAGGCAATATAGGAAGTGTTTTTCCATTTTCCCTTTTGTGGTAGATTTAAGCCAAGAGGGCATTTTTGTCTCCTGAAATTGTTTAAAATGAGTGATTTGTGCATGTGTCTGTACAGCATTCTAAAGGGAAGCTAAAAGTATATTCTGCTCTCACTTTGATTCATACAATAACAGAAATAAGAGAAAGAGGATGTGAGTAACAAAAGAAAAGAAGAAAAAAAAAAAAATTGGTGATGCAGATCTCAACAGGAAGTCTGTCTTCTCTCTATATTGTACCCAACTCAAAATGTATAACATTATAATGCAATATCCTTTGAAAATTCTACAGTAAGATAAATATAATTAAGGTTTGGAAAACCATCTGAATTATCAGAATTTTTGCATGTATTACCAATTTATCATCCCCTCCAAACTGTCAGTAAACACCCATGCATGGTAGAATTCCACACCTAATTGAGTGTAAACAGATATGTTACTGTGCAGTACACAAATTAGGCAAATCAGGAAACCTCATACCAAGGCTGCTTCAAATATATCTATTTCCTGAATGGCTTAAAGGGACAAATCAGCAGTATCCACATTTTAACTAAATAATGTCAACTAGCTGTCTGCAAGAAGGCAGTTAATACATAGATTGAAAACAGAAAATAGGCATGGCGCTTTGCACAAAACATGTTACTCTTGTTTATTGACGAAGAATGCACAAAAATAATAAAAACTTATAGATTAATCAGGTAATGAAATGTATTATCTCATCTACACAATATGGATCTAGTTTAATGAGCAATTAAACCAAAGAGAAATTGGTCAAATTATTTGGGTTGGAACTGTTTATATATACCTCCTTTCTTTGTCATTATGTGTTTGCATGCAATCATCATTAATCAAAATTGAAAATTACTGACCATAACATTTTATTTCTCTGACAATATAAATAAAAGTCATTTTGGTTTTGAACAACAATCTGTGCACTGCTTAAATTATGATGTAGAACCCCTTCATAAACTGCATTGTAGGTATATAATTTGAATCTAAAGAAATGTAGCAATGATTGAAGTTCAGACTAAATATGCCAATGTTATGTCTTCTTTTAGATATCTAATAAGGAAACAATTAGATCCATCTTGCACCTTGGATCCTCCACATTATTTATTGGATTGTTGCTCCTCCCCAAACATCAATAAGCCTTCAAATAAGCATCTTCTGCATATGTAAGAGGTAGCATCAGCCAAATTATAATACATGTAATCAATTGTAGTGGAGTTTCACCCGACCTCTTGCAACATTGGTTTAACATCACATGAGAACTTACTTTTTTACATTGTGGCATTGTTGTGGCTAAAATGCCTTCCACCATCACATGATTCAAGATAAGACGGGTACAATGACAAAACAAGGGTACCTGAGGTTAGCTAAAACTTCAACAAAAAATCTTTCTATCACAAAACAAGAGTTGTGTGGATTGTGTGTAATTAATAGGTATAGGGGGACTATTATCTGTGAATATACATTCTCTTAGAAAATTTTCTAGAATTTTCTAGATCAAAGCTGTGTTAATTTATGTGTGAGCTACAAAATAATGTAAAACCTGGTCTATTTGGTAACAGGCCTAATTAACTAAAGGAAAAAAAAAACTTTCTGCTGCATATTTCCTTGAGATGATGTGGAAGTGCGATAACAAATATCATCCCTCCTTGCACCTTTGTTTAAAAATGAGAGGTATTGTGAAATGAATATATACCCCTTCAGGCCATGTAGATAATATCATAGTTAATGATTGTCATGGAATTCTGAGAAAAACATATGTCAGTACCATATTTGGTGTCTGTAATTGAGAGGATATCACCACAGTTCAGCTTACAACCAAATGTAATTTCTATTTCAGAATTGCTCATTTATATCTAAAACAAAGGTGGAAGAGTTTTGGTTTTCATTTTTAAATTTTATCTTATATCCTTCTGTAAAAATCAATCCACAGTTTGTGGTGCATTCATCCAGACTTACCTCCCTGCCCAGACTTTCTCCTAAATTAACAATGTTTATTGCCGAAGCCCAAATGTATTTCTTTTTTGGGCTATTGTCAGTCTAGCATCGATCTCTTGTTGGTATGACTTGGGTATATTCTATTCACCTAATAATGATATCGATATAATCCTCATTTCAAATTTTTACAGTCAGACCTTGGATTATATTAGGACCAAGTCTTTTGTCAAGAATGATTCACCCAATTGTAAAAGGAGGAATATGCCTGTCAACAATAATAGATTTAGGCTATGAAAGTACTGAGATTTGTATCTTGGAATTGCAATACAGTTTGAAAGATATCTTTATGTCTGTAAATAAAGTACAGAAACAAGTCAATCTTAATTTACTTTGTCATTATTTACCACTTAATCGGGGGCAAATTGGCCCTAAAATTTGGACAGATTAATTACAATGCAAATGGCCCACTCTTTACCTTGATCAATCCAAGATTTAACTTGTGCCCCCTCCTCCATTATATCTTGAAGAAAATCCTTCATGTCTATCAATTAAAAATAGCATGCTAGATAATGATGTGCTTTAATTGGTATTGATCACCACTTCAGTCACATGCATCAGCCAATTATTCCAATGATTGAATGGATACATATTCATGAATAGAAGTTTTCTCATATACCTGCTTGAAAGCTCATTTTGTGAATTAGGGTAAAGAGAATCGGTTCTTGAATCAAACTTTGCCTCTGACAAAGCAGTCACATGACATTGGATCAGGTCCTTGGATTGTATCAGCATCTATCGCTTGCATCGTATGATATTTGTTGAACTCTAGTTACGTGTATCCATTGGAAGGTATCAAGTGTTGGATCCACAATTACACATGGCAGATTACATGTACATACTTATTAATACCCACATAACTGTAACCGCTCCCCCTCGTCAGGCCGAGGCTCTCGAAGTCGTCACATCTCGTTGAAGGAGACTGATTGAAAGACAGGCTGGAAATAAACTTGCCCTCTCTCTGTTCACACTCGCAAGACATGACTAAAAGTGACGTTTTGTGTATGTACAGTTTGTTTTTCATATTTCAACCCATACATAACAACAGATATTATTATTGTGATTAAGGTTTTGTATATCTAAGTTCAAAAGGCTAAAAACGTTGATTGACAAATATAGGCTTTGTATGCACAGTATTATAGATTGGCATCCATCATGATTCAATTTCTTTCTATGGTGCCCATAGTTGGCATTCACGACATAAAAGCTCAGAAAGCAGAACTGAAACTATTGTTAGATTTGAAAAGAGAATATACAATGGAATTAACTATGCTTGACTTGTGGGGTTCCAAGAAAAAAATGTAAACATTGCAATATGATAAATAAACTTGTTATTAAAATATTACCACCTCCAAAAAAAAAAGAGATAGAAAGCGTAGTGGTGTAGGAAGGGAAATTGTCTGAAAAATATTGAATAAATCAAAGAATAGTATCACTTATTATCATAAGAATTGCAAACTCTTTGCAAGGATAGCCTGAAGTAGAAACTCTGTTGCTGCACAGTAAATTTGCTTCCTTGCCTTTTCTTACTGCATGCATCATCTGTCGAGAGCCAAAAGAACGTGAAATCATATCCTTGAAGAGGGAACTAACACCTTTCTGGCTCTCAGCAGATGACCCTTGAGAACTGTTTACAATATCTTTTATTTTCATACAAATCTTTGTTCACAGCCCTAAATTTGTTTTGGGCATACCATATTTTCTTACCATATATTCGTGTTTGAATGACTTTGTGTGGTTACACTCGGCAACCTCACTTTACCTACCGTATGGTCAAGTGTGCTTTAAGTTGTATCAACAGTCATATTCTGTTTCAGTGCTGACTGATACGCCCCTTTCTTTTGTTAAAGTGATCGATCAGCTGTTGACTCTAAACATGAGGGTAGAAATGCATAGGTCTGGAATTATAGTTGTGCAAAAAACTGTGCTGAAATTTTGAGTAGCAGGAATGTGCATTTACCTGGGAAATTAATTTGTATTGCATTATGAGCAGACCCTATTATCATTTCAAATCGGTTTAACAAAGGTTTACACATTCAAATTACATGTACATGTGAAATGAACATAACAGTTGTTAACTTGCCAGGTGAATGACCTTAAATGTTTGCTAAAGAATAGAAATGTTATACATACATGTAAAGTGAATGAAGATAGGATATAAGACTTGGAAAGAGAAGGATCATTCCTTAAAAGGAGTTCAAAGTCGGGCTCACATAATTATGTCTGATTAATTAATACAGTATCCATTCCTTTATCATTATTCATAAGCATACATGCTGTACCTCATATGATAAAGACTTAGATTATTTTACCATATGACAAGATGAAGAAGATGTTTGATTGCCAAGCAGAACTTCCTTTTTGCAGTGTGACTCAAAACTATTTGTATCGAGTCACATTCAAAACCATTGATATTAGCATATCTCCCAAAATAATAATAAACTTTAGGTTACTATCAGTGAAGAAAAATTCTGCCATTAAATACAAGTTGTTCAATTTTGGAATGATATGGGTAGGGTAGAATCCTTTTAGTCAGATTTTCTGAGTATGTTTGCTATTGAAGGTAGAAATTATAAAGGATTTTATAAAAAAAGATGAAAGCCACCATGAAATTTAAGACTTGAGGCTTATTAAACAGTACATTTTGTTGTGGAGGTCCAATGTTGTATTTAAGGAAAAGAAGGAAAATCTTCAGCAGTAATATACTAGTAGCCCATATTGTTTAGTTTTAAAGCTGCTGATAGTGCCTCTCTGTACAAAAGATTTCTTCTTCCAACAATACACGTACAGGTTTGTCTGTGAGTTTTGTGATACAACCTTCTTTTATGATGTAAAGTCAAAAGACCAGGGAAGTTTATGACTTCCAGGTCAACATTGCAAACTATTTAAAATTATTGCATTGTCTGGTCCAAAGTTTGAAGGCAAACCGTAAAGACAGTATCGTTTATTTGCAAACCCTTCTTTCTTTTATGAACTGAGTTCTCTAAAATGTAAATTGTGATTGTTTGTGGACCAATTTTTTTATTTTTGATGCATCATTTAGATTGATTTATTTGTGATATTTAATCATAAACTAACATAAAGTAACTTGTTTATAACCCATTGTCTATGGGAGCCAGTTTGTCCTATGGGAGCCAGTTTGTCCTATGGGAATGAGAGAATTCAGTAATGCCATTCGGTAATTCCTGTAAATAAAGAAAAGGGAAAAGGAAAAATTTAATGGAATTCCCTAAATCACAGGTAGAGCTTAAATTTGGAACAGTATCTACCACATCCCTTTTGCCATTCAATTGGATTTGTTCTGCTTTGGGGTTGGTAATGATGATAAGAGAGTACCTTGAAGTAAGTTCTTGGAAACTCAGATCTGAAATTTGTGTCATTAATCACTTTTGTGTATACATATTGCAATATGCATGGAAAGGTTTCACTAGAATCGAGACCCTTGGCAAAAGTGATTGTCAAAATTTGATTGAGATTTACCATAATTGCATTTTACTTAAGATATACATGTACATGTATATCGAACAATAAGTACTGTATTCTTTTATAATTTAAAGTGTATCCTGTGCCTTTATGTACACGTAGCTATTTAATTTGTAAACAAACCTTGTCCCCAATAAGAGTACCGGTATTGTAAACATAGAGCTACAATAAAGCAGAATGCTTAAATTGTGCAAGAACCGGTTTAGAAATATATTCAAATTGATTGATGTTTCTTTTCTTGGGACCTAGTGAAGTATTTCCATTAACATGTTATTAATGAATCAACTACAATACTTGAAATCCAGTCTGCATACAATTATTTGTTGCTATATCAGACAAGACTCTGGCAAGCTTTCAGGTTGTCAAGAAAATCCAATGTTTAAAAAGTTTGCATACAATTTGAATATGTTAGTAAACCGGTCTATTCAGATTAAAATCAAGTCACTTGTTAGAATATTCATGCCTCAATTATAAGAACCCATGTTCACCATATTTGCTTTATCAATTGTATAGAGGATAAAAAACATGAGCAAATTTATTGAATTCATAAAAAAGAGGAATGTCTTCCTCCATTGCAGTGAAGATAATGTACTATTTTTGTGATGGATGGTCTTTAAATATACTATATTGAGTTGTTTATAGCACGGGTGGCCAACCTTTTAAAGCTCGCGGGCCACATCTAACGATTGTCATAACTTGGCGGGCCGTAGGCCAGGTGGGGGGGGGGGGTTATATTGAGACATACGGGGTGTGCCGCTCTAATGGGTAACCTTTTTTACAAAAAGAATCCCTAAACTTGGGTCCCATTTTTAACAGAAATATCCTAAATATGGGTCCGTGTTTTCAAAAAATTTATTTAAAAAAAATTCAGGGTTTTAGCCATGCAAACACCTGAAATTTTTATAAAATGGGCTTTACTTTCAACAAAAATCTGCCAAAACAACCCTTAAAAATGGGTAGAGGTTACGAGGCTTCAGCGGCACACCCCGTCAAAACCAAATCTGAAATCCCCCCCCAAAAAAACACACACACACACTCATGTACACACCTGCAATTTTGCAAACAACAAAATCAGTCGAACAAAATCAGGCTTACTTTTTTAGTGTGATTTCTGGCTGACAAAATATGAGGCAAAGTTGTCTACCTTTCTCTTCTATGAAGAAATACTTCAGAGATCTATCCGATTTAAAGTTTCTGTCTTCATCAGAAACTTTCCTTTTCTTCGCACGTCTCGAAATCGATGCCATGTTGGTTATTATTTCAAACAAAATCAATGCTACAGCAGAAAGAATATAAGGGGACTATCCACGATTAAGCTTAATGAAAAAATTAAACGGCGGGAGAAAAGGGTTGTAAGTTTTAAGACAAGTATGGCATTTCAAACATATTTCTTTATTCACGATCAATTGGGCAAAACGAATTTCCATTTTCGGTTTAACTTAATAAAATTTGGAGTGGATTTAAAAAAATTATTATTATTGTTATTATTTGTATATTTACAAAGGTTACTGCATGTGGAAATAACAAACTGAAATTAACACGGCGAGTGATGTTAATGTCGTTAATGTAAATGTAATGAGAGGGAATTTGAGGAGTTTTGTATAAGCCACGTAACGAATCAATATGTTGTGAATGATGAAAACAAATTATGGAAATAGAGATAGCTGTGTGTAAATGTTTTACTCTATTTCATCGCTGTTATGCGGGCCGCATTTCATTCATTAACTATTTTTATAATCACTTTTTCAATGCTTCGCGGGCATGTGGCCCGCGGGCTGCAGGTTGGCCACCCGTGGTTTATAGTATATATTGTTTCATAATCTTTGAATTAGAAGACAATAGATCAGTTTACTAACATATTCAAATTCTCGCTACCCCAAATAGCGATTCTGCCGAGATCCGGGGAAAATCCTGAAAAAGCGCATTGCATTATGGGATAGCTTTTCGACATTACAGCTTCCTGTGCAGGCGTTCGTGATCACAACCCTCTCTTTCACGGTAGAGTTTAACGGCCTTTTGTGCTAAAGTCACTAATTCTGCCCGAAGCTTTCCATTGCATATTATAATCTGTACAAATTACACTGATTGGCATCGATTTTAGCGTGCGTGAAAACTCTGCACAGCGAACACAGGCGCTAGCGCCAGCGGGATGGGACTCTATACCGGAAGTTGTAGTGACGACCCGAGAGAGTGAAAATTACCTCGTCTCGCGAATTTCGAGATTTTCGTACCTATTTAGGGTAGCGAGAATTGTATGCATACTGTATAAAGAAAGGTTGTTCTTGACAATATGTTAGCTAGACCAAATTTTGTTTGACATAGCAACAACTAATGTATGCAGACTAGAAAGAAACATTCATAATTTGAATATGTAAGTAAATTGATTGAAGATATAAAGATCTACAAGAATTTAGAAATGGAGGTGCTTGAATGCATAGGGTTGGTTGGTGTTTTTGATTTTAGTGTAGAGTAATCAAATGCTAGTTTGTCATTTTAAATACAATGTAAATTGAGTGTACTATATATATTTCACCTTATCTTTTTATCTGCTTTAGTACCTCACATCGATGCCAACCTATTAGCAGCTGCTAGAGCCCAGATCCAGTCCTCCTCATCCACCATGGATACAAAGATGTCACCCCCACCCCCAATCAGCACCAACTCATCGCTTCCCCCACCCCAGGGCAATGGAGGTACAAACGGTACAGACTTTATATCTTTCCTTCCCAATGTCCCTGGCTCCCCCGTCTCCCAGAGCACCTGGAGCTCTCATCCAGTCTGCACCAACCCCAAAGATGCCATCACGCTCTCCAACATTGACCGCTACCTGAACGGAGGAGGGGCATTCCCTGTTGAAACAGTGGGTCACATTGCATCCATGCTTGAGTGCTCTCCGGCCCCCAGCGACCAGTATCCATCCTCCCTGTGCAGCGTCAGTAGCCCTAGCTCAGACTCCTCTGTCCTGTGGGACTACGTATTCTCCCCTATCAACCAGACCATGGGGGCAGGCAATAGGGACCAGAAGTGCCCCAGCCCCAGTGATTCGGACAGCAGCGGAGTAAGCTCAGCAGGATCCATGAATGATGCTTTGGCTGAGAGCCTCTCGGAAATGATGGTAAAAATAATGGTGGCTAGCGATGGTCAAAATTTTAGATTTCTTCATTCGTAGATCACTGTATATGAAATGTATTACTCTGCTACTCCGTGGAGATAATAAGTAAAATGAAAAAAAAAAAAACAACTTAACACTTACTGCTATACCTCAATGATTTAGTCCCATAAATTTTAGCTAACGATGACTTTTAGGTCTACTCTGCAGAGATTGGCAACTGTTATCAGTCTGGAAGATATCGACATCACTGTCTTCTGTTTTGAATCTCCGCAGGGCAACCTGAATCTCACAGGAGACCCTGCATTCCGACATCCCAACCAACAGATGGGACTAAACATGGCCATGCCTAACATATCACCTGCGATGCTCCTGCAGGGTGGGCTTCAAGGCTACCAGGGAGGTCTCCCAGGTGGCCTTAATCCCAACATGCCTTTCCCCCAGGCAGCTCAATCCATGCTGGACCCAAACATGTACAGGGCCACTCCACCTCCTCCACCTCTGGACTTCAATGATCCCAACGTCCAAGCCTTGACCAGACAGCTCCTCATGGACCCCAAGCTGAACAGCCTAGAGAAGCTCTTTAATGCTCTTCCTACTGATCCCAGTAACATTGAAAAGCTGGCTAGACTCAACAGACAGGCAGCTTGTAAGCAAAAGTTTAAATTAATTGTAGATGTTCTGCTAATCAAATATTGATCTGTAAAAGTTTGAATATATATATGAGAATGGGGAAAACTTTAAAGAAAATTGTTCTTCTGGCTCTAAATTTTGAGATGAGGTCAGGTATTTACATGGAAAATGTTTATTTCTACCAAAATGTTATGTTAGTCAAGATGTTGTATATTATAGTCTACAAGTGTTAGAACAATATCTTAGGCTTGTACTTGAGTATACTGTTTTTAGTAATCCTTTCCAACATTCATAATTTTGTATTTGCTCTAATAAGTGTAACTTATTATGGAATTTCTCAGTTTGAAATACCTCCAGAAGGAAGCTGTAATGAGTATAGATTTGAGTTGTAATTTCTATGAGCTGCTTATGTTTATCCTTGTACTTGAGGAGGTTATGATACAATTTATCCACTTTTCTTTTACATTGTAGCTATTTGTCAGCCAACCTGCACATGGAGTGGTCAGCTGCCTCCTAAAGTGTACCGTAACCCCACATACTCCGGAAAGGTCTTCCTAGGTGGGGTACCCTGGGACATTACTGAGGGTGAGTAAGATTTTTTTAAAAGTCTATATTTTTTGTTTGTTGGTGATACTTAACACGATGGCAAAACATTTAGAGAAATCAACTCAAAAGCAGTTTCAATATATTATTGTATGTCCCTTAGAAATCACATTTGGATTGCATTATATGTCCATCGAATGTTTACATATTTTAACTAGCCACTTCTGAGATAGCACTTGTACAAATGACCCCCAAATATCCACAGATATTTTAAACATGGAATGTCCCGCTTTGTGCATTTTTAGAAAAATCACTGCCAAATTGATGGAGGTGCTTCATGAATTCATACCTTTTGTTTGACCTCTTGAAGAGAAAAATACTACCTCCTGTGTATCACAAAATGCACTGCCGATGCATAAATGAATAATGGTTGCATAACCTTCGTGAACATGTATCCAGCAGTCGGCTCAATGGGTTTTGCATTTATGTACAAATGATCTTTATCTGCTCATGTTCAGATAGTATCTCTAAAGTGACTCATAGGTGAGGGACAAGGCTGTAGAAATAGGCCATTTTTTAATGTAACAAATGCTTATAATGCCTGCATACAAATTATTTCATTCACCTGTTACCATTAATTGCATTTCAATAGTCAGAATGTAACTTGCATATATTACATGTTAGGTAGGGCATGCCGTAATGTTTGTACTGCCTAGCAGTATGAATTTAAAATACATTTATTTGCAACAGGCATATGCATAAATTTGGTAACATTAAGAAATTGGCCTATTGCTTTAGATTGATTTTATATTTATGTAGAACCATTTTTATGAAGTTTTCATCGAGACAACAGGATCAATATAGACTTGTTTAGATTGTGATGATGATGGTGTAACAATAGTTGGATTGCCAACATTTTTTTGGTCAAAAAATTACATTTTGTGTTGAAATGTATGCCTTGTGATAAGCTTTACTTTATACCTGAAATGGGATATCAATCTAGAATAAAAGCATGGATTATTGCAGATGCTGGGCACTTTTCTGAAAGATTAATCTCAGAATGGGCAATTTTTTAAAGTGAACACTATATTCTATGGGATAAACCATGAAAAAAGAGCAATATACAAGTATTTTTGTATTATTCAACTGTATAGATCCACAATGTAAAATGATCACAATGTCCTTGACTGTAACCAAAATATGTTTACTCACTGCAATACAGTGGTTATTTCTGACCTCGTTTCTGAAATTCTGTGAATTTACTTATAGAGGCATGAATGCATGAATGCATGCATGATATACTATGTACCATACGCCATATGTATAAGGGAAAAAACATAAATCATATGCATTTCACACTAGCAATATTGTATGTCTTCGATATAATTTATTCACCACTTGTTTGTATGGTATCTTGTACCATATGGCTGGTTTAGACTCTAGAATTTTCTTTTAACATGTAGGAGTGCTATTTGTATAAATTCTGTGAAATATATTGGCATTCAATACAGCAATGTGTCCTGTAGTATTGACTAATCACCCATTTGGATTATTCATATATATATATATATATATATATATATATATATATATATATATATGTATATCTCTCTTGTTATGCCATTTTAGTGATACAGGTCATTAGATGCAATACTTTGCCAACTTGAGTTACATGTTTTGTGTAATATGAACTTGGAATGAGTACCACACCTGTGAAAATGCAATCCAAATACGCTATATACAATAACTGGAGTATATTATTAATGAGTGTATATTTAGCACAACTTTATATTGTTCAAATATATTAATGGATTTTATCTTGCAACAGCACCACTGCGTTAAAGTATCGAGGAAGGATTATTTGTATGGGGTTTTATATCCTGCATCAAAAATTTGTTTGCTTTTGATTGGTTGAGAGCTCATCACATGACCAGAAATATTTGAACTATTTTTAGAAAGTACTATATGAGAGTACTATTTGGGAGTACTATTTGGAAGTACTATTTGTGAAATGTGATTTTTTTTTTTGTTGAATTTTTTTCTTCTTCAAGGCTTAATTTAATGAAAACAATATTTTAAATCTTTATTTTTTTTGTTCTAATTTTTTTTTTCTTCCCCCAATTTTTTTTAAAATATTTTTTTAAAAAATAAAATAATTTTTTGATGCAGGATATAAAACAAATATACCATGCCTTCTATTCGAGGTACTGGTTAAAACTATGGGCCTCGGTGACTCCAAAAGTACTATTGGAGTCACCTCTTGCGCATGGTTTTAACCAGAACCTCTCAAGACAGTGTATATTTGTGTAATATATGTGGGAAGAGAATGTCAACTAAGTTATATTTTCAACAAGTAATGAACGGGCAAAATTATAAAACTAGATGATGCGAGCAGAGCTCTCTTGAATTTGTTTGCTTTTATATCATGCCTACCATTGTGATAGTGTTATCTTTGATGCAGTGAAAGTTATGATAACAATGATATTTATTACTCCTAGAAACAAGATTTCATAAAAGAAACACACAGTCAAAACAATTGATGATGAGTCATACTGAAACGTAACAAGTAAAGAAATGTAAAGGGATGAGTTTGAAATTTCGGTATGAAAAGCAAGAATGTTTTGATCCTCCGAAAGTTTTATTACCGGTAACTAAAGGAATAAGCCTGTACAGATTCATCTTTTTCTGTGATAAGGGGCATGCTTCAGATTGTTCTCAGATATTAAAAAAAAAGTAATTTTATTCATTTTGAAGGTAGAAAAAAACTATAGAATTATAAATTGTGTAAACTTCTCTTCCTGATCACTGGTTTGATACAAACCAGTCTAATATCGAATTTAATCTGATATTTATGTAGTGATGATAATGATGATTCACGGCAGTTATATAGCACCATTATTTTCTATTTTTTTAAAGTTCATTTATTGTCCAACAAGACGGCATGTTTCTTAAAGTCGCTTTGTAAAAGTCTTGGGAGCCCAACAAATTTGATGGCAAAATAATTTTGCATCATAATGTGAAAGAGGATGTCATTTCAGACACACTTCAGCAAAGATTTCCCCCCACCCCCACTTTCAACAAAAAAACGTGTTTGAAGACAAATATTGATGCAAGAATACAAAATATAGGTTTTCTGTGTATAACAGAAAACCCAAATTGTGAAAGAGGATGTCATTTTTTAAAGAATACATAATTTGGGTTTTCTGTTATACACAGAATTGTTTTGGCAAATTTGGGGCTCCCAACACTTTAGAGGGACTTTAATATAAATAAGGAGATCACACTCCAGTTCAAATGGGGATGACATGTAGTTATATTCTTATGTAATGTATTTCACTCTGTTATACAGGAGCTTGTATACTGCAGTGTTAAGTGCATATGTGCCTGCATCATTATGATTGTGGATTTGTGAATCTGTAGCACAATGTATCATCTTGATTACTTAAGTTGCGAAGGGCCTTCACTTCTATGTGAAACCATACATGAAGCTCCTTGGTATTTAGATTTTGATTAATGGAAACACATTTTGAAAAACAAAGTTATTTCACATCTTACCCTGATACAGGCTGTCGTTTAGTATTTTTTGCAAAACAACCGTTAGAAATGTAGAATTCACTCCTTTAGGTGAAAATATTATGTTCAGTTCAGTTCAGTTTCAGTTTATTTTCATATTTCACACATGTTGTATAATACATCATTACATTTAGCATGTTACATTTTGTACTCATTTTAGAATGCGTTTATACAAACAAAAATGAATAATACATAAGACTAAGTTGAATAAGGGAAAAAATATGATGGAGCCTAAAGAGAAAGCAATGCTTGTAGACCTCTATGACAGGAATGGTAATATATATTTTCCCACCCTGAGCAGTTTTATTTGGTTAAGTCACTTTTATGCAGACTTTTATTGGATTGATTTACTATATTCACTGTTTAGATTCCATAGTCCAAAAATTATTTAGTATGTCGTAATATCCGTTTTTCTGCTGACTGTTGAATAGAGGTATGCTAGGATTTATTATATACTGTCACCACATAAAAAATACTTTATTGTACTTACAGTAAGGATATAAACTTAGCTTTGAAAGATATAGTAGCAACCTGTCGAAAGAGTAATTTATTTCTAATTCATAAAGCAGTGTATTTCCTTTTTTTTTCTTCATATTTCTTCCCTTTTTTTTCTTCACATGTCTTCATTTATCATTGAAACCACAAATTCAATGATATTTCTTTTTTTGTAGATAACTTGCAGCCCTTGCAAGGTCTAAGATAAAGTGTTTAATTTTGCTCTCTGGTTGATAGAGAAAAATTGAACTATATTGATGGAGAGCCATGATGGCTTTTAATCTGATTTCTGTTAATGCCCTTCTGCCTCTGAGGAGACAATAATTATCAATGTTTGTTTGTGTTCATAGGAGAGTTTTATTGACTTTGAGTTAATTTGAATTACCCCATTTCTGTCATGAAAAATGTTTTGATGATATCTTTGTCTAATTTTCTTGATCCCCATGTAGCTGGGCTGCAAGCTTCCTTCAAACCTTTTGGTCTGATCAGAGTAGAGTGGCCAGGAAAGGATGGCAAACATCCAAGATATCCCCCTAAAGGTAAGTCAATCTCTCAAGTTGTATGTTGAGAGCCAGAAAGGCATTAACTCTATGCACAAATCGTCCTTGTTTTCACGAAGTGACGGTAGTAAGGAAAATCGTAACGCAAAGTGAATGCAATTTTTTTTCACTACCGTCACTTCGTGAAAACAGCGACGAAATGTACGAGTTAATTCCCTTCTGGCCCTTGACAGATGATATATGCTGATATCTCTGTGAAACTCATACTGGCTTTGGTTGAGCACATGAATTAAGAATATATGAATATGGATATCATGAAATGTATTTTGATATGTTTACTACAATTTTGATTGAAGAAGACAAAGACACTATGCTCTGATTGCTATAAATACACAAGGATAAAGTAATCAAAATGGCTCAGCAGTATTTAAAGGGAAATGAATGTATGAATAAAGACAAAATATTGCTGATTATTTATTTATAAGGGTAAATATAATTGATACATATTCCTTTCTTGTATACCAATTGGTGTAAGAGTGGCATATTTATAAAAAAAAGTACTGAATTTTAGAGCCTATAGTATGGCAGCTAGTCAGTTTATTTGATCTCCCTCCTTAGAGAGGGAAGGTCAGAGATTTATTACTCAAGCTGTGGGAGAAAAAGTGATATTGTGGTCAGTGAGTTTGGACATTGCCACCAACAAATTTATGTGTTTAAATTCCGAGTGCAGTTCTTTCCTCATGGAGCCCAATGTGGTTTTCCTCACTTTCAAAAATTGTGGTCAAGTGTTGAGAAGATCAAGAAACTTTTGGGAAATAAGTGTCCATATTTGGATGCTTTTATTTTACTTTCTTTGCACAATAGTGTATGATAACACAAGTGTGTTGAAGCCATTTGTTTACCTTTTACTGGAGCATAATGCAAAGATTTTCAAAGGTTTAATATACACCAGGAGTTTATTGCATATTTTTTGTATATCTATGCTTTATTCTTACAGTTGCCCATGTCTATTAAAGTTTTATGTGAATTCATGAAGAGAAACAAAATTCTTGGTGCACTAGTAAGGCAAAAATGATGAGGATCTATAATTAACTGCAACCACTTATCTTTGGTGGTTTAGTCCTTCAGAAATTCCCATGAATTTTATTTGTTTCTAATAATAGGCATACAAATGTTGTATGGTTTCATCTAACCATAGAAACTGTCTTGAAATTGGTGCTATTGTAAGAGATTTTAGTTTAGTTAACAAGAGTTGAAAACCTAAATGAAAGTATAACAGCTCTTAATAAATCGCAAGTGTTTTAAATATGCACTTGTCACATCATTTTACGAAATCATTAAATTCAAATCTTAGTTCTATTCGCTTTGTGAACTATTGAAGAATTGTTAAAATTACTTCAGAAAAATAAAATCTTTAAAGTTTGTTTGGTGCTTATTAAACACAAATACACAAACTCGTACTGCATCCAAATTGAATGAGCATTTCTTGACACCACAGTTAAAAAACAAGGTTTGCATCATTACTGGTTCTTATAAATTCTGATCCTTATAAATTCTGATCGAATGATTAGTAGTATAGCAGAACATGTGCTGTATTACAGCCATAAACCAGTACCATATAGTGTCTCTTAAAGTAAATGATGTACAAATCTGAAGGGTAGCCTCACTGAAATGAAGGAAATAATAGAAAATGGGCACATCGTGAAAACATTTGAACCAGACTCTGGAAGCATAGCATCAAACAAATCACCTGCTAAGATCCAGAAGGGCATTAAACTTTTAGCAGAGTTAACTATTTTATTGCTCAGTTTCAAATTTGCCAAATGTGATCTAAAAGATCTGTTGTCCTCCCAACAAAAATTATGAACATTTATTTTGAGAAGTCAATATCATACTTTTGCCACAACACCAAATCTGAGTGTTCATATAACCACATGAGGAAGTTTAATTGATATGAATTAATGCCTATCTGGATCTATTTTTACTAGATGATTACTTGGTTTTGATTGAGAACTTATGGTTGTTTTTATTAGCAACCAGGGGAACGACGGGTTTAAGGACTTGATAATGGGATTAACGCCTTAGTACCAAAAGGGCACTAGCGCATTGACTTGGTTTCGAACCTTGGATGTCCTCGCTGTATATATTCAATCTATGTGTTTAATCCATGTATTTATTATTTATTTCCTGAATTATGTAGAATCGTAGTCTTTTCATGCATGTCAATCTACTATGTGATCATACACAAAGTTGTGTTTGAATCAAACAAACCACAGACCAGGATGAGTAAGCAGTGACAATGCCCTAGAAACTGAACCATAAAAGATAAACTTCCTCATGTGGTCATGAACACACACTTTTGGTTTTGTGGCAGAAGTATGATAGGATTGAGTAGAAAAAATACTTGTGGATAATTGTTCTAGCATGGCATGACATAACAAATCTAATTTTATATTGCATTTGGTAAATTTACTGACAATCATTGTCAAAATTTAGAAGATCCCTTCTAGTCCTCATCTACAACACATGCTCTGGCAACAAACGCTCTGTGGATCCTATACTATCCAAATTCTTAACTTTAACCCTGGTCCAAACGCACTACTTAACCCTTCACCTAAACTTAAACTTCAATCCAATTGCAACCCTATCCTTGTATCTTTAACAAAATAAAGCCCGGAGCCCCATTTTGCGGGAGCATGGAGCACCCAATAAGAACATTGGAAATCAAGTATTCATCTATCAATCGGCTATACAAGTGACAAAAGTGCTCTAGGTCAACCTGTGAAGTGAAAGTAGTTTTTGATCAACGTCTAAGAAGCCTCTACTACCTGGTATATATTGTCTTAATTAAAGATGATATGAGATGATAAATTTCTCAGGGTATGTTATGTGTATATGATCTTGATGGAGTCATTTAAGCATATCAGTTTGTCTTAGCAAACTTAACACCATGATATAGGTAGCTTGTTTCAGTTTCAAAACTACTATAGCATTAAAAAAAACTAATTAAATTAATTATTAAAAATAAAGGGATTAATACAGTGGTTTACATGGTTTCAGTTCAACTTCTTGTCCCTAGAACATGATAACTGAATTTGCTTTTACACAGACTATGGAAGACCAGTATATCCTGCTGTCTTTTTAAAAACCAGGCATTGATTAAATTTATTACATACCAAAACAAGAAATCCTACTCTATTAAACCAGTTACAATTACATTCAATGCTTTCTGGTAGATTTAATTGCCCTGATATAATTTATGTTATTTATTAACACATTTTCACATTAATTGCTACAGGCACTTTTTTCTGCTAGTGTCACGACCTCAGGAAAGCTAATTATAGAGACAAGGGAAATGCGATATAAAATGAGAAGAGCAGACATGAAAGTAACTATATTTTTATATGCGACCTACATTAAATAACTTTTTGTTTTCATTTACTTTTCACTGGTAATCTAAACTTGTGGTTTGATGTGTTTAAAGAGTGGTAGGTTAACAGGATTGGGCATGTTTCCTTCCAGGAAATTCCAGCATATCTTTTATCCATAATGTCCGGTACCTGGGTACAAACACACATTACCTGGATAACGGGGTATGCACAGGATTTAAAGGTGCATATCATCTGTTTGGAGCCAGTAGGGCACTGACTCAAATCAGTTCATCAGTTAACTCGCTTTAGCTAGGCTCCAAACAGACAGTAGGGACTTTTAGATTTGCACGTCAACAGCTTTGACTGCAACGTGTGACGTCATTTTAAGGCACTGCGCATGCGTTACGTCGTCTCAGTCGGCGATCGAGAATGCATCAACCTTGATTTTCCTAAATCTAGTACATACATACATACATACATATTGATATTTATATAGCGCCTTTACATGCTCAAGGTACTAGTATGTCGCGTGCGCATAAAATATACAGTTCCTCAGGTAGACAAAGGAACATCCCTTCCTGCTATTATGTAGAATGTGTAGAACAGGTGTCACATGCATATTCACCTGTTATACACATTTTTACATAATAGCAGGGAAGGGATGTTCTTTTGTTGAGGGTAGAATGAGGAACTGTATATTTTGTCCTCTTTCTTTGTCCTTGATGTTCATAGTGTTACTTCCTGCATGCATATCGTCGAGTGCAATCTAAAAGATTTCTAATTGTAGTCAACATGCGCAGTTAAGTACGTTGACACGCATGAACAGTTGGCGTTCGTCGTGTTCTCGTCCACTCAATCTAAAAGTCCCTAATATCATCTGTTTGGAGCCATAAGGCCGTTTACTCATTTTAATCAGAGTTAATGCCCTTCTGGTTATGAACAGACAATATGTTCAGTTGGAAATTAGGGTATTCCTCAAAAGAATTATACTCCTCAAAAGAATTGGTTACTCAGTACTGTTAACTATACAACTAATTATTATAATTTCCTGGTACAAAATCACAAAGATAAGCAAAGTTATTTAATAACCTACATACATGTTTGTATTTTTACCCATATTCTTTTTTCTTTTTACCCAAATCCTTTTTTATTTTTGTTAGTACATTAAGTGACCAGTTTACTCTTGGTTGAATATTTTCACTAGCATTATTTAGTAGTATGTGACATTTTCATACTTATAAGATCTGTTTATACATTGTATGTTTTGAACCATTATAAAATAATGCAGCTGCAAAATGAAAATCACTTTCTTATATGAATGGCAAGTTAAGATGAAAAATTGCTGTTTGCAACAAAGGCCCCTTCGCCTACAATGCGGTCTAAATGTTTCAATATGTAAAATATTTATGAAATTTTCATGTGCAGTGCATTTTATTTTGCCCCAGCATTTTGATAGTCGGGGGGGGGGGGGGGGGGTGGTTTACTGAGCCATTTTTGAATAAAGTTTTACACACAGGTTTATACAGCTTGCACAAGGAAACGGCTGAAAACCGCTACATGGTAATGAAGCATGCCTCATTACACTCTAGTTATATCAATTTAATTTACTGTCATGAAAGTGAAACTCTAATTGACAGAACATTTTCTATTTTGCTTCCTAGTCGTTGA